ATTTTTCGACGTTAAAAAATGAAAAATCAAAAGTGAGAATACAAGATCAGGACGAGATCAGATCTCGGAAACTGCATAGGTGACTTGATGAGTAGCGTGAAGGACATATAACGATACGTCCATGTCGCTCATCTCGTTCCCTAAGCTTCATAATACACTCGTCAAAGTAGAAGTAAACCTCCACCATTCCCTCTGTCAATCTCGTCATGCAATGTCGAGCAGGAGCATGATCTTCTCGAGATTACAGGTTGTCGCGTAGAAGAATTGGAACTGCAACAAGACAGTCACGGCGAACCAAGAACACCATATCGAGAGCGAGACCGCTTGCTCATTCATGGGCCAAGTATTATATCAGCGCCTGTGAGGAGAACCAGGAATTCCTCAACATGTTCAAGACATGGTATATCGATAGTACATTTTCATGCCGAGTTCGACAGTCGACTACTTGAAGAAGCACGGCGCAAGAAACTTGCTCAAGTCATCTATTTCAAATTTCATGTTTTTTGTCTTACGACAATCTAAATGCGTAAAATGATTTTTCAATGTTTTTTCGAAATTTCGATTTTTTTAAGCTGCATGTCTTTTCGAATATTGATCATGTAGTTATCGATTGTTTTCTGTGAAGAAAAAATCAAATACACGCTTTTAGTTATTACTGTATCAAGAAAAAAAGCAGAGCACCAACCACAACATGACTACGTTTCGACAGAACAAGATGATATTCCTAGTAGTACAAGAATGAATGTAGGAAAGATCAAAGTCATTGCTGTAATTCTAGAGAGTCAACAACAGCTCTCTTCGTCTGCAGTTCCTTCTAGTATGCAACAACATCATCTTCGATGAATATATATGCGAAATCCACAATTATTTTTTTCAAGTTCTCCTGAATAAAGTGGCCAAAGGAAAGCTGCATCAAATCATGATAGGAAGATTTAATCTATTTATGGATGCTCCCTAATCATTCTCATGCTTTCACTTTCTTTCAGTTTGATGATATTAATACTACCAGCACCTGTGGATTGTGCAAAGATTAGGAGTATCAATACTACCAGCACCTGTGGATTGTGCAAAGATTAGGAGTATCAATACTACCAGCACCTGTGGATTGTGCAAAGATTAGGAGTATCAATACTACCAGCACCTGTGGATTGTGCAAAGATTATAGGAGTATTGATTTATGAGCGGACCAGTCCAGCCTTCCTAACGATCTTCATCGAAGCCGGAGAACAGTCGCGTGTCGTGGTGGGAGAGGGTCGTAGTTCTTGTTGTACATCTATGAGTGTACTACCAGGAGTGAGCCACCTCAACCTCGGTGGAGGTCGAGAAAAAAACGGTCCTGAGCAAAAGGTACTACTAGACGGAGTACTAGGGTCCTTACCAGGTAGCTAGTTGCCGTGTGACGAGGTCGAGAAAAAATAAAAAAGTACTCACAAGTGAACAACTATAATCAATCTAGCTCTACTCAGCACACACGGCAGCCATGATCTTATTAAGCTTCTCATCCAGCAAATCTACCCGCTCCGTTAACGCCTTGACATCTGCTCGCACGCCTGATAGCCAATAAAGTGGAAGTACCCTCAGCAAGTACGTACACGAAGCAGCTACAGGAAGTACTTCTAGGTGGAGGTACAGGTCCAGTTCTTATGTACAATTTTCTTGCTTAGCGCGCAATGAACACGTATCTATGCATAAGAGTACGTCTATACCGACCGAGTGAAAACAAAGTTTGTAAAAAAAATGGCTCTAATAAAACGGAGCTGGTGTGCTGGTAGTAAGTACCTTCATCCGCTGTGCTGGTCTCCTTACTCGATCCTACCTTGATTGCTTCCGACATCTTCATGGCTTTTGATATCTGCTGTGAGCTCAGGAGCTTGGAAGTGTGTCCCTTAATTTGCTGCACCATTTTCAAAACCCTAGTCACCTCAATTGGCGCTTCAGAGGTTACCCTATCCAATAAATGCTCGCAGAATTCGGAGATTCCGATCTCTCCGTCTCCATCTACGTCCAAAATATCGAACAACTGCAGTGGATCTTGGTTTCCTAGGAAGTGCTGCAGCTCCATTTTCATGACTGGGTGCGCATCGAGTCCGTCTATGAGTTCCTCTTTTGAGATTTCGCCGGAACCGTCCGCGTCTAGGGTGTAGAACATTTTTTTGATCTCGGGCATCATTGCCTCGAGCTTCGCTTTGGCGTAGACGGCGTTCATCTCTTTATCGTTCTTGGAACTCTCCAAGGCGTTCTCGACCAGGACGGCCGTGACGAGATTCATCATCGCGACCGAGACGATCAGGATGAACGGCATGAAGTAGAAAATTAAGAGTGGCTGGGTTTGTATCATTGGCGAGTAGATACGGTTCACGGAGTCCAAAGTTGCGAAACCGAAGAGCGTCAACATCACAGCAGGCACGTCGGAAAATTCATTTTCCATCAGACTAGTTATGTAGCCTTCGGCCGCGAAGTCCCCGTTGTCCCGGTCTAAGAAATACTGCTTATTCTTCGTTATCAGCTCTATTCCAACCACTGCAAACACGTACACCGTCATCGTAATCAGTAGCAGGGTAAAGGTGATCGTGTCGGCAGATGTTAACAAGCCTCTTACTAAAAGCCACAGGGTTTTGAATGTTATAATCAAACGCACTGCTCGGGCCAGACGAAGCAATCGCAACACACGGAAGACAAACAAGGGCTCCAAAATGTCCTGCTCGCCGTCCAGGAATATAAGCGGCAGCAGCCACTGCACCAAAACACCAACGCTCACCAGCAGAAAATCGAACGCGACCCAGCCCGACGTGGTGATGGACTTCTTGAACCCAAACGCGAAAAAACGTGACGACAGCTCGGACAAGTAGATAACCAGGTCAAATTAGAAGAAGAGGAAAAAATCTGCAGGTGGGTAGAAAATCTACATTTAATTATACTTGATCTTCGTCAACAAAAACGAAAGTCAAAGCCGTCATGAGATTGACTAGAAAGATCCCATCAAATTATTCCAATAGATACTAATGATGTTGAAGATGATGAAGATAAGGGAAGTACTTGGAGATGGAGATAGTGATAGAAGTGATTGATCAATTTGATTGGTCGTCTCGTCATAAAATATGTGCTCTACCGCAGCAAAACCCTCGACGCTTTTTCCTTGTACAAAAAGTTGCGCTTCCCATCCGATAGTGGCTGAGTTCAGCAAGATGATGAAGTTGATGCAAAGGTCAAATCTAGAACTATTCAGAATGTCTGCGCATTTCCTTCGGTACATTTCCTTCTGTCGGTCCCAATCACTCATGGCCGCAAGCTCCTCGGACGTGAGTTCTCCTTCGACATGCATTTTGCCTCGCAAGGTCTCGCCGTCTGGTGGCTTCGAATGGTCGGCGTTGAGATCCGCCGCCATTTCTGATAGGGTTTGACGCTGAGCAGGAGCGTTGGCCGTGGTGGACGAGTCAGCTCCCGGCACCACCTGCATGTCATGCACCGGGACAACAGCGGCAGTGCCTCGGAGTGCCTGTTGCCGAGCCGCATTGCGCCCGCTCGCCCTTGCGCGATCATCGTGCGATGGCAAAGCATTTGGGTGCGTCATGTCCCCACCCATCTTGACCACGTTTAGCACCAGCTCGTTCGTGATCGGGGTGCAGTGAAACCAACAACGAGGACAACGACTACTCACGTGACTTTAGTTACTTGATATTAGCTCGATATTTTCACCACAAGAACAAGAATAAGTACATAGAAGTATTTCCAAGAACTGTGTCGTTGACATAAAAGTCAGAAAAAGAAACAACAGTCCAATAGAAATAGAGCACGTGCTTCTAAAGTAATCCTAATAATGAATAAATGCTGTTCTACATCATGTTCATGATCAGGATCGAAGCGTGCGGTTACAAATGAAAAATTTGAGAAAAAATGCTGCCTGCTTTCATTTATTGATATCAATATTTCACGTGAAGGACCAGCAACGTCTGCGACAAGAGCGCATATCCTTCGCCTGAGTATTCGTCCTGTCTCTTCGGAGCTACGAACTCATATCTTTTAGCCCAATCCGTAGTTGCTAGTTGCTCTAGTAGTACCTAAATACAACATCGTTTTTATCCGCTTCCTCTACAACGACAACAAAGAGTAGCTTGGAGTTAGCAGGGGTGACAAGAAAGTGAAGACTTCTAAGTAATCACAAGGGAAACATGAGCCGCGCCATGGTCATATTATTGTGTCTATCGAGAGGCAGGACCTGTGTTGATAAGAGAGAGCGAGAAAAGGTGATACACGATGATCGTGAGGTACAGCCAGTGCATTTTTGAGCAGGGTACATCTGTAACAACTCACGATGCAGCAACCTGCGCAGAACTTGATATTTTCGAGCGGCACTAACAATTAATATCTTCTCATCATACAGATGCAGCAATGGCCAACGCCATTCTCACTCAGTCACTCCAACAGAATAACCCATCTTTTTCCCGTCCTACTCACACGCCCACACGGCAGCCATGATCTGTTCAGCTTCTTATCCAGCGATTCCATGCGGCCCGCAAAACGACTAACGCTAACCTTGTGCGTCAAGGCAGTAATATCTGTTCGCGTCCCTCGCCCAAGGTTGGTAAACACGAAAGTGAGGCATGCCACGGAAGAAATGAGGAGCAGTACGGATCAGTATTCTCATGCAAGCTACGTCCCAAACTTGAAAAAAGAAACACAAAATAGATGGTGCTCCTCGGGGAATCTCATTCGCCCCGCCAAGAACATCTTCTTCAGAATTATAAACAATTTTCTATTAGTACTGCCCCAAAAATCCGAACATGAATAACGTCTACTTAGTATTTACTGCTACTGCTACTCAGCACAGACGGAGACGTCGGCAGCGATGATCCTAATATTCAGCACAGACGGAAGCGATTATCCTATTCAGCGCACACGGCAGCGATTATCCTATTCAGCGCACACGGCAGCGATTATCCTGTTCAGCTTCTCATCTAGCGAATGCATGTCATCGGTAAGACCCTCAACCTTGTGCTTCAGGTCAGTAATATCTGCTCGCATAGCTCGCCCTGAGTAAATTGGTGTAGAATAAACGGCCGCTCCGTGATGGAGACGGAACAACCTACTTACTTAAACGCTACATTTACTTAATACTCAGCATAAACGGCCGGTCCGTGATGGAGACCACGGAACAACCTACTTAAACGCTACATTTACTTAATACTCAGCATGAACGGCCGGTCCGTGATGGAGACGGAAAAACCTAAGTACCTAAACGCTACATTTTTTACTTAATACTCAGCAATTGAATATGGAAATGAGGTGTGCATATGCAGTGTTAAACAAAGAAAAACAACAAGATAGATGCTCTTCTATGTGTGCCAGTGCTGTATGATGGCGATGTGCGAGGTAAAAGTTAAAGATTCATGTTGATTGAAGGGAGCTGGTCGTTTTTTTAGCTTTACTCTTTTTTGGTGTTGTAACAAAGTCACGATCAAAGAACTACAACATTGCGTTTTCAACAAAACGCGTCAGCGGATGCAATCAGCAGGAGTAATACAGGCAGTAACTTTATCTTTAAACTGTCATGTCACAATAAAAATAGTGGTGGAGCCAACCTAACTAGGAAAAGACCGAAAAAAACAAAAGGTGAAGCAGGTACATCACATTTTCTTTATGTAAACGTGAAGGAAGCTATGTAGTATTATAAAGATAAAGGTTAAAGATTATACTTAAATAGTACCTTGAAACCACGGGGGATGAGGAGCAAGGCACTACTTAAGTATAATCTTAAGGGGATCCGCCATCCCCAGATCGGGGAGGCTCCTCTTTCTCTCTCCCTTTCGCCCGTTTTGTGGCTCAGGGCTTAACGCTCGTTCCTCCGGCCTAAAGACATGGCCGGCGACTTGTACCTAAATAGTACCTTGTTCATTCCCCGTGGTTTTCCGAAAAAAGATTTAAGACTATACATAAATAGTACCTTGTTCATCCCTCGTGGTTTCGTCCTTAAAGATAAAGATTTAAGACTTAAATAATACCTTCTTGTTCATCCCCCGTGTATAAAGATAAAGATCTAAGACTTATAAAAAGTACCTTGTTCATCCCCCGTGGTTTCCTTACTCGATCCGCCTTTGAGTACCTCTGACATCGCTGCAGCTCCCGCTCTCATGCGCTGTGCGTGAAGAATCTTCGTCGTATGAGTCTTAATTTGCTGCACTATCTTTGCAACTCGCGTCACTTCAACTGGCGGTTTATTAGAAGAGGAGCGGGAGCGCAACAAAAAAAAAATCATTTCATCTTGTTTTTGCCACGTGTATTTCAATTTCTCCAAATGAATCTCAAGACGAAAAAAGAAAAACTAACAGGGAGAAATAATGGCATTCTTAGCTCGTAAACATTGATGAAATCTATTGATCTTTCTTCATGAGCTGCCTTAACTTCAGAAGTTACCCTCTCCAGAAGGTAGTCGCAAAATTCGGAAATACCAATTTCTCCGTCTCCATCCACGTCTAAAATGTCGAACAGGTGGAGTGGGTCTTGGTTTCCTAGGAAATGTTGCAACTCCATCTTCATCATGGGGTTCGCATCGAGGCCACCTATGAGTTCCTCCTTTGAAATCTCGCCTTAGACCTCTACTTCCTAATTGTAATTCATCCCTGCTGTGGAAATAATCCCTCAAGCGTGGTATGGCGCGTCGATATTTTTCCCCTTGTATTCAGGCGCATATTACGTTTGAGGGATCCCTATTTAGAGATGGATTAGCGGAAGCCTTAATCACCAGAACCGTCTGCGTCTAAAGTATTGAACATTTTTTTGATCTCGGGCATCATTGCCTCAAGCTTTATTTTAGCATACACCGCGTTCATTTCCTTATCGTTCTTGGAACTCTCCAAGGCGTTCTCGACCAGGACTGCCGTGACCAGGTTCATCATGGCGATGGAGACGATCAGGATAAAAGGCATGAAGTAGAAAATCAAGAACGGCTGGACTTTTATCATAGGCGCGTAGATACGGTTCACAGAGTCCAAAGTTGCGAAACCGAAGAGCGTCAACATCACAGCAGGCACGTCCCGAAATTCAGTGTTCATCATTTCGTCTATGTAGCCTGGAGGTACGTGGGTACCATCGTCGCGGTCTAAGAAGAACTGCTTATTCTTCGTGATGAGCTCTATCCCGACCACTGCGAACACGTACACCGTCATCGTGATCAGCAGCAGCGTAAAGGTGATCGTGTCGGCAGAGGTTAATAAGCCTCTTACTAAAAGCCACAGGGTTTTGAACGTGATGATCAAACGCACAGCTCGTGCCAAACGAAGCAATCGCAGCACACGGAAAACAAACAAGGGCTCCAGTAAATCCTGTTCGCCGTCCAGAAATATAAGCGGCAAGAACCACTGCACCAAAACTCCAGTGCTCACCAAAACAAAATCGAACGCGACCCAGCCCGACGTGGTGATGGACTTTCTGAACCCAAAAGCGAAAAAACGCGACGACAACTCGATCAGGTAGATACACAGATCAATTTAGAGGAAGAGAAAAAATCATCTGCAGGTGTGGACGAATATTAGCAATAGATCTACTTATACTTGTTGATCTTCATGATCAACGCGAAAGTCAAACCTTCACGCCGCCAACGCCGTCAGTAACAATACTTAAAAATATCATCAAAGGGTCACGAGCACAACATAAGGCAAGATAAATCTTCAGGGATCAACATCTAGGATTCTTGTTCTAGACGATAAATCATGAGAACCAACAGAAGGATCCCATCAAATTCGAATACTAGATACTATCCCCAGCACCAGTAGAATTTTCCTACTTGATGTTGATGGTTGGTGAAGTAGATCGATGAAAACGAAAAAAAAAATGAGATTGAAATCAAAAATTGGTCTCGTCATAAAATACGTTCTCTAGCGCAGCAAAAGCCCCGACGTTTTTTCCTTCTACAACAAGTTGCGCTTCCCAACCGATGGTCCCTGAGTTGACCAAAATGATGAAGTTGATGCCCAAGTCGAAGCGCGAACGTTAGATCTTCCCCGGAATCCATCTTGAAAGTCATCATGCTGGGATGAGCCTGCTTTTTCCTTATGAAGATGCTTCACCAAGATGCTTCTGAAGATGGATTCCCGAAAGCCTTAAGAACTGTTGAGAATGTCAGCGATTTTTTGCCGATAGATTTCCTTCTGCCGGTCCCAATCACTCATGGCCGCGAGCTCCGCCTCCGTGAACTCCCCGTCGACGTGCATTTTGCCTCGCAAGGTCTCGCCGTCTGGTGGCTTCGAATGGTCGGCGTTCAAATCCGCCGCCATGTCTGTCAACGTTTGACGCTGAGCAGGTGCATTTTCTGTGGTGGATGATTCACCCCTTTCCAGCTGCTGCTCGTCGTGCACCGGAACAACGGCTGCGCCGCCTCGAAGTGCCTGTTGCCGAGCCGCATTGCGCCGCCCGCTCCTTGCGCCGCGATCGTTGCCTCTATCCTGCGACGGTACAGCGTTCGGGTGCATCATGTTGTCACCGCCTGCCCCACCCATCTTGACCACGGTTAAGATAGAATTAGCACGAGGCCCAGTTCGTAATCGTATGCGTTCTTCGGGGTACAAGGAAATCGTCAAGATTATAACAATGACAAGTTGTACAAAACAATGTATAACGACTCCCGCGGCTCGGCTCTGTAACGGTGGCGAGCTGCTTCGCAAGCGTCGAAACACTTAAAAAGAAACCAGATGAATACGAGTGTGCGAAGGGAGATGAAAGACGAGCACGCATCAAATCTCCACCATACTATGTACAGCGAGGGATCAAGAAGAGGGGTAGCGTGGGACGAGTCAGAAAAAACATCAACCAAGGGAGGTTTAATTCACTCAATGGAATAAACACGGGAATAATTCTGAATGAAGGTACAACTATCCGAGATAACTACAATAAATATTATATCGATCTTCGTCGAACGAATAGCTACCACCTATATATTCATCACTTTGAAATAAAATATAAAATCTTATTGATCTTCAAGAAGTCAACGCAAATAATGCATATAAAACGGACAAGAAATTTCTACTATATCACGATCGAAAAGTGCGGCTGCAATCTAACAGTCATGAAAATAATTTTGAAATTGAAAGTTAATATTCAAAACTAACAAGAACATCAACAGGTTTTTGTGTCTACTACCCAGACAGTGGTTCTAAGACAATGCTACTACGTACTTCCATACAAGGAAGTATATATCGAATGATTTTGATATCATCAATTACACCAGTAACGACTACTATCGTTTTTTACCTGAGTCCTGCCTCTTGGTAGTTACAACCTTATAAATACCGTCTCTTGGTTTTCGCATTCGCTGCTACAGAGGAGAGAAATCATTTTTAGTAATGGCGCAGAGCGTTGAAGATAAACTATTACCTAATACTTAGATATTACTGCAGGTGCGCGTAGTTGGAGGAAGCGATGTTGCTAGGCACAACAATAAGGTTAGCTCCGGGTGGCCAAGGGTAGGGAAATGAAGACTATTTCAAATTTCAGATGCGTATCCTTCAAGGACATGTATGATTGACGTCACGACAGGGCCTGTATGTAGCAAACACAGGGAGGACAAGAGTCAAAATCAGAAACATACATGAAGCTTAAATATTTATAAGTACAACAGCCTCAAGTACAGCGCTCCTTCGCTATTCATTCTCTGTTGAAATACAAACCACACGGCTTCACTCAGACAGAACAAGTGGCAACTAGGACCACTAGCTTCACTTGTCGCTCCAACAGAAATAGAATCTTCTGAATCATCTAAGTACTTACGTTGAATGCTCTTTGAAGTGTCACTGTCACCCCTCAACAGAATTAATCTATCCCTTTAGCAGATTAAGATTAAGAGACTTCTGGCTTGCGACAGGCAGCGGCCAGGGCTCCAGAAGTCTGTTTAAGGAAGTACTCTCGCGCCACTCACGACACCGACTCAACAGACACTCCACACGTCAGACAGAGAAATTTTTGAACTCTCTCTTGTTGAAGATTTAGTATATAATAACTTATTATTAATAAGTAGAACAACATCTCTCATGTTCCTCTTCGCTCTTATATCAAAATCTTCAGGCACATTATTTCATTTTCCTGAGCGCAGAAGTAGAACCAACCTTAGCCTCTGCTAATTGAGTTTGATCTATTGTTCTGTCCACCTCTCTCGACTCGCCTTGTTCTAGCAACGCAACTAAGTGAAAATCAAGATCGCACCTGGTTCTTCATTTGACTTTCCTAGATACTTCTTCCGCAAAGCCGGTCAGCCTGTCAGGCTTGTCGTTGTCCTCTTCGGTGTGCGCAACACAGCGGCAGGGGCGGTACTATTCTTCGAAACAAACCCCATGGAAATAGACATTCAGACAACTCAGTCTCAGAGCAGGGTGTTTAATTTTGTTTGAGTCTGCGATATCGTGTATGACACGCGAATGTGCAACTTCTTCGTCATATTAACGTTTTGTTTGAAGTAATATGCTGATACATCATAAACAATCTTTTAGTATACATGATAGGCGTAAGGTTAGAATTATACAGATGGTGAATTAATCTTGATGAACGTTCTTTTTCATGATGGCGATGGGGAAAACGGAAGGGACTTCTATCACCCATTTTCGATGTCGTGGTACTTGGAGTACGCGGTCGTAGATGGAACAAGTAAGTAATTCGCTGTCGCTGATCATATGGTGGAATGCATGGACGATTTTAGTGTTCGTTGATTCTTACTGGATGTGAATTCGATACTCGTAATATTTCGGAAATTGATTGTTGTCGACGTTCTTAATCGAATGAAGATTGATTTCGCTAAGCAGATGATAAGATAATAGCACTACAACAACATAATCACTGATTTCTTTTCTTAATAAATTGAGTAAATCTATTTCTATCTATGCAATCCAAATCTACTTATGCTTTCTGCTCGTGCTCTGTTGAATATTGAGAGAAAGAACGCTAGAACTATATTAACTTGGTTGTGATGTTGCCGAACATATAATAATTGCAGATGCACATGCACTCTATGACGAGATAAATTTTGTAATATGCTTGAAATGAGTCGTATGAAATGAATCAAGGAACTATGTGAACTTCTACAAGTCTAGGTCTACTACAACTACTTCGAAAAAATCTCAGAAACAAGCAACATGTACTGTTTGATTGGATTTGGTGCCATATCAAGTTAATGTAGAATCAGTCACGGTCCTGCTTCCTTTCTCATCCTCATGGTTGTACCAAGAACTATCCTTCCCACCTCCTCTTTGTGAAAAAATAGGTAAGTTTCCTTCCTTCCTCCTGCACTTAGCGAAGGAATAGCTTATCTACTCCATGATCTTCTATTGAAGAAGCATGCACCCTTTCCTTCCTTCTTCCTCCATCTCCTGAAGAGGAATCCCTAACCTGCTACTTCCTCCCTTTTTTTATTACCTCCTTTTTCTTTCTCCGAGACACCTACTTTATTGTCTCTTCTTTATCTATTCGAAATTAAGTAAATTGAAGTTGTAAGCATGCAAGGAAGTAACAAACACAATTATAACCGAGTATCTTACAACATTATTCCGTAGCATACTCGGTTATTTCAGCTTTTCGATTATCTTACAGCCCCCACCTCCATATCTACTTCTTGCTCAAGACAGACTCCAATGACCTGGCAATGTCATCCGCGACATCCTCCAACTCCTGATCCCCGAACTGGTACAAGTCCTTCAGTTTCGTCTCTATGCCCTGTTCACGCACCAGTCTCGCGTACCTGTAAGTTTGGAAGAAGACGAGGTAGAGCAAGTTCTAGACGGTACAAGTAGAGCCAAAAATAAACCATGATCTTTTTCTTGTATAAATTTTATCCAAGAAGCTACAAGAGAAATAAATAGGAAAGAGCTAAATAAAAAAACAACAACGACCCCGCCAAACTCTCAACCTTCCACTTCCGAACCCAAAACTCTTCCACTTCTGACTCATGAACTTAGGAACGTTCGTAAGAACTTAAGTTAGGACCTTAGGAACTAACTACTCACGAACTTCGAATTTGGTTAGATCTGACTTCGCGCAGATGGGCGCGAAGTTTGAAACTTACGCGATAAAGTCAAAGCTTTTACGGTTTTAACTCTAAAAGTTTTAACTTTTCAAAAATTCACGGCGATGCCCAGAAGTTTCGCAATTTTATCGCATTGATTCCAATGAGGGCGCAAGCTTAAGCCTTAAACAAGTGTCAAGCTGAACAAAGCCCACGCCTGAAAGCTCAAAGCTGAAAGCACCAGGCTGAAAGCCCGAAGGTTGAAAGCGGCGCCGCAATGTCTCACAGTTTCAAACTTGAGACGGGAAATCCAAAGTTTTTGAGTATATCCAAAAAAAAACAAAACTGCAAAAATTCCCAGCCAAAGTTTTTGACTGTATCACAAGAAGTTGCAAGCTCGAGCGCTGCAACTCGCACGCAAAGAAGGCCAAACCTACCAAAAGAAGAGCACACCGACCACAGGCCAACGGCTTCGGCCTGTGCCTTTTTAATCAATGGCCGAACGCCTTCCCCCGCCCAGCTCTTGCCCCAACGATCAACGCCGCCAGACGATTGTCGGGCGGGGGAGGATCCGGGGAAGCGGAGCCTCGCCGGGGTTGAGGAAGTGCGTGCCGGGGGTGGATGATCCTAGTGGGAGGAGTGCCACCGGGCGCTCAAGTCTAGTAAGTACTTACTTCATCTTCTTATCAGGTGCCTCCCTTTACTTCTTCAACGTTTACGTAGGAAGGTAAGTATCAGTATCAGTAGAAAAAGAATTGAGTTGGTACTTTGGCACGATTTTTCTGTCTGCTGTGTGATCCTCCAGAAATTCACAGATAGTGAGCAACGCCTCTAGCTTCAAGTCCAGCATTCGCTGAGTTAGACTCAGCTTTCATCCATCTTGGTCCCCTCATCTCGACCCCTTTCCCCTTGTATACCATGAGAATACAAGGCAAAAGGGGACCACGATATCGAGAAAGATGAATAAAAGCTAACCATAATTGAGTATCGTCTGGATCGAGCTGCTTGTATCCCTTCGGAAGCTCTACTAGTTTCACGAAGCCTTCCACACCTCTTGCCTCCACAAACTTCTCCTTCGCAGCACGGAATGAAGAAAGGATGTTGAGGGAGCGGAATTGGTGGGACAGGAAGAGAAAGAGATAGAGAAACAAAAAAGTCCTAATCAATGCAAAAGGGGTATGAAAACATGTTAGAAACAAGAAAGGTCTTCATCCTCAAGGAAGAACAGAAGGAGTCAGAGAATTGAAATAAGAATGTACTTCCTAGAAGTCGTGGGAGAAGAGATCAATGCAATTCTTGCACGGGGACAGACGAATATGCAATTATAATATATGAATTCCATCGAGTAGAAGATTAACATGGTCGTGGTGGGAACTACTAGGACAGGCAAAAGGATACATCGTTGTCGTTCATTCTTGCACAAGAATCGTCTAATTACAATTACAATACCACAGCAAAAAGTCTTCTAGGTGATCGTAACTCATCCTCCAATATTATGTTTCGAATGACGCTGGCTGCCGCACAAGCTAGACCCTCAATAGGTGACAACATCAATGGCACAAGTGGTTGAATAGCTCCAGCATCGTCTCTGAGAGGTCATTTGAAATTGAATTTGAGAAGAAGATCAACAACAACATCATGAAGAGTTTTTACCGTAATACGATTACAGTTACAGAGATCATTCTTTCTTTTTTAATATTAAGTGACAACTTTTATTTCCCCTACGACCACTGAGTCGTAGTAAATGAGCATACCGCTTCTATAAAATATCACCCTCATATTCGAACATGCAGTTTGTTAAGCATAACTTCCAAGGGATACGACATACTTCAGCACATACCTGCAGTTCTTACAATATGGTGCATTTACTTCAACCCCATCTTCTACTTCATACAAAAACTAGTACTACTACTTCAAGCAATAGCAAAAACAAAACAATATAATACGCTGCTTTGGCGTTGAGTGGATTCTCGATGCAGAGGAAACTAAGTGCCACCACTGCCGTATGAATTCGATCCTCTTCCGAACTCTTGAGGTACTTCACCAATTTCGGTATTGCACCTGCGGTCATTGATTGGAGATCATGATGTTCAGATTTCTTGGTCATCATGATACGACTACGAAAGGGGATGAGGAAATCACATGCAGCCAACACAAATTAGTGCATCTGTAGTTACGAGGTCCCAGCAAGAGACGCAAGAAACTGCGAGAAGATGAAGAAAGAGGTGAGACATCAATAGGCACATAAGGCAAATCAATGAACAGAGCAGCATGGAGATACAGCTTCTCCCCGGATGACAAAATAATCTCGAGACCCAACATAATGATAAACAGATCACCAGCTAGGTACCTGCTTTCCGGACTTTGTCCTTCATGTCAGGATCAAAGGGCTGTAGCGGTGTCGCCGATTCCTGGGTGACTGCCGCTTTTATGGCTATTTGCGTCCCCGAAGGCTTAGAATGTGAAGAACGTGGGACAACTGGTGCTGATGCAATAGTATTCAAGATTCATTTCTTATTCTTACGTCTGGTTCTATGTTGCTGCATAGTACTACTTCAACTTCTGTATTTCTATTTGTAATGGTTTCTTCTAGGTTTCTAAGTATTTGTAATTGACTTTCTATTTGTAATTGTATTTTCTATTTCTATTACTGGATGACAACAAACTCGTCTAGATGTTCTTCTTCTTGCTTCTACAGACGTGGTCCTCTAGTCTGTAGAGGGGTGTTCTTTCGCTTTCCCATAGCTAGAGCTCCTATACTTCTTGGATTTGTGGCCCACTGATGCATTTGCTCATCCGTCTCTATTCTCTCGTCTGAATCCATCAGCTTTACCAGCTTAGGGATGTCGTTCGCGCGAAACGCCCTGTCAAAAGCTTCTGCATCATCGCCACCTGAACAAGAAGAGGGTAAATTATCTTCATGTTGCTGGATAGGATAGGATAGGAGTTAGCTCACCTGCGGCAAGGTAAGCGTATAGGCTTGTAGAACTGAGTGTTTGATGTTGTATGTCAATCTGATGAGTATTTTTGAAGTCGGTGAACGTGAAGCTCGTAAAATACAGTGCTAAATGGGAGCAGTTGGTTATTGTCAAAAGTGTCATCATCATTTCGTATCCTTTTGTACCTTCTGAGTGGAACACCATAGAGTCTTTCTTCTTCGGAGGTGCGTCGCTGTTTTTAGTGGACTCCTGTGTAGGGTTAGAGCATTATATTATACTTCGTTCTAGGAAGTGAGAGTGACAAACCTTTGGCTACTTTGTATCTACCAATAGATAAAGATTTTCTGATCCATCTGCTAGTACAGGTCGTCGCACTACCTAGTAGCCAGAGAAGTTGTTGTAGAACTAGTAAATGATCTTCAGGTTCTCAGAGCTACTGCTACTCTTCTGACTACATCATGTTCTAGAGGACCACTACATCTAGTTCTAGAGGACGAGCCAAATACTTCGATTTGTTCCTGTATTTTTTCTTCGTGGTATGATGAAACGATTAGTAGTTGAGGGAATAAGTAGATGGTTAAGGGATTAGATGGGTTTAGGGTTTATGATGAAAGGATTAGATGGTCGTAGTTAAGGAAATACCTCCTGTTTATGTTCTACCATTTAAAATTATATCATGAAGTACTAGATAGAGACATAGATATCATGAAGTACTACTAGATACAACACATCTGTAGTTCGTACTAGTGGTCGACATAATGTCTCGTCCAGCATGGCTGTCATTGGTATTGTCGCGACGAGAAGAACCTCCACGATTAGACTTCTTGCTATTTTTCATCGTTGGAGCAGGTCCGCTATGCGGATCATCTGCTCCCTCGCAACAGCAGATTGTCAGACTGTTGCCCATCTTGAGTGATGTTGTTGTGCTCCCAAGGGTAGGAGTTCTCGCAGGGATATGACGATGACGTGTCGGGACAACGACAAGTTCTCGCAGGGATATGACGATGACGTCTCGGGACAACGACAAGTTCTCGAAGGGGTATGACGATGACGTGTCGCCACAACAACGACAACTCTTTGTTCTCGTCCTGTAAGAACTATGATATTAGTGTTGCTGTTGCTCGAAGAGAGATCTGAGCTGTTATGTGACACTCTGTCGCCGTCGCGGACTTGAGGAGCACAGGTTGAACCTAATGGAGAAACAACGCGACCCGCGTTGTTTGTTACTTACAACCAATCTGGTATGAGAGTGGTTCTCAAGGAAGGGAGATGTTGAGCAGGTGGTCGTGATGTTGGGACTTGCTTACTATGTCCACCAGGAGGATGCTTCTAGTAGGACACTGTAGATGGAGACAATGCAGCAAGAACTTAGGTTGTGAATTCGCTTTTTCATCAGTCTCCTACTATGAAGTTCCTCTTGATGTTGATCCTCGTCTTCTTACGAACGTTGATTGTAGTTCAAAACCTCGGCGCCGGCCGCCACCAATCTGATGTGTTGTTCTCGAAGATGTGGTCTTCCAAGTACAACAAAGAAATGAATCACTGTCGTGTGGTTATTTTCTACTTCCCGTATAGGAGAAACATCTCGCCCTACTGCCTGCGCACGTGAAGGTCCACCTCACAGGAGGCGTAGGTGAAGGTCGCCCTAGACTGAAGGTCCCCCATGAATCCGGCGATGAAGTTGAAGAGCCGTGCTGTTCTTTAGGTGGAACATAATCTTGAAAAGAACACCAAGAATTACATGTTAATCTATCAGAGGTTGTTCCATTGAAGATATCAAATGCAAATCAGTCGCTACCGTGCCTGAATAAATGGGCTGCATGTCACACATTCTTTTCCACCGTGTTGGAGGTAGGGAAACAAATAATCTTATATATCTACTTATGTCGAATCATCAGAGCAGGCAATAGATACAGCTGTTCAAACTGGGAATGACATCATTTTATCGATACCGATGAAATAAAGTAAGGTGTACGTAGTGGGGAAAATTGAGTGGTTGTTTCGGCAGGGGATGAGTCAGTGTGGAGGAGGTACTTATGCGGCAGATCTCGTTCACCGATGTATACTATCCACCAATAGAATGAAGTATGCACCGAACGATTCATCAACAGATAATGCTTCACAAAATGCTTTGAAGACTCTTGCACAAAGCACGATTTTTTACCGAGCAGGTATTCGACGAGGATATTTAGAGAGCCCTACAACAGACACAGAATCTCAATCGCGTAGTACAACTATAGTTGCTCCCGCCGCATTACTTTTAATAGATAAAAGCTGAAGATGATAACATTGGCGTTGCCTCTCCTCCTTCTGCCCTGACAGGACGCGTTTCATTTCTTTCTCAAATAAAAATACTTGTTATAATAATATTCTCAAGACAAATATCTTTGTGTTCGAGTTTCGAGAATCCTTCTCCGTCGCAATCCTCGAGTTATTAATGGAAGGAGCCGTATCAACATGTAGAAAATCGAGTAGAAAAATAAGTACTAGCTGCATGTAGATCAAATAAACAAAAACTATCTACGTAGCTACAGCTAGTAGCATGCCTCGGGTCTCGTCACTACTCTTTCACAGCTCCCGCATGGTTTGAAGGATCATCAAGCATCCATAAAAAGCGTTTTCCGCATAGTGGGTCGCACTGTTGCTCCAAGCGTTCAAACCTCGCTGCGATAAATGCACTTCTAGATGCGGTCCTCTTATCCTCCACGCCCTCCACCGTTGTATTTTTGTAATATATTCCACCAAGAAGAAGCATTTCCGTTTCTAGTGCGGCCTGTTTTCGTATGTTCTCTTGACAGCGTTGTTGACAACTCTGTTTCTCGGCAAAGAACTGAAGTAAAGTCGGTGGCATATGCTGTGCTCGAGCGGAATTGACGGTGGCCGTGAGTTCCTCCACATCCTGAGGCCGAAACTTGTCCAAAATTGATCCTCCAGCAAGAGAGGGAAAATTAGGCATTTTCTGGAAGATCCTGAGTAGACAGGAGAGACGGGTGTCATGTACTTGTGAAAAGAGGACAGCTGAAGTTCTTCAAGTGGAAGTAGATAAGTAAAAAAATGTACTTAAATCATCATCCATCTGCATATCTACTTATTCGACCATTTTCAGTAGCAACACACGATGATTGTGGACTACAATCGATGGCCTCGCGGAAAAGCGAGGCATTTCGGCCCAAACCTAATCATGCTGCGCAAGCGCAACAGCGTTGAATTACCATCTTCATGAGAGAGTTATGCTTATGTTTAGCAGACAAGATTTGATGTCGCGGCTCCAAAAAACTCCACTAGCATGATGAAAATGAGAAGAAAGATGAAGGTTGCTAGATTGTAGGTGCGCAAGTCATGTACCTACGATAGTTTATCAACTTCTTGAGTTTTCAATTAATGCACTCACTTCCAACATTCTCTACTCTTTCCTGATCAAGATGAATGAATAGCAATATACTTACAATGCTGGATATTGTTGCAAGACTTAGACATAAGAGTTATCTAAATTATTTTTTCGTGTAAGTATTGTCACACGCATTATCTTCATGATTACGATTAGGAGTAGGACGCTAAAAGAAGTCATTTGAGTAGTACACGAAAGCCAAAACATCAAAAGAAAAGTTTTATTCTCAGCGTTGCTTCTAAATTTTTCTTAGCTTCGAATTTTCCAGCATGAATATCTTCTGATGAAACTGAATTATACTTGACTGCCAGCTTATTTTCCAGCACCACTTTCGTCTGTTGAAACTGATACTGAATTATAGTTATCATACATAGATACAACAAATAGGTACAACAAACACAAACTCTTCTTGAAGTCCCAGTTCCGCAGGGCCTTCGGGTATGCCGAAGTCTCCTTGGTCGCTGCTTTTCTTCTTTTTCGAGCAGGAATTGGCGTGCTTAGAGTCTCAAGCCGCCTAAGCCGAGAGGTCAAACGAAGTAGTGTAAAGGCGTTGTAGCGTGTGTCCCCTATAGCTATAGGGAGGTATTTTCATCTAGTAATCATGATCGATTCATTTATTGCTTTTACAACCAGCGTAAAACACTCAGGACATAATAGGAGATCAGCCTCCTCCTGCTCCACCCGCCAGGGGCATGACCTCTTCCACTGACTCTGGCTGGGGATTCGCAAATAGGCTCACGGCTCGAGAGTCGTCCACTCCAAGCAAGTTGCTCATCCCAAGTTGCAGACTAGCGAAATTACGTGCAATATCATGCACTCCTTTTTGAAAGTCTTCGCTTACGTCGGTAACGGAAGTTAGAACGCCAAGGCCAAGCAATACGAGAAATGACCAGGCTAAGCATAAGTACTTAGTACTAGAATGTTAGAGTGGTACTACCGTTTGCACCTATTTCTAACCTAGTCATTGACTTGTCCATCTTCATCAACCTTAAAGAAAAGTGTGTCAGATGAAGTAAGTGTATAGCTAGAATAGTTCTCAGATCCGGGATGGGATCGATGGATCGGATGGACTTCCCACCATTTCAAGTAGGATCGGAAGACTTAGGGGTCCATCCGATCCATCCAAGTCCATCCTACATCCGTTCTACAAATTATTCTGGCTATGTATACTATAGATTCGAATTGAAAGTGTAGTTGTTATTCTTACTTCTGCAACGTAAAAACTGTTCGACCTCACGCACAGCAGCTGCGGCTTCGTGCGTCCCACCGATACGTGTTACTGCAGGTTTCTCACTACAATCGGCACACAGGTCATAGTCGCATTCGGGGTTTGGACAATGGTAGTAGGATTCCCCAGGTTTCACGTACGGATCTGGCTTTTTCAGCACCAAAGCACAATGGTTGCAATAGACCATCTTTTTGTTGTTGGTATTAGATTTCAATGAATTACTTTTCGAAATCGAAGATGAAAATACTTACATTTATCTTGTTCGGGTTCGGGATTCTATTAGACTAATACAGTACTACTAGTAGCATGAACATAAGTACCTATGATATATATTTCTAATACTGAGATTGACATTGATCCTGACGGTTCGATTTCATCGATTGGTTCTTGTCGTGGCAAGAGGACAAAGTAAAACTTTTTATTGCATTTCCCCTTCTTGTTCAACATTACATCCCTAACAGTAGGAGGTTTCGCAGGAACGCCCCCTAGCGAGCATACTGGCGAAGGCGTGCCGGGTCTAGTATCAGGTTCTGAACTCTCGATCTCCGCATCCACAGGATCAGCCTCAGACGCATTGCTTGCCTCAGACATCTGAGTTGTTACAAAAAAAGAATACGATAGGGGCCGGGGCGACAGTCTCACAACGTACTTGTCGGTTCTAGTAACTGAAACTCTCTGTGTTGACATCTCGTCCATCTACTCCTAGGAAGTAATCGTAAGTACTTACAACTTCTACAGGTACAGGTTCAGCTTCGGTTGTATCACTACTAGTTCTTCTTTTTGAAATGAAAACAAGTCGTACCGTTTTCCGTTCCATCTGATGTAACCCGCGTGGGCAAAGTACGGCCTCGCTGATGTCTTGCACGACGCCTGAATCCGAGGACCGCGACACATGCAAAGCATCGTGCGCGGCCAGGTCAAACAGTGCTTTCTTCAGCTGCACTCCAAGACAGCTTTGCGAAGGAAAGGAGGTTGCAAACAAGAATGCTGTGGCTCCAACAATCGAAGCCGTCCTTTTTTTAATCGACACGGAACGAGATGGAGCAAGCATGATCTTGCTCTTTTTGCAGAGAGAGGAAGACAAGGAGAAGGGCATCTTGATGATTCTTGTGTTTGTCATAGTGTAGTTTCTATCTCGATGGAGTTCTTGGAGAAATAAATGTACAACTTAATTGACAAGAACAAGTTGGAGTAGACTACGAAGACAGAGACACTGCTCCTCTGGTTGAACGAGACTGTAGCGCCTTCTTATGATCCTGTAGTTTATTGCAGTCGCATAAAATCAGAAATAAAACCGAGACTTACAGACTTTCTGTTTCTTCTCATTATCAAATCACCGACTTCTTTATTCGCTTCTCGGCAAAGTAATTGTAATTCTCCTCGAGTCTGAGGTCAAGGGCTAGGTAATGCGTACTTCTTGTTGCACGATAGAAGAACACTAGCTTAGCATAAGCGGTTTGTAGACAGTCGTAGCTATCTTCTTCAGCTTTGATTTCTCTTTTGATACTATGTTGATACAGTTGTATTTATCGGATTGGCATCGGTGAAGATACTCGGTGGAACATGATACTTGGGTTTCGTGGAAAAAGGGCACGATATCATAGTTGGGTAGTACTACGAGTACACCAACAAAAAAGGAACAAGAGGAAGAGCACGACCTCCTTCTCCTCATCTTTATCCGATGTACGTGACATTTCCCGCCACGTCGAGTGTTGTGTCGTTGCTCCATGCACCGTAAACCGTTCCATCGCGATCTACTAATTCACCTTCCATAGTTGTAATACGTCCATGTCCCATAGTCCACACTTCGGTTGCTATGGCGCTCGCCAGCTCCATGTTGTGACACTGCAGCAAGACGCCACCGGGAAATTCGAGTAACGCGTCAATCAATGCCATGCGCATTTTAAATGAGGACACGACGTAGTCAAGATCGCTTATCACGAGTAGATGCGGCCGTGAGAAAGTTGCTACAGCAAGGAGAACTAAAGACTGCTCGTCTCGGGTTAATTCCTCTATTCTCAGACTAGTGCACTCCTCTGCGGCTAGTAAAGGGAACTGCCGGAGATGGGAGATAATATCAGGATCGCGGTCTGGCAGTAATATCTCTTCTACTATCTCAGTGTGAAGTAGTTGTGCGTGTGGTTGTGGTTGTGGGAGTTGTGGTTCACTTTGAAAATTTTGGGACTTGTTGGTGTGGGATAATTTATTGTTCTTGTGCTTGTGGTATCTTCCAATCATGTAAGTGAACACACTATCTTCTCGCAGCACCATAGCTTCGTAACCCATCTCCAACAGTGTCTCGCGTTTAACCCACGTCGCGGGCAAACTGCGCGATGACGACAGGTGGTCGCTCTCTGCTGTCGCATTTTCTCTATTCGCAGCATTGTTCTTGTTGGTTCCCCTAGGTGTGCTGGTGTTCACCTTCGTCGAGACAGCGGCGTCACTCACGCTCCTGTCAGTTCTTGGAGGCTGCTGAGACCTTGGTGTAGCAAATGCCTTAGGAAAAAGCCGCCTGACTTCTTCCGACAAGTTCCACACTTCCCAGTACACCAAGTATTCGTAAGTACTGCGCTCATAGCTTTGACTTTCATCTTCTTCATCATCCGAGGCAGTATCATATTCAACATAATTCCCTATTGTGTTTGTGGTCCCTTCGTATTTTTCAGGTATCTTACTAGGATGTTGTTCATCCGGTGACTTCAAATGAAGATTTTTGTGGACTGCTTCACGGCTTTCAACTTTTCGCCGTCGCATGAAGAACAATGGTTCCACGGGAATCGCTGGTCTCGCCTTTTTATCGTGCGCGCCATGGTCGACGCAAAAGTAGGTGTGCTTTTTATCCTTCCCCGTTTCCTCAACAAGCACCTCAGTTTTGTCTTCGCTGAGAACGAAGCGCACTGCCGTGTCCGACCCCAATAGCATTCGAGTATTAGAGATCTCCTCTCCCGGTCCGAATATGTTTTTCTTATGCGGCGCGTGACGGACGCTAATCGTCTCGCCCGGACCAAATTTCCTCTTTTGATTCTTCTGCTGTCTATTTTTCTTCTCACACATCTTACAGGGGGGACTATTAATGTTTGTAGATGATATCAGTGCTGTCGGATGATTTTTTATCCACTCCTCAATCTCTTCCTGTGCAGCATAGCCACGAACTTTACGTGCTTTTTCATGCTCCGTTTGTTCCTCCTGGCTATATCGTGCACTCCAGCACTCTTCGGCAATTGCACGGTCGAACACCATGATTTTGTCCTTCTCGTCAAGAACTTGTCTCACTTGTTCTTCTTCATGTCTTTGATGATGATGTCTTCCACTGCTAGGACTCGAAGCAGCTCCTCGTCCATCAACGAGATTTTCATCTTGAAGAAGTAGAAGCTGAGGCTGTGCAGAAGCAGACGAGGATGAAGAAGGCGACGCACAATTAGCTGCATGGTCGTGAAGACCCTGACCTCCACCGTCTGGTACTGGAGGTTGTGGCTGTAGCAGAGTAGAGGTGGACCGCCCTTCCGGAAATCGCCATGCGAGAAATTGAGCTGCTGTCTTTTCTTTGTGTTCCTCTAATTAAAGCTCAGCATTCAATGGTCATCATGATGCTGAACGGAAGAGCCCCCCTTCTTTCCCTTCGTTTTCCCCCCATCTTTCCTCAAGGGGAGGTCGCCTCCTCGATCTCAGCGACCAACCCCAATGACCATTGAAAGTTGAGCCTTAATCTAAAATCAGAGAAGCGTCGTAGCTAATCTCAGCAATCCGAAGCTGGGGATGCCGAAAGATCGTGCCACTCGTTGGCTCCACTCTACCTCGAATCAAGTCGACAAGCGAACGCAGACCGCAACCTCCTTTTCCATCTCCTTTCACCATCACCCGCGACGCGAGACACAGGCTTGCGCTGACTTCGCTCACTCGGTAGAAATGATGATCAGGAACAAGGTCCTGGTACGACACACGACCCAACTCCAGTATAGGCTCGTCCCTTGCGATTTGCCTGTTTGGATCGCACTCAAAACGTCGTCTCATGATGATCTTGCGCATAACAATATAAAGTAAGTAATCAAAATCAATATACCTAAGAAGACGCTTACTTACGTACGTCACTCAAAATTCAACAGGCGCCAGCGTCGGTAAAGGAAATTATGCCAACGACAAATTGTTTGAAATAAGATCCAAAAAACAAAGACAGAATATTGCTCGAAGTACTTCAACTTCTAGATGAAGGGGCTCATGCTACTTTTCAGCTCCTACTTTTTTAGCTGCTGCGGATGCGGTGCAGCAGTACTAACGACAATAAACAACGGCCTTCTGCAAGAGAAATCACTAGAGTATACTAGGCGAAGAGCGGGGACAAGAACGGCGGGAAGGGAGGTCTTTCTGCGCGGTTAAAATCATGACGCTCATCAACAATCAAATTTGCAGATGATCATGCTGGTCAGATTGCTAATCGTGATCTTAGATTCATTCCGGTTATATGAAGAAGCGCGAGCGCGACATGCAATCGCTACAGCATTAAAAGAACCCTGATTTTTTTACTCTCCAGCACACTGAGTCTTAAGAATTCAACGAACAACAGAATATGAAGAGAACAGAGAAAGCTAAAATCTCGTGTGACGACAGAATGGCGCGATAGCATCTCTATCTCTGACACGTAAATTCTTGTGCGCGAGGAGGAGAGTGATCACGAATGGTGATGACAGAAGCTTATGCTTCGCAACTATCAGAACTATCCAAGGCAGATAAAGACGTCGCGTTTTGCTTTTTGCAGACAACAGACGATAAGGAAGTGCAGATAAAGACGTCGCGTTTTGCTTTTTGCAGACACCAGACGATCGGGAAGAAGTGCAGATAAAGATATCGCGTTTTGCTTTTTGCAGACAACAGACGATAGGGAAGAAGTGCAGATAAAGACGTCGCGTTTTGCTTTTTGCAGACAACAGACGATAAGGAAGTGCAGCTAAAGACGTCGCGTTTTGCTTTTTGCAGACAACAGACGATAAGGAAGTGCAGCTAAAGACGTCGCGTTTTGCTTTTTGCAGACAACAGACGATGACGATAGGGAAGTGCAGATATAGATGTCGCGTTTTGCTTTTTGCAGACAACAAGCGATAGGGAAGTGCAGAGAGATACTTATGTAAAGATGTCGCGTTTTGCTTTTTGCAGACAACAGACGATAGGGAAGTGCAGATAAAGAAAAAGACGTCATCTTTCTCCTGTTGTACTATTTGAAGACATGCGTGACCAGTACTTGCCCTGATGATTCAAGTAGCGATGTTGCCAGTGCTCCTTCTAATACGCCACTGTAGCCTATTTCTTCGACCAGGACTACGAGTGCCTGAAGTTGGACTCCTCCTAGTAGTAGTACTCAGAGTCGGAGTTGTTGTTGAGGACGTTATCGCTGGGTTAGAAAGATGGATGGATGGATGCGTGGATGGATATCGCGGCTTTTTTCTCCATCTTCAACCGGTGGACGAGGCGGCCCTCTGCTTGATGTCGCCCCGTGCGCTTCTGCTGTAGTGCCTGTAGTAGCAGTAGTAGTAGTAGCAGTGGTAGTGGACACACCGTTTTGCCTTTGAGCTGTTGTAGATGTAGAAGGCGACCTCCCAGAAGACGAGGACGCCGATCTGACAGGTTGTCTTCGCTGAGAAGTAGTTGCAGACCTAGATGAGTTAGTAGATGGTCCTAATGTTGGTTCTGGTCCTTGATTCCTTTGTTCGTCTCCAGACGGCGGTTGTATTGTTGACTGCAGCTGCTGCACTCTTCGTGAAAATTGACGCGTCGTGGTGGACATGGTTCCACGACCAGTTGTTCTTGTTGTTGTACTGGATGCATTCGCCACCACTTCTCGTAGGTTTGTCGGGTTTGGTGATCCTGATGATAGCCGTAGTTCTTGTTCCGTCCTTGCGTTGCTAAAGCTGCTCCGCTGGGCCGCCGTCGATCCGCTTCGCGATGCTCTAGTTGTGTTTCTTCTTATTTCCTGATCTTGTCGCCCTTCAGGATCAGAACCACTACGCCCGTCTGGATCAGAGTGACCGTCTGAAAATTGTGATGCTTCAGTGGCAAACATTCGTTCGACAGGTGTCGTAGCCCAAGGTAGATGTCGCCCTCGTCCCCGGTTAACCAACGAGGACGTAATGCCTCTCATAGATGAATGCCCTCTTCGACTTCGACTTGATCTTGACGGTCCTTGTCGTGGTCCTGCACGATTGTTCTGCTCTGCAAGCAGATCCTCGGGGGACGAGAATATCTCCTGTCTTGAAGGCTCAACAATGTTGCCATTGGCAGAGTTATTAGCAGAAAGCAGAATGTTGCTTGCCCGACGGCGAGCACCATTGATGGTGGTGTCAACTCCAGCACGCTGATGGGGCATGGTCGCAGAGGGCGTCGGCGGACGAAGTTGCGTCGAGTTCGTTGTACTAGTTGTTGTAGCATTAATATTAGAAGTAGGCTCACTCTGGCGTTTCTGTTTCCCGTTTCCTATGCTTTTCTCCCTGAGGAGAGGCAAGACAAACGGTGACAGAAACACCTACTCCTAATGAAGCCTGCCCTTAATATCAGTAACGTGTACGCGATATCTTGTCCCGTTGTGAACAATTCTACCAGTAGTGGTACCCTGACCATCCTCCCGGAGAACTACAACCGCGCCTCGAAGATGTAGTGCTATTAGAGCTGGTCCTAGTGAATATGATAGGCTTCTGTAGGAGCGGGAAGTCCGACAATACTTTTCCTAGTATTCCTAGTACCACTTACTTTCAAAGCCGCACCAGTTGCACTTCTCAATCAAAAAAATAGTAGACCTATGCTAACTACTACTAAAAATATGCATGTGAGAGTAAGTACTTCTTAAAATCGAGCGAGGCAACGAGCTAACAAACACAAACTGCAGTAATAACAAAAAATATGATCTATATGACGCCAGCCTTAAAGGTGGAACTGGCGCCGCGTTTGCGGTTGACTCGTCCATAGCCGCGTCGCACCAGAGCAAGGTGTCGCGGAGACGCCTCATCATGGAAAAGACCTCTTCTCCTTCGGGAAAATAATCTTCGACAGAACTCTCGTAATCAGAAGGGTCGACAATTGGAGCACTCGAGCTTTCCTCTTGATCCAGATGAAGTAGATCAGGAGTCGGCGGAGGAGGTGCAGCTTTATCTTAGAAGACGAGGTTGAGAAAAGGGAATCGTTGACCGCATATATATGGAAGAAAAAACGAACTCAGTCAAAAAAGTTTAAAATTTCGAAGCACAGTGGGCGAGTCGGGGGCTCCTGATCCACCTTAAGTACTAGCGAGTAAAAAAATACGTAGAAGTAGCTTAGGATAGGTCTGACGGGCTACTTTGTTTTTCAAAGGCTTTGCATCCCATTTTTGTCCTCCTGGGTAGCTGGTGGGGGTCGTCGATGGCGTCATCGATAGCATCCAAGAGCCGCCGACTCGCCCACCATGCTGCGAAATTTTAAACTTGTGGGACTGAGTTCGTTTTTTCTTCCATAATAATGATGAGAGGACTAGATTGTAGGTCGTTTAGGATACTAACCCCTGCATTAAGTTTAGTGATTAAAGACGAGGTTGATTGTGGTGGAGATGGTCGTGGGAAGAGAGGAAGCGTATATGTTGAAACCTGTTACGTTTTAATTTTGACCGATGAAGTGAGGGATGTGGTCAGGGTCCTGGGCCATAAGCACCACCTGCAGCCCAGGACTCCCGGCACGAGGAGAACAGGGGCCAACCTATAAATTATCCTCGAGATGTTTTTCTTCCACAATAAAAATCAAAATGTTAATGAAGTGTCACACGACTCGCGGTAGCGACTGTTGCTCACGCTGTAGGTCATGCCAACCCTTAGTGATCTAGATCCAGCTGATCAAGCGGTCGCGTTCGTCTACGCTGTGTGGACTGACGTCTGGCGACATTAACCCGACGAGGCTCGACAGGGAATCGCGCATCAAGGTATCGGCTTCGCCTGTGTTCTCTGCTATCCAGGCTCGAAGACATTGCATTTGCATCTTCGTGCTCGTCTTGTACTTCTTGTTCGATGCCTTGGTCTTGCACTAAAGCACTGAACATTGTATCATCTTCGGAGGGCGAGGACTCGTCGCGCACACCCAACACGCCAGGGGGTTGTACTTCTGTTGCTGTTCCTGCTACAGATGGATCATTTCGTAGTTCTTCTCCTTCATCCACAACATCTTCAGAAGGCGACGCCGGCGTTCTTGTACTAGTGTCTGTTCTCATTTCTCGAACTTCACTTCTCCTGGTGCTTGTTTCCCTTTCGCGAGTAAAAAGAGCAGCACCTGCAGATGAACTTGGACTTCTTCTTGTTTGTTCCCGCCCACCTGCATCAGTTGTACTAGAGCGTAGGCCGCCAGTTCTCCGACTAATTATATTAGAGCTCACCCTAATCCATCTTGAAGCTCATCCCGAGACGAGACCTTTTTCCCCTTGAAAAGCCTACTCAGGAGGATGCTTCACGAAATGGATTAGGAGAATCCTTAAGATTAGCTGCTCGTTGAAAGAGGAAAGAGGAGGCAGGACGCCATAGCTGGCGACCTCCAACCGCACTTGACGAGGACGGCGACGCTGGTGCTGTTAATCTCCTTTCATCGTCATGGTCTCGCAAACTCACGGCGCTCTCAGCCCGCGAACGGCCAGGTGCAGCTATTTCGCGACTACCTGTAGTTTCTCCGAGGTATCTTCTTCCTGATAAAATGTCCGCTCCAGACACTGCGGTGCGTCCGGACGCGCGAGGATTGAAGACCGGCGTAGTATCAACTACAACTTCTGCAGTACTCTCCCTTGTACTTCTTGTACCAATTGCAAAAGGATTACGAGCGGGACTAAATAAAGTCGTTCTCGTGTATGCTTCGCTTCCATCAGCGGCATCGTTTTGCCTACGAATATCTCCTGCGGCACTTGGTGCAACCCGCCCACGTGCGCGACGTCCCCGAAGCCGACCAAAAAAATTAAAAATTCGACCAGAAGCAGAAGACACAGCACTAGCTCTACCTCCGTCAGCAGATGAATTTCTTCTACTTCTACCAGAAGACACAGCACTAGCACTACCTCCGTCAGCAGATGAATTTCTTCTACTTCTACCAGATGACACAGCACTAGCACTACCTCCGTCAGCAGATGAAGATGGTGGACGACCAGCAAGGACCTCATCTACAACATTCCGCTCCTCCTCATCCGCTTCTCCTGACCGTTGTGGATTCGCTAGGTCATGGAGTTCCTCATTTGATGTTTCCTGAAGATTATGATCCCCAACTTCCTCGCCTAGACGAGTTCGAGTGCCTCTTCTTGGAGCCATAGTACTACTACTTTCTGAGTCAAAAGTTGTAGTGGCTTCACTATCACTTGTTCTTCTGTGTTCATCTATTGCTGCGTTTCGTCGATGCGCTGGTAGATCTGGCTGCCTTGTTCTTGTTGCGACAGTTGTTCTTTCAGTAGCCCGTAGGCCGTTTTGCGAGGGAAAGGTAAATCCTTCGAAGCCTAGAGACTCCAAGAGTCGCGTGAAGTAACGCGGCGCGAAGACCACACCCGCGGGCTGCCGACACAAAGCACACTTGTAGACAGCAGGCATGCCTTTTCGCGCCACGACCTGTGTCAAGGCATGAGAACGAATGCACGCCGTGTGAAATTGGTGACCACATGGAAACGTCGTGGCACGGCCCCCTTGAGGAGCAGCTGCGCGGTCTCCTCCTTGTTTTCCCACAACTGAACTGGTCGTCGTCGTCCGTCTTGTTTCAGTCTCATGTTGATTTCCACCATCTCCTGACGTCAAAGTTAAGCCTGCACTAGCACGACTAATTGCTGTGCCCGACCTTTCGGGAGTTGGAGGCTGCGACAGTGCATTTTTCAGATCGTTCTTGACTCCTTTCCCAGCACTGAGAAACATCAACTATCAAGTCAAGAATATTAATAGTGAAGCATGCACTTTACGGCAACCCTTAAAGAAGAGTAACCACCTAAGCGTGTTGTAGCTCTGCTATCAGCAGCCGAAAACATATCTGCTTCCTCACAGTCGTGTCCTTCATCGCTAGCCAGTAGGATCCATGGCTTAGCTGTAGTTGCTGTAGTTGATTCTCCGTTCCAGGATGAAGGAGATGGTATTGGCATAAGATAAACAGGAGGTGGATTTGGTTGCCGCTTAGCGCCCTTTCTGCGTCGCTCCGTATACAATGCACCACTGAAAACTTAGCGACACCGAGGACATCAATCCATCACTTTTGAAACATCTCTCAGAGGTTTTCACAAGTGGAAAACGGCCGGAAGATGTTGCTGAAGATGAATTGGCGTTATCCGTAAAAATTAACCCTGTCTTCATGCGACGCGCTATAATCAGACGCTGGAGTTGACAGTCCAGAACGTCCACGACCTCCACTGTTGTTTACTGCGGCACCTGCATCTTCTGCTATATTTGAGTAGTTCAGGTCCGAAGCGATGCTGCCTGTCAATGTCCCAGGTGGCAGAGTCGATTCACCTTCTCCGACGCCTACAACTGTAGCTTGAGGTTCTATGCGGTCCAAGCAGATTGCACATATGCAGTCGTCCTCTGACGAACTACAGGAACACGAATGTAACATTTGACTTCGGGGGACACCAACTACTAAATCGTCGTCATCATGTACATCATGTGCGTGCTTCAACACAGAAGACGCAGTATCTTCAAATATTAAGGCAGCTGCATGATCGTGAGCGTTGTCTACTCCATCTGCAGCAGCAAGGGCATCAGCGTTACTGTCTGCACCAGACGAGGGGGGCGAAACCACTTCACCAGCGCCTGCAACGAGCACTGCAGGAAGAGACGACAAGGTGGAGCGGCGAAAAAGTAGCGTGCTGAGGTGGATTCGCAAAACAGTTACGAGCCCTACCATGTTCTTCATCTTCACTCGTCTGGCACACGTCACAAGGTCTTCTATCTCTCTGAGACGAGAACGAGGACTAGTATCTATTTTTGGATAGGATAGGAGTTGACTCACCGTCCACACCAGTTTGACACCTGTATCCTCGGGTGAATATGTGTAGCCGCAGAGGGACTTCTACCAAAAAGAGGGACTTCTTCGCCATGGCTCCAGAAGATCTCCGCTTGGGCAAGGAGAAGATCTTCACGAAGACGATGATCCATACAAGTACAAGTAGAAGAGACAACATAGAGGACAGCAGTGTCCTGAACACAGATAGAGAGGACACAAGTGCACAACAGAAAATTGCACATGGCTGATCTACAACTTCAAGACTGTACATCAGGAAAAAACATGAAAAAACATGAAGATGAAGACGCGTCGAGAACTACTTTATTGGCTGCGAGCACAAATTTGAATCAGGTTCTTATCATTCATGTTGATCCTCTAGCGATGTAATTAGAGAAGATGTGCTGACGAAAAGTGTAATTATCGAAATCTTCATTTAGTGTACTCTTATCAGTAAATAATGAGAGCGGTATTGATAATCACAAAAAATGGGAGTCACAACATGACATAACCGATGAATCACAACACTTATCAAGGTTTACAACACCCTAAGGCGAACACGAAGCCTTCTACAGAAATTGATCCTTCCATCGTGTAATATATCCAATAAAGCCATGTTATATATATTTATTATAATATAATATCACCATTGTGCAGCTGCAGGTGCCCTCCGGCAGCCACCTCTCAGCGCTAGGCCGCCTGCGGCCTGGACAATAAAAAACTGGAAGCTGAAAAAACTAAAACACATATTATTAAGCGAGAATGACAAAGAGAAAGATGACTAACAAACTATGTATCAACATATTGACATTCATATGTATGATATTCTTTTTTCTTAGGCGGGAATCTATCTGCTCCTTTGTTCACGATCCTCTCCTCCATGTCCACCTAGACGCCCACGCTTTCGTACGTTATAGGAAGCCAGACAAAACGAAGTGGAGGCGCTCGTTATCCCTTCGCGGTGCTACGACCTCGCCTGCTCGTGGCGCGGTAGAAACGTCTTCGCAAGGAACGTCGTCCATGATTCTTCTAGTCTTTGGATCGTCCTTCGTGTGGTTTATTTTTGATTTTTGATCATGATCAGTGTAGGTATTGTTAAGCAAGGAGGTTCTACTAGAAGTTGTACTTCCCTGTCGCGCTATCGGCGTCTTCTCTGCTGATTGTGGCTCACCTCGCGGCTTTCCGAACTGGTGAGGAGCGCCCGCACTCGTTTGGTTCGCATAATTAGTCCATGAGGCATGCCTATCAGAAGATGGAGTTGCTGATAGCATTCTTGGAAGATTGTCGTCCTCAAACTGATGATCGCGGTTGTGACGCTCTTGTTGCGTTCCTGAATTCCTCGAATCCACATTTTCTTCGTCGATCTGCAATAGATACCGTTGGTTCTCATTCTGCGCTGCTAGTGAGGGAAGTAAAACCATCGCGTTTTGCAACATTCTCCCCTTGAAAGCCTGCGCGTGCGCTCTTAGGAACAGAGATGTTGAGGTCCAACTTAGGGGGAGCAAGCCCGCACGCAACAGTGCACCAACAAATGGTCGCAAGAGCGCGCGAATGAACGCCTTCATCAACAAAAAGAGTCGCCGAGGCCGTCGCACCATGAGCCACCACCATGACAAAAGCGCCATAAACGTTGCGCGTATGGGCGCAGTTTTTCGGCTAATCATGTTCATTATCCTTAAAGCTACGAGTCGTGGCCCACTCGCATCCTGTAATTCTTGCTGTCTTTGCTGATCTACTCCTGTTCCACCTTCTTGTTGAATTTGATTTTGACCAGCACCTTCTGTTCCACGTCCGGCAGAATAAAACCGCTGCACCCAGTAGCGGTAGGCTTTTCCCAGAAACTCCCTGTGCGAAGCAGCGTACGGATAGACCAGCAGTTTGACGCATGTACCCACAGCAGCAGTACTCCGACTACCGCGGAGCAAATAACGGTTGATTTTTGCACGAATGCGCGTTCCACGGCAGTATTCCCGCAAAAATGTATGTCGGACCACTTGCATGGCGTCCGAAAGTCGACACTTCACGTCCCTTGTCAGTAGCTTCTGCACCAACTCCACCGCATCCTTGCCAGCTTTGTCCCAGAACCGCGCCTCGCGTATCGTGCGCCCAAGAACCAATTTCACATCGCCAGAAGATTTGCCTCCGATCGATCTCGATCTCGACACTGTATGTTGTTTTTGATAATAATTTGTGGTGGAGCCGACCTAACTAGAAAAAAGACAGACCAGCGGAAGATATAAAAGAGAAAAGGGCCACTATCATCAAGTTGTTTTTGATAAAAATATAAATTTGAACAATATCAAACGTGAAATGTTGTTGAAAACACATGAAGAAAATCCCCCGGTCATTCTTCAAAATCAAACCATCTGCATCTAATAAGAGAGCAACTGATTCAAGAGGACGAGCATGAAAAGTTGTCTTACGGTTGTTAAATGACATGACCATTCGAAGACCATGCATCATTCTAAGTCATCATGATCAGCATCAGTGCATCTTAATCTCAAATAATTCGAAGAGTAAGGTTTCCGTTTCATCAAATTGTAAGTAGTTTCATTTTCATATTAAAAACTTTTAAAATGAATACGAGATCGAGTTGTGGCTCCTCTCCCAGGAGTTGGTGCTGGTTCCACCTCACCCGTCCACAACACAGGATCCCAGTGCATATCTCGTAACATCTCTACGGATCCGACGTCAAATGGCGTGGCGCCTGCAATCAGTTCGTAGTATATCGTACCAAGCGCCCACAAGTCGGAAGCCGGGCTGTATTGCCGCCTTGATAGGACTTCTGGTGCCATATTGCAAAGGGTACCTACAAGATTTTTGTTGCGCTCCCCTTCCTGCTCGCGTCGAGGACTTCCTTCGCCCACGCACACGCTTGTTTCGCGTTTATGTTCTTGCTGCTCAAAATGATCAAAAAACGCTCCGACACCTTTTGCTGAAGCAACCTGTGCAACCACTGTTCCAACTATGGCTCTACTACTTCCTCCGGAAGATTCTGGTGCTTTCTTCAGCTGGTTAGTACTCCTCTTTTTTTTGCGAAGATTGGAGGTATCTTCCGATGAAGCTGAGCAGGCTGATGAACCGTCAGCCTGTTCTTGTTTAACAGAAACGGAGCAGCCGCTATGGTCTTTCGCTGATGGTTGACGATGATCTTGAGGGCCCAAACTCTCGTCGGGAGATGAGTGATTTGCAGTTGCACCAGTTGCGCCGGCATTCGTTCTTGTACTAGAAGCTACAACATTTGTACTATTTGACTGTTCGAGGCCTAGGGCTGCAGGTACAAACGGATCCTCCCCTGCAGCGAGAACTACATGTGAAAGATCTTCTGTGCTGCCGAGGAGACCTGCTTCATCTCGCCTGCCCACTCCTGCAGCGCGCGCCAGCCTCTCTTCTTCATTATCGTCGTGCAACGACGCTAGCCCAAAATCCAACAACACTAACTGCCTCAAACTGGGGTCCCGGAACTTGAAGTTCTCTATCTTCAAATCTCGGTGGATCATCCCCGCAGCATGCACCACCGCAACAGCCTCTGCCATTTGACCCATTAAACGACGCAGAAAGTCCAGATTTAACACTGGATCTCCCTCCCACGCGCCGAAACCTGGATCAACCAGGTGGACATCATCTTGCCTCGCGGCCCTTGCAGCCTTGTTCGTTCTCGAGTCTCTCGATGAACTAGATGTTCTTCCACCTGGTGCTCCCTCAGGCGGATCCGGATTATGCTCCCTTGATGTTCTTTGTTGACCTCCTATGCCAATACTACCCAGACCAGGAGTACTACAACCAGGTGGCTTCTTGTTGTAGGGGATAATTGGACTCGCATAGGTTGCGCCGCCAACTAGAATGCCTTCATCTGGCAAACAAGGGGAAGAAATTCCGCCGCTACTTCCCCGCTCAGATACCGACACACTGCCTGAGGTGCGACTCGACGCTCCTGTAATATTTTTAGACGAAAACATGTCTCCAATACCAACGTGCGCAGATCCAGATGATCCTGTACCTCCAGGTTGAAGGAGGACCCCTTTCGTGCTGCTAGAACTACTAGCGGAGCTAGATCCTGTGATGCGGTGCTCTTCTCCCGCGGAAGCCAGCTTCGAACCAGTGCTGGTGGTCATGATCGCAGTAATGTTCATCATGTTTGTGGTATTCATATCTCCATGTCTATTACCATTTGATGTTCCAGTACTGCTTCTAATACTAACTGTATTTTCCCCCCCTGCGTCGACACTGCCTGTCGCCCTCTGCTGCTCTCCTTCTGGGAACAATGTTCTGCTGGTATTTGTTGACGTTAAGCTCCTGCGTTGTGCTCCGGGTGCCTCTCCTCGCCCAGCCGAAAAACTATTTCGTGTCATGAATGACGATCCCATGATATTTTTGTGCTGGTCGCCGGTAATGCTGGCTGAGTGATCGCCGCCGGACGTGACGCCACTTTGTTGCTGCTGCACAAGCATACCTCGGAAGCCTCTCCTGGCAACATTACGATCTCCAGTTGTCGTGTCAAAGTCACGGTTGAGAGAGACGAATTTGCTTGGGGAAACGAGCGATTCTGACGAATACAAATCACGCCGCATCTTCTTCCTTTTCACATTGTTTTTAATATTGCCTTTATTTCTCGTTGCTGTGCTTCTGATCATGTTCATGTTGTTAATACCCATGATCTGTCCAAGGAGAGTTGTTGTACCATCATGTCCGCCTGTGCGCCCTAACCCTAGCATTAGAAGTGATGGCCTCGTGCCCCTATAAGCTTCTTGTTGAGTTGTATTATGCTCGTCCTCGTCCCCATCCTCTGGGTCCTCTGAGGACTCTGTGCCCGAGGATGAAATGGCTTCCCACAGACTCTTACTTCGCTTTCGGGCATTAGACACCTCGGCCGGGCCTGAACGGGCTCGCGAGGCACTTTGCAGGTCTGTTGTCGAGGAATCTTCTTGCAGCAGGAGGGGTTTTCGTAGTGGGCACGGAAGCGAAGGCTGCACAGGTAAAGTGGACGCAATACAGGGAGAACCAAACAACTTATTTTCTCCTTGATTCTGATGTAGATGTTCCTCTTCTTGTCCTGCTAGTCCTGCAGAAGATCGTTGTTCTAGTTCTTGCACTTCTTTATCATCTGCACTTAGCTCATCGGGAAGTCCGCGCTCGGGCTCAGGTTCGCCACGGCTGCTGGCGCCGCGACCATGAGTTGCCAAATCATCATCCTCAAGGTTATTTCCCGGAGGGCCACCTTGACCTTCTCGATGCTGCAGGTTGCCCAATGACAGCCTCAAGAGTGTAGCATGTTGCTGCATGTGCCCTCTGTCGATATCCTCTTTTAAAGCTCAGCATTCCTTGGTTATCATGACTCTGAACGGAACGAAGAGACCCCCTGCAAGGCTCTCGTCCCCTTTCCCTTCATTTTCCCCTGTAGTTCTCTCAAGGGGACCCTCTTCGATTTCAGTGACCAACCTCTATGACCAATGAAGGTTGAGCCTTAAATGTTGCTGCATGTGCCCTCTGTCGATATCGTCTTGGCTTCGATTCGCCGGCTCGTGTAGAGGAAGCTCATGTTGATGGTGGGGATCACCTCTTTGACGTCCATGTCCTCGACTTGGCACATTTTTCGTACACGTTGCTCCACCTCCAACATGATCGTTACGATGGTAACCACCGAGATAGCCGAGCATATGCCCGACATTTCCTCCACCTGCTGTTCCTTGATGAGGTAGTTGATGAGGTAGATGCTCATCATGATGAACAACACCGTGCTCCTGCTTTGAGGAGCTTCTGTTTTTCCGCGAGGACGTTCTGTTTCGGACAATTTGTGCGCTGCTGGCGCTACACTGACGCGACGTCGAAGAGAGAAACGAGCCCGGTTTCGGAGGTAGTACTGGTAACGAGTGTCGTCTTTTCTCTGCCACACCCTTTGCGTCGCTGACCATCAACTTCGTAAGCACATGCTCTAATTGGTCGAAGAGTCCATGCACAGCACTGCCTACTGCACCCTTGAGACCTCCTCCCATCTGCTGTCGTCGATCCGAAGCTGCTGGGTCCTCTAAGGAATTCCACGAACCTCTATGTCCATGTCCACCTCTACTGGCGTAATTATTGTGACCATCTCCATCTTCTGGACCCTGATAGTTAGCGGAATCCGTGAAAGCATAGCCGTAATCGTAGCTAGTCGTGATGTTGTACTCGAAACTACTATGACCATGTTGATGAGACTCGTCTCCGCCTGAATGAGCACCAGCACTGTGAAATCCTCTATGGAAGGAGGACGCTGGGGAAACCTGGTAATCGTAATTGTAATAGCCCATACTAGTACCACTAACATGTTGTTGTTGATGTTGACCTGCTGGTCCTCCAGGAGAAACAAAAGCACTCGGAACTCGGCTGGGGGTAAAAGGAGCAGCAGCAGTAGCACCGCCATTTTGTTGATGGTGAAACTTGACATTTTCATAAATCATCGTTCCTCCAGAAGTAGCACGACCTCCACCTCGTCCTGCGACAGCGCCAGGTACTCCAAGAACTACTCCTTGTTGTTGTACATCAACTACGCCAGTGCCAACATGCTGATTCATCATGTTGTTAGGAAAGCGTGATGGATTTGGGGACGATGCTCCACCTCCCATGCCTGGTCCCACCCCCCCAAGAACAACTCCTTGAGCAGTTGTTCCCATAGCTGCAGGAGCCAAAGCAGAGTTGGCCGCGAGAGAGCCCTGGCCATAGTATTTTCCGGCGAAATGCTTTGACGAGCCTCGTTTCGGTACCTTTCTAGAGGAAGAGTCCGCTAGAACTTGTCTCAAGTCTGGACCGCGTAGTTCCTCCATCAAGATGTACATTTTCTTCGGTGGAGCCGGCGAAAACGAGGTAAAAGATGAAGACAGTTGTAGTCGTGAAGATGTAGTGCCACCACTGGAGACGCTTTGTTAGAGCTCACCCGAATCCATCTTGAGGTTCATCTTGATGAAGCTGTGCTCATCTCCCTTATTTATGGGACAGCTCCGACCAAGATGCTTCAGGAGATGGACGATTAGCGTAAGTCGTAACTTTGATGTTGATCTAAGAAGAAATCTAGATACTTCACAACGCAAGGGCTCAGGTATCGCAGATCAAGCAAGGTGTTCAAGTGGCGCAAAGTGCGCTCTTCGTTGCCGTAGAGCAAGAGAGTCGGACTCTTCTTTCCTTCCGCTCCTACCACTTTCACACACAGATCCCGATCATAGATTCTTCCTGCATTCGCCCCTCCATCTACATGTCTATCATCTCCACCTCTATGATGATGGTCACACTTTTTGGCGCTACTGCGTCCCCTAGAAGTTGTAGTACTATCCGTCTTGGAGTTCTTAGAAGCGATATAATTGGAACTTCTAATCATCTTGCGGTCCTCCTGTTCTCTTGTAGCTGCGACGTCCCCTTCTAAAGCATCTGGCGAGCCTTGCTTTGACGTCGCTGGGTGCTGCCGAGAAGAGGCTTTGCGTAATCGCAGACTTGAAGACGCCGACGGACTTCTGCTGCTATCTCGCGAGACGACACGATCTGGCGTCTCTCTATTCTGGCTTTCGCTCCGTATGTGTGCTCCGCCTGGAAGGGGAGATGTGGTTGGACCTCCCTCTCCACTCGCAAGAACTTCCTTGTTCGATGCCACTTTCGGGGAAGATGTGGTTGGACCTCCCTCTCCACTTGCAAGAACTTCCTTGTTCGACGCCACTTTTGTTCGCGTTGTAGTGAGACTACTAGCAGACGACGTACTCCTCTCCCTTTTGTTCGCATAGTGAGCAGACGCGGTCGATGAGCTCGTCCGCAGGCCGCCTCTGCCCTCAACATCTTCGCGATCATCATCTGCGTCTTTCCTTAGAGGTAGTTCTGTGAAGCAGTGGGCAGGTGGAGGCTCAAGAACATTCATCCGTTCTTGCTTTGTGTTCTATGCAACAAGATGACTTTTTTTTAGTAGAAGTTACAAAATGAAAATAAATTTGAGGCATTAGTTAGTGGTTGAGCATGCTTGTTCTCCTGACTCTGACAGAACCAACTTATCTACAACTAATTGTCTACCGCAGTAAGGAAATAACTACTAGTCGTCACAATAACAAGGAATTTTCATAATTTTCATCAAGTGATAAACACGACGCTCCATCGCGACCTCGATACTGACAACTACAACCTACCACCTCTTCATCACATTTTTCTACACCTTAAATTTACTATTTCAGCTCCGTGAATACGGCGCTCTTCACAGCGGTAGACTGCACCAAATCCACCGAATCCGATTTTTTTCCCGATCGCATAATATGTCTGAAAGTCACGCCCATCAGCGAAGGCGGCAAAGCTTTCGAGGTGGTGCGGACTTCCCTTACTGCCACCCCGAGCATCACGGTACGAACCACCAATCATTTTGATTTTGATTTTTGAAGAAGAACTTGAACTTTGTCTGACTCTGAGTTTCACTTTTTCTCTTTCAACATCAAGAATTAGAAGAACAAGAAGTTTGTTATTTAGTAGAAGATGATGACTTCATATTCATGTACTTGATCAATCTAGGAAACCCCCACTGAACAAGAAGCCGATAATTCAGTGTCAATCACGATGCTCGTCACTTTGAAATAACCTGAAGATGAAACTTCTTTTTCTTAATTGATTAACAAGCGCGTCTATGTATCTGTAGTAGTCGCTCCTAGGGAAAAACTCAATTTTATAGCGGATAATCAGAAATTATGCATTTTTTCGCCATTTTTCATGGAGGAAAATGGTAAGAGGAGAAAGATTAGGCTGGCTTACGACTACGAGGGTTGTATTAAATTAAAATAGCAATTGAAAACGTACTCTTTTTAGTCACAACTAAATGCTTGTAGATCGTCGTAGTCGCCGCTGACATGCGCGAGGAAAAATCAATAGTCGTGTTGATCTTGAGGGGAAATCCATGCGTAATCAAAAATATTGGGCCTAGGACTGGGTCATGCACTAAAATCACTGCATTCATTCATTCATTCATTTACCTGTTCTGGAGGTATCTTTTGACGCTGAGCGACATCTCCCCTTCCTGCAGAAGAGTAAATCACAAACATCGATCAGAGTGCTTTATTTTCACCAAATGCGTACTTATTCTTATCTAGTCCTAGTGTTAATGCTACTATATTAAATGGAAGAAAGTAGAGGGAGATTGGAACTCATAGCGTAAGCTGGTTCTTCCTCTTGATTATGTGACAAAAGAATGTGAATGGACATCTGACTGTTGCCACCATGTCGACCATAACGTCAACAACTGAGTACTAGAGGATCTCGTCTCACTCGTGGTAATTTACCTTGTTGAACACAGACCAATGATTAAACCTATTAAGGCAGAGAACTTAATATTTATTAGGTTCGCATCACTTTTCCCTTCTCGTCTTCGACATCTTCTGACGAAGATCCTCACTTCTTGAACAAGTGGAACAACATTACGACCATGGAGGCGTGAAGACCGCGTTCTAAAGGTTTCTATATGCTGGAGATGATGAAGAGGTGGATATACGTACCTCCCAACGCTGGGTCCTCTTATAGATACTTATAATTGGTGGAAATCGGCATCGAGCTGGTTATATTCTACTTAGTCGCGACTCTTGTTCTGTTGCACTCTGTTCAAGGAGCCTTGACAAAGGAGTCTTGGACTCCCACGCATAGAAATATTCGTCGTTTTGATCCATCTTCCTTGTCTCTTGTTTAGGAACGGCTGGTGTTCGATATCTTTGTGACTGGTGGATATCTATGGACATACTTAGAAAGAAGTACGTTGTTTTGAAGTAGGTGTACTAGGTGAAAGCAAAAGCAAAAGTAAATAAATTCATCTATGTGAGTATCTGTTAGAGAAGTTAGTGCTTGATAGACATAAGTTACTTGATCTGCTTTTGATGGTAAAAACTGATGAAGCATCTATTAGCTGAAGGAGTCACTCAAGTCAATACTTGATGCTCAACAACATCTCAATCTCGTGTCTAAAATTGGATCCGACACGGAGAGGACGCGCGGACTCGTGTTTAAGCGTCTCTACTTCGCTCCTGCCGCTTTCGCTGGTGGCGCCTTCACTGCTGTCAGGCCAGCTGCTTTGGGTTGCGCCGCGGTGTGTAATGAAGCAAGAACAGTTGTATGCAATATGGGAAAAATATGACTTTGAATGAGCACGCAGTATTACCTACGTTCTTCAAATACGCAAGCACGTGGTTGTGTCGGATACAAGGGCTACATCTGTCGCACGAATCTTGTTCGTTTTCATTCCTTCTACTTAGAGCCATATTTTTCCGGCTTGCGAGAGATGAAAAGGTGTATAACGACCACCCCCGGTGCTCGACGTAAGCGCGTCGCCATCTGCACCGACAAGCGCAAGGTCACCCTTTGTCGGTAGACTCTTAGTTAGATGAGGTTGCAGCAACATTTTTGCACTTTCTCAAACAAACATCAACCCTGACTTCTTTCCTACTGCTATTGGAAGACAAGAAGTCTAGAATGTTGCTAGTGAAGAAAGTAATGCTAATGTGGTGTTAACTTATTCTCCACATGTACAGGCTTGAAGCCGCCACCAAACATCTTCTGGATGGCCACTTCTTGCTTGTCCTCTGCTTTGTCCACCTGGGCAGGCAGCTGAGTAAAGTGGGAGGGTCGTGTGGAGATCGATATCATTATCAAATTTGATTTCGATAAATATGATCAAATAGAGCTACATAGACAATAAAATCACTCGTCTAAGTCTCGGTCGCACAAGAAACCTGCGACGCAGACAATCACACTCCAAAAACAAATCCGCTTTCGTTTTCCTAAAAACCTCCATCCAAAAACAATCAGCAACAATCAAGTAAGTACATCCGGAATCGCCACTTCCACTAGTATTTTTGCGAAGATAAGAACGTGTTCAAATATGAGGAAACCGCAGAGCTTTGTCTGTGCGTCCAACTCTCGAAATGGAGACATTGCGAAAACGCCTAGCCCTGCGTGAACTTAGATGAGAGCCGAGTGGTTCGTTTAGGTTGAAAGTGTAACACATCAAGTTTCAATCATTAGCAAATGAAAAGCATCGAGTTAGAAGGCCAGACAAAACCGAGACCACTGGAGGATGGTCATACATACAAGTTTGATTGCCGCCCTGCTAAGCAGATGCCACATCATCAAAATCAATAAACGACGTAGATAATATCTTCAAGACCTGTATAACTAAAAACTACTAGTCGCTGATATCTCCAAATGCTAGTCGCCGTAATTTACTATAACCGCCATTGTTGCTATCGCAGCGAAAATACTTTGCCATGCTCCAATATTCTCTGCACCGCTAGGATACACTCGCTGCACCACGAAAGTTAGGAGATAATTCAAACAATAAAGGAAAAGGCATGCGCATGAATCGCATAGGGGATGCATGAATAATTTGCATCAAGGGATAGCCTAAAAGTAGAAAGAGGAAAACAAGCCGGCTGTTTAATTAAGTGCTTTGAGCGTCGCTGGACCTAAACCTTCGCCGTTTTACGCGCAAAAGCCAATCAAGATTTGCAGCAAAGCCTCTGACCATATTAAGGGGAAAAGGCGTGAGTAATAGCATGATAGGTGTACAAGTACTTCAAGTGAATCAATCATGGTCCTACTTAATTGCGATTACACAGAGTACTACTTCAAATTCATCTTCATGTTCAAAGAGAAGGAACATCAACAAAAATGTGTTCAGTTTCAATGAGTCGTTCTTCACCCTGAGGCCCATAAAAATAGCTGTCGATATGCGATGACGCGGAACTCTATCATATTCGACAGGAGCGCCAACACTGTGAGCGCGGGAAGGACAACCGAAAAGCACGCTTAGGGCTGTCCGATATTCACCTTTGATGTGCTGCATTCTTGAACCGTACACCGACGAGAATACTCAGTCACATTTTATTTCAGGGATGCTCATCTCAATCTCAAAGGTGAATTAAATCTCGAGCCTTAACACGTGACCATGGCAAATTGGACTGTCAACTCCATGTAGTCATCTAGCATTGCCGCAGACGAAAAAGCGTCTGTCTTCGCCTGGACTTGCAAATACGTATAATTCGCGCTATCGATACCTGCGAGAAGTGGAAACAAAAGGAAATAAATTATTCTCAACATACAACCATTTGGAAAAAAGTTATTCTCAACCACGGACAGGAACAAGATCATGAATCCCTTGAAGATGCATGATTTCTTTGAGAAGGTATAGTTGACCACGTCACTAACTCTAACATCGTTTGTTAACAGGAGGTCCTCTACAACCTACTTGATCCTAGACATAGAATTTTTGTTAGCCAAGCTTACGCTTTTTTTATCAAAACAAAAATATGTCGAGTTTACCCGGTTTGGTCATCTCCTGCCGTATCGCGAGTCGGGCTGTCACTATCCTCTTCGTCAACAAGGCAAATGTTACGCCCAAATGCACAACGAAAAAGGTCGTGATACACGTTTCGAGAGCAAATATACAACTTCCGGCAGGTCCTGAGCACCCCTTGTCTTAGAAGAACTTTTAGTTCTATGAGAAATATGTTGATCGAATGAAGTATCCGTACTAGTATATCCATTGCGTCGTGATTCTTCCAAAATACATCGATGAATTTGAGACAAGGTGGAAAGAACGCAAATTTCTCACTGGTAAATCGTTCCTACAAAAATGGATACAACATGATAGATCACTAGCTGCAACTTGTTCTTTAGGGCGACGGGAAGTAGAAGGACCCAAATAATAGTACAACAAACGAAATCAAGATGAAAAGACACGATACACCTACTTCCCTCCATAATCTATGTACTCCTTTGCGAAAGCGACGTAGAGAAAGGGATACATCGCGTTGAAAAATTTGACCATCACCACTTTGAAGACAAGCGATGACTGATACCTGAATTTGACGAAAAAACTGTGTTTGTAGAAACATAAGGAAATGAAATAGTTGTGAATGTGATTATGATATTCAACATATTATGAATATATACTAACTTAGTACTAAGGACACGTTGCTAGTCCTAGCCAACATAAGCCAAAGTAGCAGCATTACTATCAGCTACGAGCTCCTAGAAGCCATTGTAGTTGCACGGCTATTAGTTACTCAGAGAAAAAAGAGAACCTGCTTTCGGTTTTGTGATTTTCTCGGTCGGTAACGACTTTCGCAATTTTTCCCCAGACGATGTCTAGAAACTTCACCTGCATCGTTATCATCATAGCTCCAATCTTTGCGCCTAGTGTATTAGATGAATAAGCTCCTCGTTGACAATGATACAGAATTCATGATTTCGTTTTCGGTACAACTAATTCTATTATTTTTCTGGTACTGGTGGTATAATTCTTCATCTATCTCTATCATGCAAACACTACCGAGAAGATCCTGCGACTCGACTGAAAGATGAATCAATAAGCTGAAGACCATAAATTTGACAGCAGTTGCCTCATCTCCAGTGAAAGAGATGATAGTGCTTGTGATCGGATTGTCCGTGGGGTGATGCACCATTACATACCGAACGGACTGGATGGTGGCGATTCCCCCAATAATAAGTGCCCAGCATTAGAAGAAATATTTTTGACTACAACGAACAGACTAGTAGGACTAGGACTATTTGTACAGAGATATTATAAATATTGAGAAGTACAACCACGACAGACTAGTAGTTGTAGTTGTTAGTGTAGAGACGCTTTGTCTGTTCTAAAAAACTGAAACTGTTGCAGACGTTCTTGAACAATTTCTAAGTATGCAGGCGAGTATCTACTCACCCATTAGTAAATTTTTTTGTCTCTATTTCAAATAAAAATGAGAAAGATGAGCGAACATAAAGGAATGTTGACATGATACTTGCTCCCAGAACCGTCCATCGTGTCGCTTTTCTATCCGCCTCGTCCTGTTCCTGATAGCCCGGTCGAATCGCCGCTACGTTATCGTAGTTCCGGGTACCCCACAATGCAGCCTGCACTATGGCGCTACGATTGTAATTCTCACAAAATTGCGCGGCCCAGAGTGCAGGCATTAGAGAAGGTCCGAAAAAACTACACGTTTGATATTGATGCTAGTTAAAGACTTACTTACATCTACGAGTCTGCCATCTATCCACAACGAGAACCGGTTGCTATTTGTACACTCGTTGTAGTAATGTACTTATATGATCGTAAGACGAGGGTTGAGTAAGAGTATGGTAGAAGTAGTAAGTACTTAGGAGTAATGTCATGCATCCTTAACATAAAAAGGCAGAAGCAATCCTGTACGAGCCTCTGCTGTGTATGGTCTAGCATTGCCCGTCTGCTCAGCAATAGGCACCTCTACTTAGAACAAAGGGGGGGTCTACTATTATCATAGGAGTGGATCTGATGGTGAAGGTGATGCACAACTAACTTGTAATTGTGTCTATATGTTCTTGGAGGCTCTATCAAGGGGTGGAGCAGAAGATGCTGTTGTAGTTGTATTTGTATGTAGTTATGCAACTGCAAGATGATTTGATATGCACCATAACAACAAGCGCAGGTATGATCAGCTGTACGGTGTAGAAGCGAAACCAGTGGAAAAAGAAGGCGAGCTCTTCCCCGAAGTAGTCTTTTGCTTGGTCTAATCGGTATGCTTAGACGTAGTTTCTCACTGTTTCTCACTATCCGCGCAGGTGGCGGTTGATAGTTCCCCATATTAATCAAGGAAGATTTTTCCTCTTAGATGGTTCCAGATGCAAATCAAGGAATATTTTCCTTCTTAGATAGTTCCCCACTTAAATCAAGGGAGATTTTCCCCTTAGATAATTCCCGATGCAAATCAAGGAATATTTTCCTTCTTAGATAGTTCCCCACTTAAATCAAGGGAGATTTTTCCCCTTAGACAGTTCGGCTCCCCATTATCAAGAAAGACTTTCCCCCCTAGATAATGGAGTATGAGTTAGATTGTAGGTTATTTAACTTCACTTACCTCGCAGTTAGATGGACTAATCAAAAACGCACACACTGAATTAGGGAGGAAAAGATAATTCCCGGCGCAACTCAAGGGAGCCTCCTCCCAGTATATTAGTTGGCCCACATGGGATAGTGACGAATTCGCCTTAATATGCTGGCATCCTCCACCATTGATTAGGCCTGCCAAAATTTGCCTCGGGAGAAGCTAAAGCCTGGACGTCACGATACTTGTGCACCACAAAGCTCTTGACAATGACACCATATCGTTCCAAAGCAACAGGCGAAATGACGAATTAGAAGACGAAAAGCCGTCGCGTAGAGATGATGGAGGTGGACTGGGAAGTAGATGTAGACCATCACTCACCACAATGATGACGATGATGATGATGACGATGATGATGATGATGATGATGATGATGAGTGGACTAGAAGACGGCGTTCAAGAAGGAGATCATCAGACTTTCTTATCGTTGAAATAAAAAACTATGAATCTCCAAGGTGAAACTACATCAATACAATTTCTATAATACACGCCTTCCAGCCGATCCAAGAAAATATGTCGCATGCTTGTTATGTCGTGTGCAAGCATCTATGTTTCTCATATCGCCGTTCACCATGTTGACGGTAGAATCAAAGCCGACAAACACAAACTCATCCATGCCGTAAAAATGTGATATCCTTCGCTTGATCATTCGAAGTTTGTCGACGCTTCGAAAATCACAAAACAAGTGCTCGTTTTCCATCTCGTATGTGGTCCAGCCCGGAGCAGGCCTCGCACCAGCTCCGTCGTCGATATGAGGAACGGCTAATCTTCCGTCTGGGCCTGCCGAGTTTGCAAGCTTTAGAAGGAGAAGGTAAGTGGTCAATGGAAAAGGTACAGCTGGTAAGAACAAACTGTAAGTGAAGCCCTTAAAATGAAACGCATGAAGGCATAAGTCTATAAGTGACGAGGGAGAGGGAAAGCTAGCCGCTTGTTTTACTTTTGTGCTTTGAGCGTCGCTGGACGACCTAAGCCTCAACCTTAAAAAAAAACAGGAAGAATCTAAGTAATTAAATGATCTAGTACTGAATAAACAAGTAGTTCTTGAGTGGTACAAAAACCCGCTCTACTGGTTTCTTCATCAAAAGATTCAACTTAATACTAGCTGTAATTCTAGACTAAGATGAACAATTTACTGGTTGTAAGCTGCAATCGTGAGAGCTGAAGCTACCAAATCTTCAAGGCCTGAGGAAGTGCTGAATCTGTGTGAGCATAAGGCATCGCGGGACGTTGCAACTGGATAAGCATTTCCTCTCACCTCTGCCCTGTAGCCTTCGGAATTAGCGATTAGCTTGACTATTTCGGAGTGATTCTCGGTTCCGAAACAATAAAACACCTCATCGTGGTCTGCACCTGAACATCATGGTGAAGTTTTTATGTTATAAATTTGTCAGTATACTAGTCGATGTGGAAGTGGATGTATAATTCGAATAACAAGTACTAACTATGAAAAATTCTGAAAAGCCAGTGACTAGAGGAACGACATGAACAACTACAACAACGATACTAGGCAACATGTCACCTGTCCTCGTATTATTTTCAAAAGATGTTGACTAGGTTTTTATCGCACGTAAAAAGACCAAGGAAGAACTCACTGACAACTATTAAAGCTCGGCACTCATTGGCCTCTGACTCTGAACGGTAGAGACCTCCTCCAAGGCTCTCCCCTCTCCCTTCCTTTTCCCCTGTTCTCTCAAGAGAACCCTCGTCGATTTCAGTGGCCAACCTCTATGACCAATGAAAGTTGAGCTTTAAAACTACTATTCAAAAAGCACAAGTGACTCGCAAAATAGATACTCAAGCAGGTATTGAGCTTGAGCGATACGCGGTTTCCGGTTAGGAGATCAGCACACCTTTCCATCACTTTTCCATGAAATTCGAGCCGGGTCATGTCCTTCCAAAAGTCTTCCTGCAGACGCGCTCGGGAAGTAGGTAGCTCCTCGGATTTTCAAGTTAGACGAAGAGGGGTTTCTTATTTTTGGAAAGGTTCATCCACTTAGACTTCCTGACTATGTATACCTCTATGGAGTTAAGTAGTTTGGGTTCATCCACTTAGACTTGTTCCTAACTGCTCTTCTTGATTAATACTTGATATTATGGAGAGAAATTATAGTGTCATTGGATGTGAAATTTTAGCCACATCGACATCACCCGCACAGGGACATCACCCGTTTTGCTTCTAAAGGGACGCCCAGATGACATACAGAAGTAAAGGGAGACTATCTTAGTGAGATAGTCTCCCTTTACTTTTTTTTTTACCGAGAAAGGACTCATCATGAAAACTTAATATTACGGGGACAACGCATAATGTTTTTGGTCTGTCTGCTTGGAAAATCGCTGATGCCATATTCATGCAATCATCCTTTTTGTAGACGGTCTCCCACGCTGTAGGATTAGATGGGCTTGGAGCTTACTTTAGGTCGTTTATTTGAAGTACTTATGAGAGCAGTATTCTTTTTGAGTTTTCTTTATTGATGTAGTTCCCGACTGCTGCTATCATAACACTGACGCCATCGCACTTTGGTAAGTCGCTCGCCGTCTGCGCGTCGCACTTCTGTCTCATACGGGCTTCCTCGCTCATCTTGATGGGAAATATCCACACCATGTCACCTATATTTTGATTCAAGAAAAAATCTAATTCTAAAAGTTTCAACATTTATGCGTGCCTACTTATAGAGTTCTTGATTGGGTAACATTGGTATTCAAGCATTGATACTCAATTGGTTCAGGTCAATCTGACTTAATGTACCTAGATAATCGTCGTTGATGACGTTGACTCCTAGGACATCGATCCTCTCTGAACTTTTTTTGAAATCTAGCAGTGGCTGAGCATCACCTGGCGCCCGCATCTCAGTTTCGCTAGTGGAACCTAGCTTCATCTCCTCTGCCGGCATCTTGTGAAGATCCTCGTCTTCTTGATGTACCTACTTATAACAGTCGTGTAGTGAAACTATTGCTCAGTCAAGACGGTCGCGTAGTGAATCTATTCAGTCAGCCGCTCAGTCAGTCAGTCAGTCAGTCAGTCAACTAAAGGGCCTCCACAGCTCCACAGGGCAGCGACTTCTCCGCCGCAGCTGCGATTCGATAACGAAGTAGGTTCAGATTTCCCAGACGACTTCCCAAAAAAGCAGACGCCGGCTCTGTCAGGAAAAGAAATAGCTACCGGGAGGACTTCTTCTTCTTCATCTGCGCCTTCGAGATATAGAGAGAGAGACGTGCCGCGCTCTTGCCGCACGTTGCAACTCGTCGTGCCAGGCGGACTACAACCTCTTCTAGCGGTTGCTAGTCGGTATTTACCAAGTTGTAGCGAGGTCGTGATCGTAGGCACAGATGAGGATTTCGCCAGTGCTTACCACATGGAACTCCACAACTCAACTTATTCACGGAGTTTTAAGCGATTCGGCTTTCCGACCACACGAATTGGATTGGTGTGATGCGCGTCAAAATTCCACCATTATTGCATTTTTGACTGTAACAAACGACAACTCAGCTACCGACCATAAACCACTTTATTCTTATTTAACCCTCGATGATGAATAGTAGTACACTCAGCAATGAAGAAATATATTGTGAAGGTATAATAACAGTAGTCCAAGTTGTCCCTGATCAAGTAGCAGCATGTAGGTGAAGGGCAGGCCGTATAGTGTTTAGACGAGACGCAATCTCATCTCTCAGCGCTCGCAGTATGAGGCAGGAGAAAAGCAAAGACGAGGAGGAAAGGCTAATTAGTTTAACATTATTGAAACCCAGATGCTTCAGCCCTTGGCTTCAGTCCTTAGTTAACATATTGAAAAATTTTGCACTGGCATTTACACATAATATCGGTGGAGCACACCTAACTAGGAAACAAAAAACAAAAGAGTCAAGTAATCCAATTAGCTAAAAAAAACTATAGTGGCCACGTTTATATTAGGATCCGTTCATTTTAGGCGCCGCGAGTTCGTCCATCTGCCCTGGAGGTCTTCTCATCCAAGGCGGCCGAAAAATTTTGCACTGGCATATACACATAATAAATGTTCCACTTTCCTTCTTTCCCGCTCCTTCCACTCTCTTGTCACGCTCACCCTCATGCTGATGCCATCAATCTTGAGCATCCATGTAAAGTTTCTTTGTAAGTTGGTTGGTTCATAAGGTTTCGCCAGGCGCATGGCATGGAGTGCATGGAACACATGGAGTGGCATGGACCAGGTAGTACTCCATGCCCTCCATGCGTGAAAATTTTGCGACTCGCTGTCAGACTGTACGCGCCACGCACTAGCTCGGTACTTCGGGGAGGCACGTCAGGCGCCTAATAACCTGCCAACGCTCCGATTGCTACGCAGAGCCCCCAAGCCGACGCGCTCACTCGCGGCCCAGGCCCGGCGCCCTCAGGCCGCCCAAGCAGCAAAGCAGCGGCAGCGCCGCCAGCGACGTCGCGACCCCTGGGCATATTACGGCCAAGACAGTGCTCCTCCCCGTGCGTCTCGCCTATCGGCCAACCCTGACAGCGAAGACCCCCAGGCCAGTCACTCGCGGGCGGGGGCCCTTAAGCCGGCCAAGGCATCAGCCTCAGCGCTGCCGTCGCGCCCATGGTTGGGGCTACAACTCCCCGCCGACGCTACAAACCCCCGATGGCTACAACTCCCCGCCCATTCACTCGCAAGCTGCTTCCCTTAGCTCAGGGACCCCCAAAAACCAGCTGCAGCGCCGCAGGTAACGTCACCCCCCGATACAGCACCGAGCCCCTCCCAGGGCATCTAGCCTATCAGGCCCAGCTTCGGCGGGGAATGCTCCACGCGTGCCCGTCCGCTACACGCTTGCGATGCACTCCATGCGTGGGCAGGCTGCAGGTGCTCCATGCACTCCATGCTACTCCATGCACCATGCGTGGTATAAACTACTCTGCGTGGCAGTGGCTATTGCATATAAATTCATTTTATATGCAATTGCAATACCCAAATATCTATTAAATGAGACTAAGATCTTGGAGTTGTTTAGCGTTATGCGAGTTAATGGTGCGTTGATTTCGAGAGGAAGACAACCTAGAGTGCATTTTTAGGGGTAAACTCTCTCTCTCTTCCACACCGTAAACCATCCGGGCCGCGTTTTTGTCTCTCATTGGAAATGGAATTAAGCCGAGCGTTGTACTATGAACTCAAGCACAAGGAGAAGTGGTAAAAATCTTAATCACAACTAATGGAATGACACGACTCCCTGCAGCAGGCAAGAGATCGCAGATTGTGGTCTCATCTAAAAACTTCGTGTTGATCAATAACAGTTGTTGTCGTGAAGGAAGATTCCTATTTTCCTGTTTCATAGATTGATGGATCACGCTCTAATTATATCGAAGTTGCAAATGTTCATCATCATCGCGTCTTATGTATTAATTTATGTTTACCAAGAACAAGAAGATTCATCATACAGGGTTTTGACAATATTTTCCTCTATATTTCGTACTATTTTCAGTGTCGTGGTATAAGTATATTCCTTAAATTAGACACTCTTTTATTCAAATTATTTTTTACAATAGTTGAGTACATTCTAGAGTGGAGAAGTTTCGACGAGAGCTCTCATGTCTGAACCTCCACGCCCACATGGAATTGTTCGGACTATATTAAACATATTAACATGAACATGTTGCAGAAGGAACGTTCCTAGCCGATAAGTACTTACCTCGTCATCGCCCTTACCTACTAGATTGACTGGCTTAATAAGGTGGATGAAGGTTGAGGGTCCGTTTGCTCTCTTTTTATTATTTCTGTATGTAGTACTAGGCAGGGACGACGTAACACGAGTACAATTATACAACACATCTAAGTACTCTAGGTTTCTCTCTCCTCGTTGGTTTCTGATCCTCCTCATGATAATCTGAATTCGCAAGGTGCCTAGGCAAGTTACCTTCCTGGCTCTTCTTGATGCAAGTTGAGCCTTAACTCTGGCAACTTCTTCCATTAAAAGTTGCGACATTGCAGTCCTCCGAACATCCTTGACTTCTTTCCTACTGGAAAACAAGGTAAGGATGGTAGTGAGGAATGCAATGTGAAAACCCTTAAGAACTCCATAATTTCTATTTCCATCTAACCACGTCTTAGCTATACATTTACTAAATTGTCAGTTGTAGTCGGAGGTATTATACTTCTGAAACCTTGTTGTCCTCTTATCTATGATCAACATCAACAGCGTCCTCTTATGATCAACATCAACAACAAGTTCCGAGTATTTTTCTTCTTAAGTATAATATCTACTACAGGGCAATTTATAAGGTTTCAAAGCTCGCATGGCATGGAGTGCATGGATCTCATGGAGTAGCATGGAGCTAAAGGGGGAGCCTCTTGCGCCCCTTAAAGCTCTGCGCTCCATGCACTCCATGCTACTCCATGCGCCATGCGTGCTATAAAATTATCATGTAAAAAGTGCTTAATATGGGCATGGCCATCTTCGCCACATTATCCCTACATGATCATGATCTATCCTATTACATAGATACTGCTGTCAAGAATGATATCTCATCAAGAAGTAGTCTTATAGGAGGAGCCTCCTCCAGTGTGTTCATCCAGTCCTTCACGGAGGACCGCAGCAATTCACTTTCCGAAAACCTCCTTCTAGGTGCTGGATGTCGATACCTGCCGCGGCTTGCGTGATACACCTCCTCCACCTCGGGATGCAGGCGATCCACACACACCCAGGGTATATTGCCCAGGAAGATTACTTAGGAACTACGTCTTCTCGTTCCTGATAGTACACCTCGTGGAGGACGAGCACGACCAGCGGGCCCTTTGCTCTACTTTAGAGAAGATAAATCATATTAGTCTGATGAAAATTTTTGAAGGACTACAACATTAAAACCGACGACACAGGCAAGACATCATCATTCATATTTATTAAGCTGCTTTGTTGAAGAGTTGCAGTTTTCTCGGAAAGTAACTCAAGACTGCCACTCCCTCGAGCATTTTCCAGCATGATTATCCCTGGCCCTTTTTCTATCTGAAAACGGTCCCAAGGATGCGCTCAGGGATGCAACTTCTGCGGTAGCTCTAATCTTAAAGAGCTAAATAAAAAACCAACAACGTCCCCTCCAACCTCCGAACCAAACACACCGGAACCGAAAGCACTTGAACCAGAAATACCTGAAACAAAAACACTCGAACCAAAAACACCTGAGGGAGTGCGTGTAGGGAGTGGAGGACTCTAGTGGGAGGACGAGTGCTGCCGTGCGCTCAAGTCTAGTAACAGTATGCACTACTTGAGCAGGTAACAACGTTAGCTTTAACCACGCATCATTATAAACATAAACTCAGTAGACAATGAGTACTGTAGTTGTGAGCTCTAATATATAATGACGCTCGCATCAAGTGAACACCTTTAACTCATGTTTTAAGAGGAGCGATAAGCTCAAAGAAAATCTATATGCACGAGCGAGTGCATAAGCTTCGTGCAGAAGCTAGTACTGAATGAGTCATACTCTTCTTGGACAATTACTTTCAGAGAGGAATTTTCAATGGCAGCCTTAATGATCTTTGAGGCACCGTTTGTCCATTTCTACCCTTTTGAGACGAGGGCTCTCCACTGCCGTCTTCGCCAACTCTCCGACGTTAGCGGTACTTTTTCATTTTTTAATAGGTCAAGATCTCGTACTAGAGGATGAGGATGGTGACTTCAACGAACAGGAAGAGCATGATCTTCTTAAGCCGTTCTTTGATGATGAGCAGTCGCGTCAATGTCAATCTATATCATCATGATCATCTAAATTGATGAAGAGTACTACCGGGAACCAAAAGGATTATTTCATCACTCCTACGAACTTCACTTTTTACATAAAATAAATTCTACTTGACTCTTCACCGACCACACCGATTCGTCGAGGTCGACAACGACTAGATAATAATGAAGATTTTGAACCGAAGATGAAGACCAAGTCGTTACATCTATTTAATTTTAATAAAAACAAAGAGAGCCTTAACACCAGCTTATCGGTTCTTCACCTTCTTCTGTCTCTTCTCGATCCCGACTTTGAGATTGTCTTTGAGCATCTTGCGGAGGATGTGCTCGTTCTTGTTGGGGACCACCACGAGGAGCCATGAGGCGGCCGCCTATCCCCATACCAGAAGACCCTTTAGGATCTCGCCGCTCGTTCTTGTCGTACCGATATTTTTAGCGGTAGTTATTTTTCAATTTTCTGTGTCTAGTATAGATTTGAACTTGAATCTGTCTGATGTCAGTTATGTAAAAATCCTAATCACTATAATTGAATACTAGTACATTTCCGCATGATGTCCTGAAACATCAACTACGAGGAAGTGAATCAGGATCATTTGATCACTTTCGGATTTGCGTAGATCGCCTCGCACTCGCTCTACGCCGTCTCAACACATACAAGAGAAAGCGCCTAACTTATCCTTGTTCCACCCGCGAGTAAGTAGATTAAGTACTTACAACAATCAAGAGATCAACATAAGTAGAAGTACTGAAGTTGTTACAAGCAGAGAAAGACTTAACAGGTAGAGATCATTACACCAAGAGACAGTAAGTCATTACAAAAAGAGAAAGCCGTAAGAGGTAGAGACGTTTCCTTCTTGAGGTTTCGACGGTGCCGCAGGTGTGGATGTGGTCCGTGCCGACGAGTGACTACGTCCGCTACCACCATAGTCACGTTCTTCATGTGGGGGGCGATGAGAGCCACCAGCTCCAGTTGAGCGTGCATCAGTTCTTCTTCTTCTGTCCTGTGGCTCCGTACTAGTCTTCGGGCTGCGAGCATCTCCATCTTTTATTTTTTCTTCGTCCTCGTCGGCGTGGGTTTTCCTTTTATTTGTTCGTCGTGGTGGTTTATTTTTTGGAGGTGGACGAATATCCTCCTCTGGATGATAGGATGCAGGTTCCTTTTTCTCTTTTAGTCCTGGTGGTGGTGGAGGTATATCGTCATCGTGTCCGGCAACTGCTGACCATTCTGGTGGTGGTGGAGGTATATCGTCATCGCGTCCGGCAACTGCTGACCGTTCTGGTGGTGGTGGTGGTGGTGGTGGAGGTATATCGTCATCGCCACCTGTTTTACGTACTTGTGATAGCACAAATGGAGGCTTGACGCCACCTGCTGCAGGAGCTGCTGCGGCTCGAGCTGTAACTCCTGCTGCACCTCTTCCTGCCGTGGGAGCGCGAGACGGGGACCGCGATGTAGGATCTCGGGGACGGGGTCTACTCGCGAGATCTGGAGTACTACTAGATTTGGACAGTGACTGAGCTTCTTGTGCATGGTCGTGCTTGATGGGGTCAGGAGTGACCGTACTCGCAGCTCCACTAGCTCTCGTAGATCCACCTCTATGCTTCGCAGAAGATGCGTGTTTTTCTTTATTTTGTAGTAGTTCTCCTGCTTGGTCAGATTCTACTTCGCGGCGGGTAGGAGAAGTCCTCGGCGCCTCAGAAGCCGATGAATCAATAGAAGAAGCCCTTCCACCGACCTCTCTTGTTCTTGTGGGGAGTCGTTGCTGTTGCTGCTGTCGTGGGGGATGTTCTGGAGTTGGAGAGTCGGTCGGCGCCGGTAATTGCTGTGGAGTTGGAGATTCGGTCGGCGCCGATAATGTTGCACTGGAGTCGACGCCGCTGTCCTTCTCCCCTGTAGACGGGGAAGTCCGCGTCCTCGGAGATGAAGATGAAGGCGATGAAGATGATGACTCCGCTCCATCCGAAGCTGCTTCCCGTGTAGACGCGCTTGACGCTGAAGATGCAGCTCTACTCGGCTCTTCGGACGTCATTAAGTTAGGGCCTAGTAGTACTACTACTACCTATGATCATAAGCTTTGAAGCAGAAAGAACAGGAGCGCAGAAAAGAGGTGGAGCGGTCTAGTAAATCTAAATTCTACACATACTACTTCTTACTCATCGTCGTCGGTACGATTGAAAAAATCATCTTTGGCCATTCTTTTCGACTCATATAGAAGAAGAATGGCCAACGTGGCCAAAGCTGTCCCTCTCCCTCAAGGTGTTCTGAGTAGATGAATTATTAGGCGGAATGAATCCTTAACTCGATATGCTTCGCCTCCTGTTGAGACACCACCAGCCGGAGCCGCGGCACGACTTTTTTCCTCTGCGGAGATAGTAGTTCTCTCCGAATCATCCGCTGCCGCGGCCGCGCCGCTAGTAGTCCTGTCTTGTCCGGCAGAATGCGTGCTATCATCTCTGGGCTCTGAGCCTCGAGGCTTTGCGGAGTGGTGCTCATCCGCCGCCAGTTGCGCAGGCGTAGACGCTTTGGTATCTGAGGCCCCAGGCTTTGTGGGGTGCTCCGCAACAGGTGTGCTGACCCTGGTCCCTGGCGCTTTTCCTTGATGGTCGTGCTTTGGCTTTTCATCTTTACCATGTCCGGCAGTATGAGCGTCTTCTTTGCCCTTGGTCGAAGGTTCGGCTCCGTGCGGCTCTGACCTGGGTCCTTGGGGCTCTGACTTGGGTCCTTGCGGCTCTGACTTGGCGGGCTCCTGCGGATGTGCCTTGGCGGATCCTTGCGGATGTGACTTGGCTTCGTGTTCGCGGTCAGGCTCCCTCGCCGTCGTTTTTGCCGTCGGGTCAACATGCTTTGTTCGATGCGGCAGATGCGTTGGCTGCGCTTTTTCGCCTGTAAGTAGCGCCACTGGCTGCTGTTCGTGCTCTGGTGCGTCTGCCGTTTTGATATCCGTTGGCCTGCTAGTATCCGTTGCAGCTTGTTTTGCTGATATCTTGGGCTCTGAAGCTCTCTGCCCATCCTCTTGGCCCTTGTGACGTCCTTGTCCGTTCTTGGACGCTCCGCCTGCAGCTGCCACCGCGGGTTCTTGGCGTCCTGCAACTCCTTCAGGTTCCTTGGGTCCATTTTTTCCACTATGTGGAGTGCTCGTTTTCGGCTCTGACCTGGGTCCTTGCGGCTCTAACTTCACGGGCCTCTGCGGATGTGCCTTGGCGGATCCTTGCGGATGTGCCTTGGCTTCGTGTTCGCGTGCAGGCTCCCTCGCCGGCGTTCTTGCCGCCGGGTCAGCATGCCTTGTTCGATGCGGCCGAAGCGTTGGTTGCGCTTTTCCGCCTGTAGGTAGCGCCGCTGGCTGCTGTTCGTGCTCTGCGTCTGCAGCCGTTTTGATATCCGTTGGCCTGCTAGTATCCGTCGCAGCTTGTTTTGCTGATATCTTGGGCTCTGAAGCTCTCTGTCGATCCTCTTGGTCCTTGTGACGTTCTTGTCCGTTCTTGGACGCTCCGTCTGCAGCTGCCACAGCGGGTTCTTGGCTCCCTGCAACTCCTTCAGGTTCGTTGGGTCCATTTCTTCCACTATGTGGAGGCTTCGGCTTGTGTGAAGGCGCCTCTTTCTTCCCTGATATCTTGGGCTCTGAAATACTCTGACTCTGCCCATCCTCTTGGTCCTTGTGACGTTCTTGTTCGTTCTTGGGCGCTCCGTCTGCAGCTGCCACCGCGGGTCCTTGGCTCCCTGCAACTCCTTCAGGTTCCTTGGGTTCCCTTTTTCCACCATTCGAGTTCGGAGGCGCCTCTTTCTTCTTCTTCTTCTTCTTCAGTTTCTTGGCGCCAGGGGTCTTGTTAGAGCTACCGCGTCGCTTTCGCATCCCCCAGAAGATGATCATCCTTGGCAGCACCGTAATTTTTAACAAAAAACTTGATCCACCTCGCCTAGAAAAATTATATAAAGCCCAAGGATGACGCGGAGGATGCTCTCCTCGTCTTGGTAGCCTTAACCTTGCCGTCTTCTGCAGCGTGGTCCCCGTCTTCTTGTTCATCTGTCTCCTCGTCCTCCCAACCACTAAGAAGATCAGTGCCACAGCAATCGAGTCTCCCTTTTTCCTCTTCCTCATCCTCCTTTTGTCCTTCCTCCACTCCTCGTGCATCCACGGCCTGGGTGGCAAGAATTAGAAGAAGGCACGACTTAATGAAGATGATACAACAACAGCCAAATACCTCTACATCTTTCCTGTTGTATTCGTTCTACTTCTTGGACGTTCTTGAATAGATGTGTGACAAGACTTATGGTTATGCCATGTAGTCATGTTACCTCGCTCATGGTCCAACATCTTATCAAATGGCTGCTTTGAGGTCTTTTCAGTCAACTTCTACCCTCTCGAAATCATACAAAAGCCTTAAGATAAAAGAGGTTGTGAAGCCCGCCAACATTCTCGTCTTGTCGGCACTTCCAACTAGTTCTTTCTCATCGCCATCGTCATCGACTCGCGTCTCGGCCGCGTCAATTCCTGCATGCATGTTCTTGTTGGAAACAGATTGATACAACCACACAGAGATAGTATCCCAATTCACGATTCTCATAAAGATGATACAGAAGATACTCACGTTGCTGGTCGTGGTCGTGTATCTATAATAATCATGGATTACAACTCTAGTTGGTGGATCATATCATGTCTAAATTCTTTTCCAACTACAAACTCAAACGTAAACTACACCTGAAAGTAGACTAAGGATTTTTGAATTAAGGAACTGACGATCGAAGTACCTGGTAGAGGTTCGTGAGCGGTAACAGCAGACGACGTGCTATTTTGCCTCGACACTGGATCATGTGGATTTATCTTCCCTTGAACTTGTTCTTGTTCGTCAGAGATCATGCGTGCTGTGCCACGCAATGAAGGTGTTCGCGCGCGTTCCTGCTCTAGATTTAGAAGCAGCTGAAGATGAACCTCTACTGTAGTTTCTGCTAGATCTAGAAGCAGTAGAGCTTCAGCTTTATCTTATTTTCTATTTGCGAGCACGTTAGTTACAGTTACTGGAGTTGGTGATGAAGATGTTATTGTTGTTGTTGTTGTTGTCCTATTCATGTAGAAAGCTGAAGATGTTCGTTGAAGCAGATATGAATGAATGAATGTACCCACTCCAGGGGTGTAAAAAAAGATGACTACTCTACTTCGATCTACAACAACGCGCCTCGTGATTGCGCATGATGGTCTCCACCCTTTTGGCTTTTTGCATGAGTGTCATTTCTTCGCTGCATACAAAAAGAATAGAGTACGTACGGAGCCTTAAGAAAAAGTTTGAGAAGAGGTGTCTGAAACTTGTTGCGGAAGTACTAGCAGACGCGCTGGTCTTGGTAGTACTCTGGCTGTAGTTTAACTCGTCGTGTCCTCCTGAGTTGTAAATAATTTTTTCTTGAATCCTCGCCCTCGGAAGCAAAGTAGTTTTGTGGAGTTCTGTTGAGTTGGGGTCATCATCTTCTACTATGCTTGTCCCAAGCTGATGTTGTCTGGCATCAGAGCCCAGCCACGACGCTGGACCCAAGAGCGCCAGTAGGAGGACTAGGCCTTTAGTCCGAAGCATGCACCCTCGTTCCCGATTCATCATCGCATTTTACAGTTCTAGATTCTATCCTCGTTGTATGTTCTTCTTGTCCTCCTCCCAACATAGTTATAGTATAGAAGTTGGTATAATATAAAATTACTTCTCAATTTCAATATAATCATATATTCAAGCTCAACGAACAACATCATCCCAGTTAATAAAGCGATACTTGGTACAGAATGCAATGAATCACTCAAAGCGAATGATACGATTAGATTTTTGTCCAATATTATAAGATCTAGATGAAGTAGTAATTAGTTGACAATACAGGTCTAATACAGGGGCACAACAATACAGGTATAAAACCAACAAGAATACAGGTCGTAGAAGACACAGTTTTGGATTTGGGCAATACCAATAGTGTCAAACAATAAAAAAAACAGCATGTTGAGAAAGACTGAAGATCGACTTTCTTCGTCCTTCATCTTCACCTATTGTTTCATCTTCATGCTCTTCCTACTGTTTTGATGGTCGCGTAGAAGCTGTCATTTCTGATGTCGATGTCTTGTTTGTTCAACAAGCATAACGAAAAGGAACTATTGACCAAAAAAATTCAATGATCACATACAATGAGAAAATTGAAGATATTGATCATGATCGAGATGATCCAAGTGATGTACTGCTGTACTCGACAACATCATCAAGGAGTGTGCCTGTGCGGCTCCGTATGCATATTACTACTACAAGTAGAAACAAAGCACTAAAATTTAGCTTGGGGAAATCATATGGGTTGCGGTTGCGGTTGAAGGAGTCAATGGGTTACATTGTCAAAGTGGTGCGTAGGTGGTCGATGCTCGGCCTGAGTCTGAGGTGACAGATTATACTAGCCATTCTGGCTGGTAGATCATCATGTTCGTACCCACAAATAACGCTCAACGAACTCTATCGTCTCTTTCTCTCTCTCTCTCTCTTCCGATTCACGTTATCATTTGCTGCTTGTTCATGTCGGAAACATTTTTTGCTGCAACTTAGACGACGACACACGGAAATTATTTTTCCATTTTTGACACGACAACTTGCGGGCCGATGCGCAGGAGTCCGTGAGGTGAAAATAAACAGATTTTAAATTTATCGCAAAAGCACTCTAATTCTAAAGTCATCAATTTGATGACCTGTAGATACACAAATTCATCTATTCGAAGGTACTGAGCTTGAAAATAGATTGTTTGATAATTCTTGCTAACAATTTCTTCTTCTTGATGTTCGTGTTTTGACCTTTGACCTGTATAAGGGCAAAGCATAAGCATACTACTTCATAAACAATAGATATGTGCTGGTTCATCAAGCGGACTGCAACATTCATTAGTCCACAACGCGCTGTGCAATTTCTTTCTCAACGTGACTGAGTCACTCTGTCTACTTACGCGAAAGCCTTCGTGTCTTTTACTGTCTTTGAAGATCAAACCTGTACAACGGAAAAACCTTGCCCTTCATTTTGCAAAGCTGCTCTCGAGCATTATACCTGCAGCTGCAACGTACGACGAAGAAAATAAATGAAACTACAAAAAAGAATTGCTGATCAACCTATTGGCTGTTCGCGGACGTATTTCGTTTCCTTATCGACGTCTAACTTCTAAGTACGTTGCGTTGATCCTGATGTTCTGGCTGCGATCGCATCCACTCCTTGAATCAAACTTCTGAATGCTCCGACTGAAAGAATTTTCAGTACGTATCTATAAACACAACGAACCTGAACAACATGGAAAATTGCGCCGGTTTTGATTAACGGCAAGCCAGAAAAGAAAGGACTCGCTGCCCACCTTGCTCTTGGCTTGATCTCTTTTTCATTCTTGTCCAAGCCTAGGCCAGCCCAAGAGCTCTGCATTGGAGCGATAGGGAGAAAGAACCACAGGAGTAGCTAGGCTTGAAACCAGCAGCACATTCACTTCTAGTTCTAGTAGTATATGAATTTAATTTCAGGATGAACCGGGATACAAGCCAACATTTGAATACTGATTGTCAGTACTATGAAGTAATACATAGAAGGTCCGTCGTGCATAAATTTTTTCTTATTTCTTTCCCAGAAGATGGCTCCCAAACTGAGCTCCGCGAACCTGTAGGCTGACTGGTATCGGTTTTCGTTTCGTTGCGTTTACAGGATATGAGTTCGAGGATTCAGGATTCCACTCATGCACGGTTAAACCATCTACTACAACATCGTTGCTGCGCATTGTGGCCCTACCCGAAGAGGACTCCCCACCCCAACAGAGTCCATTCGTTGTGCTCGGTCCCGCTCGGAGGAAGACAGGAAACCCCATAGAAAATTAGAAACAAGAGGATGAGGAACAAAGGATAACTATCCTGTGTATGATACCATGCTCAACTTAAGGTAACAGGAGATGACCCTCGACCTCGAGATGAATATGTATAAATCGAAATTCAAAATTCTCTTGATTTTCATGCCTGACTAAATCTAGTCTGATTACTTATTTTGCAATTCTAATATCGAAAGCTCGTTTGTTCGCGAAACAGCGTTCAACATAATTATCTGGCTGCAAACACGGTACCGAGAGCGGCGCACTACTCAAACCCTGCTCCCCCACAGAGTTCGAATTCTCTGTGTCACCCGCGACAGCATAACCCTCCAGTCGCTGTTGAACCTGAGTCGTGTCATACAGCCCAGTGGTCCTACTCTTGTTACACAGCACAGGTCGTCAGATCCGGGATGGAAAACATCGTTGTGAGCAAAGAGCTGGTTAATCAATCAAAGGACGAACGGTTCATTAAATTGATTATATGTAGTTGCTCAAGATCAAGCAAATACGCCTGTTGTGTTTCTTTATCAATCAAATTGAAATTCAAAATGTACCCCTGTGACTACTTGGTCCGCAAGCACGTTTCCAGCAGAATGCTGTCTGGTATGGCGTTTTTGACCACGCGCGTGGAGCGTGCGAAGGCTTTGAGGCAGGTGGCGGACGCTGTTTAGAAATTGACTAATCGAAAATTTGTTTTGGTCATCTTGTTAGCTTTTGCTGTGTCCCCTGTTCATCTGTAAATTGCTGCCCTAATCCTAAGCCCGTAGAAAACGGGCTACAACGCGGCAAGAGCTTGACGAGCTTCTACTCATATCAACATCATCATCCTCTTCACTATAGCGAGGGGAAGAGAGACGAAGAATAGCGCCCCTAAGGAGGAACAGAAACTCGCGTCAAAGGACTCACCGGAAGAAGAGAGATGAAATAGAGGTCTGAAACCCTAATGAACGAAAACCCAAGAACACGTGTCGCCTACCTCATAAATATCAACATCTTCTCATGCCAACATCTTTATCCTCTTCACTACAGCTATACTAGCCTCAGTGATTTCCTAAGTAATTAAGAAACCGGAAGGTGAGGGAACCTGCACGACAAGATCACATCAAACGAGGATAACTAATACGCCAAAATAAATCTGCTTCGCCTTAAATTTACGGAGTCCTTTTTCGGTGGCCCTGTGTTTTGGTCAACGTTGCGACTCGCCTGAAGCTGCGCACTTGTGTATGGCAAACTTCCTGCCCTTACTCGTGGAGTTCTACTAGCTTGTTCTTGCTCCTGGACAGAATTTGAGTTACTCGCACTAGAAGACGATGGACCTGGAGGGCCTCGTCCTGTTGCACTAGTACCACCAGTCGTACTGCTGGATGAAGACGATGAATTAGCTGCAAACGTGCTGGACGTAGTGCTAGTATAATTTTTTCGAGCAGGTGGAGTGGAAGAAATTGTTCTCATCTCCTCCTGTACTCTGATTAGAACTGTTGAGAGAAATCCATCGTCGGATTCATATTGGTTCCAGTTTTTCCTTCAAAAATGGGAGCGAGATGCTGCTGGGGAAGATGGATCTCTTGTAAGTAGCCTTAATCTGAAGAGCTGCTCCTCACGCCCACCACGACTCATAACGTGCTCGGGCTGCGGCTGTCCGATATGCTTTTGAGGACTATAGAAATTATTTCCCGGCATCGACGTTCCGTCTCGTGCAACTTTGTTTGCAAGAGCTGGCTTGTTCCCGATTATTGGAGGTAGGGCGTTGGTGTTTCTGTTTCCCGTTTGTTCTCTGTCCCGTATCTCCCTTAGGAGAGGCAAAACAAACGGCAACAGGAACCTACCCTTAAGATTATCATCGAAGCAATACCACTGTCCTCCACTGGAGCAAGCGCTGGAGCAGGGGGGTACTGTTAGTGCGAAAAGCAATTTGCATGGCTCTCGAGGTATTTGGTAACCTGATTTCGATCATAAGGAAAACAAGAAGAGAATCCTTGTAATCCAATTTTTCAGGTTACCAAATACCAGAACCATTCACAATTCCAATTTACTTTTGGTTTTTGCCTGTATTATTTTTCCCAATCCTACGTCGAAGGAAACTAAAAAAATGGCCTGTTGTACAAGTGGAAATGAATCGTATTGAGCCATAATATTGATGTTTTACTACCTCACCACCTCCAGCACTGGTTGTCCTCCTCGTTCCTGAGTTTGTCCTACTTCTGGCGCGATCCTCCGTTGTGTTGCTACGCGCTACAACAGTTGCTGTAGTAGAGTTGTTAATGCTCTGCTCCGAAGGCCGCTTTCCACCTACACGTAACCCTTCAGCCACGACCTCTAAAATATTACACGGCGACTTCGTAGTATGATCTAGTGCAGATGAAGTAGTTGTACTGTCAATCCGATCACGACGTCCTCCTGCCTGCGCCTTTAGTACCTCTTCGTCCGACGAACAAGATGCCATTGCCGGCACTGCGTAGCTGCTAGTTGCCTGGGCAATATTGATATCTCCGACTTCACCGCCATTTGATAATTTGGAGCCAGGAGAAATCCATCGTGTGGAGCACCCTGGCGGTGGTGCCCGTTCATCTCTTCCATTATAATAGAAACGGGCCCGCCCAAAATGCTGGCCAAAACGGATATCTTGAAGCCTTAAGTAATCCTGTGTTAGTGCTGTACTCGTCTACAGTTACAGAAGTACTAGTAGAGTCTTGATGTTGTGAAGGGTCCTCCTGCATGCGTCGAACCAAACCCGCTGTGAACATGCTATCTGCGAAAGCACTCACACTTCGAAAAGTTGTTTCGACTCCTCGACCACTTCGAGGCCTTGCTCCTTCTCCAGTTGTCCTAGTTGTATGAGAGCCAGGACCAGGACCACCTGCCGCTGGAGACGAACCTGAAATACTGGAGATACTTATCAAAGCTGCCCTTGCTTCGGTCTCGGATGTGCCTCGTATTCCTCCAGCAGCACCTGCGCCTCCTAGTACTGTTAGGGAAGAGAAAAGCCCAACCTTACGCCAGCAACCCAGTATGGATTCCCCTTGTGTAGAAGGGGAATGAGAAGAATGGGCTGTGTAAAGGGTTGGGTTTTTCTGTGCCTTAATACTGGGGCTCCTGAAGGGTTACTTGGAACTACATAGTAGGCGGCACTCATCATCTGCTCTGCGGTCCCTGCAGACATATGGTGGTAGCCTGCTTCCGCAGTTCTATACAACTGGTAATTCTGCTGTTGCTGTTCTTGCTCCCACAAAATCTGCTGTAGATGGTGTTGGTCGCCCTTGACCTGCATTTGCTGGAATTGCTCCTCTCCATCCATCTTACTAGCGAAAGCGTCATTTCTTCCAGACTGTTGAGCATAATGATCTCCCGAGGACATATCAACCGCAGGCCAAACAGGTTCCCGGAGAAGCGCGCCAGCGCGCATATCTCGCATTGCCCGTAGCTCCTTAATGCGTGTCACTGCCCTGCGCGCCGCGTTGCCGGGAACTGCAGGCGCTGACTTGCTGCCAGCTGCGGTACCGGACGTATCTGAAGCGCCACCACCAGCATCACCCATGACAGTATCCGAATCGTCTGCTGCCGGAATTTTTCCAGAGCCTGCGTGGTCACCGGCTATATTTGCCGGACCTGATGAACCCGATTTGCTTCGACCATGTAGTTCGGCATCCCCAGCAGAGTTTTGCTCGCCTCCCTTCTTGCGGCGCTGCTGTGCTGGGTCTCCGCCTGAAGTTGTCTCTGGAGGAACTGTTGCGGCGTCGTGCTGGGCGGAGACAGCAGTGCCGTTGTCTCCTGAACCTCCGGAGGAGATATCTTTGTCTTTCTTGCTTCCCCCAACTCCCGCAACAGTGGCTGCTGCAGTACTCGAAGAGGCTGTGGTCGTCGAGCTCTTGCGCTCGTACAGTCGCTGGAATTGCTGGCGATACAGCTGCGAAACCGTTTCCGAAATTATGAGATATCTCTGATACACGGTCTTCTTCGCGTTCTTCTTGCTCCCGCGACTGCCCTCACTGCCATTCTTAGAGCTACCGCGTCGCATCCCTGGGTGCATCCCTGAGCCCATTCCCACCTCCTTGGAACAGAGACCAAGGATGGTGCTGAGAATGCTTCAGGGGCGGTAGCCTTAACATTGGGCGAAGAGGGCACGCCGGCAGCAGCCATCGCGGCTCGCCGAATCTCGGCTGCTGTCTTCCTCGTTCTTGCTTTCTTTTGCCCAGGTTCGACGACCACTTTCGGCTTTGGCCGACCTACTCCCCATGCAGGACGCTTGCTCAAATCGTTTTTGTTGGTTGCACTAGTAGGACCATCACCATCTGGTTGCGCAGCAGTAGCGCCCATTGTGCCAGCAGTGCCACCTTGTCTATTGCCTGCAACTGTGCCTGAAGATGAAGAAGATGAAGATCCTCCACTGGACTCTTGCACTTTTGGTTTTGTCCCTGCAACTTGTGCTGACATGGACGTTGAGGAAGATCCACCTACTAGGAGACCAGATGAAGTAGAACCTGAAGCAGAAGAAGAAGATGCAGGCTGGTCTTCGCCCTTGCTCTTTGGCCTGCTACTCGGTGGCACACCAGCTGCTCCTGGCGGCAAGATCGAACTTGACTGTTTGCGGGTCACAGCGGTGATGCTCGTTTTTCGTGTTGTCGTTAGAGATGCAGCGTCGATAATGGTCCTACTACTTGTACTTGACGACACAAGAGTGCTTCTTCCCTGTCGTCGCACCGGACCACTTGAACTTGATGACGACTCTGGCTGCTCACCGGCGACAGTCTCTTTCATCTGAGTTTTCTCCTGTCCATTCCTACCAACTAAACCTGCCTTGGAACCATCATCTTGGGGCTCTACCCTTTTGGAATCTGCTTGTACATTGAATCCAGCTTCACCTCCCCTGTCCTCTTTATCAACATCGCGCGACGCCTTTGTTTCAACTCTCGTAGTTGTGTCTCTATTCTGGTCCTTGTAGTTGGCATGTCGTTCCTCAACTTTCATTTCCTGCTCCTTCTTCAGTGGTGACTCCCGACTCGGTCTAACTATGTTCGAGGATGGCGTTGTTTCCCCCGAGTCACCAAACGGAAGAGAGGTGTTGCCGAGAATCCGACTCCGTGTGCGGCCCTTGACAATCTTACTCTCACTCGAAGATGTAGAAGGAGAAGGTGCGGGAGATGACACAACAAGTGCTGGCTGGTTGTTGTTGTTCGGTTCATGATTTATCTGAATATTGGTCCTGTTGTAGTCCTCGGAGTAGACACAACTAGCAGCTGTACTAGTATATTGAGATGAAGAGGAAGAGCAGGAAGAGGATGATCCGGAAGTCGTGGTATTGTTCTCGCTTTTTCCTACTACAGCAGGATCACCCTCAGCAACTTCAACTTCTGCTGCATCAGACGTGTTATCCTCTTCATCTAAGAGTTTTTCTCCGGTTGCGTTATCTGTTTCATCTTCGTCCATCTCTTCAAGATGTTGAGCACGAGCAGCCTCTTCTACTTCCTGTCCGCTTTTCGTCGTGCTCTTTTTCTGTTTCTCGTTCTCTTTCTTAACGCTAGTTTATTTGTTTCACTAGCCGTTGTTGACTGGTGGATTCCCTTTTTCCCCATCCCCCCTAATTTCCCCATTAAAGCAAGAGGGGCTCCACTCAGCATCCATAGTTCACAAAAGATAGTGAAAAACTACTAGCCTTAACTTTCTTCATTTTATCTTGCTTCGATTTTCGATTCCACAAAACTGATGCGCCTCTCGCAGCCTCTTTCTTCTTCAGCAGCGCTTGGATATGCAAGGCCGTGTTGTTGACTATCCCGATTCTCAATGGAGAGATCTCTTCATCACGGTGTGGTCCTAGGTACTGCGGTGTGCGAGGTCGCGAAACGATGCATGAACGAGGGACCACTAAAAGCCAAAATCAATACAATGAATTTAAATTAGTTGTTCTTCTTCTTGGACCTAAACTTATTGAATCCTGTCGTGTCACCTAATCGTGATCCTCAGTAGATTGAGTCGATGAATATTACTATTCTTGAGATGATAATCCGAATAGATATTCTTGTAAGTACTCTGCTTGTCGAACTACTACAGCAAATTGCTTGGTACAACTAGATCATTCAAGAATCTCAACTAAGTTGGACCCATAAGGTAGATGGTTTGGGTTTCGGAGACTTGGTCGGTTGATTCCCATGATTCGCTTCATCGTCCTCGCTTGATGATGATTCTGATGATGAGGAACTACTTCTACTTGCTCGACGCTTTTTTTTCCGACCTCCACCTTTATTGGTGGACTTCGAGTCCTCGTCCGAAGAGGCCTCCTCTTCATCCGATCCCGCTGAAGATTGGTCGGAACTCGACTCCTCGTCCCCATCCTCTTCTTCTGAAGCGCTTAACTTAGAGAGACGAGACAGACAGTAGTGCAAGAAGCAGCTCCTTCGAGACCCTGGATTTGCTTGCAATCTCAATCAACATGGCTCTCTTCACTCCGAATCTCAACAGCAAGACCTGTCATGTTGACCATTCGCTCCTACACATCAGTGCTCCTCTTGCACTAGATACAAGAAAGCGTGACCTCTGAGCATAATCACTGATGCCTGTTCACTGCTACCAATCTGCTTCGAATCGTCCTCGCCGCCATCGCGGACCGATGATGACGCACTGGAATCATGCGCTGAGGATGAGCGTGTGTCTTCTTCTTGCCCTTATTAGAGAGGAAAAATTGAAATTCTAAATGAGAGGACCTGGGGCCCAGGAGGCTTTATAAGTCTCATCCTCTCCTTTTCATCTTTGTATCGATGCGCTCCTTCTCCTCTTCTAAATTTGATAGATAATGTCAAGCATAAACTGACGCGATTTCTTGAATGGAGGCAACCTCTTGAATGCTTGAAGCGGAAGTAGATTCTTTGCTCGCAGGTCGAGTCGGATACTTCATCTCAGCTTCTGCACCTCCTCCTGAGGGGTATTCATGTTGTTCCTTTACCTTCACTTGATGTCGTGTAGTCTCAACAACGATGTTGTCTGGCACTACAACGTCAACTTTCGCGGCAGGCCCTAAGACAGGTTCCGCTGCCACAAGCACTAGGCTGTTTTCGGTCGCAGTTGTACTAGCCGATGCTGTTGTAGTTCGGTCGTGCAGTGCAGTACAACCATCGGACGAGTGAGGATCATTCGACTTCATCAGTGGTATGGATGATTCTGCTTGAGCTTCTTCACGCTGAAGGCCACCGTTGGCAGGGCTACTGAAGACCACTGGAGCAGGAGAAGCACCTCCGAGAAGTGTTGACGGGCAACAGGGACGAACGGGAGATTCTGCGCTAGGATCGAACTGTTCTTAAAGCTACCTCCTCGGAAAGCTAGCCTTCTTGTCAAGTACTTACTTACTTACTTACTTACTTTTACTTACTTACTTACAGGAAAACAGTCAAGGATATTCTTGGAGTTGGGCTTGGAGTTGGAGTGAGGTTAGGATACTCTACTATAATTGGTTTTGGTTGCCTTAATGTTCGGCTATTGGATAGATTTTTTCAAACTCGTTCAATCTTTCATCGCCTTGCCGCTTGCGGTCTGCCCATAGACCATCGAAATCCTCGGTCCCAAAAAGTTTTTTGCCCTGCGCCATCGGCACTATCGGAATCAAATCAAGCGTCTGCGATATCAAACCTGGAAATGGGTGGAAAAATTGAAATTAATTCGCGCTATTCATTATAATAATACACCGCGAATGATAAAGCTCTGTTGTGAATTCAGGTTCAGTCGGTTCACACGAGTACTCAACAACCTCATGATCAAGAAGTTTCAGTTCTTTGTGTCTTTGCATGATCACAGACGTCGTACTATCTGATCAGACATCTTTTCATGTTATAATCAACCGTGTGAAAAATAAAAACAGAAGAACATCCTCAAGTACGGCTTTTTATGCTGTAGTCGAGATCTGATTCAGTCGCGAAGCTTGGCAGATGATTGATTTCCAACAGCCAGGGTTTTAGCTTGGAATCAACCAGAATATCGACGCCAAGAACAGCGAAGCAGCGACACCGCGTCGTCCGCTTTAACTCTTTTTCCTTGGACATTCCGCACAAGTGATTATGAAGAAGGACTGATATAGTGTAAGAAGTTGCCCGTAGAAGTCCCTGATCTTATGTCCTTGAGAATATGGAGTAACACTATGCCAACAGCGAACATAGAAAAGAAGTTTCTTAGCCAAAAAACGTAAGTACATACAGTCCCGGGATCAGTTGGGCAATATTCGTCTCAAAATGGAAAATTTTCATTCTGAGACCGAATAAGGTACAAAAAAGCGCTTTTTACTTCCATACTTGAGAACAAGGATTGATTATAAAAGAAGACGATATTGAAACTTGTTGGAACACCCGAACACGTCCAAGCGCACTATGAGGCTCTTGAGAGCAAATGAAATGATTATCGTTGCAATGTAACAGAAAGACGATCAGAACGGACGTGCCGAATGATCACTGACTGTCTAAGGCTCTGAAATGGTATCAAAATGGGTCCAATGTCATTGGGATATCATGATGGGTCATAATGCAGTTAAAGATCTGGGAGATCTTACTGACGATTCACGTTGGAATTCATTGAGTTCAAATGATGACCATGCGAGGAACTAACACGAGTTCAAGACAAGGAAACGGCATTGATCATGATCAAGGTGACGAGTGTGAGCAGTCAATTGGCATTGAAATCAGGTTCATTCATTGGATCTTGAGCCAGTAATGACCATTGACCAACAAAACTACTTACGGTTACGTAAAACACTAGAGCGGAGAAGATAGAAGATACTTCCTCGCAGTGAAATTAGAAGTACTTACTGTTACATTATCATCAATCTTCAAAGGAAGTGCCTCGTAATTTTCACGAACATCAAGACGAGGCTGTACTACAACTACCATTTCTAGTGCTACAACATTACTTAACAAAGCCCTTCTACTATTGAGGCTGAAGACATAGTACTCATGCGCGAGGGCAGGCTGCACCGCGAGCATCATTTTCACGCACAATTGCTTGCACTTCCTCCATAATAACTTGCGTGCTTTTTCACCATACTCGCTGTCTACATGTGACCAGAACCAGAGGATGAATGACGCCACTAATTGAGACGGTCGAAATGGGAATGTCGTTCCCCTCCTTTAGGCCCTTCTCCTTACTTAGGAGGAACGAGATTCCCTCATCTTCGTTCTCAACAGTGAGTGGCATCATAGAGAGGAGTGAACGCTTGCTGCCTGTCGCCTCATTCTCGATACACAACATTAAGGCATGCGGGGGGTGTATTGCTCCGGTGTGTGGAGAAAGAAAAGGGTGAAACTCTCTGCAAGTGGGTGCTCAGCATCTCCTAAGTACATGAGAGATATGATAGACTGACGACATACATGGAACGAGCACATGCAAACAATTCCAATTCATCATGTCCCTTCTAGTAGTTCGAGAGTTCTCATTTATCAACCTATCGCTCCCATATCCTCCAAGTCCAACTTCTAATGCAAATGCAATACGCCTCGAACAAAAAGTGACTTCTCAATCATAATGAAATTTTCAGCATCCTTATTGACAGCGTAGTTCGTCAGGTGCATCGTGATCATCTTGGCGTTCTCCTCGGTTGGCTTCTCGTACTCCTGGGTGCTCAGACGTACCAGGCCATCTTTAAACAGGTAGCACTCGAGTGGGTCGATATGCGTCACCAAAAGGTACATCCTCAAGTCGAATTTCAACCCATCCAGCAACATCGGGTGACGAAAATTAGAAAATCAGGTTCTTCAAGAGCCTAGTTGTACTGAGGAGAGAGATGGAGAGCATCGTTGTACTTCCAATTACAAGGAGGTGCAGGTAGTTGTTACGAGATTTAGCTGCTCTGGCAATTTTGGCATTCATCATGACTACACAACCTAGTATCAGTACGTCGAGATAGAAGCCCAGCGATATTTTGATTTTCTCTAACTCTAGCACCATAATGATATATTTCTGCACAACGATATGCTGATGTCGAACTTGCTTTTCCGTCAGAATTTCGTTCACGGCATCCCAAGTGTTGACTAGCTGCACACCCTTGCCTTTTGCCATGTGGTCAGGCTTCAAAATCAGAAACCTGTACTATTGTGGAGGGTCTCCCTTGTAGATGAAATGTACTATAGATAATCAATTTCAATTTGCTTTGAAGGTACTCGCTTTATTGTAGATGAAAGAAAAGCACGATGACAGTGAATGAGGAACGACAACGCAAAGTAGAAACGAGAAAGCCTCACCGACAACATCCTGAATAAAAAGGTCATCAAGGTAGTAGAATATGACCTTCCATTTTTTGTTTTCCCGTTTTCGAATTCGCGAGTGAGTAGCGTGTCTCGATCCTCGGGTAAGACGTACGTCGTCGGCAGAAACGTGTACTCCTTTGGCAGCACACGCATGACGCGATGCAGGTTTCTGTACAATCTGCTCTTTCGCGCAATCAGGTCGTTTAGGCCAGGAAAATGGTTCACCAATTGCCATGGCTTCACGTTTCTTGAAAGAGGACGAGGAGGAAGTAAGTAAGTACTCAAATAGTGATGAGAGGTGGACTAGAATGTACTTAGGTCGTTTAGGATACTATTACCAACCCCTGCGATAAGTTTAGTGATTATAAACGAGGTTGAATGTGGAGAAGATGGAGGGAAGGGGGGATTCGTATACTGCTACTGCTTCTGGTCTGAAGATAGAGAGGAAGAATGGAACAGCAAGAACGGATCGAGTGCTGACTGTCGAGAAAGTGACCACGCAGCTGCCACAACAGCGGAAAGAACACCGTAAAATGTGAAGCAGAGAGAAGAGTGCGCGAAGACGAGCAGCAACTGCACAGCATCAAGTAGTTCTTGCACAGCGAGTAAACAATAATGATGACGGGACTAGATTGTAGGTCGTGAAGTAAACTAACTCCTGCACTAAAAAAATTGATTGAGTTTGAGGACGAGTAGCCATAAGAGTTCGAAGCTTTCGCGGATGCCTACAGCTGTGTCTATCCATACGATAGAGCAATCTTTCGGATTTGGAGCAACCTTCCAGCCAGCCTCTTCCACCATGTCCGTGATTACCTAGAAAAGTGCGAAGATAGAGACCCCACTACCTTCTAGAGTTAGAGGTTACGGGATTACATTCCTCGGAACATTCCTGGCTTCTAATCTACTAGGAAAAGGGCCAAGGATTGGGTAGTGAGGGATATAATTCGGAAACCCTTAATAATAGAGGGCGGAAACAAGGTTGATGATACAGGCCGTATTGAGTTACGCTTACGAGTACGACGTATTAACATGATTGTCTTTGTCTCCTACGTAGAAGGTAAGCCTAAGCCTCCACCATCAACATATCAACCTCGCTGAAATTAGGTACCTCATACTCGCATCGCTGCGCATTGAAAATGTAATGTTTGTTTTTGATCCGGATTTTCGTTTGTCCGCTCCCTTTTTCGGGCGAGGCCTCACTGCCATCCATAGGCGAGTCGACATTTTCACGCGTTTGCGGCATCTCCTCTCGGTCTAGTGTCTTTCCTGTCTGAGTACTCTTACTTCTTCTATCCAGATGGCAGTTGATGTTGATGTAGTGCCGCTTCGGTCTTTAACACTCGGCGGTGCTCTTAGCGAATTTAAGATACATTCTATGTGCTAGGAGCAGCTGGCAGTGTTCCGTTTCCAGTTTCATCACTCGAAATCCGCATGCTCAGGCACGCTTTGGTGGAAAATCAATGATCCATCGAAAATGAATCGCTAGTACAGGAAATCTGCCTCGTACACCGTCAGCGTCTGTCGTCCTTTTCGGTAGGTGGTGATACTTGCGAATTTAGATCACATCCATTTTGCGAGGGGACAGCGACAGTGACAGCTGAAAGCCTACCTAGTTTTATTACCAGGTAAAAAAACCGTGAAGCCAAACACTCAAAAACGACCTCACTCTTCTCAGTGAAGAGGTTTACAAGTCGTGATCGCGATCCTTCGCCTTTAGGATTGACGTCGAGTACGTAGAAAGATCCGCAAGGTCGTGGAGAGAGATGGAGCGCGCTGGTGGTGGTGAAAACAAAAGAAGAAGCGAAAGATGAAACGCTAAAACTTATGGATACTTGCTTCACGATTTTCTGTTGTTCCACAAAATAAAAATCAAAACTTTTTTTGTCTTCCTCTTGTTTTTGTTTTGGAATTTGGAGATTTTTAGACAAAGTTCTAACTTCTATTCTTTTCCCACTCGAAGCTCTGACGTCTCACTCTACACCGATATATGCCTTGCTCTTCACTCAATGCATCAACTCAACATCGCTTTTATAATTTCTGAGACTGAGGATAAGTGGTTCGCCCTCTGTGTGCGCCAGCAGAGCAGGACTCAAACAATAGTTCGACATGATCTCAAAATGAAAATTCTAAGCTCAAAAACCGAATGCTGTTGCACAAGATTGATGAGGAAGCCACCACTTCTGAACAATCACTTTTGCAGGAGTTGTCACCGATCGAGAGTGTTTCACACATCATTCCTCAGTAGATAGGAATTTCAGGTTCACAATGATCATAGTGTTGGTAAACAATAGTCATGTCGCATGGGACAATGAAGTCAAACAATACGCGTCTTAAACTTGAGCGACAATGACTTCCAACCAGAAGATCTGATGCTGAACAGTACTTTTCTTGGAAGTTTGGATAGAAGAAGTATGAATGAGTTGCGCTGGCGCACGATGGGGTTCGCGTTCGGGTTCACGAGGCTCACAAGTTGTATTATAAGATAACAAGCTAACTTGTGTCAAACATCATGATGCTCGGTGAAGCTCATGGGTACAGTCTTTCGGTGTACGTTAAAAGTCTTTAGGTGTGGGTCGTGGTGTGATCACTGCTTTGGGAGACGAAATGTTCACTTGTACAAGTCTTTTCAACCGCAACAAGCTCGATCTGGCTTCTTCTCAAGCTCAACATCCCTAAAATTACCACTACTTCCTCCCGCTCCTGCTTTTTTTTCCGTCTTCATGGATTTCTTACCCTTATTTAGCGCTCCTGCACTTTGATTCCGACTTCTGTCTTCCTCCTCAGTCGGCTGCTGTGCGATTTCGGTCTGGAGTTTCTCAGCCATAACGTCCTCTGAAATCTTTGAGTCTTCCATGCGCCATTCCAGCTGCTTGCGAATATACTGCGCCAGCATCGGACCACGCTTGACGCCAAATCTCTTCTGCAGCGTGTCCCCTTGGAACGTCGGCGTCCACGTCCAGCAATTTTCTAAACCATGACTCTCCACACTCTCTATCAAGCGATCAGTCGCACTAGCAATGGCTGAATTTGTTGCTGTACTCGGTATCAAGCGATCAGGCTCAGGTGCGGCGAAAAGAGAATCCTCGTCTAGGACGAGGTTTGCTAGAGTTGCCTCATCGGCCTTTGTTCCACTCGCAACCTCCCTTGCAGCTGTTGTACCGTCTATTTCGTTTAGTGCGCAATGCAATGCTTCTGCGAGAAAGAGCGCCCACCTCCAGTTTTCCTTTCTTTCGCGGAGGGCCGTGCCCAACTTGACCGCCGTTTCAGCATCCAATGACAATGTGGCGGTCGCGGAAGGAGCTGGTCCGGCAGCCGAAGGGGAATCATCTTCTTGTCCTAGTCCTCCCTCCAATTTTCGTATCTCTGGAAAGAACACTGTCAGAGCTGTCCGTGCAAGTGCCGCTGCCAATTCGCTGGTGGCTTTTTTGGTGACTAGATTCTTCCACAATATCGCGTATATTGCGTCTACTTCTTTCTTGCCCTCTGGAGCCTTGACGTTGCCGAAAGCGACGAGTAGGGCCGCAAAACGAATGGAGGCAAGCAAATCGCCACTTGGAGGTGTGCTGTAGTTGTTAGGTACAGTCCTCGAGCTTTGAATTTGATGTCCGTTTCCAAGACCACTTTTAGTAGCAGAAGCAGGAGAAATGACATCTGTCGAGCCACTCGTTCGGGAAGCGCCTGTTTCAGAAACTGCAGCACCAGCACCTCCGGCGGCAGCTCCTGCGATTGGACTGAGAGCAACTGCTGGACCTGCACCTGCTGCACTCGAGAAGTTGGTACACCTTCGCTTGATGATCTGCTCTAGCTTTTGCACTGTCTTGTAACCCAGCTGCTGCCATGAATATGGAAATAAACTGCGCTTGCTTTCGCACAGAGCGGCAAAATTTGCCGGCACAACCTTGTTGCCAGTAGCTGGAGGAACACTAAAAGCGGCCAAAACAGCATCTTCTAGCTGTTTTTTACCATTGATGTGGTCCGCGGAATTTGGAGGTGAGTCGCTTTTTCCCGTTGAAGAAGCAGAAGCTCTAGCATTGGACTGCCCTACTTGAACGATTTGCTTTGCCAGGAAAACAGGCTCCAGCATGCCAGTGGTCGCAAAGTAATGAATCGCACGAGCTGGTGACCGCGCATGCTTCATCACCTTCTCAATTTCGATACCTAGTCGCTCAGCCGACACCTTTCGGCAGGCGAGTGCTTGTTGGACGTGGGGTAAGCGGCACGCGCGAAGGATCTCCGGGTCCATGTCAAACTGATAGCGACACGCGAATCGCACAACGCGTAGAACCCGCAAAGGATCGTCTAAGAAAGTCACCTGGTGGTAGGAGGATGATTATACATAGTAAAACAACAGCAACTACTAGTACTCGTGGCACAGGCACTCCCAAAGTCTTAAAAAACCATACATAAAACTAAAAGTATCATGATCATCGAAGTAGTTGTAAGTCCTCCTAGCTCAAGAGCTGTAAGCAAAATCATGAATTATACAATACAATTTATCTCGCACAAAGTTCAGTGCAGACTGCCACAAGGGCGTCATAGATGATACACACGATGGATCTCACGCAAAGAGTGGAGTGGAGAAGCGGCACGGTTACGTCTGTTGTGAAAAGTTACAACTTAACACGAACTAGCCCTAAGCGAGAGATTTAGACAACGAACCCCAACTATCACCGTCCAAACATCTAAGACTTTAGTAAGCAGTGTACTTAGGTGAGACGGGACAGCCTTTTGCTTTATTTACGCAAGCGGAACAACTTAACTACACTACCACGCGCTTCACAACACAAGACTTGAGCTCAACGAACTTACCGTAATAAACTTTTTTTTATTGACATAACCGAGGAAGCAACCACTGAAGACGACACTTTCTTCCTTTACTAGCTTAGCCTGCTTATGTTAGTGACTTTATAAACTGCCCTGCTTCTGCTTTCACTAAAAGTGAGTGTTTTTCTTGCAGAACTTCCATGAAAAATACCTCTGGATCCAGTGGCGTCCGGATGAATCCATATTGTAAGTCTTGAATGCCTTTCCCTGTCAAATCCTCGACGGAGGCTTCCTGGAGATTGTAAAAAAGCGAGTTTATGGTGAGGTCTCGTCTGTGAGCGTCTTCATCCGCAGTACCGACTTGTACTACCGGAATTCGTCCGCTTTCTTCGGCATAAACTTCTGTTCTCAAGTTCGTCACATCAATCGAGACTCCGCAAATACGAAAACAAGCGGTTGCAAGGTGTTTCGACTGCTCTGGATTCTTACGGACAGTACCGACTGAAGAAATCTGTTTATTGAAGATGAATTTTGATTGTTTATGTGTAGATTGAAATGGTTTATGGTCATGGTGTGTAGATATTTGGCTAAATTTCACTTCAGGAACGAAACGAGATAAAGATTGCCAATCAAACCGAACGTCATTTCTTCAGTACCTTCAGTTTCGACGCGTATGACGGTGCAGCGTTCGCGTCTAGCGTTTGTATGAATTTGGAGTATTTTTCCACGTGGTCCGCGAATTCTTCTCCCGTCCCCTGATCGACCGCAATGTCGATATCATCGGAGGCAATACCCAGAAGTTTGTCGCGGACCCACCCTCCTGCGGCACGAAGAGTCGTCTTTAGATCATAATGCTTACACGTGTCCAGGAAGACTCGGAAAATGAGCCGCTCCTTTTCCGTCAAGTTCACTGTGGGCTGCATCACGCGCTTCATTCTTTACTTCTTCTACTATGAAACCTACGGGAAAGATGAGGCAAAATAAATCCCAATCTTTCCGAATGAAATAATAGAAAAGTATAGTGAAGATGGAGGTCAACTTACGCAGCGTGGTTACCCAATCTTTATCTTAGTAGGTAGAGTACCAACACTTCTAACTGGTGTATTTGTTAGTTACAACTCCTTACTTTTATCTATCAACAGTTAGTATTTTCTAGTGAACGATAAAAGGCGAGCGAAGTAGGAGTGAGGCTGAAAACAGAACAAAACCAAGCCAACATCACTGTAGCTGCATACAGCTTCTTTTTGAGTTTCACTTGATGCCTACAACAATGGAAATGACGTAGAGATGAGTCGCGCAAATTTCCTTCGATCCTTCGAGATCCTCACTTGCAGCTTATGAAGATCTGGAGTCGAAATGGAGAAAAACATAAGACCCGATGTTGAGTCGTGCCAGTACAACAAGATCGTAAAAGACATGATCCTCATCGTGGTGTGGTCAAAACTCGATCAACATGCCACCGAGTCGATCCAGGAACTTCGTTTCTTGCGGATCAACTTTTCGTTTCTATTTGTTGCAGGTACAACGACCACAATGGTTAATCCGAACAGCTGCGACGCAGTCTACACGACACCTGGATTGCTTGCTGCATTTTGTGTTTATTTCTTCTTCTTGTAAGAAAACGATGAAGTAGTGCTTCTAAGCTCTGATGAAGGTTCCACTTATACCATATCTTCAAATGATAATGATTGAGGGGTGTGTGTTGGCGGCCCGCTCCACACCCGAAATCAAGAGAGAACCGACAACAGCACTACCTTATTCATATTTATTAAATCCCATGAATACGTCCTAGAAATAAAAATGAAACCACTTTTCAGCTGTACGACGCACCGTTCAAGCAATGAAATATCGGGCAGATCAAACAGCTGATTTCTCGCTGCAAACCCTCCACGAATAATATCGCAACCGAAACACTGGAAGAATGTACTTCTTCTAGTTCTTCTAGTGCGTGACATTCTTCATTTTCTTAGTTGTGAAGTGATGTAGGTGTAGTACTTGACGGCGCGACTCTCACTCTCTTCGGCCATCTGCCTAAAATTTCCCTGACGACTTCTACCCGCTAGATGCAGTACTGGTACTTGAGTATATATGATAGTTAGTAGTTGATGGAAGTTATTCAAAAATTCTAGTACTGGCATTCTTCCTACTAATCCATCTATAAGATTGACAATGACGCCGATCAATCAACATGATACGATAGATCATGTAGTAGTAGAAGTCCGCACTCGCATTGCGGCAAATACATCCCAGTATCGCAATCATCGTCATCCTCAGCACTACATCTACAATTCTTAATTTTCAATGATGTACCAGACAAACGTTGTACATTTATGCAGTGGACCAGGAGAGGTCTTGCTGTGCTACTTTCCTCATCAAAGTACTCCACTACCTTGCACCTTCTCCTGTAAGAATTATACATTTTCTTAGATATAGAATCTAGATAGAAGTATAGATACTCATACTACATTTTCTCGAGCCCGTGTTTCTAGTTCTGTGCGACCCGTTGCCCATTTGATATCCATCTGAATGCGCCTCTGAAGTCTTTTCCTGTGCTGCTCTAAAGTTTCTTCATCTTTTCCATCTACTCCGGTGTCGCTGCTGTGGTGTCGTTGCTGCAGCGCTCGCATCCTTTTCCGCAGTTCCGTCGCACTCCAGTTCGGTGCATCACCGAAACTGATGTCCAACATTTCAACGTCGTACTTAGAGCAGCTACCGCGTCGCATCCCTGAGCCCATCGCTGCACCCTTTTCCTACTTGAAGAAGAGGCCACGGATGGTTCTGGGGATGCTTCAGCGGTAGCCTTAGCGTAGTATCTCGATTCTATTCCTGGTTTCTGCTCGTCATCTACGTGCTTTTTCTTCAACAATGAGCTCATTTTCTCCATACTTTTCATAGACTCGTAGGCACTCGTCAAGATCCACCTCGTGAGTTCACGCGCCACTACCGCCACAAACAGGCCACAGTCATCTATTAGACCTTGCCTAAATCTATCTTGATCAGCATCTTCGTGACCTTTTTCCCTTCAAAAGAGAGGCAAGATGCTGGGAAAGATGGATTTCCTCAAGCCTTAAATCTAGCGTTTGTTGCGGTGTGTCTTCAACAATAGTCAAGGTCCAACCGTTGTCGAAATCTGCGATTTTACTTAGAAGACTATCATAATAGGGGTTGTAGGATTTTGGAAGGTGCTTTTAGCTCGCTTCTACTGTGGTCCCGTTCCTTTTGCAGCAGCTCCCTTACTTTATTCTCCCTCATCCATGAACCAAAAGCACAAGTGATAGATTTAGATTAATGTTCATGTCCTTGTACCGAAAGGCAAAAATAACAAACAACGACAACAACACGTATAATTCGAAAAATTGAGATAAGCAAGTAACAAACACAATAAACGAGTATCTTAGACTATTCCGTAGCATATTCGGCTATGTATTTCCGCTTTTCGATTAGTCAAAACCTAGTAGCCTTAATTCACCTTGAGCGGTGTAAATCGGAAGACGTCCAAACAGGCTCATGATGCGTTGTAGGAAGTCAGCTGCGCGACCTTTTCGCGTCTGCAGTGGATTTTGGTCTCCACCCCCAATTCCTCCAGGAAGGGGAACGCTAGTGTTAGAACTGTCTGAGAGGAATCCATCTCCAGCAGGATCTTGCGCCCCCGTTTCTCTTTGAAAACGGGACCAAGAGCAAGATGCCTGTAAACAAAGTAGATGAATAAATATTGTAAGCCTTAATGCTAGCAGACAAAGAGTCGAAGTATGCATAATGGCGACGATGTGTGTCCACTACTGCCAAAGCCCAATGATCTTCAACAGTTGCTCCTGATCCTGTGCTGGAGGACGTACTAGTGGTCTTTCCAAAATGTGCAGGCACGATGAGGAATCGAGCCACCTCTGCTTTCCACGACCCGCGTCGTTCACGACCTTTGTTGATTTTGGTATCAAAGGTGACACCACGGTCAGCAGCAGGGGCACCGGAAGCTTGTTCCGACGTGTTAGGTATCATGGAAGGAATATCGATCGAAGAAGCCGCGCGCCCCCGATGCTCTTCGTCTTTTTCATCACTGCTAAGTCCATCACTGCTTGCGCTCGCGCTTTTTGCCTCGTCTTTACTCCGTAGATCATCAGGTGAGTGTCCATGATCTACTTTGTGGTGCCAGTATAACGCCGAAAATCTTGGTTCGCTTCCAAGACTTCTGCCCTCTGCGGAAGATGAAGCTGTGGCCTTCTTGGCTTGTTCCTCTCCTAATACCGTTGAGCCTGGCGAGTCCGCTTCCGCAGGTATAAAAAGGGGTCTTTCCGTTCCACGAATTGTGAGCCATTTGAATACGGACTTTGGTTTTTTTAACCAATTCTTTAAAGGGTCCTCTTTTCGGACGTCTGATGTGTCTATCATCTTCGAAGATGCTCCTGACGATGGAACGAAATGAGTATCCCACACCTTCACATGCTCCAGCACGTGCTCTAATTCTTCTACTACTTTTTCGACGCCCGTGTCGGCTTGTTTCGCTTCAGGAGGACCTTCCGCAGGTCCAGCATGAGTTTGAGGACCATCCGCAGGTCCAGCACCAGATGACATGGATGAAGGACTTGTGACGTATGGTGGAACTGGACTCGCGTGGTTCAGCACGTGATCCTCGGAGGCTGAAAAATCAGGTGAAGAAAAGAACAGCAACTCCCGCATGCGTCTTGCGTATGCTTCATGATCATCGTGGTATTTTAGTTTCGGCGCCTCGAAGTGTACGACAGCATCTCGCATTACGTGGATCAAATACGTGCTCAATAGGTATCCACTCCATGGTCCTGAGCTCCTCAAAGGCTCCTGTTGCTCTCCTGTAAGTGTCAACAAACGTGGAGAACGTGGTGAAATTCTTGGCTCAAGACCATGATCCCAAAACGAGGTACGAGGCCGAACCTCTTCTTCTACGACCATGATAGAAGAAGGAGCAGTCGTAACGTGCGTGTCATCGTCTGCACCTCCAGAGAGGTCGTCAATCTGAATCTCCGAACCGCTGTCGTCTTGCGCTACAATTGCAGGGGCCAGAGAAACAAAAGGCAAAAGTGGAGCTGGCTTCGGATCCGCGGCGGCTTCTCCTTGTGTTGGCGTTCCAAGAACAGGCGATCCTTGTACTGGCAGACGCCTATTTCCCCCTTCAGGAGCTGCCGAAGCGGACTCCTGTCCGCGAACAGCTTCTCCTGGTGCGTTTTCAGGCTCACGGCGACCATCTTCGGCGGCCGCAGCCCTCCTCGCCGTGCTGGTTGGAGCAAGCGTTCTCACTGGTGGTTGCGGTTCCACTGGGACACGTGTCACAGATCCTCTGGGGCTTGGAGAAGGTGCAGCTCGCTTACCTACGGCTGCTTGTCCGTCACGTCGTTCCGGCTGCGATTTCCACTCCTTGAGGACCGACCGAAGGCCAGAGATCGTTGCCCCCTCTAGATCCTCAACGCTGATAAACTGTTCTGCCACGTGACGCAGTGGAAGCGCTTGTTCACGTGAAGGAGAGGATGCTCGCCGCTGCTCCTGCTGCGCCAGAGATCTCAAACGAGCTAGCGCTGCTTGAATGTTCTCCTTGAGGTCGGACTCGAGCTTCTTTTTCAGGATGTCGCGCGCTCTCACAATTATCGCTGCATCTTGTTCGGCCGCTGTCCTCCCAGAGGTTGTTCTTGGTCCTGATAAATTAGAGCTCCTCAACACGGTAGATTAACATCTAAGTACTTCCACAATCAGTTCAGTACGTTCATTTTGTCAGAAGCATTTACAACTACCTAAATACTTTTTATTACACTGGAGAAATTATTATACTTCCGGAAATATTATATTATAATGATGTTGAAGATGAACAATTTGCGAACTACAAGGTGTAATCATTACAATTAGTGCCAGCAAGGTAGATTAGAAATATTTCTTTGAGCCGCAGCCTTAACTGAAACTCGTCCCTGCTCAAAATCGAAAATCGCTTCCCCTACTGCGACTTTCAAGCGATGCTCTAGGTCGATATAGGGAATCTCTTCTGGAAATAGTTGTTCTTCTTGCGACAAGGCTTGGTCTTCTTGATGGAGGCGTCTGGCAAGCATTTCACGTTGCACTTGCTGTAAGACGCCACGAACGAAAACGCCATCTTCGGCAAGCGCCTTCCCATCGACGTACACAGTGCAGAGCGACTCGTCAGTGATTCTAGAGTCTGGCAGTGAACTTAGAAGACGGTGACAAATGCCGTCTTTGTCAAGGGCCATACTAGACATGATTAAGCAGGCCTTCAATCATCACGACATAATTGAAGACATTTTATAAATATGGATTTTTGACATCAGAAGAGCTAGTGCTGGTACGACGAGACCTCTTAACAACAAATTCTCAACGCGCACAATGCGATTCTGGGTATTAGCCGGAGGGATCGGCATGTGCAGGTTCACAGTACCAAAAGCGGAACCTCCGTACCCGAAAGCACTGTCAGGACAACGAAATTGGACAGCACAACGAAGATCCCGCGTCCCTGGAAAAGGTGCTTCTTGCGATTGATGTCTGCTAGTTGTACTCGCAAGAAATTCATGTCGTCGTCTGCTGTCTGCATTTGCGCTTGCGTGGGAGGAAGCGCCCACTGTGGCCAGCGCCAGCGGGATCCCAACGAGCGGACACGCCATTGTAGCGAGAGCGGTCAATCCCGCAAAACCAATGATCCCGCTATCTACCCTGCCAGGAAACAGAAGATCCTCCAGAGGATCATGAATCCTGCCTCGACCCCCTAGCACGCTCTCATCTCTGCGGACCACTTCGACTTCGTTCCGCATCACCTCCATGTTGCCAGTCTCACTCTCACCACGTTGCAGCAACTCCGGTGATGCGTAGCGAGCGGGTAGGCGCTCTCGATCCGGTTCATGCTGAAACCAGATTCTCGCGAAGTCCACCGCACCGTTCGTCAAATATCTCAGGTCAATGTCGACGTGTGTCGGGTCCTCCCCGTGACGATGATGTGCCACGTACGAACCTCGTTGTAGCGCGCGACATGGCTGCACCAAGAACCCTTGGAGAAGCAGAACGCCGAGTAGAGGTAGAGCTGCGGTAGCTTTAGGGAGGGAAGAACTATACCCTCCACCGAGTCGTCCTCCCATTTTTGCTTGCTTCATGTTGTAGTTGGTATGATAAATACGTCTGATAGTTATCTGAGGTTAGGTTAGGTCAGGTGTGGGCCTACCAGGAAAACTGGCAGACATGAATGGCTGCTGAAGAAAAGGTCAGTTAATCTGAATGATTAACCGAGATCGAGCTCGTTACGACTCCCTGCTTATCGGTACTAATCAATGGTAGATCAAATAAGTACAAATTCATTCTAAGAATGGATCCTACAATTTTTAAGGAAACGACTAGTTGTACACTCACAGGTAATCAAAAATCCAAATTATCACTGATCTTGATTCCTATAATCTTCTTGTACATCATGCTATTGTTGTTCTCGTTTCCTCTCAGGCGATTCTACTGGTGCTTACGCTTGTGACGTATTTTCCAAAAAACAAAAATTCTCCAAGTAGATAAATAACCACAAGAAATTTACTCTAGTAATGATCTAGATCTTCTATTATTCACAGAAAATGCCGTAGAAAGAGAACTGTAGTGCGTGATTTTTCAACTCTAATAAATATATATAAACCCGTCGGTTAGCTTAGGATTGTGATCATTCATGTAGCTTCCTAGTTAGTAATTTCATCGAAGATGAATCTAGTCACGCTGTTCGATACGTTATCGAAGAGAAGTTAGATATCAACGCTTTTTACAATAGACCTCATCAGTCACGTAATCTATGTATTTTCGTCCACCAAGTAAGTAACCTAGAACAATTATTTCGCTTTTCTCGTTTTTTTCATCGCTGTTTCTTAAGTAGGTTGGTTTAGGATTGTGTGTAAGTGGCTTGCGATCCTAATGATCAGTGACAGAAGAGCTCCTCTTTTCACATCCAAGGCGCAGGTGACGAAAGCGGCGTTTCTTTATAATCATGGATCATTCATTTTCAGAATTCAAGGCTTGAAACAAAGCTGCCGTGAAATGTGTAGATTTCCACATCTTTGAGAATCCGATTCTGAAAGACGCTGCGGTCTCAGACAGATTCATTTTAGATGTATAAGCACAAGACCAACGAGTCGCAAAATTTGCGAGCGCCTACAGGGGACTCCGCCACAGAGGCCGACCCCGACCTGGAAGTTGAAGTTCCACTGGATAAAAGCAAAAAATAGGTGGACGAAACTCTTCCTCCGTATGGAATAACACTCCAGAGAGGACGCGGGTGCGTAAAACTTAGGTACTCATACCGGGTAGAAGAGGAAGATGTTTGAGTGAGGCCAGGGGGAAGCTGACGAATGCGTGTCGGCATTCCATATGGAGAAGGTGAGAAATAATATTTAAGTAGGTGAACAAGTCAACACCAGACGAGAGCGAGACACTAAGCCCATTCGAATTAGATCAGAAAGAGAAGGAACAAAGGGGTTGGTAGGTCTTCTGTATTATGATGTCCTCCGTTTCTTCTCACTATATGTGCTTTTCCAAAAATGGGTGCTGAAATGTGAATCGGATAGTACAAATTCTCCCATGAAAGTACTTAGTGACACTTACATGAGGAGGCCAGAAGTCATTGTCATTCCCGTATTTTGAATTCTAGTCCTTCCCCGGATGCTTGATGATCAACCATGGTTTTCCAACCATTACCATCCTGACTACTGCAGCTTTTCTGTAAAGCTTTTAGCTCGTCGGTCCACCCTAGTTCGTGACACATCTCGAGAACTTGTTCGTCGCAAGCACCTTCTAGGAACAAGTCTCGAAAATTTTTTGGGTGCGAAAATTGAAAAGCTCTCGGTCCCAGCAATGGCTGCTCCTCTGCTGTGCCGACCGCTTCATTGTTCACCAGCACGCGGACCCCGCGACCCCCGTTCTTTAATGGCAAACTCTTAGAGGTGGACGACCCAACAAAAAATGCTGCTCATCAACAAAGATGATGAAAGCTGTAGGTCTCCTTCCTTGTTGTATGGAAAAAATAGGCTCTTCATCTACAATTCTAGGTTTGGAGCACTATCATGATTTGGAGCACTATCATGATCTTCCTTGTTTTTCCTTAGTAATTTCAGTAACGGAGTGGTCTCAGAAGTCTCTGTCGTGCAAAGCTAATTTATCTAAGAACTCTATGTCTATTTGCCATAAGGGTAATGCAGGTATTAAACGGCGAAACCTTCAAACTTGTTCCCATCACGATCAATGCGTCTGCGGCTTCAAAGTCCTTCCTCCTCATAGCGCCAAAACGTGGCGGCAGATTTTCCCCAAAACTTAGAGCTATCGCAGCCGCATCCCTGGACCCATCCTTGTTGGCTCTATTTTCAAGTAAGTATGTATGTACAGGTTGAAAAAGAGCCGGGAATCATGGTGCTGAGGATGCTTCAGCGATAGCTAGCCGTAAGAAAAAGACAATATCCGGCTTGACCAGACCAGCGCAATACTGTCTCCTATCGACACCATCGTGGACGTATATCTTCTCCCCTCTTTCATCCTTTGGAGACGGAGACAAAGACGAATCCACGTGGTCCTCCTCATCACTGTGGTCACGTTTGCTGGAAGACGAAGAGGCTTTACTGCCGCGACGTGGTCGCTGCGGGGGACCGAGGCACCTGCGTATCATGATGATCTTAAATGATCTTGTAAAAGAGCAACATTATAAAAGAGCAAAAAATGGATCGAGCGAATGTAAATGATTTCCAAACTTATTTCAATACCGTGGAATCTCATGCTTCTCTATTTTTGCGCGCCAATCGTCTAGTCGAACCTGCCGTCTGCACTCGATGCAATGAACATCGGCAAATGATCCGTGAGCGTAGACAACCATCTCGTCAGGTAAGCCGGCCAACTTCTCTAGCGTATCGATATTCTGGGTATACACTCGTTGCAAGAGACCCTTTTGCATCAACAGCGAGAGAAAGAAGTGCGTTACTTAGAGATGCTGCGGAAAGAACTTGCTCTCGCAGTCGTCGAATTTAAGTGAGCCTGCTCATGCAGTCGTGAATACATGATAGGAATACGAAAATCCAAGAAATAAAAACGACAACGGAGAAAGGAAATGGGGAGACCTGTGGTGGCTGTCTAACTACTACCTCAGCTCCCATACAATGAATTTAGTATTTGCTTATCATAAGTCAAAGTCGGCTGAAATTTGCCTGGAAGCATTTCGAGAGATCGTTCTGCAAATGGTCTGGGGTTCTTCCGGAAATAGCTTATGTCGAAAAGCGTCTCCGGTCTTGACATACCGTGTTCGCGCCTCAACTTCTCGTACAAGCCGCCTTTGGAACGAAAGTCAGGTATTAGAAGAAAGTCGCCAGTGTACTAGAGAGAAGTTTCCGCTGTGTCACAAATTTATTACAATAATTAGTGGTTCTGGTTGGTACTAGCGGTACTATCGGGATGTACAGCTACTGTTTTAGAGTTACTGAGAGGATATAATGATATGTCGGGAGCGGTAGGTACATTAGCTACAACAGGTTTAGCTTCAGGTATAAAAAAAAGGTAAGTGCTTTTTGTCCAAATACTTCAAGAACTATCTTCCATCCAATCATAATGGAATGCCAGCGGACACTGAGATTCCGGCGCCACACATCACCACGATTTTCTGGATTTTGCCAGTTTTTATGAAGCGACACAAGTCGGGTAAATTCGGCTCCGCCCCCTCGAAAACTTCTTGTCTCTCTTCCTCGCTATACTGACGCCACCAGTCATCCTTCGTATCTGATTGTTGAAGATACCACGGTAAGCCAGAATCGTCGCTATCATAATCACTATCGCTAGCAGCCATTTTTTACTAGTAGAGGCTAAGACGGGAACAACCTAAAAAAGAACAGGTGGACGAATGATTTCTGACCCAGCACTTATTGTATTAGCAAGAGTAAGATGCTGATGTAGTCGTCCTGATCCTCGTCGATTATTTACTAACTACTAGGTACTCGACGGGTTCTCCTTTTCTTTGATAGGAGGATAGGAAAAAGTCATAAAAAGAAAAACACCGGATTCGACTTCAATTTAGTCAAAATGTTTCCTGCTACGGACTGGTTTAACATACATCAATAGAAGTCAATGCACTACTGGGCTACTTACTTTACAAGAACAACGAACCCTAAATGACTACTTTTGTTGTACTTAGACGGTTATACGGCCTAGAAGGTTGGCACGTAGTGATCGCGATCGGTCGTGAAAGGTCATCGCGAAGGTTGTAAATTCATCATCGCGATGGCTGAAAAGATTGCATCAAGGATCGCGTCTACTGGCTCATGCGATTTTTCACAAAATTTGCTGAAATTGTATTTTTTTCAAGTAGGAAGATGTTTTGATTCCGCTGATGATGAACGGCTCTGTGTCTCGAACATTTTTTGACAGGTCTGTCACCCAGCAGCAGGTCGGAGAGTTTCAACGGAACATCAACAACATTCGAATCAACAGGAATCAACATGTATCTATGTATATATCACGCAAACAAAAAAATCAAAATCTTACACCCTTGTTGCTGGATGGTGCGATCGGCAGAACTATTCCGCTTTCTTGCTGCAGTGATCCGCCTATTGCACCGATGAGTCGGCGATTCATATCGTCGAATTGGGTTTGGAACGCCTTCCACTTCGCATCAAGCTCTGCGCTAGCAGTGTTAGAGCTCACTTCTATTCATCTTGGACGTGTTTTCCCCTTGGGAAAGCGCTTAAAGATGCTTCTTCAGATGAAGAATTCTACTATGTATTTAAGCCTTAACAGTGCCCATATTCTTGCCTCTTTCTTGAGCTGTGCGGACGCCCTCGCGTGTCTGTTTCAGGTCGCCCATCATGCTCTGAAGATTCTGTCGCGCTGTCGCCACTCTGGCATCCAAGTCATCCTCTCCGCTTGCTTGAGGAGGACTTTTGCAAGCTGTCGATGAAGCTCGAAGAGGGCTCTTCTTAGCTGAACTCGACGATGATGCCCCCGAGTCACGCTTGCTCATTGTTTTTGCGTTTTTACTGGATTGTATTCTTTCATCATCTTATTAAAGAAAGCGGAACTGAATAAATGCCGTAATTCTAGTTTATGAATCGACCTCGCTTCGCAGTGTCACTTTGCATATGCATTAGAAGGCAAGGAAGTCTATGCATTGCATATAATTCTATCTTTATTAATGATCGGCAAAAATCGAGGTCTGACGTCAGGGTTTTAAGGGCGAGCAAGGAGAACCACAAGGGGCACAAATCAACGGACCAGGACTCTCAGAGTTTTAAGGGGAAAGCCAGGGAATCCCAGGGTTCCCAGGGAGGGCTAAATCGCGGTCGGGTCAGGGTTTGGCATCTCAGGGTTTGCAAAAAGGGGCACAAAAGTCAGGATCCAGTTCTCAGGGTTTTGCAGGCACAAACGGCGTCAGGGTTTGGCATCTCAGGGCTTGCCATCTCAGGGTTTGGCATCTCAGGGTTTGGCATCTCAGGGTTTGGCATCTCAGGGCTTGGCCTCTCAGGGTTTGGCCTCTCCGGGTGTGGCTCCCGCCTCAGAGTGGCGCAATGTCAGGGTTTAGCGCCTCAGAGTTTCGGCATGTCAGGGCTTCCCGCCTCAGAGTTGCGCCAGGTCAGGGTTTAGCGCCTCAGAGTTTTGCGCCTCAGTGTTTTGCCGTTTCAGGGTTTCCCGCCTCAGAGTTGCGTAATGTCGGGGCTTCGCGCCTCAGAGTTTCGCGCCTCAGAGTTTCGGGATGTCAGGGCTTCCCGCCTCGGAGTTGCGCAATGTCAGGGCTTCGCGCCTCAGAGTTTCGCACCTCAGAGGTTCGGTGTGTCTGGGTTTCCTGCCTCAGAGTTTCGGCGGGTCACAGTTTCGGCGTGTGACACTGTTTCACCGAGTCGCGAAGACGTTAGCGGGCTCTAACGCGGCCGCCAGCCGCGTTTGGGCCGTCTAACGTCAGGCCCGCAAAGGGGCCCGAATGGGCTCGCGTACCGGGGGGAGGTCGCCCGCGGTACGGTGAGCCGGAGGCTGGAGACTCCTTTTCCTTCCCGTCCTGTTTTCCTTCGCTCCCGGTCTCTCTCTCTCCTGCTCCTAGCAGCTCCTTCTCCCTCGTTCACCTTTCCATCCTCTCGGACCGCTAAACACACGGGAAACGACTAGTTGCTTATATATAATTCTCTTTCTTTTTAACTTGTGTAGTCTTCATCTTCACGGCTTATTTGAAACTTCACTACACTCAGTTCCAGTTGACTGGCTCGCTAAGCTGCTGGCGATCCCACAAAACCTTTTTACCATACAAAGTGCACGTGTTCAATGTGGTCTCGATTGCAAATTTGTTTTACCCTCATGATGAAAAACAGTTGTTGATTGCTATTCGCCAGGGTACTCGGTACTCTTTTTACATTTTTCTCCATCTATAGAAACTCTCCAATTTCTCGATCTTGTTCTTTCGAAAGTGTATTTGGAATAAACATATCAAAAGGAACCCGAAGTAAATGATATCTTCGATGAGACTAACTTCTTTGTACATTGTCACTATTTCGCCATTAGACTAAGATTATACTGGGAATTATGAAGGTATTGTATTTTTACGATCAAGTCGAATAAATATAAACGGATACTTCACTACAACTTCTTCTTGTTCGTTATCAAGAGTACTAGCTGTACCAAAAACTTTTCTTACGACGACTGTGGAATTATGCGCACAAGTGTCCTGATAACAAGAATGAGGCTTCTATTTTTTCGTTCATCGTCTACGTGTAATCATCCAGGAGTCCGAAATTCTTCTTAAGTACTTAATACTTCGACCAATGCGGTTGGTTCATTTTCTCGATGCTGTGACATTATGCAATCCAAGAGTGTTGTATGTTCGATTCTCATACTCATTACATGTAGCTGGTATAATGAATGTCATAATGTTTTATCTGTCTTCGAGCTTCGCCATATAGGTCTGCGAAAGAATAATTTGAATGCCGTCACCACGAACTACTATGTATAAATATGCTTATTATATCGGACCAGGTGAATTCCCAACATTGAGTGCCTTGCTCGCGCCCTTTTACAAACCATCGTCGCCCATGCTATACATGAGGGCCTCGTATTCGTCGAAAGTGATTAGTGAATGCCTAGGCATTGTCTTCAAATAGCTATAGCAGCTTCTTTCAAATAGATTTAGACAAAGGTGTAGACCACGCAGTAATCTAATTTTTCCTACAATTTTTTCTAGTTGGGGTGGTGATTTTTGAAGATTCCGACCAGCCATAACATGTGAGAAAACATGCTTCCGTTGTATGAGTCCTCGGCATCGTCGTCGCTTTCGAGCCCATACCTGGCTGCAACGGTTTTTATCTTCGCAGTCTGGCCGTTGGCGTTCGTGTGCGAAGCCTTCTTTTTCGTGTCGCTTTTGTCATCATGCCTCTGGGCCTTTCCTTTGCTTGAATCTCGTCCCGTGAAACGCACCACCGAACGACCATTCGAAATTCCCTTCATAGCGTTGCGCCAGGCCAAACCCAGTGGCTTTCTGCTGTCGTAGCTGGATGATCTACTGCAAGAGCCCAAACCTGGTTAATTTCAATGCAATCGCTATAAGATTTAAGCTGAAAGCGACGTTAGAGGAGGAGAACAGCGGGTGATGTTAAAGTGATCTTATAGGAATCACTTGGCCGGATTTCAAATGACCAGCAGCCATGGATGAGACAAGTACCAAAATATCAATATGATGTCTACGGTAATCAAACGACACGAAGTCTAAGGATGCTCTTGTTCTGTGTGGCTGCGAAAAGAAGATTTAAGTACCTCTGCGCTTCCCGTCCGGATCTGTCCATTTGCCTGTTCGCTCGAATTCATCCAGTGCCTTGCCGACCATTCTAAGCGCATGATTGTGAGCCATCACTCGACCGCGGCGCGAAAAGATGCTGATTGTCCCCTTGGCGGACGCAGGAGGCTCGGAGACGCAGCTCAAACTGCGTTCATCATCTTCATCGTCGCTGTCGTCTTCATCATTTACTGCGCGACCTGCAGCTGCAGTTGTCTTCTGATGTTGCTCCTTGTTTACTTTGTTTCCAACTCCCTTGTTGCTCTGCTCTGCTGCTCTGAGGAGAGAAGCTACTTCTTTCTGGTCCCGATTCTGCGCGACTACAACGTTGCCCACGTTGTCCGTTTCTTGATTCTCCTTGTTCTTGTCGTCTTCGTCAAACTGCTTCTTCTTGTCTAAAATTGAAGCTGTGGCGGATGATGTTAAAGCTGCGTTATGGCACGATCGCGCTGCTGCTTCAGATGTCTTCTTTTCCTTCAATTTCCCCGGATACTCGTACTGCACTTCCTCGTCCGAGTAATCCTCAAAACTTGCGCGCATTGTCATCAAAGCACACACAATATCACACGGATCCGCGTCAGGCCTGTAGATATTGTTGTAGATCTACCGTACGAACCAAAAGTCCGTTCAGAGGTCAAACTGTGAGTAGCATATCACACTCCATCAAAGATTGTTCGCGGCGAAATTAGCCCCAGACTTGGCAGAAACAATACTGTTGTTCGATCAAGAAGTACAACAAATGGAAGTAGTGCGATTTGGAATAAAAATACCAGAGGTGTTTTTTCGACTCAGCGTAGCTTTCCATACTGCGATCCTCTGAAGCCCCGGGAAAGTACATTTGCTCAGCCAGACTGGGGTCATCATCATCGTCGCAGTTGAACATGCCATGTTCAATGCAATCCGTAAGGTCCTTAATGATCTGGTTCATTAGCGGTAGGGTTTTGGTGTTCGACGTTCACCCCGTTCGTTATGCCTTTCCCCCTTCAGAGAGGCAAAACGAACGGTAACAAGAACACCTTTAACCTACCCTTAAGTTCAGTGTCAGTCGAAGGTCTGGCGCAATTGGAAAGACCTTCTTATTCAGTTTCAGTCGAAGGTCTGGCGCAATTGGGAGACAGTCAGAGTCGTCTTCACTAGCTACGGGAGACGGGTTAGAAAACTGGAACTCACTAGAAGACAGCTCGCTGTGGTAACTGGCGGCGGAGAGGCTCGAGGACCGGCTTTCCTGTTTCGAGGCGAGCGTCGCACCTGTCCTCTCCGCTTGCTTTATTGCTCCACCAAGGAGCATCTTGCCTTCTTGGTTCAATTTCGTCCGCTTCCTCCCAGTCGCATCATCGTCTGCGTCTTCAGCATTGATATCCTGGTCACGTTGCTCCGCTCTTCGTTTGCGCCTGCGTGCAGCCTTCTCGGCGGCTAGCTTTTCCCTCACGGCCGCGGCACCGGAACTGTAGTCGCGAACAGGCATTTTGCGCTTTTGCCCGATTCTGCGATCAGAGTCGAAGTTTACAAGCAGTTGCTCCAAACTGCGAGGACGATTATACGGTCGCTCCTTTTCGATCTTGTCGTGAAAGATTTTCGAATCTCGCTTCTTCTCGCGTGCTCCTGGGGACTCATTCATCTGGTTTCGAAGTCGCAACACAGAGTTAGAGCTTTTCTTCTGTTCGTTGTGAAGTGTCATCGAAGACGCCATTTCTAATATTTTTTGTGCTAGTTCTTGTACTCACTTAGTTCAAAACAATAACAGCAAAAAACCTTCAAAAGGAGCAGTCGTTAATTCATTGTCATATGAGTAGAAGTTCAAAAGTCCATTCCTTAATCATTGGCAAGACATTTTCGGCCTGGTGCTCCGCTTTATACTGTCGCTTTGGCGCGCGCACGTAGTACACAGGCTTCTTGGTTCCTGCGGCTGCCGAATCCCCACTATCACTATCAGGATCACGCATATTAGAGCACGTCGATGGAGATAAGAGTATCTTCTACAAATAAAGCGAGGTTTGCGTCATGCAGCTACAAGCAGGTAGAATCACCTAGTTTCATGCTCTTTTACATTTATTGCCAGTCGTGTTGCAATAAAATCTTGTAAGTAGTTTATTAGAGCAGACAACGCGGACGCACAATATTTCGATTTCACTTCTTGTATTTCTAGGCGTTTGACGTAAGATCCCGCCGCAAACCGCGAAAGCGAAAGTTGCACTCTTTCTTGGAATCGAAATCAATGTAGGGTCCACCAGGTAACTGAACTCCCTCTTTAAGGGCAGTCTCGACGTCCTTTTTTGAACCAAATCGCACGAAACCGAAGCCTCGTATTTTGTTGTCTTCTTAGAGCGGCTGTAACTTGATGATGCTGTCTATCATGCTGAACGAGAATACCCATATCATGATTGTGATCATCCTGCACTGGTGATTTCTATTTCAATACTCTCTTACTCTTCCATTCTTTGTCAGAATGCGTCTCCGCTGATGTTGTGACGAGACTGTTGAACTTGTTGTTGACACCTACTTCTTACCACAAGTTCAAGTTGTTAGATACACACGAAGCAATCGCATGATTTTCATAACTAGCGCGATCGCGGGGAAGACGCACGTGTGCCACGGTACCACATTTCGAAAAAGCGGCGCGCAGATCATTTTCTTTGATATTCACAGGAAGATCACCGATCATAACTCCCGGAAGATCTCCTGGGTTGGCGAAACCAGGTGCAGGACGATTGGCGGAAGAACTCGAACTAGAGCTCGAAGATGATGAAGCTATAAGCACAACTTTCGGCGGGCCTGCAGGCGGGACTGGCGCTCCCTGTGAGCTCCACATGGGTTGGTGAAAGCCTCTCTGGTGAGAAAGTGGCCGGTCCATCTTCAGACGACTGTGTATACAATGATGCTAATCGTGGATGTGAGGTAGAGGTACTTTTTATTCCATATATTTCTAACAATTTTGATTTATTGTAATCCTTTTACGAAGTAGTGACTCTAGAACTTTTGCTGCGGCCCTCCAGTATTTGGTGCTAGTCGATAAAAGTCGTCTTTTCGGGTTTCTACTATCCACGAGTCAGAAGAGGATGACGATGAGGCGCAGAGCTTTATTTTCCTCATTACTGCCGTGTTAGCAAATCTTGCACATCATTGGAAGCCACTCCCAAATCCATGTCGTCCAGACGGCAAGAGAACACGACAGGCACAGGAAAACAAGCGAAGACGAATAACTGCCCCCCCAGGACGGAGTAAAAATTGGTCATTGCATCTGTCATCATCTCCGAGAACATTTCTTTTTCTTGACTTGCTTGAGTACAACCTCACGCTGAAGAACCAGCGCCATCGACGTATTCGACGGTAATAACAGTCAGTTTCAAACGCCGCTGGAAACGGCTGTCTTTGGCCTACAGCGCCAGGTGTACTAGCTGATGCATTCATATTTTCTTGCAACCCTAAACTCTTCATCTTCATCTTGTGCGTCCTCGCGAACAACGTTGGAACTATGGGGTGCTTGCTTGCGGTGCCTCTCGTTGTCGTTTCGTGGAGAGCTCACCTAAAGCATTCGCTTCCCTCTCTCTTTCCCTTTTTAATATGCGAGGCGCCGCCTCGAGAATTTCCTGTATACATAGCTCAGGTGGTGGAATCCCCAAGCCCGTTCGTCCGTCTCCTTCTCGCATCGCGACCTGCGTTTCTAAAAAATTTGGCCAAAAACGGAACAAATGCATTAAAATTTGGTGAAAATCGAAAGCACTACGAAACGGCAACACCTTTACGCTTACCCTTCATCATCCTCACCGAATAGCGTAATGCAATAGGAGAGCTAGTACATCCACGAAATGTTTTATTCTTAGGTGGTACGTAAGACTAGGATCGTACCATGACGGAATTCAAACGCGGCAAACCGGGAAGCTTCCGAAGAGCCTTCTGATACTCACGTAACCCGTCACTTCGTAAAATTTCCATCACTTTCTTCCTGGTAGCTTCTCCCAAGAAACCTTCTCCATTTTCGGGTGTATTGTCACGCGACCATTCCTGTGTGCCAGTGCAATAAGCGTCGGAGTATCGCTTACTTATTATACCAATGTCTCGAGCCTCTGTCATTACATTCTTGCATCCGCATAGAAACTGCGAGCTCAAGAGATCAACTGCGTCTGCTCGGAAGTCGGGGTCTTCTTGAGTCATGGTCGAAAAGAAGAACAACGCGCGAGGCGACGCAAGCTCCCGCAGCCTCTTGCTGTGACTCACAACCGCCCATGCTTTCTCGTTTGCGGGTCGAAAAAACTCAAAAAACAAGCACCCCAGCGAATAGATGTCGCAGGACGGCTTCACCGGTCCACCACGAGCCACCTCCGGCGCGAGATACCCGCGCGTGCCGATCAGGCCACTGCCTCCATCATCACTCGCCTCACGAGAGCAGCCAAAATCTGCTATCTGGATTACACAGAGTCCTGGGCCAGCGCCGGCAGACGAAGAATCTTGCAGCAGCTTATCTGCAAGACTGTCATGAAGAAAACTCCACGAGTGCCAGCGAATAACAAGAATGTTTGCAGGTTTGATGTCGCGGTGGACAAGGTTTGAAGAATGTAAAAAGTGTAGCCCCCGCGAGATTTGCGATACTATTGCTGCCATTTCGCATTCGAGCAGCTCATACCCGGCATGATCGGCAAGAGAGCCATACTCAGCTATGGGCATTACAATCACGGTTATTTGCAATTGTGGCCTTCGAAAGTAATCTGTCGCATGCGTCAGAAACGGAGAGTCGCCCGCTTTCCTAAGCGCTGCAAGCTCGCGCTCAATATACTTCCGTTTCGCCTTCGGCCCGCTTTCATCGATGACTTTCAGTGCCACCCTGCTGCTGTAGAGGGGCGTCTTTGACACAACAGCCCCAGCATTCGACGTATCTCTACAAACTGAGGGAGGTCCGTCTACAAGCCTACGACTGTAGAACTCATGAGGTAAAAGCTTAGTTACCCTTTTCGCTGCATGTACTGTTCCGAAACCACCACTGCCAAGGTTCTCCTCCAGCTCGTATCTCCTCCACGGTGTATTGGAACCATCACCGATCTCGAACACTCTCCCTTGGAGTTTAGTAGGACAAGCATTCATTTTTTCATCGCCCAGCAGTAGTAAAAGAACTGTCCGTTGATAGAAAATGTGAGAACACTCTACTCAGTCGTGATTGAACTTGAAATAAAGCTACTCTTTATATCATCGTGAACTATCACGGAACCCGAACGCAATCACCTGACAGATCCTTCTTTTCATCAGTACCGTTTCGTTTGGGGGCGCTTTCTGTTCCCGCCATGGTCATGGTGGGATTGTTTTTAACTTACTTCGTGCTGCATGATGATTTTTTACTTGGAAGTCGCACTTTGCAGTTAGAGAAAACTCTTTTTTCTTTAAAGATCATGCTTCTCAGCCTTATTACAACTTTCATCAACACGTCCACTTCCACAAGAACAAAATGCAATTTCTTGTTGGAAATGTTTCAGCTTTTTGGTCGTAGGTGTCTTGCGGTTCTTACCACAGGAAAAAGGTTCGGAATGGGGATTAAGGATGTTGCTGAGGTTGTGGGGATTCAAACAATCAATCTGCGTCTTCCTCGCATGTTCGGGGCGTTCGGCATTTACTCTCACATTCACACGTCCATGACATCCAAGATAATCATAATGGTATCTTCAGTGCCTTTGTGCTGCCTTTGCTAAATTCTGCTTGTGAAGTTCCGAAGCCTCCTCGTGCCGCTTGAGAGCCACCGCTGACGGAAACTTTCGACGACAGAGCAGGCAGCAAAACGATTCAGCGTCTTTCTTCTGGCCCGGTTCTTGAAGTAGATTTTTCGACGATGTTGCGATTGAAGAAGTATCGATATTCAATCGTATTTTATTTCGAACTCCGTCAGCTTGCCTCGTCGATGTTTCCCGCTTTAGATTCCCGGTAGCACTTCTATCTTCAGCTCCTCCAGTGGAAGAAAGCCTGGGTGGTGCTTCACCATCACCTTGCACCAAGGCGTTCGCGATTGTTGGAGCAGCCGTTAACGTGCTTTGCGGACCCAATATCGTAGATTGGCCTCGGCATCCATGCTCCGGACGAAAATTATCCTCGCGTTCTCGCCGCCTCTCTATGCCCTCCCTGTGGAATCATCGACTTGTAAAAATAACAATAAGTATAAAGAGGAATTCGAATTCATCAAATTCAAAACTCTTGAAGATGTGTGAAATCCAAGAACCAGACAGTGGGCATCATTATACTGTAAGACCAACATGATCATTTCCAAGCTGAAACTACAAAGATAGTACACTCCCCATCTAAGTAGAATTTCATTGTTTCGTTTTGATTTTTCTCTCGCTCTTCTCATTCTCCAGTTTTTACCTGAGGACCATCTGCTTCCGGCTGCTTTGAAGAAACGTGTGCGGTCCCGTTGCCAACCTCGTGTTCACTCCCTTTGAGGGGTTGTTGGATGGACGATGGACCATGCGGTGCAAACTTATTTTCATGATTTCACAAATGATTTCTTGACGTGTTAGTTGTACTAACTAGTACTCTTTCAGTGTGAAAAAATAAATCTGCAGCGAAGTCTATATCTTCTCAACTTCTACTACGACAGAATCTTCCGAACTGCTAAAGATAGATACAGTCAACAAAAATGATATGCGGATTGTTGTGCCCTTCGTCATATCGTACTCGTATGAAACAAAACTATAAGGAAGTCAACAATGTGATGAAGTTCGGCCGCCGCAAAGCAGCAATCATGATGCTACGAGACGACAACTGAAACTTACCAGAAACGAAATTGTTTACACCAACATCCTGCCGTGGATGAAACTCGATTCTGTCCACGAGCACGACAAAACTGAACTCGTTAGAGAGAAGCTTATCAAAGTGATCATTACAAAAAACCTTACTGAAGTAAACGAGCATAATATCCACCCGTTGATATGCTTTATCGTTGACCTGAACAAATCTACCTTACAGGTAACATTCCTTTTATCCTTATTTTTGAACTTAGAGAAAAATTTCTAAAAAGCAAAAAGAGGAACAACGGAAGCACCTGATTGCGCGACATTTTTATGCCTGCCTCTGGTAGGGCTTCTGCTTCTCCGTCAGATAAATCCAGGCCAAATACACCCGATAGATCCTCTTTTTGTCGAGATGAGCTTGGTGTTGGCTGTGCTGCTAATATACCAGTAGAAGTACTCGTGGCTGTACCACCAGCTACGCCCACAGCACCTGTTGCTCCTAACGGAACACTATTTATCGAGCCCACTAGTGCAGCTGCAGCTTGCACAACCCCTTCGTCGATTCTTGGTTTATTGTCGGTTCTCTGGCGATGGCTTCTCGAATCAGAGTCGGATCTGCGTCTTTCCTGCAGGCCGTTTATATGCTCAACGAATGAAGGAAAAGCTACAATCTGTCTGTTGTTGTCTTGTAAATGTTCGTTGTACACGAGATTCGTATGCAAAACTGTAAACAAACCATTTTCAAATACAACTTCTTTAAATGGTAAGATCTTATGGGATTCGGATCCAACACTGAATTTCTACTAGCATTTGTTCTTTATTTTCAAAAGATCATAATAGAATCCGCATCAAAATCAACTTCTTTTAACACTTTTTTTTTACAGGATATCAAACCACAACATCTACATCTTTGAAGACATAGCAGTATAATACGCCACTTCGCCTGTGTCCTTGTCGGCGGTTTCGGGAGTCTGATTCACCACGTCGACGACCTCGTGATTGACGGGAATCAGAACGGCTTCTCGATCGTGAACGGGAGCGACTTGAATTTTTTCTCTGAGTCTTGGTATGTCCAGTAGTTACAGTGTAGTTTCTTCTACTCCTACTTTGCTCCCGTTTGTTTTCGCCACGAGCGCGACTAGTATTCCTTGTTCTGCGTCTGTCATAGTCATCTCCTAGAGCTACTGCTCTCGTGGAACTTGATCTGCCATTTTTCCCATTTGATGATGTTGTGGTGGTTGTGGTGCTACTTGATGCTCCTTTTCTCCTCTTGAAGTCCTGTGCCCCCTGTCTGGATCTATCGTCCTCGGATTCACTCGTCGCAACGCCGCCTCGTCGCGGTCTCTGAGACCGCGAGTCTGATCGATCGCGCTGACGTACGCGCCGCGACGTTTGATGGTCACGCGACATCTTTTTCTCAAGAAAGTTTGTTGAACAAAAAAGCGTGGTGTTTCTTCAGATGTTTTCGCGGTTTAAGGAGTCCTCAGGCTGCTGGAAATAAAATCATTTATAAAGCAAAAAACAATGATCAATGATCACACCGTATTAATCTAGAAATGAGGCATGCCTGTGTTGTGCAACGCATAGTAGAAATTCATTCTCGGGCTGAAAAGAAGACGAGAAACTTATAATTGTCTATGGAGAGGAGGAAGGAAACTACGTGAGGGAAGGAACCAGATGCTGACCGTAGAGTGTTCGAATGAGGATCACCTTCTCATGAGTTTTGGGGGTTACAGCCTAGTATCGCGATTCGATCTATTGCAATTCGAATTCGGGAATCAGTCCACTATCAATTCTTCTTACCTGTTGTAGAACGTACTATTTTCGTCCATTCGAATTTCTTTCGTGACACCAGGCACCGGTTGGTGTGTGTCGAGAAAACTAAAAGAGCTCGTTGATTTTCAACTAGGTGAATCACGGAACACACATTGTAGTTCGCCATGATCGTCAGTTAGTAGTGAGGAGAAAAGAGCACAATTGCATACGCGGTCCGAGAGCCATCCATACGTATCCTTCGAACCCTCTTGTTCGCGATTGCTCTCCAATTGCGCCTTGCAATTCATGATTGCTGTCATCGATCTCATGATGTCATCCACATCATCAATCCGAATTTCAATCATGAACCAATGAATAAGTACTCTACTTTTTGGATGCGTTTTCGATGGTTCAACCTTGACTGCGTAAAAACCATCTTGAGCAAGCAAGAAGTATTTAATTTCAGTGCTGAGCCCGAATAAAAATGATCTCCTTTTTCCCCCGATCTGCGCATATGTAAGCAATATGGGAACAAAATGTATTCCTCATCCTTGTTACTTCTATCTTCTGGTGTATTCCTCTGTTGATTCAGATGTTTTGCATTCTACCTTTAGTACCTTGCTGTTGTTGAGTTGATGTAGATATTGATAAGATCATGAGTTCGAGATCGAGTTGTAAGCAGATATAAATCTAGGTTTAAATTGAAATAAGCGTATCTTTATAGTTATGGAGTACCATGGAGCACCGCTCCTGTAGTTCCTCCTATCAGCCCTTCCCCTTGTAGTTCTAACAAGTACCCAGCTGGACAAGTAATCCCAGTACACCTTGGTTGTTACGTACTTCCGACAAGTTCATGTAGTAGAAGAAGTTGCAGTACTTTAACCTTTTCATAGCCATTTTCTGTCTACTACACTATCATAACCTTTACATCTAATAGATACGGGTACCTGCTTGTACCTCCTAGTGAATGGGGTAAAACTAACATCACCTCCTTCCGTTTGCAGTTTTTTCACGGCATAGCTCCCTTTCCGTTTCCTCCCTTAGTGCTGCGGGGGATACCTCCTCCATTGCCGGTGCTTCCTTTGGCTCCATTGCCCTTCGATGGCTGCTGCGGAGTTGGCGGTGGTGGCGGCGCCTTCACAGCTGGCTCTGAGGACGGTGGTGGCGGCGGCGGGACCGGAACGGCGGAACGCCCTCCTACTACACCTGCCTCCACAGTGGCCTTAGTCTTGCCTAGACCCGTGGTCTTGGCAGCGGCTGCTGATGCTTCAGAGGCCTTGGTCTTGACAGATGCGAGACCCTGGGCCAGCTTCTGGTTCACGTAGACGGATGCAGCCTGCAACTCTTCTTAGAGATAGCACTGAATTATCACAATAATATTATAATTCATAAATCATAATCATTCAGAATAAGAATAATCCGAAGGAATTCTAGTCGTTCATTATCGATCTTGAAAGGCATACTAGAAAGAGACGTATCTAAAAAAATACATCTTCTTCTACTTTGACAACATGTTCCCTTTCTCTTTCTTCTTAAACATCTCAAACACTCAAGCCTTAATTGTCATCCAACACTTGCAGCGCGGATCCCCAACTGCCCAAGCCGAAGAGGAAGAAGCCGAACCACAATCCGACCAAAGCGATTACGACGATTAGGCTGCTCATATACAGCAAGATCTGTTTTTTTCGCTTGCTTGCGCCAACGTCCTCCGAAGCCTCTAGGGAACCGCTCCCCTCTGAGGCCTCAGCCACAGAGTCAGTCTGTTGTGGGTGATGTTTCATCAATTTGCGTTTGAAAGTGGAATTCTTGAGATATTCAAATTTTGCTATGGGAGCATTCATCAAGGGAGATGAATATTACAACCAGGAAAAAGAAATCTAAGGAAAGTAGAGGATGAAAAATACGTCTTCTGATGCAGCTGGTCGTGCCGGTGCGGCCTTCTTTTTCATTGCGGTAGGCTTTGATTTGCTTCGTCCTGCCTTCGGTTTCTGTGGTACAGGTTTTTGAGGGAAACTAATATGTGTGTAAAGAAGACAGAGCAATCAAACGTCGGAAAGCAGTACTTCTACAAAAACAAATTCATCAAAAACAAATTGAACATCTAGAATCTGTCTGATCTGCTCATGCTCATCTTCATCAAAAATCAAAATGAAATCAAAAATCTTGTTATCGGACCACGATGGTGACGGAAGCGCTACGGCTCTTCATCGACTTCGCGGGTTCCTTTGCGGCGACCTTGCTCGCGGCCGACTTCATGGCCGTGACCATCTTTTTCATTGTGGTAGCCGGCATCTTTGATTTTCCTTCTATGAATGAATCCAATAAAAGAAACTATGTGAAACGAATTAGGTGGGCTCTTCAACAAGAGTGAAGGAGTAGATTTTCGAATTTTTTTATTTGTAAATGAGATTGCAAACGGGTAGATATACTTCCTTTACTCAAATGACAAGAGGACTCACTCTTGTCTAATTAGTTTACTGGTTCGTGTTGGGTGTCGTGCTTATCTAACGAAGAAGTCTTCCTCCCAAGCATTTGGAGGCTCCGAAACGACGAGAGACGAGCGTTCCTCGACTTCGCGATGAACGTCATGCGAGCAGCACATCATATTGTTCTTAATATTTCTTCCACATCTGGTATTACTAATCAATCACAAGAGCTCGAGTGAAAGAAGTAGTTGCCTACTTTTTAACGATCGAAAGTAAACGAATATTCGCATCTGTGGTTACATCTCCTCGATTTCGATTCTCTTCATAAATGTTTTCCATCTTCTCCTGAATACCATCTTCTTATCGCTCGTCTTTCTCTCTCTCACTTCGTTCTACTTCTATCTAACATTCCAATTCTCCTGATTAAATTCCACTTTCCACCTCTCGAACGAAGAGGAAGATTACGATATATTTCGATCAGATGAATCAGGTGAAAAAGGTTCATCATCTCATTTTATTCATTACAGGTGATGAAACCTCGTCAAGGAACTTCCGCTGTATCGATCAGTGGCTCCACGACAAGCGGAAACTTTATGACTCTGATCTTGCGAAGACGCAAAATATTTGCCTTTGCAAGTTGTTCGTCAACATATTTATTAGTGAGCAAGCAAGCTTTTGCAGCAACGATTCTATCATCCAACGAGAGCATGAAGTTCATTGTCCGGATGCATTTCATTGTTAAACATTGAGATCCCTTTGTGGCTATGAAATCGCCCTTGCCTCTATGAGCAAGGCGCGAAGGTGGTGGAAGGAAAAAAAGCAAAAGATCATTTATGGAAAGTTGCTGCTGGAAATCTAAAAATCTTAGTAGCGACTTACGTAAGTTAGTTGTACTTGGAACAACTATCGAGTTATCTATGTTGACACTGTGCACGAATACAAAAATATTCACTAGCTCCTACCTAAAAACTACTATGTTCTTGTTGCAATGTGTAAGAAAGGGAAAAAAGAATATTTATAACTAACATCGTCAATGGGGACAACCTTAAAATTGATCTTAGAGATCTAGCCTGCTTATTATCGGTTTTACTCTCCTCTTCATGGGTTTGCTCCACTTTCATTCTTCGCCTTTCGCGATGACGTCTGACCACATGCTCGTGCAGAATTCCGCAGCCGTGCCTTCGCGACTATCCCATTGAGCCCGCAACTTGCCATCTAGGCCACTGGCCAGCGTGTCGCACCTCGCTTTTGCCGCGGTCTCCCTCACTCCAGCACACAACTTCTCCGCGTAATCCGGGCCCGAAGAAGCATTGTACTGGTGGACGAAGGGATAAAATCAAATTCTTACTCAAAGCTGCAGGTATCGAAATCAGAATCACAATTGAAGACGTTATAGTTATATATCTACAAAGGTATGAATCTGGTACCAGGGACGGTCGCAGGACGCCATTTTTGCAATCCACTTTAAAGATGATTTCGAAAACGCTTTTAAAAGCGGTTGCGGAATTAATCTGCACCCCTTATTAGACGAAGCTTATCCATGCCGAAAACTCGTCGACGAGCAACTTCTCACTTGCATTGTCTACAACATCTCTCTACACAAGATTCGCACTTCTCTACTCTAGACAAGACAGCAGACCATAATCTTGGCACTTTCCTTCCCAGTCGTTCCAGAGCTCGTTCACTGTATCACAGGACACCCAGAAATACATGTTCCCAGCCGCACCATATGCGCCACCATCGCGACCATCGAGCGAGTATCCCTCAGCGCATTTGTCAAGTATGAAGGCTTCTAGTAGAATATGGAAATGGTTCGGAGGTAGAATTAGTTGTGGGAATGATGCTTTCTTCATACTCTAATTTCGAAATCGTGATGCTTTTATCTCACCACCGTGATCGTGTATTAGTTAGGTCTTAAATTTCCACCAGATGACCTCCATCTAGTTGTTCTACTTACACGAAGTTCAATTTCGTACTACGTGCCATAAATTGTGCACCCTTCACAGGGTCTGTGATTCCAGCAAAGACAGCATTGTGGTTTTCGTGCCGCGGCGCGGGGCAATTCGGTTCAGGCACACAGCCACCATATTCGTCGATCTTTGTCTCGAAATACCCATCTTTGTGACACACTAACGTTAGAGGAATGCAATTGTAAGTGCACCTCTTGTTCTTGACGTTGAGGTACTTAAGATTCATACATTTGACATTCATGATATCAGGAGTTGGTGTAATCAACATCAGTGCCGATCAAATTCTAGTAGCTCAAGCTCAACAATGTCCTTGTCCCCGCTACCTAGTATTAAGAATAGTAGTTGTAAGAAGTATACATAGTATAATGAGGTCGATACCACACACATCGTTCCAACGTGACCATAACATCATGGGTGCCGTGTCAGCCACAAAGCCGGGTGCGCAACGGAGCTGCAGCTCATACCCGATCGGAAAGTCCTCTTTCGGCCTGGTTTCGTCTTTGGGCACTTCGGTATTCTTCGGAAAAACAGTGGGCATCGCACATGTCACCGTAGGGAGTGGGTCAGTCGAGACTGATCCTCGAGCTCGACGACGTCCTCGTGTCAATAGTTACAGCTCACACTAATCCATCTCGAGATGGCATGCGTCCTGGGTGCCTTTTCCTTTGAAAGAAAAGCCCCTTGGGGATGCTTCCGAGGATGGATGAGGGGAAGCCTTAAGCTAGGAGTGAAGCGGTAATTGCTGCACCTGCAGCAGGCGTCGACGACACCCAAAAGAACGTTGCGGTGCCCCATAATGTTCGTTGTTTCTTCATAGTGATTCTTATTCACTCTCTCTGGGGTCCTCGTTCTTGTTCACAGTGGAACTTGCAGGTGATGACACTAAAGTTTACGATACTGATACTGCAATCAATGCTCTTTCTCTCACTGCTCTTTGTAAAACTTTTCTCCAAAGACATCACTCCGTATCAATGCTTGGCGTGTCTCATAGTCTTAGATAGAACCGAACTAAATTCTGAACACATACACACAAAACGCACATCATCGGACATCAGAAACAATGTCAGGGATTAGAATTATCAACTTTAAAGCTGTTCAAGAAAGATACCACCGGTGACGGAGCGTCCATACATCGTCTCAGATACCTCAGCACGCATACGAATCGATATCCTCAAAGTCGCCTGCATATGCGGGTTGTCATATGACACGGAAAGGAAAATAGACTTGGAACAGTTGAAGTGAAAAAAAACAATATGAGAATGAGATGTGACTAAAAGTAGGGGATAGAACTTTTAGCGGCAACTAGCCTTTCACTATGATCTTCAATACAACTGACTAAAAAAGGGAAAAAACATCATCTCGATCAACATCAACATCTGATGTAAACGAATAAGTACATACTGAGAGGAGGACATCATGGGAGTTATAGTGGGAGATACAGGTAGAGGTCGTAGACACTGATTATACAGGAGATCAAGCTCCTCCTACAGTCGCGCTACATGCCTGCCACACTTGCAGGACAAAGAGGATGTAAAGTGTCGCGAAGAGGGGTGGCACGATCTGGCGGTGAAGGGTGAAGTTGCGACTTATGGCCAACACCAACAGCAGCAAGAGCGTTCCCGCCATCCACCCAGTTCCAACAGCGAGGCCCGGCGCCTGCAACGGCAAAGTGCGTCGTCCTGGATCGTCCCTCAACAATATGCTCCGCAGCAGCCACGGCAACGCGAGTGCCAAGAAGACATTCTGCACGTTCGACCCTAGGGCGTTTGCAACTGCCATGTCGCTTTTGCCGTCCTTTGACGCGAGGAAAGAGGCCCAAACGTTCGGCAGACTGGTACCTGCCGCGCAAAGCGTCGCACCAAGAAAAGCGGTCGGAATCTGAAACGCTCGTGCGATGTGCTCCACTGTAGTCACCATCAAGTTCGAAAAAACGCCCAGCCACAACATCGATAGCAGAAAACAGTAGCCCCACAAGTGTTTTTTCGGGGCATCCTTGGGATCGCACCAGGACATCGTAGTCTCGAACAAGAGTTCGATCGGGACCTCTAGGAGCAAAAGCAGTTTGCGCGCTCTCCCAATACTTTCTTCCTGCAAGTCTTCCGTTAAAGCGACCAGAGCGTCATCGGAAAGGGAAGCGCGACGGCGGTGGATTTTGGCAGGATGTTGATGGTCTCCAGGGGATGAGCAAACCACCATGTTGCGGGGACTCCCGTTGTTGAAATTGTTCTGCAGAAAACGTTCTTGGTATTGAGCACTTCGGTATCCAGTGTGAAAATCCTGCTTGTAAGAAACATTGCCAAGGCCACCGAAAGTTGAAGACGCGGTCGGGGTCGCAGATGCTGATAACCCAATAGTACTGGCGTTCTCGTCCACCTGATGTCCAACTTCGGGATACAAGCGCGCCGCAGAGGACTGATTTTTGTAGGGAAGATTTACACCTTCGTGCTTAGCTCGTTGTCCGAATACCTCTCCCCCTGGTACTGTGGTTGGCACCGGGTCGGCAAATTGTTGACCTCCTTCAGCAGCATGTTGGTGTTCTTCGTCCGGATGAAATCTCACTTCTCGATTACTTTTCCGTAGGACTTGACTGCTGCGCGCAGTGGATGATGACGCTAGGGTGCTCATCAAAGCATCTTCCTGATGGAGTGTAGTACAGCTTGAGGCCTGGTCCGGACTCTGCTGTTGGTCACGACCTGAAGCACAAGATGACAGACGGGGCGACGGCGGCCGATAACCAAGGGCGCAACTAGTGGACGAAAGGACGTGGTCGCAACCACTAGAGCTTAGCGTTCCGGTAATGGAGCCGGGAGAAGGTAAGGCTGACGCCGCGTTGTACGAGTGCTCCTGGTCCTCGTCGCGACGTGGATAAACATCGTCACGGTCATGCAGTGCTGACGTAGTTCCCTGATATCTCCTGCTAGAAGTATTCTCAGAAGGAGGCCAAGACCCGTTCCCTAGTGACGCCTCGTCTTCCAGTTCACGGACACAACCTAGGTGGCCCGTGACAACTCCCCCTCCTCTGCTACCACTAGCATTAGATGCACTATTGCTCTGGCCGAGTTGCAACATCCCACTCGAACTGTGATCTCCTCCATGATTGTACCTAGAAGTTGAATGCGAAGCCGGAGTAGACCGAGATGCTATAGGCACTACTTGCAAATGGCGCGGCGATAGCAATGTAGCCTTTCCGACGGCGGGATGGCGCATGCCGAGAAGGCCCGACGGCGCCGAGCCAGGACCTCCCATCGGTGGCACAGCAAAATGACCCATAGTCGGATTGAAGCTCGACGTCTCTCGACTATCATCATGTTGTGATGATGAAATACTCCCATTGCCAGCGTATCTACAACCTGTTGAAGAGTTCATGTCTTCAGGCACACGTCCGCTTCGTGTCCTTACAAGTGGTCGAATTCCACCGCCTATTGCATCGACGTTCGTCCCAAGAGCATTTCTTCTAGCTGTAGACGTTACGAGCGGACTGTGGTTTGACGTGCCCCTACCGTTGTGGTTGTCAGTGGATGCTAAGGGGCAAACATCACAGATGAAACGCTCTTTTTCGCACACCGTAGGAAATTCCATGAGCAGAAAGATCTTCTCTCCGTATGACCCGCGTAGCTGTACTTGAACTCGTCTTTCCGTGTCGTGGCCGTAATCCTTGATACACAAAACGTCGGACGGCGAAAAACGCGACGCCCTCGCTTGTTTCCTCGCGTGGTGCTCACTACAGGTTTTCCCCTTCGTGCCAGGATGATGCGTCTCTGCACTGGTCGAAACGGTTGGATTAGCTGCTCCTGCTGCGATTTTCACGTGCTTTCTACTACCCGCCGTGGTTGGCTCAAGTCTCGTCATGTTCTCATACAACACCCCACCTCCAGGTGGCGTCACGCCACGCACGATTGGTGCAGGGGTGCTCGTACTACGGCCAATGGCGTCATTGTCGCAGACAGACGGCGCCCCTAACTGCACAGTTCCTCGACCTCGGCTGCCACCGTTTTCTGGTGGATCGACGGGACTGCTTTGTTGCATCTCCACTACACTCGAATGCGCGTTTTCTGCACTTGAAGCTGTCAAAAACGGAAACGCTTCTTCCCGTGCTCCTTGGTCAGTTTTAACGCCCGCTAGATCAGGTCCTCCTAAGTCTATCAGATCTGGTTCTGGGCGACCGGTCTGTGAACTGCCCACTAGATCAGGTCCTCCTAAGTCTATCAGATCTGGGCGACCGGTCTGTGAACTGCAACTCCGCGTTCTTTCTATCGATGCGCGCCGCCTGTAAAGCCGCGGCTCACCGGGCAAGAGCAAAGGCTGGCGCAGAGCATCTACTCCTGCAGCACCCGAGGATTTTGAAATTAGATCTACTTTAGTAGTACGATTTGCTGTTCTACTAGCGGAAGTGTAGTCAACCAAATTTTTACCTGGTTGATCCGTTCTCGACGACGATAAAAGAGCACCACCAGATGACGATCCCAGTACCCCAGAGCCAGACGCACCGGGACCAGACGAATTATGACCGGATAAAGATGGCCCCTGGTGGTTCACATGATGACCCGAGGACCCACCGTCAGGAAGTGCTTTCTGTGCGGATTTGAGCTGGAGTTGTAGGCCACGGACTATAAAGTCCCCGTTTTTACGGACTAGTAGGTGTTCGTGAAAGCATCCCTCGTGAGAATCTATCATACGATTCCTGCGGATGACTTTGAGCCGCACGCGAATTGCGTCTGCCGGTCTTGTCGCGGACGTGCCTCTCCGCCCCGAAGACGTGCCTCTGCGTCTGCTGCAACTCCGACGCGGGTTCCCCTTATCGAGAAGGCCCTTGCGGTCTTCTCCGGTAAAACCTCTGCGACATGCAGAAGACAGCAAAGAAGCAGATTGATGTGCACCTGCGTCATGACCGGGCGCAGCACTATACGTCGACGACCTCCGTAAAGGAGCTGAGGAAGCTGGTGCTCCTACACCACCATCCTGCGTTGCAGGCGACGTTCCCTGTGGAACACCAAGGTGTGCAGTTCCAACGTTACTCGTCATGATCGCCACAGCATCGGCTTCGTCGGAATTCGTTTTGGTGATGGAAACGTATGGCGGCGCACTTCCAACCGTCAACAAACAAGCCGACCTAGAGGACTCCTCGGACGGCGACCCCGACACTGACGTGAATGTGTTCGTCCGCGTACAGGCGGGCTCGACCTGAGGCTCCAGAAGAGCCGGCGGTGCAGGTAATGGACCGAAGTCGGGAGATGGCGAAAATCCGGGAGGAGCTACGCTAGTACTACTTCTAGTCGTATCCCGTCCGCCAAAACCAAGTGCAAGGCGAGGTAGCTCAACGTCGCTTAAGGAGGTAGCAGTACTTGTTGCCGAGGCAGGTCCTAGAACTTGTAGTTGCTCTACTGTTGCTGAACCGACTTGTCGTTCCTGATGGTGTTGTAGTCCAGCTGTCTGTCCGTGCTTCGGCGAAAACTCCATGAAACCTGGCACCGAGCTCCCCGCCGTCGAGCCTCCCGGTGAGCTTTCCGTAGGGGAGACTGCTAGTCGTGTCGTCCGCCGCCCGTACGTTGTTGCACTTGCGCGCGTCGAGATCGTTTGTCTTGCTTTGTCGTTATCGTCTTCCTTAATACAGGAGACCTCTCGAGCTCTACTTGTGTCGGCCAATTCTATGATCGCTGTGCTTGGAATGGGAATGGCTTGATCATGTTCAACCTCCACCTTCTTGTCCCCATCCCCTAGTCGTTCCACATTTACTTCGTCTACTCCGTGTCCTTCTTGTTCTTCCTCCTCCAAATCTTCGTTTAGATCCTCCTCTTCTTCCTCGTCTTCAAGCACCATTGCGTCATCGTCGTCGTCATCATCTGCTTCCCCCTCATAGGTATCGGGAAAGAAACGAGCCGTCAAAGAGACGCACGCTGCATAGAGGAAGCCGGATGCACAGAGTATAGAACTCTCAAATATCCCCACGCTTCCTCTGACGAAGAACAGCCAGGCAAGCAGGACTATCGACAAGAAGTAAAACGAACAGTCACGCAGAAACGGGATCCTGTTCAGCTCCAGATGACCACCTTGAGCTGAATAAGTGGTGAAAGAGCAGGGGAACAAGTAGTGCTGATCATCATGTTGATCGTCTTCAAAGCAGGTGTATGAATCCTCGAAACAAGCGTCGCTTTGAAACTCGAACCCAACCTGCGAAGCTGCAATTTTGACCGTTGCAACAAACCGCCGCCACATGATTCCCAGTTTCCTCATGTAAAAAAACTTTCCTGCCCCGTCGTGAGAAGTAAGAGTAGTATCATCTGCCACGTGACGAGTAAGAGTAGTTGTATCATGATCATCCTCCTCTACAGAACCTCCAGGTGAGACTTCGTCCGCTAATATAATTGAAGACGTACCACGCTTGTCATCCCCAGCACCTCCAGGGCACGCATATACAGCTGCCGCAACGATGATCAGAAGATTGAACACCTGTGTTCCCACCACTTGTGTGACTCCGACATCTGACGGAATCAAAAAGATCGACACGAAGTTGGTAATCAGTTCCGGACCGTTGCAACCTAAAGCTAACAGCGTTGCTCCTGCGACGTCCTCGGGTATGCGCAACTCCTCTACTACTACCTCAATAGCAGGAACTAACCAACCGTCTGTGACTGCAACTTGGGCGTAGAAAAGGTACATGACAACTAGCCACCAAACCCAGCGACCCTCCTCAGGAACGTAGTCTGCATCCACTTCTTGGATCCCCTCTCCTGACTCTGCGCTAGGTGGCTCTGATTGTTGTACGTTGACAATCGGGATGGCGCTGCTTGATGTTGTCTCTTCGACCAGGCTAATGCTTGTTCTTGTTGCCTTCGTAGTCGACGTTCGTCCACTTGATTTCTCTACCGACGTCCGCTTTTCGGATCCTGCTTCATTATCTCCGTCTAGTTGATGTGGTCGTAGAAATTCTTGCACAGGAGTGCCTTCGACTTTCTTCTGTGCGTCTTCTTCATCTGTCGCGGCTGAAGAAAGCGCTACGCTTTTCCTAATTTCGTCTTTCGAAACCTGGGACTCTAAGTCCCCTACCGGTAATGTTGTACTGCCCTTGTCTGCATCACTTTGATGTTTGTCTGTAGTTGAACCGTACGACGACGAAGACGACGACCTGTTTGTAGTTGAAGCGTACGACGACGCCCCTCCGTCAGGTGTAACGATCCCGTAACCATCACTCCCACTTGGTGAAATATCGCCATCCTGTAACTCCTGTTTTTCTTGAGCCTGAACCCTGAAGAGCTCGCTGTACATCCACCACACACCTCCCCAGCAGAGCGCGATCAACCACGCGCGCCACGAAAAGAAAATGTCACCTCGCATCTCGTTCAGCTGATGATGGTGCTACTGTTATTTTCATATCATGATGACAAGGAACTGATCCGGCGAAGTATCAAAGTGCCTTGTTGCAGGATCCCACGACCACATCTACTTGACATGTGCTGCACAGTGGTCGGGAGGCCATGTAATTTTTCCCTTTCTCGTATGTGTACTGCTTTCATCGATCTAAGTACTTCTATAGAAGTCGTATGGCTTTCTCAGAGTATATTACATGTGATGATCTGCTAGTGCTAGAGGAACCCTAATATATAAATTTCTCGCTTCATACTGCTGTTCGCTGGTTGTATTTGTGAGTAGCGGTTCGCATATTCACATCGAAATGAATCACTATGATGTTGATCATTTTCCACGTCTCGACTTCAAGACCTTACTCAGAGACCTGATCTTTCAACTCTGGCGTTGCGAGTGCATCATCTCTGAAGAGCTGGACGAGCTCGAACTCCAAAAGAAGTATTTTCATCTTATGCATAGTAACTAAGTAACCGGCTCTAGCAGTGTCTTCTCTCAACCATTGATTCGTGCCGGTGCTGAAACCAAGATGGAGGAGCCACAGTACTCTATAATAGAGACCAGCGCGTAGGACCGTGATCTCCACTCACGAAGATCTACTCTCGAAGTATGGCTAGTTCGAAGACCCACCCATGGCTCGGTGGATCTCGATGTCGTAGATCCACCGAAGATGAACTTCCACCACCCTTCAAGTGAAGGTAAATAGATTTCACGATCTTGATTCACCTTGTTGAACTTGATATGTGCGTCTGACGTAGAAGTTACTCTTTCTCTACTTCGCGATTTTAGGAGGTTGATCACCTAGGATAATTCCAGGAGGTATCGAGGCAGTCAGTTATGGGCGTTGAAGGTTTTGGAGAATTTTAATACTATGAACATTATCGTGCGGCTCTACACTATGAATACTGTGCATTGATGAAAAAGATTTTAGTTCTCTTGGTTCCCCGACTGGTGCTCGAGTCGAGTTATGCTTATCAACATCATGAGAAAAAGGCGAATTACGTCGATTGAAATAGCAGCACGAATTACAATTATGCACATTGAAGCAAGTAGTACTTAAATGCTCAACTTCTATAAGTAGCGCTGACTACAACTAATTCTTGTAAGTATGTCTATCATATTATGGTGATGTTCTGCTTGCTTTCCTAGAGGTATGTGCGACGACATGACGTACCAGTGAGCAAATAAAAAACTCCTCCTTCCAACCTACTCACAGTCACGCAACCGGCTGCACCACTACACGCAGCGTTTGCTTCCAGTTTTCCCTTCCTTCCCCTCCATCTTCGACAGAACGACTTTTGAACGTGGCGACGCCGGGAGCTAGCGCTACGAATTTGTAGGCCACCTTGAGGACAGTTTGATTCGGAGGACAGTTCGTATCGAACTCTCTATGCATGTAGAACGCGTCCTGCGCTAATACAGATGGGGGACTCGCCGAAAAAGACCACCGCGAAGACGGGGAGGCGACAGAGAGCCCTGATCCGGTGCTAGTGTTAGAGATTACCCATAAATGCAAGAGGCGGCGGTTCCATAAGCGAGAGGATCAACATCATAGACGAGACACAAGACGACAATTTGTTCAAGCACGATAAATGTGCAGATGAACTTTTTGTCGGAAGTGGTTGCACTTGTATTAAGTAATGCTATAAGGTGAACGTGAACTACCTAGGACCTTTAAGATCAAATGTACTACGTGCTGGATCAAAGTCAGTTGATCACCATGCTCTTAACAGCAGCTACAGCACCGTTTGAATTTCTCCCTCTCCCAGAGGCTGAGGCACTGGCGCTACTAGACGTAGACGCATTAAAACCAGCGGCCGTACCTGAAGGTATGAAATCCGAGAGCTCAACAAAGAGAATCGCGTCTCCCACTTGAACTTGCAACTCGTCGTTCAAATTCGAAGAGATCTCAACCGTATTTCCGGTATGCGACAGCGCCACTCTCCGAGCACGAATTTCGTCGTTATACCTGCGACGTCAGTCAGCATCTTATCTGATCGCTCCTTCCGTTTCTGAAACTCGTCTACTCTCCTATATTTATTAAGCTAAATGGAGACATCTTTCCAAAACCAAGTGATGCTTAATATCAGAGACCATCTTATTTAGTGATGTAGCAAGTAACAGCAAAATGAAATTCCTCGTACGACAAACATCCCCCATTGCTGGCCGCTGCGAACTCTGCTTCATGTAGCGTGTGCCTATGCAATTCTGGAAGTGCCGGGTCTTCCTTAATGCCAAATACGAAATGGCAAGAGGGATCAAACGCCTCGATACCTGAGGATGAGGAGAACAACATCAAACCTCGTTCATTAATTCATGAATCATCGTCCTCAGAGTCAGTGAGTTACAGTTACATATCAGTATACACAAGTTAGTACATGCAACTACAAGTTCAATATGGATTTAAGAACAAGTAGAATACTCAAAGCCGGGAAGAGCGCCATACTCTTCGGAATGTCGCTCAGTGAAAGGGCATCCTTGCAAAACTTGCCGTTGACGAAGCAGGATAACCGCCCCATCCTCTCGGTTAGGTCCAACAAAAGCCCTACTGTATCTGGTGGATGCAAGTACATGGGCAGGAAATGAGATGTGATAGGAGCATGGATCATTGGGAGGATGAGAAGTATCATAGAATGAGGGTCACCAGAGTGAAGTTTCTGTACTATTTAATCGAAAGACGTTACCACCCGGCTTTATGTGCCGGCCGCACGCGAGTGTAATAGCGAAGCCGCTGTTCTCGTCTATACTGCGCGCGGTATCTAGACAGGTAGATACGCCTCGAGGCACCACACCAAACTTGACATCTGTGGTAGGGGGTTGCGCAGGATGGGCTTGCTTAAAGGTTGAAACATTTCATTTTTAGGTACCAGCAAACATATGAAGTGAAAATTGATACCGTGTGAAAGTGAAATCATGTTTCAATCCTTAACTTGGCCTCCTTTCGCATGTGCTGCTTGATGGGGATGGCCTCCGCTGACGTTAGCGACGCGTGCTGCATTGCTCAAGCTGGCTGCAGCAGATGGATGAGGAAGTATTAAAGCTCAGCATTCAAGGGCCACTGATGTTGCACGGAAGCGACCCCCTTCAAAGCTCTCCCCTTTCCCTTCCTTGTCCCCTGTTCTACTCTCAAGGGAGGGTCGCTTCTTCGATCTCAGTGACCCCAACCTAAATGGTGACCATTGAAAGCTGAGCCTTAAAAGTAACACGGCTTCCCAGTAGTGTCTTCCAGCTGAAAAGCCCTTCATGCTCAAGACGAGCCCGCTACCGCTGCCCGACCGTGAGTAGCAGCTCACACCTGCGGATCCACGCGCTGTACTGCTGCTACTGCTGGTGTAGCCCTGCTGACCGCCGTACGTGTAGCCTCCTGTTTGATGATTATACGTTGAGGAAGAGCTACTCGCACTCGCTCCTTGGTCGCACCCCGTTGTAACTCCTGCTCTCAGTTGTTGCTGGTTTATGTAGTCCTGCAGTGGCTGTCCCCGTAAAATCTGATGCAAGTCCATCTCCAGAAAGCCACTAGCCCCGACGCCAAGGCATGACCCGTCTACTGCAAAACATTGCGCCGTGTTCACTGCGCCTCTAACATGAAGGGAGAAGCAGGAGGACGAACTTTTTGTAGTTTCTTCATCTTTGGGTGTTCGTATTAAGCTACTTCATCTTTGATCTCGTAAAAAAAGAAGGATGGACACGTCTTCAAGAAGAAACTCTCTCAACAACAAATGAGATTTTTGAGAAGGGCGATATCAAAATCCATCTATAACTTCTAGTTCTATGTACTTATAAGATAAGAAGCACACACGAACAAGTCCAGTCATACTTCTCTTTAGCTCCTCCTGCAGTTCGCCGCTTATTTGCAAAGCGTGCGCCGCCCTGTGACGGCGCTGATGTCGTGGTGCTCAGCTTGCTATTGGAGGCGCTGCCAGCTGAGGAATTTTTCTTCAGATCAACCATTCGCAGTGGTGGCACATAAGGCTGTGAGGATGTCAGCATCTGTCCCCCGACTGCTCTGTCCCTCGCTGCAGACGGCGTCACTCCGTCTCCCGCAGCGCCAGTGGCCGCAGCTTCTGCAGGCAAACGGTCAAGTCCAGACCCTCCGGATGCGCCAGCTTGATGCCCCCGCTGACTTGCACTTGACATACTTGTATTTTTCGTTCCACCTGCAGGAGCTTGCTGATAATTAAAGGTCAGCAGTCAGTGGTCAACACTGATCACTCTGAAGGAACAAGACCCCCTACACACCTCTCCCTTTGTTTTCCCTTCATTTTCTCCTGTTCTCTCCAGGGGTCTCCTCTTCGATCTCACAGTGACCAATCTAAATGGTGACCAATGAAAGTTGAGCCTTAAGATAAACTACGTGTTGATTCTGCACTACTCCTCCTCCTCCTCCCCCCATAGAAGCACCAAACTGCGACCTGAGAAGCTGGGGCTGCGACCGAAGCAAGTGCTGAGTTGCGCTGCTGAACGTTGAAAAGCCCGAACGGCTTAGAGCGCCACCTCCCGATACGACAGAGTCTTCCTCATGAGGAGTCGAAACAGCGGTTGCTGGACGCGGCGCCGCAGGTGCTGGTCTCGCTGTTGAAACTGTAGTGAGAGTAAAAAAACGGGGACAAGAATCGATACATTTCTTACAACTTGTTTATTCCAGGATTCTCGTCATCATGAGATCATGAAGCCCATCATCTACTGATCTGTGATTGTAGATTTCCATTCCAGATTTTCTTCAGAGCCTAGTAGAAGTACGTCCCTCTCCGACAGACATCTGCGCAGTTTGCTCCGTCAACAATTGCGGCGCGCGTAGACCCGCAGGCGTCGTCCGCGACGAAACCGTCGCGTAGCTTGAGGCGCCAAGTGACGTTCGCATCGCGTCTGGTGCGAACCCTAATTGAATTGCGTTCATTAGACGACCTTAATCTCGAAGATTTAAATCATCTTGAGACCATTTCGATTTTCCAGGTCAGGCATCGACTCGCCGCCCACAGCGTGACCTGTTGTACCGTCAAGCGAGGACGTCAAACTCAAAGATCATGCCTCTTAAGATGAATTATAAGGTAAGCCTTAAGTTCAGAACTGGTGGCGCTGGCAGAATGCGCGGTGGCACACTACCAGCGAGAGTACCCGTGGATCGACTACGTCGCATTCTATTCTGTTCTATTCTATTCGAGAGTACCCGTGCATCAACTACGTCGCATTTTTTGGTTGAAGTTGAATATTCTCCAGTAAATTATCATGTCAACAATAAAATAAATGCACAAGAAATACTATGTATTCTCAAGTATTTTTTTACTGGCGACATGCTGTCCTCGATTCGAGTTCTAGCATCCATCCTCAAAGATCTTCCCTTCTATTTTGGTGTGTGCTGGTAGATCTATCATCCATGGCGCAGAAAAATGATGCGCTCGCTCCTGGTGTCGTGTGCGTAGCCGTCTCTCTCTTCTTGACCTCGTGGTCACACGCTTCAGTTCTTTCTCTTTTTGCTTCTCGCTCGGGTTATTATCATGCTTCGCGGGAGTGGCACTTTTCTTTTGGATTTTCGCATCACAGGAGCTGCAGTAGCAGTATCACTTTTTCCTGCAATATTAATATTTCTTTTCAGTCTTACAATAAATCAGTTCGTCATCCTGCTAATATCAGTCACAATGTCAATAACAATATTCGTTTTTTACAAGTACTAATGCAGCAATCCCAAGGCATTGTTCTCTACAAAACAAATAAATTGGACCAGACCGTCCCCTTGCGTTTTATCACATAACTCTCAAAAGTTGAATACAATGCGTGTAGTTACATGTTTTTATCACGAATAACGGTTCGTTGTATGTATGTATAATTTCTTCTTCTTAGAAACGGAATCGGTACATTCAAATTCATTCAGTCAAGCACTTGCGTTTTTTGTACTCCTTTGTGCATGATTGCTTGTTTCGGTGTGATATTCATTCAATCATTTTTTACATTCTGTTATGTTAGATTGCAAAACATAACAACGATTATTTTTTTAGCCGAAGAGTGTATACTATAAAATTGAGGATGCAAGTTCTTATGCAACCAGTTGAGAAGCATACGCTTTCACAACTGAAATGAATTAGTTACTTCGTGTTTTTGGATGCTAAGTGAGTTTCTCGGAAATGAATCTGAAGATGGTGTAAGTTCGTATCATGACTAGTAGCAGCTACGCTTTCAAATTCATGCTGATAGTCTTTCAACAGTAACAGTGAATAGAATAACAATAAGTACAATTCGATATCTTCTGTTTCTCGTGCTAATGCTATAAGAAATTCTTCTTTCTTGTATCTGTACATGTGATGATAATCGTGATATTTCGTTTTCAAATCTTAGCTGTACAGTATGATAAGTGTGAGGCCAATGCAAAAATCCTCTAGACCTGATCCACCCTAAACCACATGTTACCGAACGACCACCTTCTACTTTGCATGGGACGGCGCCAAGGGTGGTCCAGTCGTTTTCCCATGATCGTTGCCTACGATCGTCACAAAGGCGCTCTTCAATGGGCTACTTCGCGTTACCGGACCGAGGTTACGTTCTCGGATGCGGAACAGAAAGGCCGCAACCTTCTCATGCGAGGTCTTGTACTCCAGACTGTAGGGGACACGCGAAAACGCCACTACTCCTGCGTTTCCAATGGCCTCCAAGAAGCGCACTCTGGTAAGCACGCCAAGCTCCGATCGAGACCCGTTGGACGCTTTGAACAGTTGTCGAGCATCGGTCATGGAGACCAGAGATGGGACGACGCCCAGATCGGACAAGATGCGACGAAATTGTTCCCAAGACAAATACTCAGCGGCATCTTTCAACGTAGGGACACCATGAAGCGTGCCATCGGTGACCGTGTACATCTCCAAACGCTCAGACCTGATTGTTTTGATGATGCAAAGAACATAATATTTTGAAAAGGATCGATAACAAGGAAAATGGAGGTAAATCAATAACGGATTAAGCGTGAGATATTTTTAAGTGGGTGCCAAAATGGAGGTAAATCAATAAAAGTCAAAGAAAGTGCTGTAGTTATGTATTGAAATCTACTACAAATAAACGAAAATGACAACAAGGAGCATAGTAAGTACATTTTCGGATCGCCGTAATCCTCAACTGCTGCGCGCAGTAGGGTTCTGACAGAGCGCGCTTGCTCTTCGCTTCCGACTGCCCCTTCGAAGCACCCTCCTTCCTCTCCGTCTGCCATGGTTGCATTTTGTAGGGCTAAGTGCTTTTTCTCGGCTCGCGCTTGCACAGCTGCTTCTCGCGGCATGCTTAGATCGGTACGCGGATTGCGGTCTAGGCTGTTCGTGTTTCCGTGTCGCTCGGTGTACGCGTCGAAGAGCTCCAGCAGGAAGTTTTTGTGTACCAAGAGCGCTTCCACGTCCTCTGGCGACAGCTGCGGCATCTTGTCTAGCAACCGTAGACCGACGCCCGGCCGAACCGGGTAGCAGTGTCGTAACAGCTTCTGAGCCACCATGAGCAGTCCAAGAGACGCCGAGGCAACGATTTCGCTGTCGGAGGTCAAAGAGCAAGTGATCGTCCGGTTCGCGCGACGCATACCACCCAGTTGCTTCACCAGCTTTCGCTTGGCTAGGGTACTTGGGGTCAGAGGACTTGCATCGCCGAACAAACCAGCCACAAGTGTGCCCTCCAGATCCGTCGACCCATTCCAGCCTCCTCCAGTCAGCACTTCCAGACTCATGTCTTTCAACGAGGACTCCTGCTCACGACCGCCCATACTAGAAGAGGACGCAGGAGCCGCAGTGCCACCTTTCAATTTCAGTATACCAGGTGGTCGTGGTGAATTGCTTTTACTAGGTGATGCTCGGGACAGCCCTTTGCCTCCAGCACTATCTCGTCGCTTAGGCGATGAACTACAACCTTCCGGAGGCTCGATTGCCTTTGCGTTTGCTAAGAATACCAACTTCAATGCCAGTAGACCCAAAGCCTTGCAAAAGAGATCGAAAGTCAACTTTGAGTTCCCTGGATCCCTTGCTGTCAGTACTTTTTTATGGATAAGCTCCGCTTCCGCACGATTTATTAGACGGGGTCCCTCACGAGTCGCCGGCGCTGCTGACGCGCCCAAGAGCTGGACGAGAGAGGATGTCAATAGTCGAAGTGATAGCTTGATGCTCTAAACGCGTCCTTCTCCATCTCCTTATATGAAAGAGCTAAAAAAAAATTTAACAACAACCCCGCCAAACTTGCACTCTCTAAATTCAAACTCTCCAAACTTAAACTCTCCAAATTCAAACTCTCTAACCTCAAACTCTCCAAACTAAAACTCTCCAAACACAAACTCTCCGACACCCTCACCCCCAAACCCAAACTCTCCGACACCCTCACCCCCAAACTCATGAACGCAGAAACTCAGGAACTCAAGAACTTATGAGAGCCTGCGAACCAAATCCAAGACGTTGAATTTTAGAAAAAACTGCTAAAGTCTAAATTTTTTGGATTTGAAAGATTCAAATCCAAGAAATTGAATGTCGGAAAAACTTGCTATAGTTCTCGAATCCAAAAAAATAAACTTCAGAATAACTCGCTAAAATCGAAAATTTTGTGATTTGAGGGATTCAAATCCAAGAGATTGAATTCCAGCGAAACTCAGTAAAATCAAAAATTTTTGGATTTGAGAAATTCAAATCCAAGAAATTGAATCTAAGAAAAACCCGCTAAAGTGGAAAGCTTTTGGATTTGAGAAATTCAAATCCAAGAAATTGAATCGCGGAAAACTTGGCAAAGTCGGAAATTTTTGGATTTGAGTGTTTAAATCCAAGAAATTGAATATGAATTCCAGAGAAACTTCCCAAAATCAAAAATTTTTGGATTTGAGGAGTTGAAATCTCAGAAAAACTTGCTAAAGTCGAGAACTTTCCTGCCTGTTCCGTGGGTTACTTTGGGATGATGAGAATCCTAACGCGAGGGGGTGTTATCGGGCGCTGGCAAGAACTTGAACTATGCACTTAAACAATTGCAATAGAACAGGTAGAAAGCACATCTTCTTTTCTCAAAAAAAGCAAAGAAGTACGATTTTCGCATCCGAAAGCAGCGTGAGCCATTTCGGTCCGCTGAGCCATTCCGTGTTTGAAGCGTCTCCGAAGTTGCAATAGGCTTCAAAAACGTCGCGCAGCAACAATTTCCAACTAGAGGTTGGTTTTTGTTCTACTTTTTCGAAATCTTCCGAGCAGTCTGCTGGCAGCTTATTTCCACCATTCATTCCCAGGGAAGCGCCATCATTCGCACTGCAGTAGGACTTCCGCTTAGAGGTGGAAGAGGTGGAACTAGAAGCTAAGCTCGATCGCCTTCCTGGAGAACCAGAACTACACGCAGATGAACGCCGTTGCTCTCCTCGCGGACCTTTACTAGTATCTGGACTTCGACTCTCTTCGTTCATCTCCCGTGCTTCCAACAAAACGTCGAGAATCGGCGAATCCGCAAACAGAATCGCGTTTTCATGGTCCGCGTATTTTTGATTGTCAGTGTTAGGTTGCAGGACCGAGAGATAAGTCTGCAATCGACGTCGACTGATGGCGTCAGGACTTCGTGCGATCTCCTCCACCAAGTCCGGCGCACCAAATAAACCTCGCATTAGGCGTGCGCCTCGCGGAACCGTGGGTGAAACTGGTATGATTCATGTCTGATGAGATTGGGATTGGCGGGTTGCATTTTACTTTTAAACGTACGACGCAACTACGAATTTTACAAGTCCTCGTCATGCTCATGCTCATGTGTAGTGAAGTAATGACTAGACCAAGCAACATCACTCAGATCCAACTTCAAGAGAAGAAACTTAACAACACAACCCACCCAATTTATTACCGTCAAGAAGAGTAAAAGATGATCGTAAAAAAATTTGTATTTGATTACTATCGCCCAATCCATCGTGAGGTTTTTGGACGTTTCTTTGTTCCTGGGTTCTGGATTCGACCGCATCGTGTGCTTTAGAGGGGGGAATAACTCGCGCACTCTTTGGCGACCAAGCTTTCGGAGGGTCTCGTTCTTTGGGTGGCTTCACATCCGTTCCCCGACTAGAGGACTGGACGGGGTGGTGCGGCTTCGGAGAACTAGGCCGCGTTCCAATCGATACAGCGGATCCACGTGCAAGGTAATGATCACTCTGCTGAGTTTGTTGAGAAGTAGAACTACCCTGAGAGGATCTCCTTGGTGAGCCTGAGCCGCCAGTGAACGCTCCTGCTGCTGTCGAGCCCTTGTTGAGAGAGGATGACGTACTGGCTGCAACACTTCTCGGAGCAGGTGGATTGAAGCTGGTGCGAGTAGAAGAAGTTGGACTGGGTACTCTAACACCATTTGCGGTTGCCTGCTCTTCGATAAAGCGCAGTGACGGAGCCCCGAAATGCACTCGCGACGAAAGTTCCTCCACTACCACTTCGTGATTGGTACTAGGTTGCTGTGCTACCATCACCTCATCGATCTCGTCTGGGCCTAGGCTGGACTCAGGATCGTCCGTCAGGTCCCCACCATGAAACTCATGCTCTGCTTCTCCCTCTCCTGTCTGCTGATCATGTTGTGCTGCTTGTGAGGAAGATCCTGCTATTGTAGCATTTGCAAGTGCATCTTCGCTAGAAGTAGCTAATATGTCCTCACTCTCGTCTTGACCTTGACGTTCCTCACTAGACAGTTCTCCCGAAGGCGGTGTTTCGCTAACTTGTTCTCCAGCTTCCTCGTGTTCCTCATGGACCACCTCGCTAGAAGAAGACGACGGCTCGCTGCCAGCACTGTGGTGCTTCGGCTCACTGCTGTCTTCCTCTTCCGCAACTGCCTCGCCTTCAGCATGAGGTACGGGACCACGAGCATGAGGTTCTGCACCAGATCCACCACGTGGGGTCATTGGCGATTGATGTAGTTCATCGCCACCTTGGTCGGGGGTTCTTGAACCAGTGAGATTGAGGCCACGAAGGGAAAGCCCGCGAATCGCATTCGGACCTAACAGAGCTCCTGCGCTGTCTCTATGAAAGCGTCCAGCTGGCGCATCAGATTCAGACGATGATGGTGGACCAGCAGGAGGAGCAGCAGCAGCTGCTGTATTTTCAGTTGTACTGTCAGTACCTACTTGGCCTTGCGCAATATTGAGAGCGGCGACAGCCTCGCTGGGCATCAGGCCATGATGGGCATGCGAAGATTGTGCCGAATGCATTGATTGAACATCTTCATCACTCGTGTCGCCTCCGAACGCGGTGAAGGCACGATGCGAATGCACGACTCCGTCCACACGACTTGTCCTAGGGCTTCGCGGACTAAAGAAATCCGAGTTCGCAGCTGCATCTAAGAGGACAGCATCTTCGTCATTCGAATTCGTTCTACTGCCTGGAGCACCTCCTGGGTCATCGCCGCGTCTTCTACCTCCACGTGGCGTTGGCGGAGGTTGATCACCTCGTGACGAGAACAGAAATACACTAGCGAGAGCTGCTTCATCATCCACGCAGAGGAGCGGTGAAGATGAGCAATATGTATCTTCATCTTCTACAACTAGTAGACCACTATCTGTTTTTAGTACAACTCCACCTCTCTCAACCTCAGTGAGTCCTGGCGCCTCTAGTACAACTTCATGTTTCTCTTCGTCCGTAGCAATGTAGTCCTGGTCTATGTTTTCTACTGTCAGATGATCATTTTTTTCTACTGCAGCTAAGTCCCGCGGACTACGTTGTGCCAGTCGCCGCGAGGTTGATGCCAGGACGAAACCCGAAGTTTTAGAGGTAGGGAGGTTTTGGTGTCTCTTCTTCCCGTTTGCTATGCATTTCTCTCCTAGGAGAGGCAAAACAAACGGTAACGGGATCACCTTTTACCCACCCTTAAAAGTTGTCCTTGTCGCAGAACTGCAACGGGCAGTAATGCGATCTTCTGTACCGCTCATTGACGGCGTCTCAATGTTTACGACGCTAAGCAACGAAGAGGACTCACGCTCTTTGCTAGTGCTTTGCTGCTCCTCGTCGGAGCCATAGTAGAAGAATGAAGACTTAGCGGCCGTCGTCGTCTGTTGAGTGTGTGTACTGCGACGTTCGTCCTCCTCTCGAGTAGTTTCTACGTCATGGTCGCTATCAACAACGCGCATGCGACTCCAACTCGTTCTCGAGAAAGGACTTCGCCATGTTGCAACGGCCTCTCCCGCGTCCGAGGAGAGTTCGCCGGAGGAAGAGGAACCATTTTGGTCTTTCTCCTCGTTGGACGACGACGAGCTTGACATCTCCATAGCAATACCAGCCTCAGTAGATCGAGCAACCTGGAGTCGTCCTGCACTGCTCATTGACCCGTCAGTGTCTGACAAAAAGAGACGACCACTGTCTAACGAGTTGCAAAACTCATCAACTATGTCCTCTTCTACCAGATGAATGTCATGGTCACCTACTACTAGATCTTCTCTATGAGGAGGCGGAAATGAGAAGTCCTCTTCACCTCCTCCTCCGCCATCTTGGATGTACATGTAAGGCTGTTTTGCAGACTTTTTCTTGTGTTTTTCGCCATTTCCCACATTCGCTTTAGGACTGCCGCGTCCGAACGGCTTAATATTTCTGCTTTGTCCTACAAGACTGGGGCTGCTCATGTCGCTCATGTTGACTGATGTAGAAACATTTTCGATTGCAGAGGTAGACGATATCTGGCTAGTAGATCGGTCCTCATTAATCCTAACCTCACCGCCTTTCTGCTGAATGCCGTCCGAATCCGGCTCATCCTTTAGATTCGCCAAAGGTCGCACTTGCATAGCAATTACAGGCGCGAGATCTTCTTGCTCGCCCCTGCTGTCGACTACTGCCATGCTCCGCCTAGAAACGTCAAAGACGGCCGTAGGAGACGGGGAGGAACCGAGCCGCTTCTCTCGCGCTTCAACTGCCTCTCGCAATGAATCACGGATCGTCTGTCTTGGGCTACCGACCAAGCGTGTGTTCATCCGCGACAGAGGAGAGCGAGGGGACGACAATGTCGGAGATGCAACTACGTAGGTAGGTCCAGGCTTGGTAGGTCCTGCAGCTTCTGCACTAGTCCGGATGCTCGAACCTCGTGTGCCACCCACGATTTTGAATTGTGAGAAAGCTTGTTCCGTTTTCATGCGTTCCGTCAAACGTTCCACGTCTGCATTTAGTGCATCAGCTTGCTCACTTAGCTGCGCCACCTCAGTGAGCGCGCCGAGCGTTTGCGCCTCTGACACGCGCGGGAGGATCCCGTTCGAACCCATCTTGTCCGACACCTCACCTAACATGGCTGTAAGTCCCTCAGCCTCCGCGAGAAGTGTGTCGAGCCCTGGCTGCTGCGAATCATTCTCATTGTCAACAGACGTATTTCTAGGAACAAACGACTGTCTCTCACTCCTCTGACTCTGCGTCGCTTTCTGGTGAATACTTGACGTCATGGTCTGCTTAACCTTAAGGGGTTGCCTTTTCTTTGAACCTCTACTTCTAGAAGTCTGCTCAGTAGACCGTGCGTCACCAGCCAGAGAAGTGAAGTCTAGTACTACCTTTTGTGATTTCGATCTAGGACTCATTCCTGTGCCTCTAGATGACCGCCCAGCTGCGTCCATATGTTCATCGGAGGAAGGACCCGGAAGAGCATGCGTTGTATCGGTGTCACTCGAAGAAAGATGTTGTCCTGGTTGAGAAGTCTTTTGACTTTTGGAGGAACCTCTCTTCCCCGTTGTGCGTTTTTCTCTTAATACTTCATGTTCACCTCCGCTAAAAGTTCCTCCTCCTCTTGTCCTCTTACTTGCGCCCCTGCTTTCCTTAGGTGATCTCGGAGTTTGTTCTTGCTTTGCTGCTTGCTGTTGTTGGTGCTGTTGAGACTGTAGTGACAGTGACTGTTTATTGCTGCTACTAATTTGCTGATTCAATAGAGGTAACAGGAGGTTAGCGGCCTCTAAGTCTCCAGCCAATTTGGCTTCCTCAATTGCTTCGAGCAAAAGCGACGTGCGAGCAACTTGGCGTGCCTCCGGCGAACTGTGACCGAACGTCATATCATCCAGCATCTTCTGCAATGCGCTAGATCTCGTCCTATGGTCTCCCACGGGAGAAGAGCCCCTAATATTTAGTTGACGTTGTGCGTCAACATCTACCTCTACTCCTCGTGCATGAGTAGTTGTGTCCTCATCAGAACGCGGTCCAAGACCTGCTCCGGCTACGCGCGATTGAGTTGTTCCAACTTTTGCCGGCGAGTTTGATTTAAAACCACTAGATTTTGCAAAATGCGGCTGTCTGCCCTGCCGACGGCTGCGAGTAGATACATTGTCTCGATGAGTTAAAGATGCCTCAACATGTTCTCCATCGTTAGAGGACGAAGACATTTCTTCAGCGGTCTTCTTGTCCGCAGCATCCCTCTCCCTTTGCTCCTGCATGAATTGCTCGATCTGACGCAGAACTGCTGCTGTCTCATCATCATCTGCAGGCCCATCTTTCATGACCTTAGAATAATCGGCAAAAGCACGATCTCCACTTGTGCTCACGAGTGGCAGACGACCCTCGTCTGCTTTCTGTGTGGCCCATCGCTTCATGATTTCGGCGTACAAAGCGCTTTTTTTGCTCAGCTGACCTACCACCACATTGTCGTTGCCTCCATCCGCGCTACTCGCGGAAGATGACGAAGAGCGTAGCCTGTCTCCAATGCTGATATGAATGTCCTGCTGCCCTGCACCGACACATTTATCAACAAGAGTCACGCCAGCTGCTGGTTTGCTTGTGCTGTTTTCCAAAGTCCTAGAGTCGAGTTCCTCTGCTTGTTGTGCGCCAGCATTTAGCGTTATGTCCTCCTTCCCTCTACTCTTCACGCTTGCTGTATCTATCCCAAGCCCAGCGGTCCTCGAAACAACTGCTTGCGCTGTATTACTCCTCGACGTTGATGTTGGTGGAGGCGGGCTTCGACTGCGCGCTGGGCTCTCGCTCACTGCTGGACTTCTACTTCGCGACGCTGGGCTCTTGCTCTGCACCGGACTTCTACTCTGCAGCGGGCTTTTCCTGGTAGGAGTTTTCGTTCCGCCAGCAGTCTTCGAGGTCGCTTGATGTCCTGCTGGCCTCGGAGATCGTGATCTTGGTGTGGCAGGAGTGGTGGAGTGGTGGAGCATTTGTTTTCGAACCTCCTCTGCATGTGCTGCGAATGAGGAGGCACGCGCGTTGTGCTCAACCGCATCGCGTGGGGTCCGTGCCACACGGCCGTAATACTCTCGCGCCATCTGCATGCGGTTCATTGCAACGGTTGGCGGCCGAGCGCCAAATGGCACATTCACCACTGGCTTGTTAGTCCTTGTGCTCGATACTGGAGATTTGGACCACTTGAGACGCTGTGTCGGTGATGGCGAGGGCGACTTCGACGCATTAGGCAGCGCGACGCGTGTCCGGAACTTTGGCGACGATGACAACTGAGGCTTCGCATCCACCTCTGCAGCACGCTTACGTGTACTTAAAGGAGAGCTGCCCGTGCCCAGCCGCGGTTTGCTCAAGGCTGAAAGTCTACTTCTACGCACAACAGCCCGTTTTACCTGGTTTGCTGTGCGCGTCGGAGACGCTTTGGCTTTGGATGATGGACTCGGTGACGCAGCGCCTGTCCTCGGAGAAGCACGACCAGAGTCACGACTCCTGTCCGACGCAGCCTTCTGTTTCTGGCCAGTCATCAGCCGTCGCAAGGGAAACTGCCGCTCCTCTCCACTGCCTCCTCGCGGCGTGCCCCGAGCAGCAGTAGATGACAGAACGCCTTTTTTCGCCCGTGGAGAAGGTCCTGGGGTGCTTGTAGGAGAAGCTAGTGGCAGGCGCACCAATTGCGGACTGTCTCCACGTCGCATTGGACTTCGAGCAGAGTTCGGAGATGAACTTTTTGACCTCGCCGAACTGACTGCGTCCACTGCTCTCTCTGAGCCAGAGAGTGCGTATGACCCATCTTCCCCCTGGGCAGGATCGTAGTTGTCTTCTACATGAGACTGCGCCCCACTAGCGGGAGACTTCTTTCGAATGCTTAATGTGGCTGAAGACAGCGTGTGAGCCGTGAGGCGCTCTCGCGAAGAAAGCATTCGCAGCTCTCTACGACGATGTACTGCAGGACGCTGCTCAAACGGGATCACCTCTCGTGCACCACCGCGAACGCTCCTTGGAGTTCCTCGTGGCGTGGCTTCCACTTCTTCGGTCGTACTAGTTGCGTCCGCGTCAATCTCTTCATCATCTTCTGGTTCTGTTCTATCAAAAAGTTGTACAGTATCCAGCTGTTGTCCTATTGTTCCGGAGTTCATCTTCAGGGCCGACGAGAATGGCCGCACTTGGAAAGGAGAAATTTCTATTTTCTTTGTCGCAGCACCGACGCCTATGCCTGCTCCTAGCATGGAAGCAGGCGCTCGCAGAGCAGGAGTAGAAGTAGAAGAAGGGGTGGCGCTGGTTGAGCGTCTCACGTTCGTTTGCTTCTTGGTGGTTTTTCTGCCGCGAATGCCTTTCCCTTTTGTGGAGGCAGACCCTCCGCTCTTCTTCGACGACTTAGAAGACGTCTTCTGTTCTGATTTGCTGCCATTTTTCACGCTCCATACTTCTCCGGAAGCAGCAGCGGCGCCAGGTACGAGGCTCATGACGGCGAGACGTGGCGGATTGCTCATGCTCCGAGCAGCTCGAATTGTGCTGTGCCGTAAGATCTTATCTGGGACCGAGGTTGGCAGTTGCACATTGCTAATCTGAGGAAAGCTCAGCGTAGGCATTTGAAACTTTCCGTCGAGGTGATCCTGTTGCCGCTGCATCGTGCGTGGCGTCGGAACTTCTGAGGAAGACGCAGAAGACTGTGCTCCTGTCGTTGGCGTTTTCGATGGCGGCACAACCTGGACTGAGGTCCGGTTGCCGCTTCTCGTCAACACCGACCCCAAACTATTCCGGATCGCATCTTCCGCTGCTTTCCTCTTGCGACCCTTGGACACACGCGGAGCAGGCTTGTTTGGGGCAACAGGAACAAAAGCAAAAGGTGCGCTTGTGCTCGTCACGCCGTTATTCATATTCGCGCTGGTCCTCGTCACGCCGTTATTCGACGTATTGTCACTCTCGTTCTCCCCTCGTTGAAGATCGCTCACAACATCTACTTCGTGGCTACGCACAACGACCGGATCATCCTCTCCCGTCGGAAGTGTCTTCGCGATACTGACTTTCACTGCTCTAGGTGTCTCACCTTCCTCAACACTCGAATCTTCCAAACCACGACCATTCGCATTCGCCGCTTGAGCCCAAGCCGACTTCCTCTGTTCCTGCGGATAACGGTGTACTATACCATCGTTTTCGTTACCTAGTACGCTATGATAATCTTCATCCTCGTCGAACGCGTGGTCTCTTTTCTTTGCACTTCTATTTGAGACTGGCGAACCACCTTGCTGCATCTTAGAAACATTTGCTCGAAATATTTCCCCGCGAAGTAAGCTATCGAACCCGGACGAGGACTTTTGTTGTGGAGAAGCAGGAGTTTGCTTTCGGTCCTCACGACGAACAAAAGCACTCGCAGGCTTTTTGCTACTTAGGTCCGAATAAACACCACCAGCCAAGTCTCCGTCTTCTCGTTCTACCTGTCGTTCTTCTGCTGCTTTCTCGTCTAAATTCGTAGTAGTTGGGAGAATCAAGTCCGACACCAGTTGTGTAATACCCGCACCTGCGCGCGACATTAGGTCACCCAGAGATGTCCGGGTCTCTAATGCTTTCTCTTCTGGACTTTTCTCCTGCGGCAAAAGCGCACCAGTCTCCAGCATACCCCGAAAGCTGAAATTCGACATCATATGGCCTGGGATTCCGTCAATCGCGTGCTCTCCAAGTATCGGCGTACTGATGATCGGTGAGTACGAGTCTGCAGCTAGCAGCGGAATACCGGATGGAGTGGTCAGTGACGACGTTCTCGACTCCCGACGACCACTTCCACCTACCACTCCCGATTCACGAATGGATGCCTTCCCAGTAGAGACCTTCTTGATATCTTTCCCAGGATTCTTCACTTCACCCGCCGCCGACTCGCCCGCCGGACCTAGTGCTACCTCGCTAGCCCCGCTACTCGAGCGGAACGATGCCCATTCCGAACCACGTCCAATCGTCTCGGGTTTGCGCGGTTCCGGTATCTGCAGAGGTGGCAAGGTTACTGGATCGATCGCCGGAAATTGCAGAGCAGGCACCTCCATCACTCTTGAGGTGGGGATTGGAGACTTGATGAAATCATTCAATTTCTCCGACAGTGGAAAACGACGTGCACTGCTACTTTGCGTCGTCGCGGGTTGCGATTGGCCACCAGCTTCAGTTCCCGTTGCAGCGCTTGTCCCTCCAGTTGCTGCAGATGCAGTTGCACTTGCAGAAGTCGTCTTCCCTCTATTACTATCGTTAAGGTCGTCGTCCGCAGCATTGCGATCCCCTGCCTCTACACTTTTCCCAAATTGAGGACTAGCACTGGTTCCCTTGTTATCCTCTGGAGATCGCGGAGGCAGCCTAGAAGCGCCTTCTTGCATCTCATTGTTGAGGACACCTTGCTGTATAGCGGAATAGTCAGAGCATGACTGAGGGGTACCAAAAGAGTCGTTATCCATTTCGACTTCTCGAGGTGTACTACTTCTAGATGCTCTTTGTCTTTGCTCGTAATCGTAAACATCCTTCGTCTCGTCCTCAGATGTATTATCCTCTAATTTGCTGCCCCGCATAGAACCTTGCGGCAGTTCATGACGTTCTCCGGCTAAAATTTTCTCCCGCAACAAACCGCTACCGCGCAGTGACGAGAGACGCAGATCGAAGCTGGGATCTGCTTGAACTATTTGCTTGACTTAAAACTCAGCCTTCAATGGTCACTGACTCTGAACGGAAGGGGCCCCCCTTCAAAGCTCTCCCCTTTCCCTTCGTTTTCCCCTGTTCTCTCAAGGGGTCGCCTCTTCGATCTCAGTGACCAACCCCAGTGACCATTGAAAGCTGAGCCTTAATTGACCATAGGTGTCGACGTCATCTCCTCTTCGGTGACACCAGTTTCCTTCTTGTTGCGCAGACTGCGTCTCAAGACACCTGACTCGGCACTTCGTGGACTCTTTCCCCCGTTACTGCTTGGAGCTTGCCTTGCAGCAACTACCTGTTTTTCCAAGTCCTGCACTTTCTGTGCTAACTCTTTCTTGCGCTTACTAGTGCGTCCGCGTCGGCTCGCAAGCGACTTCTGGCGCGCCTCGGCGTAGGACCGCCGGTCTAACTGCGACGACCCTGCTGTACTTTGGGAGTTCTGGAGAGCCGACGAGAAGGATGAGTCGGCAAGTCCAGAACTCTGTGCGGAGCTCCCAAGCAGAGCTCCCATGACGTGACTTTTCTGAAGATCATCTTTCCTAGGTGTCCCCTGTGCGTCCCTCGGCGAGTCAGCCATCATAGCCTTCCGCGTGACCGATTTCCGCGTGGCCTGAAGTAAATGCGGCGATGGTGAGCGCGGGGACGACGCCGTACGCGACCTTGCTGCAGCTGCACCAGCCGTTTTCTGTTCATCTCCAGCACGTCGAACAGAAGGCGGAGCATCCCTGGTTGCGACGCCTTCTGCGTTCACATTTTTGTCCGTAGTTTTGTCCACCTTACGGCTTTTTCTTGCCCCTCCCTTCTTCTTGGGAACCGGAGCTACTGCATTTTGCTTCATAGACGCAACAGCCGAACTCGAAGATATGCCGAGAATTCTCTGCTCCATCTCTGAGATTTTCGCAGACGTCGACGTTGCCAGTGTCTCCTCTAGCCCGCGGCTCTGTCCTAGCACATTCAGCTCGGGTGCGGCCGATGTTGAAAAACTCAGAAGTGTTTGCTGCCCCAGCACCATTTCCACTGCGTCTCCTGTTTGGACGACTCCAGGTTGTTGTGGTTGCGCCGCCCCTGATGTTGTAGTATATTCTGGCCAGTTGGACGGGGATGTTCTCACACCTGGTACAACTGCTTGCTCAAAGAACCCTGGAACGAGAGGCTCTCCTAGAGGCGGCCTGATCTCGTGGGACGGCTTCCTTTGTTGGGCGGTTCTGGACTCGTCCTCCCTCCTGTAATTCTTCACTACTACATCAAATTGTCCCCCAGTAGCAGCAGCAGTACCTCCTCTACCTCTTCCGGACGACCCCGCGGTCATTGCTAAAGCGTCTTTTCTGCTATTGCTAACCGATTCAATACTGAGACTGCTCGTGCTGAAGAGGAGTGGTGGTACAGAAGAAGCGTTCGGATCTTCAGCACGAGGAGCAGTCGGGTCTTCAATACTGGATTCAAAGGGATCATTTGCGACGTTTCTTTCATGGTCCTCTCGCACCGAGATGATGGAACTAATCAAATTACTACGACTTCCATCCGGAGGACCAGCAGCACGCGCCTCTTCTAGAAACTCTCGTGCGCGACGTGGAGAGCTCTGCAAGACAGAAGTTGAGGACGATTTCCCATAACCCTTATTGTTCCTCTTCGAGTTGTTCGATGCACCAGCACCTCCAGCACTTCTCGATCTCGACGGAGTACAACTATGGTCCTCAGGGGCCTCTCTACTGGCTCCTGGCGGTAGAGGGCTATTCGACTGTACCGGTGCCCGCGGTGGACAGGGGACAAAGCTCTCAGACGAGTTCAATGCCGCAAATTCGCTGTCATCAGCGCGATGCGGCAAAACGTACTCCTCCAATTTGTCGGTGAAACTGACACTCATCGCGCGCGCTCTATTATTTGTTGGCAACGTTGTACCGTGATGATCCACCCCTGCACCAGTGGCCAGCAGTGTGCTCGTCTCGGAAGCTCCTAGAGTGTCTCCTAGACGTCGCTGCAAGAAGGATGGAGGCCCTGAACCTAGACGCGGACTAGAGAAACTCGCCAAAGCAGCTGGAGCTGCGGCAGAAGCCTGAGTTGATGGTACACGCACACTTGGCTGCGCTAGCATTGAGGGCAGCGTGAGGCCTTTGGCCGCTCCGGACGCAAAAGATGATGCTGCACTGGCATACGGTGAAACGTACGGCGGCACGAGAGGTACAACTCCTGGCTGTTGCTGAGACGCGGCTCCTTGAAAACAGGAGCAGAAACAGGAACTTGTTGGTGCAGCGCTATCGATTTGCCGTGTAGACGAGCCCTCATCTCCAATATCGTAAGAGCAGCTACTACTGCTGCTACGGACACGCACCATAGTGGCGCTCGGCGTCGTCAAGGACGCGTAACTCGCCGCACTGCGCGTGAAGTACCCTCCCAGCTGGTCTGAGGTTGCGCCTACACTTGGCGATTGATTCAAAGGCGGATACACGGAAACCTGCTCACCATCAGCACCACCCGTTCTTGGAGAAACACCCGGCACTTGCCCTTGTTGACCTCCGTCGTGGTTCAGGGAAAAAGCGGAAACCGCATTCCTATCGCGCGGCGCGGCCTCAAATGTAGTCCTCGTTGGCGACCGACAGGAAGGCAACGAGCCACGCGCACGGTCAGCGTCGCCGCCAAACATGATCCCTGATAATCTCTGATACTATTCATGCACGCTTCTAGTTCTACGTAATATCAAGCCCCTATCTATATCTAAACAAAAAGTAAATAACTAACTGGTAAGCAGGAGATAAGAGCCAAGAATTACAGGCAGTAATAGTCCATTATTTGCTTAAGTATGATCAAGTTGTACTACCCATTGTACAGTTATCAACTGTATAGTAGCACCTATTCTAGTTGGGTTACCAAAAAGTATAACTAAGTTAGTAGCCATCTCTGTGTATAATACAACAAGTCATATATTTTCACGTCGCAGTTTTTTCCAGAAGTCCTTGGTAAGCAACTGAAAATTTACGTAGACGTACTAGCAAGGACGAACCAAGCTACAGCATACGTTTGAAAGGCGGGATATGCGCTTGATGCGGGCTGGGCAACCGATGGTTGCAGACTATGATGATGCTGAAAACCGAAGATAGGAAGCAAAGTGCAATACAGAATCTTCAGTTTCACAACGTACGATCTTCAAGTTCGTGGAAAATCTTCATGTTCCGTTGCAAGTGCAAGGATTAAGGCTTGGGTCAGCGCTAGAAACCAACGATGAGATGAAACCGATATTGTTGTTGTTGTTCGACTTACTAATACTAACAATTACAATTTCTAGTAGCAGCTGTAATAGTACATAGTACAAATAGTGTTCGTCGATCTTGTTGTCGTTCTGTCTGCTGAAAAGCCCTACAACCGGATACGATCCCATACCAAGCTGCAAATTTAGGCTACAGCGAGCATCTTCAACCCAAGAAAACAACAACTTCTCCAGCCGCCTTTTCTTTTTTTACGTAATCATGTGTGTGCCTCTTTGACATGTGTGGCCATTCGCGACCACCGTATGTCAAAGATACAGGGCTACAATCATATGAAGATCGTACATGCTGGGCGCAAAACCAATTTACTGTACACATTCATAGTGTATGAATTTTTGCAAGGATCGATTTTTTCTGGCAGCTAATATCAAGTTTCAAAAGTCTTACTTTCTTCAACAAAATGATCGTACATTTTATTTCTTCTGCCTAAACGTGGTCAGTAAAATCCTGTTCTTTATTCTGACGGTAGCATATGAATATCTATTACTTCTTGTGGCACTACAACTAAAAAATACAAATCAGATGGTTTAGATGACTAAGTATGCTCTTGTGGTGATCTTTCTCAGCCACATTCCAGCGATCGAATCGTGGTGGTGATGCTCATCGGCATAATAGCTCTTTTCTGCTACGCACTTTTTTTCTGGGTTTCAACCATTTCTACTTTCATAGGAACGACTATTTCTTTCATGCTGTAAATACGTAAAATTTTTTCATTATTGCTGTATTTATCATTCTTTTCAGTACTACCTTATAGTGAAATGCACAAACCTTTGGAAACAAATGGGTGTCAATCATGTCCTTCGAATAATTGATGTGCTTACCTCAAGCTGTATGTGATCATGAATGTCTTCGGAGTTACGGAATACAATTACAAATTTGAACTAAATCAGAATGACATAAAGTCTTCAGTATGTTTGATCTATGTTCTAGTTCTATTCGTAAATGTTATGGTAATAATTATCATCTATGCTTTGTGACAACTAGAATACGAATTATTGATCGGAGTAACATTAAGTCTAAGCGTTGTTTCTCTCAGTCCTGTTAAATGTGCCTATGCAAAATTTTTTGAAAAAACATTAATAAGATTAAGATACTTATATTCATTGATATGTACTTACTCGTTATGCAAACAGAAGTGTAACAAGTCGTTTTTTACTGTCCTTTTTTTGCACGAGGTTGCTGACGTTGAGCTTGAGATGCTCGCCGCTGATTGCTTTGGCCGCTCATAGCATTGATGCCTGCAAATTCAGTCTCGTCATTACCCAGCAACCCCCCTTCTGTGGAAGACGCCATGCGTTTGATGCGAGGCGCGCCGCTTCCAGATGGTTGTTTTAGAGCTCACCTCACCCTAGTACTCCACTTTGAGATTCTTTCATCTAGAGAAGCCGTTCTCTTCTTTTTAAGATGCTTCATCTGGAGATGAATTTTAGGATATTAAGCCTTAATTGTTCAACTGTAGTTGTTTTGGACGCCCTCGACTTCGGCGCCTCTTCAGCTGGTGGCCTTCCTGCTATGGCATTGTTCACAAAAGCCACGCTGCGACCCACTTTACGCTGCGATGCATTAAGGGCATTTTTCGACTCCTCTTGATTCCGCAACACAGCTTCTAGCAGGCCAGCCGAAGCAGATGATGCGGAAGCTCCTCCTGACACACCAGCTCTAGCACCTCCTCCTGGTCGACCAGAGGACGCTGACTGGCTTGCAGAAGTAGACTGCGGGTGTGGTCCAGCTTTTTGCGGCGGTTCTGGCGCATACTTAGCTTCCATGTTACGACGATACTCTTGAGCTAGTTGTCCTGGACTAGGTTTACTAGAAGAAGAAGCAGTAGGCGTACTTGTATTCGTATTGACAACTACGTCCGATGAGGACGCTGTTGCTGCTGTTGACGCACCTGTGCCGTTGCGGGACGATCGAAGTCCCTGAACACCTTTAGCGCGCGTCCCGAAGCCATTTACGCGTCCCAGAGCACCACGTGCTTTTCGTTCAGCATTCTGTTTGCGTTTTCGCTCTAGTTCTCTTGCCGCAGCTTCGGACTCGGACTTGATCCTCTCTTCTTCCTGTGCTCGCGCTTTGCGCTCGTTTTCCGCCAAGATGTCGCCCATCACTGCTTCTAGCTTCTCGCGCTCCTCTGGGGTCATAAAGTGGTACAGCGCGTGCAAGGCTTCCATGTGTTCGTGCACGGCCGAAGCGCCCTGAAGACTACGTTTCAGACCCTCGCTAACAGCCGGATCCGCTAAACGGCGACGAACGGCCTCTTGGACCTCAGGATGATGGGGGTTCTCTAGCAACTCTCTAGCTGCCTCTTCTAGCTCCGTCTCATCAGAAGAACCGTCAAGACGTTGTGCCTCTTCAACTTCGAGCACTTTTACAGACTTCTTAGCACCACTGCTGGAGGATGAATACTTGTCACCAGTGGTTTTGGATGATGAAGCGAGTGCCGGATCAACAGCGGCAGACGAGGCTGCAGCCATTGCGCGCGCCGCCTCAGCTGAAGGCTGCATTGTCGACAGATTTGCCCATGGGTCGCCACCATGCTCCGAGGAAGAGCTGCTCGGTTCTAGTAGCGCAGAACGGTCTATTCCTTCCTTAGAGTGCTCTGAGTGCAGTACGTTGCTGTCCCCCACTGCTGCAACGGAATTCGTCAGGCCTCGCTGGACAACTACAACACCGTGCTTTGAAGACGAACGACCAGCTCCAGCCTCCGGCTGTTCAGGACAAGGACTGTTTGTTGACTGTTCAGGACTGTTGTTCAGAGAGGAAGAAAGACTCCGCTGCCCTTGTTCTTCCGCTAGTTTCCTCGTACGACGTTGGTCCTCGATGGCGTGGTGGATGCTCTTTATCATTTTGTTTTTTAGCGCTATCCCTAATTCATCTTCCACCAGCTGCATCCTCCTCAAAAAGTCCTAAGCCAGTAGAGTATCTATCGCACTTCTGGGATAGTGAACAAGATACTACCCCACATGTTGACACCCTTCAAGGATGCAGAGTCAAAGATGCATCTCTAGCTACAGCCTTAACTTTTTCGGTCTGCCTTGTCGATCCACCCTTGGTTGTTTTCGACCAACAGATCCTGCTCCAACACCATCCCCCCGCTCTTGCAACAAATTCCTGATGAAGGTCGGCTGCTGCTCACCACGTGCTGACGTGCTCTTTGATGACTTCTCAGAGCGAGACTCGATAGCTGAAGCCGCTTCATCTTCACATATGTGTCGTCTATCAAAGCCTTCTTCATCTGCATTCATCTTGTTGCTTGATGTTCGACTTTTATTCATTTCGTCCGCGCGTGAAGCGACATGCCTGCTGCTCTTCGTCGCCGCACGACCGTCCACTTCCGAGGCCGTCGTCATAGCCGTCGTTATCCTGGTCTTTTCTCGTCGCTTCTGCGCACCCCCTGCGTCGCCTGAAGATATGGGCAGACCCATTTCAGTCCACGTCTTGAACGATTTTCCATAGCCTGCTTTGTCCTCACCCTGATTCGACCTGTCGATCACGGTAGCCTCTATCGCTTGTGCCGCGTTGACGCGCAAAAGACCTTGTCTACCTGCACTACTTGCCCGTGTACTCCGCCGCTGTCCCCCGGCAACTACAGTGCTTCCTGGGGACGAAAGCGCCTGCGCGTTACGCACGTGCTGGTGGTAGATCTGCCCAGAAGTTGCCAGCTGTCCAGTTCTCGGATCGTACTCCTCCATCAAGTCTCGCATTTGCGCACCCGCTTTCACGCCGCTGCGGAAACCGCGAATCATATCGGCGACACCGAGATGTTCACCCAAACTGATCGTCTTGGTTCTTTGTCCTCCTCTGTTCTGTTCAGCATCTTCAGTCTCCTCTGCTCCGGACGCATGTGCCATCGCTTCATATTCCCCTTCTGCCTTATTCCCCTGCGCTTGCATGTTGTAGTGCCGTTTCAAGAACTGCCGAATCGCTGGAATGCTCTGAGTGCGGGCCTCTCGAAGTTTCGCGGCGTTTTCTTAGAGCTCACCCGAATCCATCTTGAAATTCATCCTGGTTCCTTTTCCCCCTTTGAAACGCTGCCAAGATGCTCTTGAAGATGGCTTAGGGGAACCCTTAACTTTCTACGACTTTCGCGGCCGCCTGCGTGCGTAGAGGCTTTCGCGCCTCCATCTGCGGAACTGACACTCGCGGCGTGGGCAGTTTTTGTTTGGGCTTAGCGTCCTCGAGTACTCGTGCACGAAACTCCGCTTGCAAATCGTTTACACTTCGAAGCGGCTTCAAGGTCAGTGACTCGCGCGACGTCGCCGCAGCCGAAGGACGAAAGACATATTCCCTCGGTGTACTCGTCAAAGACAACCGCGGAGTCTGTCCTCGGGAAACTGCGACAGCCTTACTGCTTTCTGCGCCGCTTGTCCTTGCTCCACTTCTTCTCTGTTGTTCTCGCATTTCCTTATCCTCGTTGTTATCTTGTTTAGAAGAAGTTGCACCTCCAGGCTCATCTTCACCCCGCCCAGCCTGCGAGTACTGCTTCGGCACCGACACGTGGTCAACATTATCACGACCTGTAGTAGCGCTTTTCACGGACGGCACAGCATCTTTGCCGTCGCCTTCAGGCTTCTTCCGTCCAAAGGGGTGCGGCCGGGCGGTGTCTCCTATAGTCTGTTGAGCTGGCTTCTTACCAGCACCTTGCTGTAGGCGCGTACTTGCTCGTGGACTTCTTGGTTAGACCTCTCCCCAGTCCATCCCTGTGGAAATCCCTCAAGGACATGCGTCAACCTCTCCCTTGTATTGGGAGGCATACGGCTGAGGGATCCCTGTAAACAAATGGATTAGGGGAAGCCGTAACTTGGCGCTCCTTCTTTGGCATCGCGCGGCGTCCGTGGCGTCACCCCGCCTTGCGGCTGCACGATCGAAATTCGTTTCCACGACTCCCTTTCGTAAACGGGTTTCAAACTCATTTTCCTCGCTTCTTCAATCACGACCGCGTCCAATCCGGTGCTGGGGTTCAGCTTTGATTCAAGTTCAGAGGCCAAAGATAGCAACTCCTGGTGCTTTTGCGCGATCATGTTGGCCGCCCGCGCGGCACCGCGCGGTGTGCTCTTTCGCGAGGACCCTGGAGTTCCGGTCCCACGTGTCTTGCTCGCTTCGGAATCTCCGCCCACATTTTTAGAAGTGGAACTAGGTACTTAAACATAAACATGAGCCTGATGAAAATCAAAATATTAGAGCAATCTTCTACTAACTTCGAAATAGAATTATAATCCAGTTTCAAACGTACTTATAACAAGCAAATCAAGAGTGCAAGGTGTTAGTTCTGATTCACAGCCTTCTTCGCCATAAGAGCTGCTATTGCATCCTCTTGATCACCTGCATGCTTTAGCATTGGAGCCATCTCTGCCAAAGCGAGCTTGACCTGGTCAAGGAGTTCCGAAGCCTCTGGGCCCACGACTCTCGTCCGCGACCGCGACGCGCGATCGAAACCTGCAGTGGATACCTTAGAGCTCACCCTCGTCATCCATCTTGCGATCCATTCTTGAGATGGTCGCTTCCCGTTAGTTATGGGTCCCCCGCTCCAACATTTGGGGTAGTTAGTAACTATAAGCCTTAAATACTCCTGGAACACTCGGTCGCCTAAGAAGTGGCGGGTTCACTGCAAAGTCCAAACCGTCACCAATCTCGTACTTCTGGGACGCAAAGTCCAGTCCCGTACGACTCCGTTCGTCATAGCCAGACGCCACGTGTGGAGGACAGAACGCCTGCACAGACACGTGGAGGCCGATCTTGGGAACGCCCTTTTGATGGCCTGCGCGAAGCGAGCGAGCAAAAGTCGTTTCAGCGTCGAAAAAATCGGCTTCCAGTTTTGGCACTAGCGAAAGCCAAACCGTAGCTGAACTCTGCCCATGCTGCGTCACTCGTGCGCCATGCCTTAGCGATAAAACCACTTCATACGAGCTTCCCGCAGCTTTCTGAAGATCTACTTCTGTTGTACTAGCATTTGCCGGCACTTCTTTAGTAGAGTCAGAGGAAGGATTCTTGTCAACCGCATCTTTTGAAATCGTTACCTTCTTGACGACCTTGGATGTCGTAGAAGTAGAACCTTCGCTCGTATTGCCCTTATCACCCTCTATCGGCTCAAAGACGATACGCACGTGTGGGTCTCGCGTAACGAGACGTGTCGGCTCTATTGCTGTTTTACTTGGCACCAGCTCTAAGCCAGTAAGAACCTGTCCTCCTTTATTGCTACCCATGTCCGCAAAGGAGCATGGATTGAAAAATACTGTCGCGCGGAATGGGGCGCGAGACGAGTTTTCGGCCCCGTCCTTAGCGGAAGGTCCACTAAGCAGGTCTGACGGGAAACTCTCCCAATCTGAGAGGTTCAGCTCCGTGACATAGATTGGCTCATTGCTTGCGGCTTGCGTCTGCCGCGCAGAGTGAAGCGGCTCCCCGATCTTGCGCGGTGTCATCTTGAGTGCACTAGTGGTCCTGCGAGGTGACGGAGCGTTACTGTCAGAGCCCGCCGCGTTCTTGGAAGTAGTATCAACACTGAGACGCGCGCTCTTAGTGCCCCGCCTGAAGACGGCGTCTGCGTCTACGACAGGTTGGAGATTGGTCCTCAGCGTCACTGGTGCTCTCGGAGTGTTAAGGGTCGCTGGTTGTATTCCCACGTTGACACCAGCGAACTGTGCCTCGTAGTACGGCCGCGACGCCGTTGTTCCAGCGCTAGCGCTGCGCCCGCCACCAGCGAGGATCGGAGACGCAGATAGTGCACGAGGGTCACCACTTCTCGGAGAGCCACCTGCCTGTCCCTCCTTCCACCGGCCGAAGGTCATATGCAGACCCATGTGCCTTGCGGTATCTTCCATTGACCATCGTCGCGGATCCACCTCATACGGCAGCACGCGACGCGTCAAGTAGTCTCGCAGAGAGAGCGCGCCGTCTCCCTGCGGCAGACTTGTGCTGTGATCGTTATGGGAAATCGGCGTTGGGAAGTTCGTCGTCATCTTCGAATTCATCTTACTGCCGCCAGCCGTCGTTGTACCCGCCGCAGCAACCCCTCCCTGTTTCTTCAGACCCCGTTCCGCGGCGTGCTTGTCCTTATTTACCAACTCCGCTACGAACTTGGAGACTAAGTCTGCCGAGTGCTGGGGCAAGTGCAGTTTCGCCTTCTCCTCCGCACTCCACGGTGGCATGGGTGTTTTGCCAAGCAGCGCGTCCATTGTGTGAACGTCTTTGCGCTTCGCCATGAGGTCATGGTAATTTTTCACCATTTTTAGAGCTCACCCCAATCCATCTTGTTCTTGGGATTCATCTCATATGTGCTCCTGTTTTTCCCTTACCTACGAGATAGCTTTGAGATGCTTCTGGTGGAGATGGATTAGGGGAAGCCTTCTTAACATCTGTGAGGCAGTAGCCTTCTGCGCCGCCGCCATGTACGGAAACGGTTCGCCTTGGTGATGCAGCGTCTTTGCGGGATTCGACACTGGGCACACTTGGATCAGCGGATGTGTACTCAGACGCTTTCCACTTTTTCCTGCGGCAGTCGTGCCTCCGAGAGTGGACTTTGACAACGTTGTAGTCACCGTCTGCTTCGAAGAAGATGTAGCTCCTCCGCCTCCAGGTGTTGTAGTTATTCTACCTAGAGTTGTATCGAAGATGATGCCACCAACATCGACGTTATTATAGTTGCTCGCTGTTTGTCGTGCTCCTGGATTCGCTGAGAGTGACCTTCTGGACGCGGGTGCAAATCTACTACTGGTTCCCACGCTGCTTGAGCTTGCACTCGGATCTTTGGACTTCGGAAACACGTCCCCAAAGTCGCCAACTCCGACGTCGTAGCGCGTCCCTAAAATACTACTTGTCGTGCTGGCGCCGGTCCGGCCGCGAGTTTCTGCGCTGTTCGAGCTAACAGAGCTCGCGAAGGCTGACTTCTCATGCACTCCTTCGAGTTGCTGTTTCACCCTGTCCAGCAAATTCGGCTGGCCGCGAACCGCAGTCGTGCGCGTTCGCGGCGCCAGCATTCTGCTACTACGCTGTGTAGTTGCTGTAGCCTTCTCCACTGAACTCTGCGGCAGTGTCTGCGTGAGGCGCTGTGCAAACGCATCCTGCTCTTTCCCATTTGCTTTGTCGTTTTCTAGGCGTTCCGCGAGCAAGTCCGCGAGGATCCCAGAGGGCAAGACACTTGCATTTCCGCTCGCTTTAGACGAATCAACATCTTCGTCCGCGCAGGAGGACGCGCTTTCTCTACGTGGCGCTACGAGCAACTTTGATGGCGAACGATTGTAAGGCTGCTTCCGAATCTTCAGCCCAATCGCTGGCCCGAGAGGGCTCACATTGCGCCCGAGGTGCAGGTACTCATCATCATCGACCATATGCTTCTGTTCCCTGGCCCACGTCAGGAGGGACTGCGCCAGGTCCTGGCCCTCCCGGAACACCGCCGGACGATAGTTGCCTCCGCCTAGTTTTAGAGCTCACCCTAATCCATCCTGAGAGCATCCATCGAGGACCTTCTATTTCCCCGCCGGTGAGGCAGCTCCGACATGCCTCTGGAGATGGATCAGGGGAAGCCTTAACAGTTCCTCCGCAACGGCCTCCTCCTGCTGCTCGTGCCACGCCAAGACTTCACCCATCTGCTTTTCGTTCAACGCTGCAACCTCCTGTTCCAGTGCCGCGGTCAGCTCCTTCAACACGGAGTGCTCACTCGTCGAAGAAGAGGAACTACCGAGCAGTTGCGACAACTCGTGCACCTTGTCCCGGAGCCGGCGCACCTCAGAGGTCGCAGCGATCGGGTCCCCGGGTCGTGTGGGCAGACGCGCAGGGTCCACCATCCAAGGCAGTTCTAGTCGCTCCTCTATCAAACGCGGTACGCGAAAGCGTGCAGCTAACCCCCCTGGTGCTACTTGTTCATCGGCTTTTGGCTCCGTGTACTCGAACAACGGACCACGAGGACCACTAGCTGATACAGGAGGCGCGAATAATGCTGAAATCACTCCAGGAGGCGGCGCAGCACCTGCGCCAACCGATTGACGTCCGCCTCCCATACTGGAAGCACTTTTCTCAATGGAATTCTGTCCCTCCATGAAGGAATCAGTATCCATCGTTGCACCTCCTGCACTCCTCACGAACTGCTGAGGACCGCTGCCCTTGGCTGCAGCTCCTTCTTCCATGACGTACCTTGGCGACGTGCCGTTGAAAACGGATTCGGCCGACAAAACGCCGGACGATGAACTCTCGTTGCGGGATGATAACCGTCGTGGTATGGGGGCGGGAGGAACTGCAGAGCCCTCTTCTACGACGCCAGCTTCTCGTGCCTCGTCTTCGGCCTCAAGGGACTTTGTTCTCGGCCTCGGAACGCCGACGACACGGGCTTCTAGCACTTCGACCTCCCGAGCTACGTCTGTTCTCGGCCTCGGAACGCCGACGACACGGGCTTCTAGCACTTCGACCTCCCGAGCTACGTCTCCAACCTCGGTTTGCATCACCTTCAGGTCAGCCGCTACAGAGTAATCTTCCTGCGGCGTAGGATCGATATCCACACCAGGCGAAACCTTTGCACCGGTGTGCGTGTCTGTTGATTTTCGCGAAGCGGTGGACTTCAGCACATCAGTCGTGCTCCCTGGCGAGCTATCACCTCCTGAAAGAGCAGCTGCTGATGTGTCGACGGCTGCTGCTGTTATTTCCCGCTTAAGACGTCTAGTACCATCATCTGGATCTGCTTGCTCCTGTTCTTTTGCTCCGGCTCCGCCACCAGCAGCTCCACCATCTGTTTGTTCAGTCGTTTTCGAGGAAGCACCTTGTTGGAAGAAAGTGCTGACACGTTCCGCGTGGTTAACCTTGCTTCGTCTACCGCTTTTCCTAGCCCCAAAGCTCTTCCTGAGTGAGCTTCCTGATGCGTCTGAGTCGGCTCCTTGACCTTGTTGTAGGTTAAAGCCGTCCGTTCGTAGTTCTACGGGATCGACGCCGGGAACTTGGGAAAGAATCTTACCGTTGTTACTTTCGGAAGAGCGCCGTGGACTCGACAGCACGTCCCTTGGCGAGCTCCAGTCCAAACCCTCGACCGACACGCGGGATGGCGGCATGAGAACCGCCAGGCCTGGACTCGTCATAGCGCTACTTCTCCTAGTGGACAGACGTCCAGGAGACATGACACTTCCTGCACCAGCAGTACTAGAACAAGCAGTTGTTTTCATATTCTTAGATACAGTAGAGCTACTTCTACTTGCATCACCTCCTGGTGCTTCACCAACGGCCTGGTTCAGCATGCCATCTGCATTCGCTTCCTTCTGCTTCGCAGCAACACTAGCATACAGATCACGCTGGAACAAGTTTCTTCCTGAGACATCGGGGATTATTGCTGCTGGATTCAGACGGCTCTGCAGCACCGGGCTTTCCTTCAAAGTACCTGCACTCAGTTGGGCACTTTGCCGACCACCCTCGGAACCCCTGCGGAGAACGCTGGACGATCGCAGCTGCGTACTGATCTGCTGACTAGCAATGTGCGACTGCAGAGTCTGCATGCTCTGTGTAGCTCTATCCCGGAGAATATCTGGAGTCGAGTCTCTGACTGCAGCACTTGGTTTTCCTCCCTTCTCTTGCACGCTTCCCCGAGCACCTGCAGCTGCTTTAATGTTCGTTCCGGTGATGGCCTTGATGTCGGCGGCTGCCTTGGTCCAGCCTGAACTTGTAGTTGTACCCCCACGACTAGCCGCAAGACTGTTATTTGCGGCAGACTTACCCGTGGCACCAGGATCTTGAACAACAAGACCTGACATATTATTAGTACCTTGCGAACTCGTGACAGGTGTTGCAGCCCCATTTCCTGTTGCAGCGATAGGTGTGGTCACACTTGTTTTCCCGCCACTTGCTTGTCGTTGTACTCCTGGAAAAAGCTGCGGCGCCAATGCCCCGGGAGCAACACCGGGAAGCACCATATTATTGAGTCCTAGACCCGGCAAATCTCCCATAGGGCTCAACAATGGCACTGATGCTGTATTCGGATCAGAAGATGTGGTGCGCGTTACTCGCGGTCCAAACAAAGCGTCCCGATACACGCTTAACCCCAAGGACTCTCTGGTCTGCGTTGGATTACCACCTGTGAGTGCTGCGATAAGAGACGCTCGTTTCGCTGCGGCATCCGCAGCGCTGGCCATTGCAATTGTTAGAGCAAGTCGAGCACATCAATGAGAATAATTGTATAATTGTATCCATCATCGATCTTAATATTTAAAGACCAACTGCACGCTTCTTGTGTCTTTTTGTTTTCTCTTGAAAAACAAAACAAGCTCATGTGAGTAAAATGGATCTCTGTACTTGTAAGTCTAAGCATAAAATTGAGGCAGCACTTGGCGGAGGAGACCCTGGGCTACGTGGACTTTGCTGATACCCGCTGACTCGGTAACTGTTGTATCGCTGTCCCAGTTGACTCTGCAGGGCCGCGAGTTCAGGTACTTCGGCTGCACCATTTTGTAAACCCGCAGATACCGAGGAAAGCAGGTGCTGCTCCGTCTCTTCGCTCAGCGAAGACCCTGGAAACTCGCCAATGCGACTGGTCCGCTTGATAGCATCAGCATCTTCGGTGGGCATACAGTGCGACCCCTCCACTAAAATGCACTGAACAGCATTTCTCATCCAGTGGGAGGCACAATTACTCTGCTTGTTATGCGATTGAACAGCGAGAGCGCAGACCTCGTCACTGTGCTCGTTAACGACGGACGAGCAAAGATCTTCCAACAGCGTATTTCGTTCGACAGCACAGCAACTTTCGTACTCACTCCGCTCTTCATCTTCTACTAGGCAAGTAGGCACATGAAGATTGAAGAAACTTTTATCCATCTCCTCCTGTGAAAAAGAAAAGTGTCTTACTCGTCTTCGACTGCCTTGCTCCTCTTCTACTCCTGATAAAGATTGCATTGCGAAGATACGACCTCCATCTGCCTCTTCATCTACCTCCTCCATTTGATGCTCTCCTTCAAAGCTGTCAGAAGTCGTGATGGCAGGAGGAGGAGCCTCACCTACCAACACACCATTTTCTTCTTGGTTATTGTAGTCAGCGATCTCGAGTCCTCCACGGTCAACCGTGCTCACGAAGTGGCCGTGCGCTTCGTGGTGCTCGTCCATGTCCTCGATCCCAGGCGTTACCGCACGACTACCAACAATACCTCCTGCTGGTCTGGCTTGTTCTTGACCACTTGTCGCTAGAAGAGGACCTCCGTTGTCCTGACTGCGCGGTGCTGAGCCTGATTGCTGTGACAGACGCTTCTTGAGGCTTGCTGCTCGATCCGCTATGTGACCATGTAGACCGCGGGCTCCCGCTGTCCTCGCCAAGCTCAGCATGGCAGCTGACATTGCTTTCTTTCCCGGCGATTCAGTCGTGGTAGAAAACGATGTTGTTGATGTTCCTGCTGCATTATAATCTGCTGTAGCCATTGCCACGATTCCAGATGTTGAAGAGGTGCCCACCGCTGCAATGTTGTCGATTTTGTCATCGACAGAGTAACTCACACTACGACTTCTCCTTCCGAAGGCTGACGCAGGCTCGTGTGAATGTGCGTCAGCCCACTGGGGGTGAGTCCGCTCCTGCATTGTCACGTTCCATGATCGTCTCGATGTACTATTTTTACCAGGAGGAGAGCCTGGAGAGGCCTCTGCTTCATCTACTGATGTTGGAGACTTGCTATTCTTGGACTTTTTTCGTGCTGCTATACTAGTAGGACTCTGCTCTCCTCCACCTCGTGTCCGCATTTGACCATCCGCCGAAAAAAGTACGGGATCATCATGAGGGGACCTCCCTTCCTCAGCATGATCAAGACCAGACGCATCGTCGATCTGTTATTTGGGAACGGACAAAACTAACGTGATGTTAACCTTGCGTGCCAATGAAATCGGTCTACAACCAGTACTATTTCAACTTATCTTTAGCAAGAAGATGAAATCAACTCAACGGTAGACACCTGATATCTTCAACATCTTCTCGTTTCTAAATGTATACCTGATCCGTAGCGAACTCTGGCAGCATACGTGCTACTGCGTCAGTATGAAAAGTGTTCGAGAGTTTCGGCATCAAACTTCGAGCACCTTTCATTTCATGCGGACTTCCCACTTCAACATGGTACTCATTCTCAATCTTTGCAAAAGTCTGGACACCCTTGACGGAATTGGAAAGATGAGATATGTAACTTGGACGTTTCCGCGCCATCTCAGCTCGGACTTTCTCCGCAATAATTAGACCTCTTTTTATGCTAGTAGTGGTAATGACGTCTTCAAAGACTGAGAGAAGCGTCCTCGAAGGCGTCGTTTTCTTCAAGTTGCAGAAGGAATAAGTCTTACTCAGGTTATGTTTGCTAAGATATACTCGCCGTATAGTAGGTGCTATCCGTCATCGTACCAAAAAAGAAAGACATTATAACAGTAACAACATGTTAATTCGAATTGTTCCTGACGTGCGACGCCATAAATTGATTTCTAAAAGCATCATCCTTTCGTTTCCACGTAGTAATGTCTCGAACGTTGAGGTTGCCTTCATTGCGTCTTGTAGTTGCGCTAAAGCATCCCGCAACAGGGACCCTGGCTCGTCGGCCCCGGACAGTTGCGTTGCCACATCTTCTTCGATTTTCGCACATATATCTAGAAGTTGTCGACGTTTGCTTCTGGTGCTCGACGTTGGCATCATCTGCGTTCCGAAAGCATTTGCGCCTGTTGTGCTCGACTGACGAAACTTCTCGCTACTTTGCTTCTCAAAAGCGTTCAGCTTGGCCCGCATATCCACCACCAATGACGCGTACGGAGTCGACTCCAGTGTGGTGCGTAGTGCAGTCTTAGAGTCAGCGTCTTTTCATCTCGGTCCCCTCATCCCCACCCCTTTCCCATGAAATGCAAGGGATAAGGGTATCGAGATGCTATAAAAGAGATTTAGATAAAAGCTGACCTTAACAATCGATGCGAAAGAAAAGCCACCTTTTTCTTCACCACCGTCTAGCATCGCAGTTAAGTACTCTTGCTGCCCCAGCAAGTGTCCAAAGTCGCCCAATCTCGTTTGCAGCAGATAGATCGCTGCGCAAGTATGAACGAAAAAAAAGAAGATGATCCTCCATACCTACAGTACACGATGAATGCTGATGACTTGGCAAAATACTGTACCCTCTGCCGAGCCGACAGGACATGTAATTCATCTTCTGCATCAACATGTTGGTACTCCTTCTAATTATAGAAATAGATCCATCGATTGATTAGACCATTATCTGCAAGCCAAGGCTAAAACAGTGCTGCTTCTTTGTCCGTCCTATCCTAAAAACTTTTCTCGTCCAGAAAAAGGACACGTTGCTGCTGTATGACCTCGAGTCTGCGACAGTCCTCCGCAACAACTTGTTTCAGTTCTTTGGCCACGAGCCTTACAATTTCTGCCGCGTGTCGGATCACAGGATGCGTCAGTTGCTGCAGGAGTGCAGCACGCTGTGGAGTGCACGCGCACTGCTGCTGCTGCTGCTGGGCCAATACCCCATCAATACTTTAGATGGTATGCCTTTGGTGTTTCTGGTTTCCCGTTTGTTTTTATGCATTTCTCGCCAGTTAGGAGAGAGAGGAAAAACAAACGGCAGCAGGAACCTACCCATAATCACTAGCAGTCTCGGACAAAAGGAACTCTGTCCATTTTTGAAGGCCGCGGACCAAGCCACACTCACCCAGTTGCTCGAGATAAAACAAGAGGTGCGAGTAGGGCTGTACAAGGTCCTCCTCTGTGCTGGGACGCGCCTCCGCAGCTCCTCCTGGTTTGGAAAAGTAGAACACGAAAACATATCTAACATCATCATGATGGACATATTGCGCCTAGGGACTAACTCGCCTGCCATGAAGCACACAACAAAAAGGTGAAGGCACGACAAAAAACCATCGGCATCCATGCATTGTTCTTACAGCATTTTGATTTTTTACCTGATTTCTTGCTGGATGTAATCGTTCCTAACTGCAGCAAAGCAGGCTCCTTTCCTACTGCTTCTTCTTTCGGCACCACTGCTGATGCGGGTGTCTTCACCCACTGGTTCAGTTTATAGGTCGTCCGGTAGAGCGCAGTGACGCGGGCTTTCACGCTGGCGACGCTTTCGTACAGGAAAGCCTCGAAGAGAGCAGCATCATTCACCTTGCCGGTCTCCGTGACACCACGCGCTTGCTCAGCATCCGCTCTAGTTAGAAGTAGTCGTAAGTTCCGTTTGGACTATTCTCTAAATAAGCATGATCTGGCATATCTATTCCTTCTCCGCCCCTTGCAAGTGATACTGATGTCCCCGTTATTTTATACTCAAACCTCTTTCACGTTCAAGCGGGAAGAGTTGAAACTGAAAAGAGCAGTTTTGCTAAGATGGTCAACGTAGGTATGGTGCTTTTAGACGATAGGACTTGTAGGAAATGAACTTTCCACCCATAATCTAGCACGTTCCCGGTCGGTGGCGGCAGTTGCCTCTGCTACGGAGTTCTTGAGTTCCGCGATCTCCCAATCACGTTGATTCAACTCCTCAAACGTGGGACCCTTTGCTTTACTAGAACCAAACATCTTCTTTTACTTCATTAATTGATAAGAAATGGTGCTACCAGATGATATATTATAAGAAGTTAGAAGACCGTATGGCTCTGACTTTTCAATCGACCAGTGGTATCTTCAAATAATAGATAGAATCTACTGCTCCGTTTTTCTGACGTCTCGTTAGTTCAATGAAGGTTTTGTCCTTCTTGTTGGACGAGAATAGCTACGGAAACCAACAACTTACTACACATCATAAAACAATGGTGAACATCAAGTGAATGCAAGTACTACATCTATGTATTTCACAACAAAATGAATTAACTTTGCAACTACAACAGAAACAGGATCATATTCGAATGCAGGTAAGTACATGCACCTAGCCTTCGAGAGTGGATGCATATAAGTGAGAGTTTGTCAAGGGAACTTATGTGGAGTTTCTGGAGACGTGAACGCAGTTTCGGGAACGGCAGAATTCTTTTTCTCTCGAGTACCGATACACACGGATCAATGAAACCGAAGCAAGCTGTCCTTGAGGCTGAGTGCGCTCTATGTGTTCTGTATCTCAGATTATCCGGTGAAGATTTTCACGACGACCGACATCTTCAAGGCAATGATTGTGACAACATTGAGTCACTTTTACAGATGCAGTTGCATAATTTCTCTGGGGCCGGCCTTCTCGATTGCGAACAAGTCGCCGAAGATTTTTATGCAGCCTCAAATGAGACTGACAAAGACGATACCGTATACTTGCGCAGCGCTTTGATTAAAAGTCATAAGTGTTTACTTCAAAACGGGGACCGCATGGCTGCGACGGAGTGCCTGCATATCTCCGCGACATCAAACAACACCCCTATCCGCTAGTGCAGGAGCAGCTCCATTCGTATAAGTAACCACACGAGGATGATTATTCAGTCAAAGATATTGAGTTACAACAACAGAGAGTAGAACGAATGCACGAGTCAAAACAATTTAATAAACTAGAGAGATTCATACAACGTGAGCTGCAGTTCTCTTCTACTTGAAACCATCAAACAAAAACTAATCAACAAAAACCTTTAATTTCTGATCATACTTCATATCTTGTTTGTACAGGAGGGGAACCTAGTCCGTCTCGGTTAGTCCTCGGTTCACCTCAAGTGAAACCCGTTACAAGCAAAAACTAGTGGAAGATTCTGGGCACGAAGCCACTGAGAAGGCTCCTGGAAGCAACAACATCAAGATGTCTAGACGAGTAGACAATTTTTATATCTTATGGAGTGCCTACCCCATGGCCCTCTCTCTTGGAGATCATCATCATGGAGAAGAGCGAGGAACCAACACACACTATCCCACACACGAAAAGTCAATGAATTTCTATGGCTAGTAATGACTCGGAGTACCTGAATCATGTAACTACGGAAAATTGGTTACACGACGTACAGAGAGAAGTGTATCTCCAGTGTATAGAAAGCAGTGTATATAAAGTTATACCTGCTCCTAGTAGCGGATGTTAATATCGTAGTCTTAAACAAACTAAAAATCTAAAACGAAGACCAAAAATAACATACAACCTAGATCTTCACATTATCAAAAACATATCTGCCGGCTGTTGATATCTAAATACTTAGTTATGACAGCTGTCTCTGAAGCTCTATGAGACGCCGTTGCAACAGCTGTCTCTGAGTCTTTCTGAGACGAGAAGCAAATGAGGTCTAGATGCAGGGGTCAAACCCATCCCACTTGCTAAATGCGATGATGAAGCTGTATGGCCTTACTGTTGGACAGCTCTTTTGAAAATGTTCCTGAGTGATGATGTGAATCTGTATGCAGTAGCCTGTTTAAGATTTCCTTGACTAATCCCCCCAATTAAGTAATCTCATGTTGCAAATAAAGTTCCGCGGTCCTCAGCCCCCAAGCTCATCAACCTCTGTCGAGGAGGAACGGCTTCGCGCTGCACTAGGACTTGGCACCATGCGATACGATCCCCGGTTGCTGTATTATGCTTAGAGTAGAGCGGAGTCCGTATTTGAGTGAACCTGTAGATCGACACTCAAGAAAGGAACTTGACGAAGGATACCCCACACGACAAGCTACTTAGGCTATAGTACTTTTGGATTGGACTACTCGTCTAGTATCCACACAAGCTACTCAGACAAAATGAGGCATAATGTGCACTGGCTTCCACCAGACGCTGTGCAGAGAGGTCACGCGGCAGCGTATTAGGTTCGCTCATGAGCGAGGTCTGCAAGTCCCGTTGCAGCGCTGCTAACTCTGTTTCTAACGCTTTCATTTCCCGGCGGCTATTAGAAGTGTTAGTCTGCTCATGTTTCTGCTCCTGATGCTATCCCACATGACTACCTGAGAAGCTATAATACATAGAAGTTCGAAAAGATTTTCGGGTTCCGATAAAAGATGATGAGCATGAGGGAAGAAGGTTGAGACAAATTTATCAGACCCGTAAGTTTGCGCCCCATTTGGTGTCGCAAGACCGTGTGCCTCCTTGCGTGCGCCGTCGTTCTTAGAGTCTGTTTTATTCATCTCGGTCCCCTGATGCCGACCCCTCTCCCCTTGCATTGAGTAGGGTATCGAGATGCTGAGAAAGCAGGATGAAAGCTGACCTTAACGTTAGATAACTCGTCATCAGATCGTATTTGTGCGCAGCGGCGCGGCAATCGCGCGAATCTGCCGTCGCTCCTGGCGGACACGGCACTCCCGGACAAGCTCCGCAAGAAGATGGAGTATTCGACGACGAGGCCGCGCTGCGCACGACCGGCTGCGTCAGACCCATGCGCTGCGCCATGGATGGCTCTCCCTCTTCCGGCGCTCGGGCCGTCGCTAGACCACTCCTGCTGCGGGACAATCTTAGGGCTTCCCGTTTGTCATTGTCAACATAAGTATTTTAATCTTCTTGCATCTTGCAAGTAGTAGTTGCATATAATCACGATGATTTCATTATACATGAAGATCATCCTCTTAACAACAAATCAGCTGGGCTTGCGGGATACTTCGGAGGGGAGCACCAGCTTGCGACAGCCTCGGTCTCATCTTCGAACTGCCTACTAAAAGGGTTCGCAGCTGGAAAGCACATGTCCACTGCAAAATCACCCAACAGATCAGGACACTTCTCCAAGCCTTCGCCGATTCGAGCTGCGGTCAGGAGCAACTGGTGTGCGTGTGTTGGAATGCCACAGTGGAAAGTTTAAGTACATCTTCTAGTACAAAGAAATTATGTTTTAAAACAAAGCACAGAAAAAGAGCAGTACGTCGTATGCGGTGTCCTGTGGTATTCTGCTGTCCTTTTTGTAGCTGGGGTGTTTGCGTATGAAATTGCGGATCCATCGCGCGTTGGTTTGCAGCTTTCCCGAGGCGCGAGCGACAATAAAGTCAAGGTAATTGTTGATTTTCTGCGACGTGACGGAGTCGACCCCTATGAAATCCATGTACATGCGACAGAGAGGCACTAATCCCGGGAAGTAGACGTTGCCGGCGGCTGACTGCTGCATGAAGTCCTGGTCACTACCGTACATGTCCTCTGACTCTACACCAGGTGACGCCGGTACATTTTTAGCTCCTGTTGAAGCTGCACGTGCCGCTGCCGACGACGTCGAATTACTAGTACTCGTCGTATCATTATTGCCAGTTGTAGTGGTTCGCGGTCCGTTCTTGCCCATCGAAGCAGCAGCAGCAGCACCTCCGTTACCACGCGGAGGGCCAGCATTCCCCTGGCCGCACTGCTTTCCCATGAGAATTTCTTCTATTGTCATCAGCTCGTACATGGACTCCTCATCCTCCTCGAAATCGTCCTCCGACGTATCGTCTTGCACTGTGCCGTCTTCGTCTGCTGAGTTGTCGCTCCCTGCCGGTCTTCCTAAAGGGTGTGTGCCGTTACGTCTCTTAGACGCTGAAGGTGAAGTCCAACTCTATACAAGTATCCACTATGATGTACGCCAATTTATCCAAAGTGGATACTTAATATCTTCAAGTTGTTGTTTTGCAAAAACAAGACAGAAATACAATTCTTTTTCTTCAGTGATAAGCCTTAACCCCAGGTACGAAACCGAAGGAAACACCTGCAGGACTATACGGACCCGCAAGGTTGAAGCTTTTCCGCGACGGCGATTCATCCGGTGACGCTCCGCTTGCTTGACAATTAGAAAGGGGCTGCTCGAACGATGATCAAGACCAACATCTTCATGGCTGATACTAGCAAGTAGTTGTTATAGCAGCAGAAATTGCATATTCAGCGATAGTAATTCTAGTCTTTGTTCTACTTAACTACGATCTTGCCGAATAATAGAAGATAGTCTAATTGTAGACGCACACCAAATCTTCCTGGGCCTTAAGTAGAGATGAGGACCCCAAAGAGCCTAAAGAGTCCTCATCGTCTCCTTCGACTCGAACGCGCCATTCACCTGGTGAGCGCCCGGCTCCCGTCGACGGTGTCCTTCCTTCCTGCGCGCCGCTGGCCATTCTGCCTTGCTTAGAGGGTCCGTTTAGGGTCGTCGAGTGGTCTTGCACGATTCATTACCATAACATGATGGATAACGATAATGTAGAAGTTCACTCATCTTCTAGACCTACAACTAGGTGAGGTTCATCGTCTCAGAATTTCTGTTTCACGCAAGAAAAGTAAAAAGGAAAAAATCGATGAAAGGAAGAATGTTGATGTTGAACCGTGTGGATTTATTAGATTGAATCATCATGATGGGCCTTAACTTGTCCACCCATTGTTTTTGCTGCTCCATTGCCCCGCGCGAACGGACTGAAGTGCCCGTTTTTGCGGTTCTGACACTTTTTGGTCATCTGTTGGCGCACCTGTGGCGGCAACAGTCGCTTCCGGAACCAGAATTTCCCCTTTGTAACTGCATTCATTCGATGAGCCATGCGCATATTTTCTTCCAGCTTCGAGATCGGAATGTACAAGTTCAATTCCAGTGTGAGCAGCACCCGGGAAATCAGCACGACAAACACTGTGAATGCGGCATTCTCAAAATCCGTCGCGCTTAGAAATCTAGGTCTAGTATGTAATTTCTGTAAAGGAGTTCGCGTCGGGCCATCATGTTAATTTCTTCACTGTGGGAAACTCATCTTTGTTAGAAGCCCATAATCACATATTCTGAAAAACATCTTCGTTCACTATGTTTTTTCCTGACACGAATTTACCCTTGTTCCAAGATACTTCTTCGTACGATCGATAGACTACACGGTTACCGGGAAACCTTCTTAACATTTGTAACTCCATGGACCGGAGCTCTACGCGCCAACCCACGTGCTTCTCACTACTCACCTCGAGGCGTCCGCGTTCAGGTGGCGGTGGCTTCCATCGGACGCTCTGCCCTCTCTTAGAAGGAGGAAATGCAGCTCCCCGTAATATCTAAGTTGTACCAGCTACAGGCACTACTCCCCTAACTTTGCTCGTATATAACAAGTACAAATACAGCACCAACCTTTGTTTATCCAGTAAGTCTGAGTGCTTTTAGAAGAAATTCGGTTCAACATCTTAAAATTGGTGCTCTGCAAATTCTCCCAGTGGTCCACGTCGAGGCGGTCGTTGAGCAGCACGCGATCTGCGAAAATAACCAGCGGATCTCGACAGAAAAGATGCGCGACGTGCCTGGCCAATACGCGATCGATGCCGCCGAGAACGAGCCTGTCCAAGTGATAGGGTTCGAATTCAATGGGTATGTCGTTATAGCGATCAGCTTGCCTCCGCGCCATCAGCGGCCGCGCTCTCTTGCTAGCAGATGACACGGCTGAAGCTTAGAACTAGCTCCAAATCGCTGTTTTTGGCAAGGTCTGAAGTTCAACTTTTTTGGTAAGATTATTATAAGTTGATAGATAAAAAACATAACAAAAAAAAAATCTATATTATTAATCTATATTATTAATCTATATTATTAATCTCGCCATTGATCGCCGCCATAAAACTCCCCGCCTAACCCACCGGAGATTAGTCAGCTTCTTTCGCGAAGCTATTGCCCATAGTCTCCTGCCCTTTCCCCTCAGTCTCAAGCCCGATAGCCTCCGGCCGTTTCCTTGTTGGGATTTACGTTGCGGCCCCGTGGCAGACCACCAGAAAAGAAGGCAGAAAAATGGCCGACGGGGGTGGGGGCGCAAGCTGGGGAGAAAAGTCCAAAGAGAGACAGCCAACGAAAGACCGCCCACCGAAAGGGCAAAGACCTTGGACCAAAGACACATGGACCAAAGCCGATCTTTGGACCAAAGACGAGCTTTGGACGAAGGGCGACCGTTGGACCAAGGGCGATCTTCGGACTAAAGGCGACCTTTGGACCAAAGACGACCTTTGGAGCACAGGCGATCTTTGACCCAAAGACGATCTTTGGCCCAAAGGCGATCTTTGACCCAGGGGCGACCTTTGGACCACAGGCGACCTCTGGACCACAGGAGACCTTGGGACTTAAGACGACACTGGGACCAAAGACGACCTTGAAACCAAAGACGACCTTGGGACCGAAGACGACCGCGGGACCACAGGCGACCTCTGGACCAAAGTGCGGCGACCTCTGGACCAAAGTAGGGCGACCTTTGGACCAAAGTAAGGCGACCTTTGGACCAAAGTAAGGCGACCTTTGGACCAAAGTAAGCCGACCTTTGGACCAAAGTAAGCCGACCTTTGGACCAAAGTGCGCCGACCTCTGGACCAAAGTAGGGCGACTTTTGGACCAAAGTAAGGCGACCCGGCGACCTCTGGACCAAAGTAGGGCGACCTTTGGACCAAAGTAAGGCGACCTTTGGACCAAAGTAAGGCGACCTTTGGACCAAAGTAAGCCGACCTTTGGACCAAAGTAAGCCGACCTTTGGACCAAAGTGCGCCGACCTCTGGACCAAAGTAGGGCGACTTTTGGACCAAAGTAAGGCGACCCTTCGACCTCTGGACCAAAGTAGGGCGACCTTTGGACCAAAGTAGGGCGACCTTTGGACCAAAGTAAGGCGACCTTTGGACCAAAGACGGCCGCTGGACCAAAAGCGACCTCTGGACCACAGACGACCTCTGGACCAAAGCCGACCTTTGGACCGAAGACGACCTTTGGGCCACAGGCGACCTGTGGACCACCGGCGACCTGTGCGTGGACCAAAGACGACCTTTGGGCCCAAGACCTCCGACACGACAAGAGTGAGACCCGCGACAGCAGACATCTGACGAACGACCTCCGCCAGAAAAACTGACGCGAGGCCTCCCTGTGGCGCGAGGCCCTTGAAGATAGCGAAGACCTTTCGCGAAGGACGTCAGTCCGGCGAACGCGGTCAATCTGGCGAAGCACGTCAGTCCGACGAAAGAACGGGGTCAATCTTACGAAGGAAAGACATCCGCAGCCCGAAGAAAGGCCCCGCTCAGCCTGTTCCCTCCGACGCAAGGCAGACGCCTGGCGAAGCATTGCGCCGGTCTGGCGAGAGGCCTCACCTGGCTGGCGAGTGCATCAGCCTGACGAACGGCGCCGAGCTGAAGCAAGCCATCAACCTGACCAAAGGCGTGAGTCTCGGCCCGGCGAGGAATGTCAGCCAGGCGAAGCGCTTCAGCCTGACGAGAGACGTCGCCCGACCCTGACGAAAAGCCTCAGCCTGACCCAAGACGCCTGCCGAGGGGCGCCGGCCTGCCCGACGAACGCCGCCAGCCTGGCGCAGAGCGTTGGGCTGACGAACAGCATCAGCCTGATGGAGAGCCTTAGTCTCCAGCTTGGTGAAAGACGTCAGCCAGCCGAGAGGCTTCAGCCACAGCCCGAAGCGCGACGCCGCACGACCCCGCGAAGTGCGCCCGCCTGTTTCTGACGAGAGACATCTGACGAAACAAAGAAGCCCCGCCAGGTGTAAGCGCGTAGAGAGACCCAAGCAGCGCGGCCCTGCGTTGCTTTGTCTTGTTTGGCCCATCAAGGTCGCCCCTCGTTCTTGCCTGGCGCCACCGCGAGGCGCTTGCGTGCGTTGGGGCTTGCGGATTCTTGTGCGTGTCTGGTGGCTCTCTTCTGGTTTTTTTGTTGGACTGCCGTGGGGGTCTTGCAAATTCTTAAGAATTTGCATGACCCGCCCGGCAATCTCAAAAAAAAAACCGAAGGCAGCGCAATGCCCTGCACATGAGTCGACGCATCTGAGTCGGCCACCGCCGGCACTCGGCTCTTGTCGTAGTCAATTCGTAGGGTGCATCAGCTCACCCGCCGGCTGTCTCTACTCTAGCGGCTGTAGCCCGTGGGAGGCCGCAGAAAAGTGCTAAACTAACTTGAAGCCGGGCGAAGCTTGTGGAGGCTAGTTATGTAGTCTACAAAACATCACATCATTAGGTCAGGGTGGACCACCTGAAAGTATCATCAAGTACTCAATGCATTCTGTCTTCTCACGAAAGTATCTCCTAGGAGACAATCCCAGTGTCCATATTTCTTATTCGACTGTTCCCTCTCTTTTGTCGAATTGCAGCTACCGGCGGACTGGAGACCTGCAGACAGCGCTATGGAGTTTCCAGCGTCATCGTTACTAAACGAGAACGCAAACTCTCGATCGGGCACAGACTTAGAGCTCGCCCTAACCCATCTCGGGAGGCATCCTGAGTGCTTTCCCCCCCGTGAAAAGCCTTCTCCTGAGGATCCTTCCTAAGATGGATTAGGGGAAGCCTTAACAGACGAACCGTACGAGCGTGATGACACAGCTTGCTTCCGACCCCCATGCGTTTCCGTGTAGGCTGATATATAGCAATCTATGCCAGCGTATCGACTCTTCCGCAAACACTTTACGCCCTGTGTATCGTCATGGTGTCCCATTTAGTACTAGTACTAGCCTAATGGCGGGACAAAACAGTTATAGATTCGATTTTGAATTAATCGGTTGTACTTTTTTATCGTTTACTAGAATGATCAATCTGTAGACCATAAGGGTTCTGTGCATTACAACAACAGTCGTCCTATCATGACCTCTGCATAACAACTGGTGTAAACACTGATGCAACGAACTACTTATTCCATACTGTGCTCTTGTTGAACGTCATTTAGGTACATTCCCGGCAAGTCTAGCATCGCCTTCTTCTCCAGTTGAGTCGACAAGATTCATTCTACTTCGTTCCGCAGCTGTTCTATCGTCTACACTTTCCCCTACGATGCTCCATCGGACGTCTTCCGCTTGCAGCCATCCCCGTATGTACGGACATGCTGCCGTAAGCGCCATCATAATCGCTGTATTAGATGAACTCAGCAAAATAATTCAATAGTCTACTTAGAATCAATTTTAAGCCATCGTGAGACATTTATTAATGTTCTGGGATGATTTTTCCCTATTGCTCTTTCCCTTCATCATATATCGCAAACACGGGATCCTCCTGCAGGAGAGTAGTTATCATTCAGAGATACCTGCTTACCATATTTTCATCCCTTTAAAAAAAGTGAAAGATATCCCTCCAGAGAGATATGCTTGTTCAGGACATCAAGGAGCCACATAAGACTTAAGTGTAAGCACTGCAAGGTGATCGTAGAGGTGTCTGGACTCTCCCAAGTTCGCTGCTTGAAAAGTTACCTGCAACGCCGAGCAGCCCATACCGAAACACATCGCGTCAGCATGAATTTTTCCGCTGGGACCAGGAGCGCCACCACGAGCCAGACTCGCGTCCGTGTTCTCATCAATGAACAGAGGACGCTCTATGCGCACTTTTTCGCCGCGCCTGGAATGAAGATGAAGAAAATCAAAACCACATTTGATTTCTATAGGGAAAGAAGCGGAACAAAAGCGAAAAAAATATATCACACTCCCACTTGCCACGAAGAGGACGAAAGATGAAATAGTCTGAAGTTCTAATAAGTACCTTATCTCGCGCATTCAAGATGATTGAGAGAACTTTCTTACTAGCAAGTAGTCTTTTTCTAAATAACCTAACAGGAGCATCAAACTGACGAAATTTTTAAAATTCACACTCTACTATCTCGTGCTATAAAATCATAGTACCTTTTCCTTATATTTGCGGTCAGTGTTTTGAAACGTTGGTGTGGAAAGGTAATTTCGTCGGGACAAAAGGCGGACTCGGCCACTGGGCCATCCACATTGAGCTTCTCGTGAGGATTCGGACTCTTCCAGAATTCTCCAACTTAGAATAGAGGTAGTACCTACTAGGGCATTATCCCTGGAGCAGGTTGAGTGAATCCCTTGGCTGATTGAGTAAACCCAGGGACTGATTTCCCTAGGTGGTCAAGGTCCTGCTGAGAAATTGAGGGGAATTCTTGTTCATATCCTTTAGTTTCTACTTGGAAATTAGAGGGAAATCCACTCAGACTACTCCAGCAGAAAAAGGAATAGCGACATACTAGTAGCCGTAACCTACACCAAGCAAGGGAAACGAAACTAATGTGGGTGCAATCTCATCGGGTTGAAGCTGCGCGAGCAAGCGTGATCTTCGCAGTCGCATCGAATCCTCAACCTAGGGTGTTGGTATCTGTTGTCGACACAAAAAGCACCTACTGGCATTTTATTTGTGGAAAAAAAAAATATCAGAAATCACAGACTTGGAGAGGGTATGATATGTGAATGTACCATCTTCTTGTATAACGTCTACTTTTTCCTTCTATCACTAATCCTGCACCAGCTATTCCGACAAGTAGATAGCTCGTTTTCTATGCACTTGTTTGAAGGGATTAGCGTCTTCTATGTATAACCTGAAATTCATCAAAATCAAGTACCTTAGTGAGCGCAGTTATTCCTTCAAACGGCTTGCCTGGAGTCCCCTCTAGCATCCAGCGACCATATTCGGGCATCCACGAGCACATATCCGCTTCACTGAGGCCATGGCTTCTTCCGTGGGCTTCCAGAAGGTGGAGCGACTGGACCTGGGAAACACAGGTGATGGAGGTAACTCACAACGAACTAACAATCAATTACAATTATCTTCTAGATGGACTTTTTACTAGTTGTACCAACTTGTATGTGGATCACAAGTACCATGCTGCTCTGCTATCATCACATGGTCCCAACAGAGCAGGACAGTAGATTCTACTATGAGAACGAGGACGTCGGTTAGGTGGGTTACACTTTTCATCTTCTCCGGTGCAATTTCATCGCCATAGTCTATGCTGTATGGCTGTATGATTCCACTTGCAATCACATCTAGACGAGTCTTTTTCTCGTATTGGTAGTGTTGAAGTACCACTTCGGGACTTCGCAAGCTGATTTTGGGTCGGCGATTTGGATCCCCCTCTCTCCCTTCCAGTTTTACAAGTTGGTATTCGACCTCATCTCCGTTTTGGTTAGAGTGTACACGTTGTGGTTTTGATATTGAGCTGAAAACAACTACCTAAGGTCAAGGTAGTCGTAGCTTTTACCTTTATAAAAAAAGGAGCTGAAGCCATTTCATGGCAAATGCAGATCTACAGATGTAGAAGAACGACCCCATAAATTTGAGAAGATCTTCGGAAATGTGTTTCGTCTCGAAAAAAACGTTGATGAATTGCTCCACACCGTGATCACGGACGTACTTCAGTTTCGACAAGGCGTCCTCCCAGGCGAGAGGCTCGGACTCGACGAGAAATCCCATACTTTCTGTTTAGCTTCGGGTTCCTTGATCAGAACAGTACAACTGCAAAGTTTTCAGCCTCTAGGTGAGATCTTCAGTGATGTCTGCACACCAGCACGGCCAGGTAGCTGTCATCAAACTCTTTAATCGATGACTCCTCTAATCTTCGTAACAACAGAGGTGTTTACTGCTCACGCCGGAACAATTCACGATTGGCACCTCCTCCGCTATGATCTTCCGCGTCGTGTCTGTGTCTTCCGCGTTGGACTTTCAGATGCTGGCACAATCGCAGGCACTTCGTCTAGTTTCCTTGCATCACACGGCAAAGCGAAAAGTCACACGCCCACGAGAACGAGGACTTTGGCACGACTATCCTCGACTCCAACGTCGAATACCAACATCAACTACGAAGCTCAAAGACAACAAACCATCACACTGGTCTAACAAGATCATCTACGGCGTACCGATACTATGATCAGGATCATTCACTACCCAGCTGCTGCATTTATCACATCTCTCATGCTGGAATTCAAGATTAGACCACTCTCACTCAACGACTTGCATGACACACAATAAGTTGGAGGGGCACTCCCTCGTACTTGGCAGTACACTCGAAATTGCTTCGCTGTATTTTCGCCTCTCACAACCTGGACTTCATCGAGTAGTTGTGTGTCCTCGTACCCAGTGGGCAAAGCCAGCACGAACCTTGCGTGCTGATGTCGATGATCTTCTTGTTTGTTTGTTTTGATGTGCTCCGGGCGACGCGTACGATCCCGCCGGATTTCTTTGTGCTCTGTGTGTGTTGTGCTATGGAAATCTCAACGTATATTCTTTGCGTGGTAACAAGCATGCCAGTCTCAGTCTGCGAAGCATAAGCGTCCTTATCATGTTCCTATTCGTGAGTGTCTTCAGCAAAGACTCAAAGTCGTGTCAAGATTGATACTTCATCAACCACCACCACCTGTCGAGATTGATACTTCATCAACCAGCGCCACCACAGCCACCTGCGCTAATAAAAACTCCCATCATCGATCTTTCAGAGCACTTTGGAATAGAGGAGGGTTGACACAAAGTAGCGTAGCCAAAATGCGAAAGCGGAGAAGGCAGTCTGAAGGAGAAGCAAAACGATGACAAGAGTTTCTTCATGCATTGGTCCCAGGACGTAGAGGACAAAATCTATCTTAGAGCTGCTTCTACCAGAATTCCATCTTCATGAAACCTATCTTCGTTCTCTGGTGGAAGAACATCTTTATCTTGTTCTTCCTAATGATTCTTGTAAGGCGAGAAAAAGAATATTGCGTAGATGGATTTCTGTAGAACTAGATTCGTCCTTAATAATTAGCGTCAGGTTGCTCATTCGATACGCCTTTTTCGCGCCCGCCTCTGCACCGCGGATCTCGGATCATGAAGGGACGAAAGATGTGTGTGACTTCTTAATCAATCTGTATCTGCTGAAGTAAATTGTGAGTTCATTCATTCATTTACCCACTCTAGCATGAGGGTGTCTTGCATTGTTTCGTGTGGTCTCTTCAAGGTAGAACCTGAGATGAGAAAGTTTGAATCCAGTGGGCCGTACACGATAGTGCTAGATCAAGGAACAAATATTGCTACTATTGTAACCGGACTCATAACTCGACTTTGCAAAGGCGGAGAGTTCTATACAGGCCAAAAAATAATCGGCCGAGTCCTGAAAGCTCCTCGGGGCATACCGTTGCAAACGAGTTCATGCTGACGTCGTTCTTACTTGAAGTTAGACAAAAGCAAATGTTAAAATTGCAATGCGGTTGTTCTAAACGGCACCTAGTGAGAAAAAGTGCTGACCAAGGAAGTGTCTATTTTTGTATCATAAGTCGTAGGCAGGCAAGCGGTGTCGTGGACATTCCACTAGTCGCAAGAGTTGCGGAAGTCCGTAGATGAAATTCAGAATTTGCGGCATCAAGAAAAGCAATAGTGTCTTCGAATAGTGTCCGAATATTCCTGCCACGGCTAATGTCATGCCCGCAAAATAACAGTAAGTGTCTCCAACAAAAACCCGGGATGGGTACCTTCAAGATTTGAGATTGGCTGAAGGCGATAAAACAATGTGTTAAGACGAAGGCGAACAACAACAAGTAGAAGCTGTTTCATTCTAATAGTTAGGTCCGTGATCAAAATCAAATCAATATCAAAATTATCTATGGTTACTCTTGAGCAAAAAAAAAAGATCATAGGTCCGTCACGAGGAAGAGCGACACAAGCATCATCCAGAATTTTTTTGTTTTACGTAGGAGTAGGTCTACCAGTTGAACTTTAGCAAGCCCAAGGTTGTCGCTATAAAGGGAAGGAGGATGTAGATGCTGAAGACGTGGCGCTCTCTGCCCAGGATGAAGTCGTCCGGCAATCTGAGTAGCTGTATCACGTTGTTGCAAACTAATGAGACCGCTATGATCAAGCTCTGTCCCGCCTCCAGCCCGTTTACTCCCGCATAAATGTTAATCGCGTTTTTAGAAAATGGAAATGCTTTCTTTCCCCTCTCCTATTCTTTCATACCCGATAACAGATCGATGTGTAGCAGAAGAAAAAAGCTTCTCAAGAAGATGGCTCGAGTAGCTCAGCATTCGAAGCCTTAACGTTAACGCAGAAAACGGTGATGAGGCAGAGGAAGATGTAGAAGAAAGGACCCAAATTGACGATGTCGAACGACACTAGCCAGCGAAGCGGCAAGGGCAGCAAAACTGACGTCGTACCCAATGTTGCGAAATACACCTGATTCGGTTGTTATCTCCATCAGAAAAAGGATGAGTCCTGGGTCCTCTGGGAAGGATTCAAAAAGCCATCATGATACCTAAAATTTCACTACGGACTGATGATGATAGATAAGAATGATGTAGGTGTTCATGATGATACTGTACTTACCAACAACAGCGGTAGACTGGCGAGTGTTGGAAGCAGAAATTTGTCGCGCCACCGAAGATTCAAAACGTTGTCGCAAAATCCGAAAAAACTCATAGAGCTGATGGACAATATCGCTGCGAGAAACTGCACCATCCGCGAAAGCGTGTCAACTTGTGCTTGCAGCGCCGCTTTCGCACTACCACTATCATGTATAGCTGCCAGGGTCTCGTCATCTCCACTTCCGTCTGCTATATTTCGTCCGCCGCTACTATTCTGAGCCGACAACTGCTCTATCCGCGAAGCCCCTTCTTGCTGTCCTTTCTCGCCTACGTCGCTCTTACGAGACTTCATTTTCGAATCTACCGCATAATCTGCTGTAGATGAAATGGCATGATCAGCTGCTAGATTTACTGCTTCATCTGACGAGGGCTGCTTCATCTTGACGTCACTGGTCATCGAACCATGCCCGGGCTCCCTCGTATCGTTCAGTAGCGTCGCTTCGATTTCGGCCTCTATGCTTCCTTCTAAACCCTTCTGCACGACACCTATGGGCACTGATGCTGCCAGCTTTGAAAATGCAGCTCCCGCGTACTGCAACACACATTAGCGCTTCCTACTTACATCAAAAATTCCTATTTTGCGATCATTCTAACAAGAAATTCCTATTCTGCGATCATTCTAAGTAACAGGAAATTCACATTAATTCTGCGTTCATTTCTCCAGATCCTCAAGGGAAGAAAAAGAAGCAACAAAATGACCTATGAATAAGTAAGTGACCTACATAGTAAGCCATAAACAAAGGCCGCACCCGCGGTTGACCCAGGTCCCAACATTCCGGTTGGGACATCTACACGCTCCGCAGCATTACTGCCCTTGAAGATGAAGTGACGTCGAAATTAACTTCTAGTTACATCTGTAGAGTGTCAGGTAGTTTCCTCACAATTCTGATACGTAAAGATCTATACTTTCAAAGCGTAAGAAGGGATAATTACAATACTTTTTCAAGGTGGTTGCTTCATACTCCTGCCACAGGCACATTCATAGTACAACTACCTTGCCCACTAATAAATTTACCCATTACCAATTCTCTTTGCCATACCAGTTGTGAAGGGCACCGTCCTTGCTATGCCCGCCGTTCGGGGGCCCGCGGAAAATGCGAAGGGGAGAAACGCAGTAACACAAAACAGGTACACAGTTCCAGCGATCACTCCCAGTGCCTCAGGTACTTTCACACCGTAGATTAGTATATCAAGTGCTACAACAAGGGTAGAAACTCCTTGGCTGTTAGACCATGATTATGAGTTTTCTTGGTCTGGATAATTCTAATTGATTGGTTGATATAGGATTTTGGTATAGAAGATACTTCGCATTTTAGTGTAAGTAGTTCTTGTCTCACTATAGTAAGTTTCGTACGCTGCTTACTCTTACTGTGGATCGTACGCTAATCACTCTGGAGGGTGCCAGTCGTCCTTAACTCTACTGGTCGTTTCAGGGATCCGTCGGCGTTACGAGCGGTGGTCTTCTTGCTCAAGTCCACACCGCACAAACCAGCGTCTACGAATTTCGGAGCAAAACTAGGAACGATCCTGACCACCAGTAGCTTTAGATTAGGTATAGCTGGTAGAAATCAAACAGTGAGAATGAATATCAAAAGACTACTATCCCTATAGTTCATAGGAAGAAAAGGGATAGGTGGAAGTCCAGTGGTGATTATCCCCACTCCTTCGTCAAGTATGGTCCTCGAGGTCAGTTCCTGAACTTCGTGAGGGTGCTTCTTGTCTGTCTATCTGTAAGAGAGATAACATACAGAACTGGTGCTTTAGCATACTACGCATGGCGGCCTTAAGAAATAGCCCAAGACGGAAAGGAAGACGCACGCTGCGAATGGTGCGTCGCACAAGCTGCGTGCGAGTCGAGAGCCCGCAACTCTGGACCCTAGTAATGGGAATCCTTGTCCTTCATGATCTCCTCCAGCTGAACCATTTTCCAAGTACACGGCGTAGAGCAAAGCCGCGAGGCATCCTCCTAGTGCGGTGGCGCCAACGGTCGTCGTCCCTATCCAACTCGATATATGAAACCGCGCCATAATTCTTGATGATTATAACCAATTATCTTTATCAGTAAGTATATACCAGACTAGTCTACTTTGCCTCGTAAGTAGTATTGACTGAGATGATGCTTGTATTTTTTTCTAGGGGAGGTAAGAATCTAAAACATACGGGTTGATGGCGCACACTAGGTTTGTGGCGGATAACAAGAACGGGACATGATAGTCTCATCTACTTCCACTACAACTACGCGCCGCATGCGCGTCACGCTGTTCGGTACTGGAGCTAGTCCTAGCTACTTAAAGTGTAGAGTCATAATTTCTCGATGTGCATGATCTCTTTTCACCCCTTCTTGCACTTCAATGCCTTTCTCGCAATTATTATAGATACCTCTGAAGAGAACAAAGCATAACAAAACAAATGATCCTTTCAGCTCTAAAATCCTCTTTTGTACCGACGTTGATGTAAGATTAGTAAAGCGACGGACTGTACGTGCTTAACAGGGTAATATCGTTCAATAATTGAGTCTTGTTTTCAGCAGGACTTGTGGTGAGCAACCCAATGTAGCGTACATCGCAAGATGAAGGTTTCTCGACCGATGCCACAACAGTGACACTCCCTGGATACGCCTCTACCATCGAAAATTCCACATAACAACTTTGACATGCTCCTCCTGGCACACTTCCAAACTGCACTTCAAAAGGACAAAGTTCATCAATTTCGTCTTACTTTTTAATTGTCCGTTTAGTTGTGGATAGATGGTCAACGAAAGGCCAGCCAATACTAGTAGAGATTTGCTCATACATAGTTACGATAAATACAACCATAGAGCCAGAAAGATTTTCAGAATGGGAAACAAAAACCACTACGAGTAAATTCGAGGAAAAAAGACTGAAAAACCGACTCGCAAATACAACAGGAGCCTCTAAAAAGCATCATTGCCTTTCTGATCTAGTCGTGTTTGCCTATGGTCAGCATCTGACGCAGACCAAAGAAATCATCGACAAAAAACCAAAGAAATTATCGACAAAAAAAAAGACTAGCGGTATTATAGGTGCTAATGGACGCACCTGATAGACTAGTCGTAAACCTCTTATAGAGAAAGAGACAGAGAGAGTACACTGCAGAACAACAATGATGAAAACAGAGGAGGCGCGAGCACTTCTCCACAACGCCGTCTAGGATAGAGTGCTAGTACCTAACACCAGCAGGACAGAGCACAAATGTTCGTCGTCTAGGATAGAGTGCTAGTACCTAACACCAGGAGGACAAAGCACAAATGTTAAACACCAGATAAAGAAGCTCACAAGGGACAATGATGATTCAAGATGAAATGAAATGAAAAAGTAGTTCCTCAACAGTGTTCCCCTACTCAAATGACCCATCTGGCAACCTCGGACGAGCCTTGTCCTTTGCTGCACAGCCCTTGGCGACCAAGTATCCTGGTAAACAAAGGATGCCAACCACAAGAGTCAGGGATCCCAAGACGTCGCGTACTAGAAGCGGCCGGTCCCGTATTTAGAGGGGATCAGATGCGGCGCTACAGCATAAAAACTTCGTTCATCTAGTAAAGGATACTTATTCATTGATATTGATTCAATATCAAAGTCAAGAGTTGAAGGTGCATCAATGATATCACAACCAGAACCATGTAGTTCGTTGCATATGACATGCCCATGAAATTAGCACGAGCACCACCTGCCGTTTATCAAAAATTGAAATTTGTAGGTAAGTGGCAATGAAATCGAAATCCTCTGAAGCATAAGCGTGCACTGCCGCGAAAAATAGGCTCCCAGCTACGGCAAGTGTATGGGTAACCATGATTGAAGCGAAGGCTGCGGCGACGAAAGGGGTCCCAGAGAAAACTTCGAGGAATATCGCGCGATTCCCCGACTCAAAAATACTCCGCACGATGCCTTGACTCACGTACAGCCACAACGCGGAGTAATTTGTTGGCGTATTAGAGGCATACGGAATCCATCTCGGGGATCATCTGGCTGCCATTTTCCTCTTGTCTTTTCTCTTCCAGATGACTTTGGAGATGAATTCGCTACACCCATAGTTGTACTTGATGCGAAAGAAGAAGGAGAGCTGCTTTTGCTGTTAGACTGCAAACTTGATGACGAGGACCTTGAGCCCGTGAAAAAATCAGCTAAAGGTGGAGGGAACCAAGGGAAAGGATAAGTCTCGTCTTCTTGCGCCTCCCCGTGGTCTTTAGCTCTAGGTACACCACCAAGTGCGGAAGAGGCGCCGCCAACTGCGAGAGCAAACTTTAGACTACTCAGAGTAGACCTGTGACAGAAATCCCGGTCCCGCAAGACGTGTAAATCATAGTAGAAGTAGTAGGCTAACAATTTCATTGGCCTTAGAATTCAAGAAACTCTCTCTCTTCTTGAGAAAAAAGTCATTATGTATCTTGCAATGTCACAAGCTGGTAGTAGGCTAACAAGTATAAATCAAGTCACATTTCATCTTCGTTTTAAGAGCTGCGTTCGATGACTTGTTCCCTATTTTTTCACAAGGTCATTAAAAATCTATTTCAGCATTAATGACTGTTGCTTGGTATCGGAGTCTGCTTCGGCCGGGGTCGTTACGATGCCGAGCCAAAGGCAGTGCGGTACAAATACCATCGCAGCAGAGCAAACCGCCGCCGGAATCCAGTTACCACCGACAGGAGTGAAGTTCGTCACGAAGGTAAATATGATGGCCACAACCACAGGCACCGCCGCAAAGTACGCAACATAAGCGTCCTCGCCGCCAAAACCAGCTTTCACAATGCGAGAAATGAAGAGAAGAGAGAAGAGAGAAGAGAAGGTCAGTTGTCCTAGGGGAACAATCGCTGGGAGAGTATGCTCGAGATGAAGCCGAGCGGCGCACAGGCATACGAGCTGAGGGCTTGGTTTTTTAGGGTTCGTTTAGGCTTCACATGTATGTATCTGTAGATTTGCACATCGAGTGATATGCCGATCATTCATGTGCTGAGTTACGCGAAGAAAACTTAGACCACGTGCTGCATAAGTACATTTGCGTAGGCCAGTATGACCGCAAGTGATGTACCGAAGCCCACGTTCATCATACTAATGAGAAAGACGTACGGCGCGCGTACAAAAACCGACAAGACGGCAAGAGGTCCACTTTCTGATTCTGACGCCTCGAGTCGTGATGAGGTTGACGCGATAGGATCTTCACTATACCCTGCTGAGCTTGCAGCACCACTCCTAGCACTCACATTGTAGATGACAGCACGAGTTTCATCGAGCTTGCTTCCTCCATTGATGTTTTCACCATTCGAGGACTCTTGCCTCTCTGGCACATCAGCTCCTCCGGAAGTGTCAATATTGACCACACCCTTCTCGTCGCTTGGTATCCCCTTGCTGTTGTTCTGCAAATGATGCTTCACTCTTGATGGATCTCGTTCTCGATGATCTCCTCGAGGATTGATAGCAACATTTGCTGCTCCTCCATCTTCAGATCCAACCATGCTCGCAACATCAAGTGCAGCCGGGTCCCTGCCAGAGAGAAACAATCCGGCTGAAGCAAGGACAGAAACTACCGCGAAAAAAAGGAAGATGCTTTTGTCGTCGCTCACCAGGCTAAGGACTGCCCCAGAGAGAATCTTGGCCGTCAACTCCAGCGTGAGGAAAATAAAGCCAAAGGCTGCTCCTAGTTCCGAGCCCGACCCTTCTAGTTTCGCGGTGTAACTCGCATCGTCTGCTGTAAGAAGACCGTCTCGAGCGATCGCCTCGCACGTACTCGCTTCTATGAATTCGAACACTCTTGCCTCATATCTCTGGGAAAATGATGAAAGCGGTTATTCCATGCTCATCGAATTCTTTACTCACCCGGTGATAATTCTTTCATTTTGAAAAAAGCTATTTGTATTTCATTTTCATCAAATTGGGACATTACAGATATTACGTCTACGAGATACATTTACATCTTTTGAGCTTCGAGCTTGTGCAACAAAGTATGCAGAAATGCAAAGGTGATGTTGGGATCTTGTTGCTCAGTGTCGAAACCTCCTTTACCCTTTCCAGAAGAGTCTGAGTCCACCTCTGCTTAATTGGAACTACAAGCTGATTAGCATATAACTAATGAAGAGGAGACTTAGTAGTTTCATTCAAGTTCAACTTGATAGTGCCATAACATAGAAGACGCCCTTCCCGGTCCAAAATGGTCCAGTGGCAAAGCCGCCCACAAGAGAAGCGACCACGAGCACTGCCTGCGACAGTGAAACGGTAGAAGGCACTACCGGAGCTACTCGAGCTTTCGCCTGTGCTGTCGTATGTGTGCTACGATAGGCTGTGCGTTGCTCTTCTAGTAGAGATGAAGCCGCGTGTTCTGACGATGTCATTCGCCGAATCATAGGTGGAGCTAAATTCCGTGCTAACCGTTGCTCTTCATGCTTGCCATCCATGACCATGCCATCCGCATCCTCTGCCATATCATCTAAAAACGTAGACCACTTCTCAGCTGCAGGGCTAGACCCTACGTCGACGCTAGGCAAGGTCATCTTCGATATCGATGTCGTAGCACTCTCAGGAGAATTCTCCGCATCGAGGTCGTGATTGCCACTCCACCTAAGTAGCCCCCTAGCACCTCGAGTGGCCTCAGTCTCCAATAGCGTAGAGATTTTCTCAAGCACCGCGTTCTCACCCCGTCTGTGCTCAGCCGGATGATGGTAGGTGGTCCGAGCGGCTAGCTGCTCAGCACTTCTACGATGGTAAAAATCGTGGTCCTTACCATTAGAAACAACTCCTAGTCCTCCTACCAGGTCTGAAGAGGAAGAAGACCCTTGCAGGACCGCTATTCCTTTCGGTTCCCTACGCAAAATGAGCGCAGTCCACAGAAGAAAGACATAGACTGCCTGCAAGACGCCGCCGAGCACGATGGACCGTGTAGCCCCCAGACGATCACAGATCGGCACCGCACAAAACAAACTTGATAGCATACCGGAGTAGAGTTAGAGAAACGTTTACTGGAAGACACTCGAATGAATCGTGGCTCCGCATGCTTCTGAGTACTCAAATATCTGACTTACCACCCTTCGAGGAGCAGCTGTAAAGGTAGACTTTACAACAGTTTTTATCTACTACTTCAAGAGAGTCGCGATCGCGAACGCCATATGATGGACTATCATCTTTTTACATCTTACTTTTACTAAGAGCAAGTAACATCAACCCAAATAACGGCCTTAAACATAGAGCACCCCATTGCACATATTACCCGTTCGATCACCCGCGACACTATTCAAGACGGCCGTTGCGCAAGCGGTCCCACCGAATATGCATCCGAACGCCGTGCACATCAAATAGTAGTCCCATTTTAGTTTTCGCACTGTCCTTTCAGCATCGTGATCTGCTTCATGTCCCCCTTCCCCCTTCTTTAGAGCTACACAGTAATCACCATCGAATCGATAGTACTAGTTTTCGAATTCGAGCCTTGTAGTAAACGCCTATAAGTATGACTCTGGTTCTTCTTGGAGCTGCGAAATATTTATCTACCTTGTCTTCCACCGGTCCCTTATCAAGGCATTTTGCTACCCAGAAGATGCGTTACGAGATGAATTGATGCTGCGACTCGTTCATAATTCCTGAAACACCTGAGACTCTGTAGGAATATTCGCCGCGTTGGCATAGCAGTCTCGTCCAGGTGGGCTGTCAGTAGGTCCCGAAAGCTCTGTCGCCTCTAACGGACTTGCCCCCGCACCTGACTCAGCGACACGAAGGGAAGCATGACTCGTGCCTGCCTCTAGTAGCGGCACTCGAGCTTCGGGAACCTTCGCGTTGCGTGTTGTCATTTTGATGTCTACAAATGTTTGATATTTAGCTTCTTCGATTGCATTATACAAAACCAACAAACATTCCTAATCTGTTGGCCTTTTGTTTTTGCCATGGAGTTCCTGAAAATTTTCTGAAACACCGGCAGATTAAAAAGGCTCTTCACAAGGTAAGTCTCTTTCTTGTTTCCTTGTTTCGCACTTTTCAAAGCAACACGTTTCACGGACCTGAAATCTTTTTCCTGAAGACAAAGTTCTTGAAGAAAGCCGCCAATATAAAGCACTGGCGCTCCTAAGCAGGTTCTAATTACCGCTTGTGGAAGTGACATTGTAAAGATAGAACGGGTCTTTGCCTCGCTAAGATCATCACATCAACATGGTTGCCTCTCCCAAGCGCTGCGTCAGACTCAAATCTATACCTAGCCAATGCCTATGCCAGACACGATCTAACGTGAACGTGTTCCACCCAAGAAGAACCATCTGTATCTCCCATAGATTGATGAAATGTATATCTCCCAGAAATTGTCAACAACTCATTCGATTTGTTTTAGAGACAGGTTCTTTAAGAACTAAACATAATCGAATGAAGCAGATTGTCATAGCTTCAGCCTAAATTTATCATCGATCTATCGCGTGAAAAAAAGCAAAACTACAAATTTCGCAGAAACTACATTGTCTTCAGGTGGTTGTTGACGACTTCTTTATGGTAATCACAATCACCCCTAAAATACCGTCTACTCCCACTACCAATGCGACCACATCATTTATTATCGCCACATCGGATTATTTGATACCAAGTTGGTACAACAGAGCTTGCGAATCAAAGGATCATGTTGTACAGTTATCAAGCAGGCATGATTACAGTTGAACTGTAGTCATCCCTGAATTGGCATGATTCTTTAGCCGCTTTTTTCGGTTTCTAAACGGGCAATGGCTGCCTCTGTTAGTGAGAGGCGCTGATCCATCACCTTGACGGTTTGGGTTAGCATCTCCATCTGGCTACTCATTTGCCTCATAGTATCCATGAGCTTCTCTGCATCTCCTTTTGTCATAACAGCTTCTGCAGGATCGTGGTTAGTGGGCATTGCTGTGCGTGGTTAGTGGTAGTTGGTCGGGTCGATGTAGAAGTAAGAGAAAGATCATGATTTTCAAAGGTGGAATTTTACATCATTATAAAATGCACAACAAGAACCAGATAATAGTTTGCAACATTCATCGAGATGAAAGTCATAGGAAGTGACACCTAGTATGTACGTGCAGAATCGCTTGTGATCATCATGAAAACCGAAGTCACACGAAGTTACATTTTCTTTCTCGTAGTACCTGGCGCTGGCTTTGCGGCTGCTGGCTTCCCGGACTGTGCGGCGAGCAGTGTTGGACCATTTACTCGTGGAGGTGCTCCGCCTTTTTTACTAGTTGAGCCCTGTGACAAATTTTGGCTGCCACCTGATCCCTGTGCACCTGCATTTTTTCGCCGTGCAGGACTCCGCGTGTCTGCATTTACCCCTACTTCATTTTCGAAATGAGTTGTGATATTGTTCTGATTTGCCCCAGCGCCATTCGCGTCCCCAGCAGCCGCACGTGAGCGCCCATTGCTGCCTGAGCGAGGCGCGCCCCGTGAGGAACTACTCTGTCGCGCGCCCGATGTTGCAGTTGTAGCAGTTGCCGTCCTTGGCGGTGCCCGAAATGAACTACCAAAAGCGGTGGACATAGGATCTCCGCTGAAATCAGGGACTTCCTTGGGAGCCGTCCCGCTACCTGGGGCATTGTACAGATACGTGCGGTAAGCATGTCCTCGTCCATCAGGCGGCGGCTGCTCATACAACTGCTCCACTGGCATCTGTTGTTAGAACTCAAAACTCTGGTGCATCTATTCTCAGTTCATAAAAAATGAAGATGTTCGTTGAATGACCGTTGGAAATCATTTTGGATAAATTGAGTGAAGATAAGGAGAAAAACCAAAAAACAACAAGATCTCAATTTCCATATTTATTTCACATCTACACCAAGTCTTAGTCTTGATCAGAAGTCCCGCTCGCTTGCTGGCAGCCCGTTTTCCACACGAATATCTTGCTATCAGCGGATCCCGATACTAAGAATTGCCCCTGTGGTGAAAATTTCACGCTGCAAACACTATCCTCGTGGCCCGCCAGCGTGTAGAGCAAGCGACCTTGTTTGGGCAAAGAGGTCAGAGCAGTAAAATCAACAACACGAGAGAAGTAGCAAGTATTACGGTGGAGGGAGTAAGACGAGGGAAAAGTAACCGGTTATTTTCAGATTCTTGATAGGTTCACCCTACTAGTAGTGCTGGAGAACAAAGAATAATGGTTGTATTTGAATTAAGTACCTTCTTGCAAATCCCAGAGCTTCACGTTTCTGTCCGTTGACGCGGATGCTAGATAAAAACCTGACACTTTAGAGTGGCAGAAGTCTAGATCTAACACTGCTCCACCGTGCGCATCATAGTGCTGAATAAGTCTCCGCCTTCGCAAATCCCAGATTTTTATCGTGCGATCATCGCTACAACTGGCAATGCACGTGCCGTCAGGATGAAAAATCGAGCGATTCACCCTCTCAGCGTGCTCAGTCATCTTCATCACGCAACCACGGTCTGAAAACAATTTTATGTGAAGCAGATTAATCTAAAACATCAGCGGGCACGATGAAGATGAACAGTTGCAAGACAAATCTTTAGCGAGTATCTCCACATCTGTTTCTCGATAACAGAAGAAAAAGTCTACCCTTCCCTCCTCCAGCGGAGTGGGCCCCAACCGGGCCCGTTGTCGGCAACCGCAGATCCCAGATGCGGACGCTCTTATCATCGCCACAGGATGTGAGCAGACTAGGATTTTCTGAGGAAAATCTGACACTTCGAACCCAATGCGTATGTCCCTCTAGAGATGTGATGAACTTGGCACTACTTGGCGTGATCTGCCAGATTTTCACGATTTTATCGTCGCTCCCCGTGGCTAAGGTGCCATTGTCTGGCGATAAGTCGCAGCTCCGGACCACACCCGTGTGTGCCTTAATTACGTGTGACGGCGTTCCTACATGATTTTGTTTCATGATGACGGTATAGTGGGCCACGTTTCAAGTTTGTTTCTTGGTCAGTCGGAATGTCGGTATTTCGACATATGTTCACACCGTTGCTGGTCCTGAAGTAACTAATGAATTCTTGTTATCTTCTTCGAACTCGACAATGATTTATCAATTCAAGAACGCAACCAACACCAGTGGATGAAGCCAGAGCTACCATCTATAAGTTAGTACCTTTCGCATTATTCATCCATAAGTTCACCGTTTTATCCACACTGGCGCTCGCGAAGAAGGTTCCGTCTCTGGAGACAGCGATGTCGTTGACTGCTCCCTTATGCGCATCGAACTTGAAGGGGCGTAACTGCTGCTTAAAGTGCCAGACATAGACTCGCCCGTCGTGTGATCCGGATATCAGCTGATGCATCAGCGGATGAAACGAGGCGGCGGACACTGCTCCGGTGTGGCCTTTAAAAACACGGCACAACTCAGGCGGTTTCATGCTGGTCACTGCAGCAGTGGAAGCTGACAAAGAAACGCCATTGGCGGATCCCCCGTTCGCAGTAATACTAGCAGTTGTCGCCATCCTTGTCTTTGAGCACAGTCGACTGCTGCCAATAGAATCTCTATCTCTGCAACAAATGAGGCGACACAGCCAAAACCTACGCCATTAGTCACTTAGTCTGTGTCGAAGCACTAGGGATAAAACCTTTATTATTACAACAAGCAAAAGAAAAGCTTTGCTGCATGGCCCACCTACCTCGTTTTTTTCTCTCAAGAGCCGCACCGATAAAATGGATTCCATGTAAGTGTCCTTTTAGGCCAGCCTTTTTCCGTTTTGGTATCATTCCTATCCTCTTATACTACTACGACATCACAATAAAGTACGTCGTTAGACCACCACTTGCCATAAGAAAAGCAATAGTCGTGTAAGTACTTTCCCATGAGGACTTGTAAGACGTACTTGCACTTTCACGCCGAACACACAAGGAGAAAGCAGAGAGTATCAGAGCCTCTCATAGTCATAGTACGGTAGAAAGGTATTCATCCTCCCGCGAAGCCTCCCATAAGTGCTTTTGCACCAAAGGGAAGTCTGACGAGTTGATCGGGGATCTCTGGTGTTAAGTGGGTACTTGCTAACGTGGTTCTTGAGAAAAGATTCTTGGGGAGATCCAGAATTCGGGGGGACAGCCATCCTTAAGTAATGAGCGTTGAAGCGGAGGGAAGGACAACAGTGGGTGCTAAAGAACGAGTTTGATGTCTAAGGAAGTGTTAACAATTATAGGCGCAGATCAACAAGGTAGACAGTCCTTCATGTCGGATGCTTCTCTTGTTTGTAACTGATCAAGCGCTTGAAAGAGTGGATGTATTTCCGCGTCGCTTCATCGGATAGAACATGCGCAACTTTGTCTTCTGCAATGGCGCTTCTTGCCGCGCGCTCGTGGATGCCTACTTGCGTCACCCCTAAAGGCCAGGCTGCGTTGCCTATCGCCAATTTCATGTATTCGGCATTTGCACCGATGTAATTGCGCTCCTCGCACAGTCGCTGCATTAAGCACAGGCTCTCCAAGATTGCCTCCTCTAACGATTGCTCTTTCAGAAGTTTGCGCAAAGGCTTTAGGCACAATTTTGCTTCCCTATACTGCTGTTTCGGAAATTTGCCCACGCGGCGACGCAACTGCTTGTCTTCTGCTGCTGCTGTTGTTGAATTGGAATTGGACGACGCAAATTTCTCTGGTTTCGCAGATGCTGGCGATGAATTAGACATTGAGGTTGCCAGTCCTCTCGTGACGGCTGCGCGATCGTCTATTGTATCGAGGTCTAGACTCGCTACTTGGAAAAGGTCCGATTCCCACTCTTTTAGGGTCTCTTGAATCCACGATGAGACAGCTGAGAAACGCTCTGCTCCCTGGGGGTTTTTACCTGGTCGTGCCTGAGAGCCACTAGTACTCCCTCCACCATCTTTATTCGTCGTAGTCCTAGTTGATGTGCTGCAATTGTTTGGGGAGTCATCTTCTCCACCTTGTCGTCTTCGCGTGTCTTTGGCTGCTCGTTCCTTGAGATCGAGTTCAAACAGCTCAGTGCTGCTCATTTTCCACTGTGTCTGCCTCCAAGGAACCGCGTCCCTCTCGTCGGAGGGCTGCTGCATCAGTCGCCTTCGTTTCAGAAAATCCGCTTTGGATCTGGCTGTCGAGTCAAGCTCATTCTCTTCTTGCTCCTGCGCACTGCTGTGGCTTGAAGACATTTCGTCTCCAGATGGACGTTTGCCATTTGCCCCAACATTTTCATTTGCGTCCGTGATCCCAGCTTGTCCTCCGTCTGCCTCAGCATCGTCACTGTCTTCTTCATCCTCATCGTCTCCCTCTCGATGCTCCTCCTGCTTTTTCAGAGCCATTTCGACGGTCAATCCGCCAGTCAACGAGTCAGTGAGGAGTTTTCCTACATCACGGTGCGCTAATTCGCACTCGCGGTATCGCAGATACCGATCCCACACGGTTTCGCCGAAGAGGGTTACGGGTTCGCCGACCCGGCGTAAAAAGTCCTTGGCTTCGTCCACGCAATCTTCCGCAAATGCTTGCTCCTCCTCTAAACTAGCAAAGGCTGCTGACGTCTTCACTTGTCGCCTATTCGTATTCTCCGATACATTAACTCTAGTCGAGGATGCAAATCCAGATGTAGTAGATGTAGAATGATGTTGCGAAGACGAAGAGGATGCTCGTCCGGCAGCTCCTGCTGTCACTTCCGAGGTCGCTCCTGTCTGGCGGCCGATGTCTCTTCTATCAGCTGCATTGTTCTGTAGATTCCCCGAAGTCAAACGTCCGCCGGAAGAAGTACTCTGCACCTCTCCTTGGCCAGTCTTACCGTTCGAAGTGAAGAAGGCACGCAATTGCGTTTCCCGTTCTTTTGCTTCCCGATCTTGCGCAGCATACTTTTGCGCTGCTTGTTGCACCTTAGAGACGAACGCTGCTTCCTCACGTTCTCGTTTGGAACTGTGGCCGATAGCTTTGTTCCTACGATCTCCTCCTAACAATGCTTCTCTAGCTGCGGCAGAGGTGCTGGCGAGGCTGCGCGCCATGTGCGCTGGAACGAGTTTTTCTTTGTCTTTCTTGTTCGAAGAACTGCTTCTAGATGAACTTGATGGAGCGGCCTTGTTGTTGCCTCCTGAAGATACGGGCACCTGCTTGGCATCCTCGTCTTGCTCCCCAGAAGTGCCGTCAACGCTACTCTTCTTGTCATCTTCGTCAGCTTCCTTCCGTCCAGTCTTCGACCCGACGCCTCCCTCTGCTCGTTGTACCAAGTCTGGCAGCAAAAGCAATCCAATCTCTGCTGCCAGAGTGATGAAGCCGTCCACTAGGTCCGCGCCTGCTGCTTCTATCGCATCCTCAAAATACTCCTGCTTGATCGCTTCGAGATTGCTCGCTTTTTCCAGGTCATCTATATGCTCCACGAATGTTGCTACGAGCAGCTCGACAACCTCACCCTCAGCCTCTGCGAAAACGGGGCTCTGAGCCACCGCATTTCGAATCCGCTTCTCCGGGTCAGTGTCCTCCTCGGCTGCTGGCCCTCGGATGAAAACACTCATGGTAGGTTCTTGTGCTGGATTCGCAAAAAAAAAGATCGAGGAATGGATCCGCCTCAGCCCTGGATGATTGAATGGATCAACACTATTTTTCTGGTGAACCCCAAGGTAGGATACTGTGAAGAAAAGCTATACAACTATTTCAACGCCTTCCGTAGCAGCTGCCTGTACACGTTTTCTCATGGGAAAAAATATTCGAAAAAACGAAACCAGTAAATCGAAACTTCATGAGTATGAGTAATTGAAAACAGACGTATGAATATGAGCAAAGCTAGAAGAAGAAGTAAAGAAATTATCATAATTAGTTGCATGATCTCCCATAGCAATAAATGGAATTTCACACACTACGCGCTCAACTTTTCCATCTTTTATAATTCACTACCGTACAGGGGTGTTTTTCTGTGGTCTGTGTCTTTTTGATACTCATTCTGTCGGGATCTGAGTAAATAAGGGCTCTGCTACCCGTAAGCCTCTCATTGCGAACCGGCCCCGTTGAATTTTCCTTTTCTAGCGTGGATCTTCCCCATAATTCATTCCACGTTGCGAAGCTTTTTTTATGTTTGATCCTGTCGATGATCAAAACTTTGTCGTTGATCTTCTTGGCACGAAAAGAACTCGAAGGCCCGCCATAAGTGATAAACGCCGTAAAAATGGCGCCTACCCCGATTAAGATAGCTCTGCGTTGCCTTTGTTGTCAGCACAAAAGAGTCTTCAGAGTAAACCCCGATGCGATGCTCAGAAAAAGAAGAACAACTCAACCCTACTAGAAGTCTCGTTACGCCCTAGTGAGTTTTTTGAATCCGTTTCGTTTTTGTCATGACAATCCTGTCTGTTTGAATGATACATCATGTTCCCAAGAAACTGGAATCGCCAGCACATCCACAACCGCACGCGCATCGATTTACGCAAGCGCCGTCTCACCCGTGACGGTAGGCGACGATTTTTTTGGCTTCCCTCATTTTTAGACGTCCTCTTGTAGTTTCTTCCATTACTGTGCAATGGAGAGCAGCACTTCATTACTTCCTGGACGAGGTCCCTCTAGATCTAGATGGTTAGGTTAGGTTCTGGAGCCTGCACAACGGGCCCCACCGGCACCTGCTGGGGATGCTTACAACATATGGATGTTTAATGGGGATGCTTACAACATTCTCACTTCTACAGCATAATCAGGGTTCGTCTGGCTCCAGAAACTGTCTGGGTCTTCATCCTCCTCTTGCATGTTTTCCCATTCTTCCTCTTTGGCCGCATCGTCTGCTTCTGCGACTGCCGGACCTACCTCTATACTGGAAACGCCTACCATTTCTACTCTTTTTAGAGCTCACCCTCATGATCTCCTCCATCTCTTGGGAAAACGAAAAGTCAGCTCGGATCATCTGTGTTCTTCCTCTTAAGGGAAAACAGTGGCGAGATGCTTCTGGAGATGGATTAGGGGAAGCCTTAATATTTGCTGAGAGTAAGCGTAATGCCGACTGCGACTGCTTGGGGCCCAGAGATGCATCATCGTCATCAGCACAAACAGAAATAGGACATGGGAAACGAGGTCCGTGAAAATCCAAGCCGTGCTCCATTTTGCTGTTCGCAACTGGTTTTCTATCGAAGTCGAATAGCTCCACAATAAGGTTTAGAACAAGAAGGGTTGGAGGAAATTCACAATACATAGATCAAGCAATCGACAATGTTGAGCAGCACGAGCTACAAGTAGAAATACTTTCCTTACAACGTGCAAAAACTACAAACGGTGCTGAAAATGCACCAAAGAGAAGTTTGTTTCTATTCTTTCTCTGCTACGGTAAGAACTCAATTTTCAACATCTTTGACATTCTCTTTAACAAGGAGAAGAAGCCCCATAGTCATAATGATAGACGAAACTTACGCCCATGACCACTACCGATAGAACGAGGCACTTCCAGAACGAGAGGAAAAGATCCAGCTTCTCCGTCTGCTGGGTCTGCTCCAACTTGATTAAGAGCGATGACAGCGCTACAAAGATCCAGTACAAGATACCCGCATGCAGTAGAGCGACTGGAACGAGGCACAGCAGCACAAACGCGAGCGGCAGCACCATAGAGTGCCTCAGGGAGAGAACCACTTCGCGGATGCTATCCAGAATCAAATACCTTAATGAGATGTGCAGGTGCATACTAGCTGTCTTAGTCTATGAAAAGCAAATGCTGACTGCATTGCCTTCTAGGGCAAGGCAAGTCGAGTCATACCAAGAAACGCAAAAGAGAACATCAAGTAAAGTGATCCATGACCACGACCACAAGTGATCCACTCTGCCTGCTGTATCATAGTAGTTGTAACCTCCGATGATTCGTGCAATATTAGTTATCAGTGAAAAAGGATATTGATATTCGTAGTACAAGAACGTGAGAATCTGGATCTTCAATATCGTGTCCCGCGGAAGCGTGGGCTGCGTAATCCCCCATCCTAGACTCGCGAGTAGTACTAGAATCTGCGAAAAGATGTTCTTGGCCACTGTCCCCAAGATAGCAGCGACAAAGAGAGCCTGTGGCCGCGAACCGTTCTCGTTCCATTCAGTGTAAAAAATATACCTGAAGAACACACACGGCGTGGGCATGGAACAGCGGATGACGTCAAAAATACCAGAAAACGAGCCGCACGTCTGTCTGACTGACTCCTGTATCCTCCTACTTAAGTAGCTTGTTACCTACACACTACTTTACACAGCAGCCAAGCGCTACGCACCGGCACCAAAATCACACAACCAGCAGCCTGCCCAAGCGCAGATCGCGCGGCTCTCCTCGCCCGGTCGCCTCCCCACCCCTGAGTTAAGTAAGTAGCAACCACCAGCAAAGCCCCAGCCTTCCCCGCCCATAATTAAATGTCTGCGCTACATGCCGAGGCCGATAATCCGCTAGGCAGCCCCCACGAAGCCGACCCCTTCACCCCCCAACACGAGGCGGCTGGGCATCCACTAACTTACGCCGACTCGTTTGCCGCTATCTGAACTGACATAACTGAACGCCGAAACGTGGGGCCAATCTGCTGACCCTCGTCTTACTTTTGGGGGAGCGAGATAACCGACCCCGCCCGACGAGCTCTCTCAGCGAGCGCGCGAGTGCCGTGAAGCTCAAAGAAGTCACAAAATGCGCACCACGTCACACGCTGGGAGCCTGGCGCACCCGCAGCATTTGCAGCCACCTCCGCAGCAGTCTGGGGCGTTACGCCAACCGCTGCCCAGGCAAAAAGCTGGCCGCGCTTATTCCTCCTGCCGCTTTTCTTTCACAGAAGTAGCCACGATACTACGCGCCCCCGCTTCGAAGCCACACGCGTAAAATTTACGGCCATGCCCTGCTTCTATTCTTACCGCTCGGCGCGGTCGCTCCCCGCAGCGCATGTTCTTCGTTATTCATTGCCGCAGCGGCGGGCGTCATGACTGCAGCACGCATATGAACCAAAAGTGCCCGACTCATGAAGAAAAAGACCAAGGCGCAAACCTAGCCAGCCCACCCCCCCCTGCTTATACGTCGTTCGCCTCTCTCATCCTTCGGCGAACGTGGTCTGAAGTGTGCCAGGCAGCAATGCCACCGCATCCGTGTCCGGGCATCGCTCCGGCGGGTCGCTATTCTTTCCCCTCGCGTCTTAGCGGTTTGCTTTTCGGCGAGGCAGAAACTGCTCACGCTTGGGAGTAGCGTAGTCCCCCGCAGCAGATCCGCCAGCCTGTACAGACACAAGACCGCTCGCGGGGAGTTCGACTGCGTGCGCCCTTTTGGGGAGGCTCGATCACCCGCCTCGCCCCCTTTTCCTCGAAGACATTGCCGAGCGGTTTCGGCGGCTCCAAACTCCCCAGCGCCGCTCTGCGGGTGGCGTTAACGCGTCTCAGCCGACTGCCCCGCCCATAACAGCAGCGGCCCCCGTGCCCGCAGCTAAAGAGTGCCCACATCCCCAAGCCGCAGCCCCGCCCGCTAGTTCGCTTCGCGGGCGGCCAGCGTGGCTGCGTCTATCTTTTCCGTTCGTCTCAAATATACTAAAAATCTTCGTACCATACAGAGCATTCGATAAACCCCAGGAGAATGACCCCACCGATGCAACCGTGGATCGAAAAAAGCTCCCTCCACCACCACCAACATCGAAGCAACCAGTAAGCGATCAACGCAAGGTAAACCGCGCATAACCATCCATAAAGAGGCCACTTTGGGTAACTGTTTGTTTGACAAGATGATGCTCAATGCAGGTAATTACCGCACAGCAGATCAATGCGTAGCAAAACTGCTCTAGTAAATTTAGCTTCAAGTGACTGATTCCTTCACAACCTTCTAGACCTGACACCTAGGTAGAAGGTCGACACTGAGACCCTGATATTTAAGAATGAGTAAGTCCTTCGCCACTAAAAACAGCAGAGTAGTTGGTCCTTGAAGCCGCACACTTTCTAGGAGAAAAAACGTCTGATTAAGTAGCTGCACTTCAAATTCAAATTATAGTATTTTTTGCAGTACTCTATTGCTGGCAAATAGCCGAAGGGATTGCGCACCACTACGTTTCCAGCGATTGCGATGTCTTCTGCCTTTCCGCAGTTGGAAAAAATTAGGAGGTAAACTCCAGACTCAGTGATATTTCTCCGGATATCTTGTGGTGGTCGCTGGGACGCCGAAAGAACGTCCACGGAGTACGTGTTTTTTGGCTTGGTCTCTCCCGAGATATGAAAGTACTTGTAACAAGGCAGTTTTTTCCATCCAAGCTAGCAGATGATCATGATCATCTGATCAAGAAACGAGAAGAGGACTCGTCTGATAGATTCCCGAGGTGTTCTTCATCCTTTAAGCAGGAGGTGGAAAAATCTACAAGAAGTCCATAAAAGGGTAGGTCTTTGTATTTCAGCTTGTCCTCTTTGCAATTCTCGTCATCCGGGAAGCAACAGAAGTCGGCTTTATCTACATGCTTCAAGAAGTCTCGATATCGCATCATCGTTAACTGGACACCCTTATAATGCTCTAATTCCTGAGGGTATAAAAAGGCAGTACTTGATATGGCGGGTACTTAGTCGTTGATGTGACGGGGTGTTGAGCTTGATTATGTGAATGATTGAAGAATGTAGAAGTAGAAGTAAGTACCCATGAATTTGTTTAGCACAACTAAAAAGGAATATCGTAAGAGGGAACTACCACGCAGCGACCATCCTTGCAAATGTTTAGGCAGTTGTCTTGTACATTACAAGTTCAGTACCGCAGAAGACCTTGTTCGTCGTAGTTCGTGGAAAATGACGAACGCATTCTTCTTTGTGGTGGGGGCCTCCTGACCAGCGAAAACGTAGAATGCCTGCAAAACATGCAACGACCTCGCTCTTGGCACCTCTTGTTCCTGGAACGGGTATATTTGAGCCGCCGCGAAAATCGTAGAAGATGAGCTCCTCTGCCGTGTTATTGATGCAGTTCTTGGGGACGTTCTTGGTTCTCTCCTTGACGAGGAGGTGGAGGCGGTCTCTCCCAGGGACTTCTCTACCGGATTATGTTGAGGAATGTTGTTATGTTGAGGAAGCACGTCGCTAAAGATACCCTTTTTAGCCTCAACGTCTGCTCCTCGTGTCTTTGCTACTGCTTTTCCTCCTGATTTTTCATGATCTTTGTCCGTCCCTTCTAGTACGCTGCTTGTTTCGATGTAGTCTACGCTTAGTGGGTCTCGTTCCATAAAGAAAAACCAAGTGAGCAGCAACACGTACAGCCAGCGCAATGAATGCTGAATTTTTAAAATGCTGTGAACACACGTTCCGCAATGTTGACCACTACGACCACTTGGAGTTTTTACGCCCACGCCTCTCCACCGAGAACTCCTCCAGTGGCTGTTAGTTCTTGTCACGCCGCTCAAGGCGTCCCGAGAACTAGTAAAACAACTGCTACTTCTGCTGCTACTACTGGTCCCCACTCTGCTTTCATCTCGTATCGCTCCAGCACAAGAACTGCTTCTAGCAGATGAATCGAACATCGTCAAAGTAGCACTTCTTTTTAACCTCCTCCTTGTCGCGATCATACCCATTGCTGCAGTCCAGTCTGGACCTGAACGCCCAACGCGAGAAGAGTCGCTCAGCACCGACATGAGCAGGAATCTTGTTTTAAGCTTTTCGTGGATCAAATCCTCGTCCTGGAAGAGCAGTACGTCCTATCACACAGCACGCCAGAAAGCACACTGGAAGCGGAGAATGCGGGAGGGGAGTTGGAGGTACTACAAATAAAGGTCCAAAACCGCGAGCTACTTGAAAACTTGTCGACTGTGCATTTGTGTAGAAAGCTGAAAAGGACCTTGCGTCTGTCCGTGACTCCGACAAGCCGTGTAAAATGGCAGTTGACTCACCTTCCACAGAATCCCGGGTGTTGTGTCCACGCAATCGAATGGGAATTGACTCACCTTCTACAGGGTAAGCCTGCCTCTGAGAGAAGGCGAACCCCCGCAGACGAGGACGAAGCGCCTTTAGACGAGGACGATCCAGTCTTCATGTTGAAATGATCGCAGACTCCAGGAGTGTTTCTTGTGGCCGATTTACGGCAGTAAATTTAAATTTGTATCTCGTGATACTCTTCTTGGTACTTCTACCGATCTCGCACCAACCTTCGTTCCGCAAAGCATGTCTTTCTTTGTTCAGCGAAGCACACAACCATTCCAATCGCTTTCTTTCCTCAGATCCGATTTTTCTGGAGGAACCGAGGGTGAGGATTGATACAGATTCGCTGAGTTCCCTCACTTTATACTTGCACAGATCAAGAACTCGATGATGGGGCCACAGGTAGGTGAGAATAGGAAAGAAGAACGAACAAGCGCATGGTTGTAAGTGGCCAGAAAGCTGGAGGTGCCTGCCAACTGGCATCGTTTTTATGGCGCTGAAGATAGTATCATAATTGTGATGCTGGTGCTGTCAACAATCCCTTTATAAGCCACATGCATTCCCCAGTTGCGAGTCTCTTCAACGCGTTTGCGTACCGTGCATTGGTTTGCAAAAGTAGAATGAAGTAATTGCAATAAATTGTATCCTCTCTAAGAAGTCCGTTTGCAGAACCTGCTATGTTGTCTTTCCCGATACTAAATTTTAAGTACACGAAGAGCAATTTCGATTTCATTCAAATTTTGCTTAATCAATCAGAGCCTTTAAGGCACTACGTTTTCGTTTATCCAATTATATCAAAAACATTTAGTACATTGATTTAGCAGAGTATTCACGGAACTTAATCAGAACAAGGAAAGGTATGAAATAACTACGAAACTTGAGAGATGTGTAATATCAAACAAAGAACTACTAGTCGAGTTTGTGTCGTTAGATTTTTGGAAAGGATCTCGTCTGTACATGACTCGTTAGGTATCATACTGTTGGCGCTGTACCCATCATCCTAGTAGTAGTAGTTTACCCCTTCGGCGGGTAAGTCCCACAAAAGTTATCCTACCTTGTTACGTAAAAAAATACACATAAATTATCTTCCTCACCACAGGATCCGACGAAGGTTGGTGCACGTTCGTTGAAAAAAAGCTCACTTGATTGGTTGTTATCTCAAAAAATTGTTCTGTTTGTGACTGTCAGTCACTGACTAAACTAACAAGTCCTCAAAATACAATTCAGGCAATCTTCTACGTACAACACAGTACTAATTTTGTCAGAGGATCAATTCCACATGATGCGATCCGAATCCACCAAATTATAAGCAAGAACAGAAGTCATTCAGATTTTGCGCGTACTAAATAGTTTTATCACCCATGTAAATAGTTTTATAAGAAAGAACAGAAAAAATCCGTATGATCAATCATTCAACATCAATTCCAACTCTATTAATTTGAAATCCATCGTACTAGTGGTCCTATGTCAACATTAAAAAGTATCTATGTCAACTCTAAAGAAGAGCTTGCTTGCGAAAACGAGACCCAGCGCTCGCTCCCGAAGGTCTGTACTCACCGTTTGAAACAGCCTTATTTTTACCATCTCCACCAGAGCTGCTTTCGATGCGACGCACACCACCAGCTATCAAACCCGCACTAGCTCTTGTTGCTCCGGTACTGCACCTGAAGTATGCTTAACTCTCTTAGGTCAGAACATTCAACAAGGAACAAACGGATGCTACAAGTCAAAAACGAAGATAACTTGTGAATACTCGTAAAAAACGATCATGGCAACAAGCAGTATTTTCAGAAACAAAGATGAATGAGCAGGAGAAAGAGGGACTAGTATACTGCACGAGGTAGACGGGAGGAGGGAAGGGCTCACTCTAAAACTCGAGACTTTATCAGGCTCAGGGACGCACACCACTCAGACAGACACTCTCACCGTATCCCTGTCGTCCACTCGCTCACTGCACACTACTCATCCACTGAATTACTGCACACAACTTCGTCTCATCGCACCTACTTTTTTTTTATTACTGGCGACCACACACACACACACCTAGGATGAACATTCTTTGTCCTTCTGCTAGGCTGCATTGCAGCATGTCATAAATTTCTTCATGTCTGAGTTTTATCACTTTGTGTTCTGTCGTTTCGGTTTTGTCTAAGCAGCACGGGCATTCCTGATCATTGCACGAACGATTATTAATTACTCATCCTTGTCAGGCAAGAAGCAACACAACGCCCAAAGAGATCAAAGAGATCTTGTAGTTGCAGCACGAGCCGTATAGGCGAGATCTTGTTGTTGCTTTTACGAAGTAGGGTATTAGCTTCTTGTTCTCGCGGTTGATTGTTCATGATTCAGTGTAAATATAATTAGATACGATCTTCCATGCACAAGAACCACGTACGCAACCCTGAACAGGACTCCCCAAGCGGACAACAAACTCCTCTAACGTCAGGCCTTCCCGTCCTGTTTTCCCTCGCTCCCGGTCTCTCTCTCTCCTGCTCCTAGCAGCTCCTTCTCCCTCGTTCACCTTTCCATCCTCTCGGACCGCTAAACACACGGGAAACGACTAGTTTTTATATACATAGACTTTATTCACAACCAGTCAGGAGGACCATTTCGCGCAACCCTGAACAGGACTCCCCAAGCGGACAACAAACTCCTCCGTCCCTATAGCGGTAGTCAACCAATCAAGTGGCGACGCGCGGTAGCCCGAGCCTAGCGGACATAACCGTGTCACTACTCGTCGTGCCTCACTGAGTATGCCCGCTCACGCAAGCGGTAGCTTGTGTATTTTTCAAATCATCTAGCTATCATTCTCATTATTTACCCCCTCTGACCGAACGTTGTCAAGAGCAGGGTTATTTGCTTCATCTGTAGACTCATCTAGTCCAAAAATCGTACTTTTGGAGTCAATTCTTCTTATTGTGTTCTTCTTTTGCTAAACTTTTAGACTAATTAAGATCGCCAGGAACACCTTACGGCCTCATGCGTAGAAAAAGAACCAAAGTATTCAGTTTGTTGAGATATGGAGAAGCATTATGTGGAGGATACTTAAACTAAACATTTGAAATACGTAGTTGTGGCCACAACTATCAATGAATTATCGAGGGAGAAGATTGAAATGTATGCGAAGAAGGGCTCGACGAGAGATTCCGGGTTACATGATCGTATTGTAGTAGGCAATAAAAGTAGATGAAGAACCTTTTGGGCTTTTTCATCCAGGCATTAGTCATTCAACTCCTCCAGCGATCGTGCAATGATTTTAGTTACACAACGAGAAAAACTACCGATCAACCATGACTGTCTTGCTATATTCTTAAGTGTTGAAGTCTAAATCAGATGTCAAGGCAGCTCTCTCTCTCATCTGCCTGTATTGTTGTTTGATCTACAAACTACGGCTATACTCTTAAGCTTGATGCTTCTTCCTCGGACTACTTTTCAGAAGGAACAACAATTCGACAATGGCAACAGCGGTGCCCTAATAATGCGCAATAATGTGACGCCACAGCTGCCAACAACATGCCTGCCCACATCGAAGTGATAGCACTTCTTCCTAAGTACTCTTTTTTGTTCAACAAAGATCAAGTACCATGATGTATAACAAATATTCGTAACCACGTCGACTATCTGCATCAATTGTTGAGAAGCTAACTGTAACAACGAACAGCTCTCGTCGTCGACGACCTTGGAAGAGACAAATTTTGAATATCGTTTTAGCTACACCTCATGTCGCACACTGAGGGTTCTTACACTCACTTGCGCGGTGCCTGAGGCAAGAAGAGCCACATCACCTTGCAGAGGTAGACGCCACAGTTTTCCAATAATGTGAGACGATCATTTGCGCTTCGATTCACTCGCTACCTGGTAAAAGATTAAGACTTTTATGCGTTTTGTTGATGTGCAGCAACTATTTCGGAAAACCAAGGACACGCTCTAACTGAATCAAGCTCAAGAGAGGAGGTCCTTACCTGAATCGATTCACAAACTTTTTACCGCACCAGATGAAAGAGGATTCCTACTAAAATAAAAGTTTCCTGTTCTCGCGGCATCATCCTCGTCAAACACACTACACTACACATTTCTGAAGACTGATGCCCAAAAACCCAAGGATGAGAATGGAACATCTTTTTCAAATTTTGAAATCGAGAAAAATTGAGGCAGCTCTATTTCTTCATTTAGGTGAAAATTCATCCATGTCGACAATAAACTTCTGGTTTGACGTGTGCTACCCTCTTTTCATCTAAGATGATCTTGTACCATTTAAACGAACGAACCAATATAAGTACTCGTCCAGACGATTTCTCACTTCTTCGTCTTCTATTTTTGTTGCCTACGTGTCTACAAGCCCACTTCTACATCGCTTTATTTTCTCAATTATTGCCTTACTACTCTTTTTTTACCCTCAACTTCTCCTGTGTAGTTTCTCACCCTCAACGAAGAACTTCTCCTTTTTCGTTACTACATTTTAATAGATTGATTAGATTGGGTTCCTGCCTCAGCCCTGCGCCTCATCACAAACAACTTTGTCAAGATAAAGAATTACTACTCAGAACTAAAATACTCCGTTACTGGTCACCTCCAGGAGATGATCTTTCCCCTCATGATCGTCCTCAGCATGATCTTTCCCTTCATGTCGTCAACCAATCTGACAGCACACTGACGCACACACTTCCTCTCCTGGTAGTAAGCCTCCTCCTACTTGGTAGTAAGCCTCCTCCTACTTGGTAGTAAGCCTCCTCCTACTTGGCGAGACACAGCAGTGGACATCTCTTTTTCCGTCGTGAAGAAATAGCACTTGATGTAAGTTGTTCATCTATTCCGAAGATGCTTATTGTACTAGACGGACATTTAGCACACTACATAGAGTGTTGTCAATCTATAAGAACTTCTCAGTCTAAACACACCATGTCAAGTAGAAGCGCCTTCGTGATTTATTCGTGTCCCTAGCAGTTCTCCTAGCCTGTAACTGCGGAACAAAATAGCTCCAACAAGATCAGTTGTTGGTTGCCATATTGTCCTCACAATTTGTCTTTTCAATAACGTGAGCTGCAGAGCCTATCTAGGAAAAAAAAGAAAAATCCATAATATGGCAACATACCAATTTTTGGAAGTAGATTGATACACCCGCAAATAATAATCACTAAATTTCAATTTCTTGTAGAAGAAGAGCTGCGCGCTCTTTTCATCTATTCGATAAACTATAAAGTAAGCTAGTACTTCTATCACAGAGAATGATCTACTTCTATAAGATAGTAGTACTCGGCTACTTAGGATAGGATAGGATTCGCCGTCCACAGTTTGACTGGTTACTTCTACTTCCTTAAGTACTCGCATATTCCGAGATTTCGAAGTCATGCCACAGACGACTACTGTCTGCGAATGGGATTCCCTAGATCAAACGAATGCCAAAGATGAGAGACGTATGCAGGAGGACCTCATCTTAACATAGCTCTTCTCTTCCTAGTATTCAGGACAACATTTTCACGCTCGCTGTTGCTGTGCTGGAGCTGAGTCTTCATTTCAAAAAAAAAACCCATTTGTTGTGCGTCGTGCTACAAATTTCCTTGCCTCATTTGCTTCAGCTGTTCGAGAATGCTCGTCCTATTCCCATTTTCTTGGGTATCAAGTATTAAGTCCTATTTGCGTCAGTTTGTGCCTGGTGCAATCAACACTCATTTTTTGCTCTCTCTGTCGTTTTTTGCTTGTGGCATCTCGTCCTGACCTGAAAAAAGAAAGAGACACAACGAGGATCATGTTGATAGTATCTATATATAAAACCAAAGATGTGTCAAACCAAAGATGTCATGTCTGTGTCTCAGGTGAGTTAATACGTGTTGTACAGTGTACTAAAGTCATTTAATCACGAGAGTCTACCTCTAGTAGGTGCGGTAAGTGTTGTACTGTTGTAAAGTCATCTAATATAAAAGGAGCTCCTTAGAAGGGGCGCTCCTCCCAAATATTAATTTCCTATTCAGAAATAGACATTAAGACTTACCTCCAGTAGAAGCTGCGGCTGCTCGTTTTTTTGTAAGCTCCCTTGCGACCTCTTTCGCCCTTGTTGTAATTTTGATCAAATTTTCGCGCGTAAGAGGATAAGCCTGCCATTCACTCTTACTCGACCAGCCAAAAACAAGCGGCAAAAAAAACGGGTTTTGAATCCGGTTTGTATCTCGACGTAAGAACCGCGCGACATTCTCCTCCAAGCCCTATTGAAGATTTTGAATTTTTGATGGGATAAGCCTAAGTCTAAGAGTGTGGAGGTGAAAACTAACCGCTTGTTTTACTGTTGTAGTTGTAAATAATTGCAGCTTGTTGATGGTGGTCGTGGATGGAAGATGACACTACTAGGTCGAGGTTAAGGAGGTCATCTCGAGGTTAAGGAGGTCATCTTAAGGAGAAGCTTAAGGAGGATGTACAGTGATGCACGAAATCTACTAAGAGCCTTGTTACCCTTGGAGAGTAAAACTCAAAAAACCGTAACCCACTTCATAGCTCTAATAAGTAGTACCTGTTTTCCTGCTGCGCAGATTTCTAGGATTTTGGAGGTAGCGTATTTGGGCAGTTTTGTATCGTGGAATTCCCTGGCAAACCGCTCGACGTGCTTTGGGGCTAGAAAATTTAAGAAAGCATAGCCCATGTTCACCTTATTCCCGAAATCAATAGGCAAATAAAAGTAGTTGTAGTTCTTGTAAAACCCGCGTCCGTCTATTTCCTGCAGCACGTCCTCCGTCGTATACCGGTTGGGGATATTGCGGATCATTACCTGGATATCAGAAAGTGTAGATACAGACATGAAATTTCTTTTCAAGATAACAACCGTAGAAGCTTCAACAACATCAACATCTTCAGCACTTATTGGAAGACAATCGAGTGCTGAAGATGTTGATGTTGTTGAAGCTTAAGTTTATATATTGGAGAGCAAACTCGAGTTAAGTTTATATATTGGAGAGCTTAAGTTTATAAATATATTTACTTATTGGAAGACAAACTCGAATTGCATCATCAACGTTTATTTCATGCTTAAGTTTATTGGAGAGCAAGATCAAAGAAATAGGATATACCGTAGTGACTTTTGAGTCCCTTGCCCATTTTGTGTCGTTCTCGATTGTCGCGAGGCGCCTTGGGCAATAGCGCAAGGTATCCTGCAAGACAGTTGGTTCTTCCCGGGGCTGGAATCCGCTATAGTTGCGGTTTTGCGTATAGGCTGTTGCGTAGTGCACACCTTTCGGCAAGTCTTCAGGCGCAACTCTAGTGGCACAACTATTTTCCGAGGAACACGCGGATGAAGATTGCTGGGACTCCTTTATGACTAGATCTGCTTGGCCTCCGTTTTCCGACACGTGGTTGAGATCCTCACGACTGTGCTGGCCCAGACTTGCAGCTTCGAAAGGAGCCAATACGGAAGTACGAGATGTTGCCTTTGGCAGTAGTTGATGTTGAGGGTCGTCAACACCGTCAAAATTTCTTTCGTCATCGACGTCACCGCTGCGTGCCGCGCTCACAGTAGTTGTGATGATACTCTGGGATTTGTGGCCTCTAGTGGCATCTTCAACTTCCTCCTGCCCAAACATCCACGACTGCCAACGCTGTGGTAGCAGCCCGGAAATAATCGAACTACGTGGTCGAACTCCCTCTGATTTCTGAGAGTGCGCGCTGCTCGTTCCCGGCGCGCCGTTAAGTCGCATCTTGCTGGTGGTCCCACCTGGGACAAAACCACTAGTTGTTGTAGCAGAGGCTGAAGCAAATCCCGAGGAGGACCTGGCAGCACTAGCGCCATAGCTGTAAGAACCTCCCGTGTTCGAGCACGATGATGTCGTGCTTCTCCGAGCAGCAGCGTTAGAACCAGAAGCGGAACTGTAGCCTTCCGTAATTGGTGGAACGTCACCTTTTATGGGGCCTTTCGATGATGCAGGTCCGCCTTTTCCTGTGGGGTAGCCAGTCTCAACACCGCGTGCTGCTGCAGTACCATAGGCGCCACCACGTGCAGTGGTAACACCACATCCGCCGCCTCCACTAGCAGCTGCGCCGCCTGCATCTTCAGCACTACAATGACTAATATCCACGGCAGGTGCTGGCGCACCACCTTTTATTTGTTCTCCTCCTGCGGATGAAGATAGTGACAGCACCGGAGCATGGTATTGCTGAGAGGTAGGATTCCCGTTACTAGGTACCTCCACTGGAGTCGCAACTACTTGTTGCGACGCATATTGTTGACCTGCTTTCCCAGAGGCATGAAGCTGGTGGTGCGCCAAATCGGGACTTGGTATTAAGGGTGACATAATACTAGTAGCGACAGGCGAAAGTAAGTCCCCAGGTGTTCGCTTGTCATTCGCATGCGCTTTGTTATACAGCAAATGTGGCGGTGTAGACCTGAGAACGTGTAGACAGTCTATTTGATGATGATGCATCTTCGTTCATCGGCATGCATCAATATTTATAAATGACTTTCAATTTGTTTGATAAAAATTCAACTATGTAAGTATGGTAAGAAAAGTGGTCTTCGGACGAGGAGTTGTAGACGATTTTCATCCAGCTTTGTTCTCATGCTGATGGTTTTTCTGTCGACTCTGGTCAGTGACACAAAGTTTCGCAGAATTTGTAAATTGCCAGGTGATGTCCGTCCTCTTCTTTCTGATTTTTCAATATGAATTCGTTTTCAGTAGATGATTCGAATCGTCGTGTCCGACATGCTTTTCGAGCGGAGGACACTCTCTTTGGAGTATGCTTTCCCCCTCTCACGCGCAGCGTGTCGAGGTTATTCATCCTGTTGATCTTTCGCGGACGACGATCTCTGACGAAGGTTCTTCTTCATCTTCTCGAGCTAAAGAATAGTTACGTTTTTTCTCCCAGGTCGTTTCCAGAGAGAGACCGCGGCTTGCTCTTCGATCCTCCTGCCCTATTGCTTAGTACTTGAGGCCCACCTCCGTAGTTGACAGCACTGATGTTGTGATTCATCTTCGTACTAGAAGTTGCTTTACTGCCACCACTAGCACTAGAGGGCGGCTCTTTCATCCAACAAAGAGCTGGCTGTTGGTCCTCGTCTCTATTCCCACTGACTACAGTGGTAGTAGATGAGGACTGTTCCCATGATTTGGTCGTCGAGGAAGCAGTCGTAGTTGTACTGGAGGAGCAAGCCCCTCCACCGAAGCCGGCGCTGCAGCTCGCTCCCGCTTTCATCCGGAATCCCGCGGTCGACTTCGCGGTTCCGGGGACCGCCTCCTTACCCGTACTCCCGGCAATGCATGACACTCCAGCAGCACAGGCGACACTGCTGCTCTGTGATGTTGTTGCCAGGCTATTCAGCAGAAAAAACGAAGACGAGACAGAACAATCATAGGGCTCGCGGAATTCCTCGCCTCGCAGATTACCGTCATCCTCATCGACGACACTGTGCGCGCGACTCCTTTTCTTCTCCACGGGAACCAGAAGTGCCAACTCATAATTGTTCTTATGAGTTGTAGGCGAAGCCAAGTGTTGAGGGTAGTTGTCAGATGTCGTACGCACTAAACCCTGCTTACGAGACCCACGAAGAGTCAAGTGGGGCTGCTCCTCTAAGGCACCAGTTACTACGGAAGTTGTGTGCTCTTTTTTGCTCCCTAACACGGGACCAGAGGGAACTACAACTTCTCCTGCGTGTTTAATACGTTGATGATCCTCTTGCACTTGCAACTTGCTCCCTACTGGATCTCGCTTTGAAGGCCCCTCTGAAGATGGGGAAAACTTCGGCGACGCGCAAGGCAGGAACATGCACAGCTCGTCGGTCGTGGGCAGATTATCGTCTCCACCAACCGCAGAGTTGGCGAAGAATGGACCACTGCTCAAGCCAAGGTTCTCTCCTCGGCCTCCCCGATTACCTTTGTTCTTGTTTTTCCCCCTCAACTGTTGCACAGTCGTGGCAAACGGCGTAGCTGGCGCTGGTACGGCTATGCCGCGCTGCGCTAGGTATAACGCTTCCGTAGCTTCCTCTTCCTGCTCTCGGGTACTCGGCACCGTGCACCTTCCGAAAAAGCCTCGCTGACGATACACTCCGAGCGAGATTAGATCTCCAGTGGCATTTAGGTAACTAGAAGCAGCCTTGTTCCTCTTGCCTTCCACCGCACGAGGACTTGTTAACGATGATTCTTCGCGACGTCCTCCGTCGTGCGCACCACTTTTACGACCTCCCTTGGAGGTGTTCAAACTGGTGTTTCGAGAAGTCTTGATGCTGGTGTTTTTCTCTCGCTGATCTATGGATGGACCACGTTGTTGCTTTTCACAACTTGTTGAGTTCTTTTTCTTCTCCCCAACTACAGCACGAGCTGCGTTCGGCGTTGGCGAATGATCGTGATCCTGTTGGTGGTCGACATCATCAATACTATCGACAATGCAGCTGCTCGGATCCTCTTCTACTTTTTCGATGTCAGACTCGCTGCGCAAGGGAATTACCGTAACGGCTTCACCCGGAGCGGAGCTGACACTTCGATGATTCACCGCTGCTGCTGACATATTCATGTCCTCAATTATTTCAGCTGTGTGCGCCCGCCGCCGAGTACTAGACTTGTTACTTTCCTGTTCTAGTACTTCAATCGAGGGAGAAGATGCCCAAGTAGATGAAGGAGCACCAAGTACATGAGGACTAGTAACATTAATATGATCTTTGCCTGATCGACGACCGACGGCATCTGCTCGTTTGCAAGACCCTGCACGCGGAGCACCTTTCTCGGCATCTGTTCGCTTGCAAAGCGCCGCGTCTTCTTCTCGTTCTCTGCCTTTCAACATGTCCTTCGCCTGAGACGCAGCACCAGCTTTCCCTTTTTTCATGATGGAAGAGCGTTGCTTACTGCTGCTACTCCTCATGGGCGTGGTGTGCTGTTCGCCTTCTCCCTCTGGTAGGTCGAGTCCGGGAGGCGCGCGCAAGAACCCTCCACTTTCAGGACCTCTTCCTCCAACGCGGCCTTGTCCTACTGAAGTGCAAGATGGAGCTTCTCCAAATCCGCACGTTTTCCCGCTGTCTCCCTTTCCGAGATTCCTCCACCAATCCCAAGAACTGGAACAATTAGACGGATCACTCAACCAAGCCGCGAATGTGGCCCCCGCGGTTCTGTCTGTTCTGTCTTTCCCCCATCGGGCAAGCTGCTGTTCTGGCTGTCGGCAGTCTAGCATAGCACCTACGGCGGTGGACAGTGTCCCTTTGCTGCTATCATGAGGATGCTCGGCATCTTCGTAATAACCCGATGTTGATGATGTTGGCGCCTCCCACATTGATGTTGCTCCTGTTCTTGCACCCGAAGTATTATACGTATCCAGCTGCTGCACGGTTTCGCTCGTCCTGCGATCAGCAAGAGTAGACGTATCCTGTCCAGGACAACTCTTCGTAGAAGGAGGAGCATGAGACTCACCAGGAGAGGAGTGGACATCAAGTCGTCCTTGTTCTTCCGACTTTACCATCATCCCTGTTGAACATGAAGATGTAGAAGCTGTCTCCCTTTGCAGAAGTTCCTCCTCCTCCTTCTTCCGATGAAAGAGGACACTTTCTTTCTGCTCAGTGTCGTTCGTTTTCTCCTCCTTTTTCTTCAACAGAAGATGAGTGGCGCGAAGAGTAGTGCGAAGGAGCGGGTTGTTACCGGAATTCGCGGTAGCATCTTCTCGAGACCACGATCCGAAGAGTTCCCTCGCTGCAGCTTCGTATTCACCAAGCGAAGTTGAGTCGCGCCCTCCAGTCCCGCTCGCCAAGTAGTCAGGTATTGAACCTTTCCCGGATCCTCCCGATTTTCCGGCCAAAGTAGATATGGCAGTAGACAACGGGGGAAAGGGCTCCGGTTCCTCCAGTATCATCTTCGAAGTAGTTGTGGAAGAAGATGAAGATGAAGACTCATTATTATTTGCGCTATTCTCCTCTTGCAAGTAGTAGTTATGGAAAAGTCCTTGCAGATAGTGATTCACCGAGAGTCCGCCACCAGTGCAATCACGGTGATCACTAGTCCGCGACGTGGACGGCGCGAATTGCCCGTCCTGCAGTCTGCCTTGTGGCTGCAGTGCAGTCGCATCATCGCCTGGGGCAGCAAACAGCTCCTCCGCAGTGTAAGGCATGTACGGTGTTGCGGAGGAATTTCCAAAGAGAGAATGAGCGCCGCCACCAAAATAACTGCTGCAGCTGCCTGGGGTTGCGGCACCTTTCAAATTGCACATGCCGGCGAAAGCATCCAGATCTCCCGAAAAAAAGCCACCACCAGTGCTCATCTGTGTCTCGAACCCAGGAGGGGGCGGAACACCCATCATTCCTCCACTTTCGGCCACGTCCCGTACCCCCGTTCGAGACGAAGAAGACGATGCTCCCCCAACCCCTCCAGAAGCTGCATGGTTCACTCTTAGATGTTGAGGCGCGAAACGCTGTGGGGTAAAAACTGCACTCGCGGCCGATCGAGCCCAGGATGTGGACGCTCCCATAGCGCCTGCTCCTCCAAACAACGTTGACGAAGAAGATGCCCCTCCGAGTCCAAAAATTAGAGCTCACACTAATTCATCTGGACAAGCATCTTTCGCGTGCCTTCTCCTTACAAAAGGCGCCAAAGATGCATCCGAAGATGAATTACAGTAAGCCTTAAAAATAAGGCGCTGTCCACACCTGAAGAACTTGCATTGTGGTGGTGGGTCGGCTTTAGCCACACTGGTTCGCCATTGTTGTTGCCCCGACCCGCCGGAGTCTCAACGTCGCGAAATACGGCCGGGGTGGCCGGATCGCAGTCGTTGTATGCGGCATCCGTGAAGGTCTCGCGGCTAGACAGGATGTCCGAACAGGTGAAGCTCTTGCCTACTGTGGTGCTTTCCGGCACGCGCGTCGTGCCTTCGCTCTTCCCACCGTAGCACGACCCGCTCTTGTTTCCCGGTGTTGCACACGACGAACGGCCACCGCCACCGCGCAAATGGCCCACCTTGCCTCCCGCCGAAGAGTTTGCTCGACTAGAGGCTGCGCCGCTGCTCTGCAAACGCGGCGCCGTGTTTCCGTATTTCAGGCCCACTTTCGTTGCCTGCGGCGTGCGAAACGCAGCTCCTGCAGGTGTCCCTCGGAACGGCGTGTTCTGCGAGGAGCACGCACCATTCTTGGTGCAAAGGTCCCCAAAAGTAGAGTCGCGATATTGAAGAGACGATGCAGATGAACCACAATTTTTACTGTTAGTGGTACTGTGCGTTGCTCCCGCTGAGCCATTACTTAGGGGTTGAAAGTTGACCGCTCTAGCTCGCATATCTATGGCTTTCCTACTTGAAGAAAGCATAGAGATGCCTCTAAAGAGGTCGCCAACTTCTAACTACCCTTAAATTAGGACCATTGTGCTGCTGCCAGGAGTTGGTGTGACTCGGAGTTAAGCCCGTTCTCCTCGAGGAGAAGAACAATTCGTCATCTCCACCAGCAGATGTTGTTGTGGAGCGTTGATGATGCACGTTTACACCGCACCTAGAAGAGCTCGACATCGTAGTCGTAGACGATGCATCTGGCGAAGCAGCAATGCTGCTCACTCCATGAGAAGCGTGGTGACACGATGAAGATGAAAGCAAGCTCCCAGCGTCCCCGCAGGTAAACGGATTCAAGTTGTAACAGTGAACGTCATCATCGTCCTCTCGCGTGACACACGGCAAGCCGAAGGTGCTCCCGCAGTCTGACGCGTCGCGCGTGTTGTACGAGAGCCAGAACTGTAAAGGCGAGGCGCCCGGCAGCGGTAGCTCGGCTGCGGACAGTTGTCGAGGACCAGGGGAATCAAAAATCTGCTGATGTTGATCATCCCTGCGAAGATGATCGGGCTGTACCTCATGGTGTTGGTGCCCATGTTCATGTTCTATTTGATGATCTTCTACTTGAAGATGTTGATGCTGTGCCTGATGATGTCCTGGACGACCGCGTTCATCGAAGCTGCTAGTCCCCGAAGAAGACGAGAACCGCCCGTCGTTTTTAGCTTTTCGCCGCCGCAACGGAAAATCACCAGTCATCTCATGCTCCAGCAACGCACTTCGTCGATCGACGTCAGGGCGCAGCTGAAGGTCCTTGCTCCCATAGGAACGCAGATCCTTGCCCTGCTGGAGGTTTCTTCGGAAAGGACCTCCACCACATCCACCTCCCCCTTTGTTGATACGATCGTCAACATTAGTAGAAGAGTTCTTTGATGTACAACTTGAACTTCCTGGAAGATGTCCTCGTTGTCCTTTGTTCTGGTTGCCGCCTCCGCTCGCGCTTGACATCTTTCCTTTGTTAAAAATATGATCGCGGTGATCCTGGTGTTTTCCACTGCCCTTGGCTCCCCATGACACGCTGCGTTTTCCTTTTGTCGAGTGTTGATGATGACTCTGATGTGGTGGTAGAAGAGTCGTGCTGAAGTTATGCTCTCCTGCTGCTCGGCTGATCGGCTGAATGGCAGCGGCCCGCCAAGGTATCCCCTGTGGAGAAGACGTCAAGGTAGAAGTTGTCGTACTCCAAGTAGAAGGTGGAGAGGCAGAAGTCACATTCGTGCTACAAGTGCTTTCCTCAACATGATCAGAACTCTTCTTATTTGATGTCGACGTCGACGCGGCGTTTGATGTGGCACTACTGCTAGCAGCTTTATTGCTGCCACTCTTCTCCTTCCTTTCAGGTTCTTCATGAGCACAAGCTGCTATATTCTCAGATGATTTCGCTTCGTCGAGTGTGGTCACAGCGTCTACTTCACCGCGAAGAGACTCGTCTTCATTTTTGCTTGACTGAGGCTGTCTCTTTGGTTCATCTTTATTTCTAATATCACCAGTAGTACAGGCAATATCGTTCGCCTTCTGGTTATCCTTCTGGTTGTCCTCCACGTCATCATGTTTTACGTCTCCTCCTGTCTGATACTTGTCGTCGTTAAGTTTGTTGTCGTTTTTTTCATTTTCACTAGTACTCATATCGTATTCGTCCCGTTCGTCAACCTGCTGAAGACGGCCCAAATTGTAGCGGTCTGGACCATCTTGTAGCGGTCTGGACCGCGAGCTTCCACCTCGCATCCGTGTATGTTGGCACGTGTATGTTGGCACGACTTCTCCAGTAGATTTCGAAGTTGTCGCCAAAACAAGCGTTGAGTCCTGCGATTCTTTACTACGCGCTTCAATTGATGATGATGCAACCGCTTTCGATTTCGACTTCGCCTTCAATGAAGATGCCTCACCAAATAAACTATGTTGATGTTTCGACGTCTTACACGACGACGAGTCTTCGGATGAGGATGCTGAGTGTGATGTTGTACTTGGTGTTGGTACGCCTACCGCCTTTGACATTGAAGGGGAAAAAGTAGAAGTAGTCCTGTCTTCTGAGCAGTAAGTCTTTTCTTGTAAGGCTGGGCTACCTCCTAGAAGAGGCTCGCATTGATGTTCCATCTTTGTCGTGCCAGCACATGTCTCCAGATCTGGTGTACTCAACGCCACCGTTGCCGGAACAACAAGAGTAGTCCTTATTGTGGAAGCCGTTTTCGAAGATCTTCTCGATGTTGTAGCCCCGTTGCGGGGGTTCCGACCTGTCGCGGTCGCTCCACCTCCAACTTGCTGTTGATCCTCAACGAAAGTCTTCATATGGCCGAACTTGTTTTTTGGATCCACAAGAGACCCTTTAGGAGTCCAATCTGCTGCAGGCCGCCTTCTAAAGGGTAGCAGATCGTCCACCGACGAATGCTCGGAGCTAGTAGTGAGTTCTGAGTCTGTGTCTGTCCCAGCGTTATTGGCGCTCATCTCCATCGCAGCGGTAGTCAATGCTGCTGGTTCTATGCCGTCTTGTTCATGTACTCCTTCTCCTGTAGTTGACGTACTAGTAAAAGATGACTTCCTTTTTGTCAGCATCTTTGAGGTGATATTAGCACCATCCGTGGGCTCAGCCAACGGACTTAATAGAACCGGCGACGAGATAGGAGAGCCACAAACATGATCATGATCTTCTTCTTTTTCTTCTTCTTGCAAGTCAGAAGTTAGGCCGTATGGTTCTGACCTTTCTCTCTTTTCAGTTGGAGTTGTGCTACCACGACCTCCACAGGAATTACTAGTGGTGCTACTACAAGTAGTTGATGAAGAAGCAAGGAGAGTCTCAGCATCTTTTGTAGTCCTCTTGCTGCTTTCCCCGTGTAAAGGAGACTGTGGCTCGGCTCGATTCAGAACCGGAGAAGGTGTCCTCGGAACTTGTACAGCATGATGATCTTCGTCAGTTCTATCAGAAGCAACTCGTTGCTCAACTAAGACTTGTTCTACTTGTTGTTCTTGTTCAACAGCATGTTCATTATCAATTTTAACTTGTTCTTCTTGTTCAACAGCATGTTCATTATCAACTTCATCTAGTATATGCTTGTGTTCTACTAAATCTTCTTCAGATTCAGTATGAGTATACTTTCTCGGGTCCATCTTTCCCCCATCCATCGTCCTCTCCATGCCCAAATCGTATGCCTCTGTGGGCGTCGGTTGCTTCTGATGATCTGGGGTTCATAATTCAAGAGCATCAATCAAGTGTTTATTGAAGATGGTACAACAGTACTATCTTCAATAAACTGTAGTAGAAACTAGTTTTAGTAGAGTACTAGAAGTACAAAAGAACAGAGGACCTAAATGAAGATCACACCAAGACCAAAGACCATCTTCATCTACCTAAAGTAGCCAGTATCAAAGGTGGACATGATCAAAGGTGGACATATCAAAGGTGGACATGATCAATAAAAATTGTAGTATAGAGTTGATCAATAAAAATTGTAGTAATGTCGCAGTTCTTGTAGTATAGAGTTGAAAAAACTCGTCATCAGGAATCTCAGAGAAATTTTACGCCGGCCAGCCGGTTTCCCAGTTCCCCAAAGAGGAAGAGGATAGGGATCCCAGGCGCCTTTGTTTTTTCCCGGCTTTCCAGCACGTCTCACATCTTCGACGACACAAGAAGACGATCCTTACAAGAAAGTGTTAAGGTGTGAAAGTGTTAAGGTGTGAAAGTGTTAAGGTGTGAAAGTGTTAAGGTGTGAAAGTGTTAAGGTGTGAAAGTGTTAAGGTGTGAAAGTGTTAAGGTGTGAAAGTGTTAAGGTGTGAAAGTGTTAAGGTGTGAAAGTGTTAAGGTGTGAAAGTGTTAAGGTGTCAGGGGATTAAGGTTTCTTATACAGTATGATTGTAGATGAAGGTGGCGTATTGTACAGAATGCTAGATCTAGTAAAAGAGGCTAGGTTAGCAGGTTAGGTTACGCGTCCTCCACAGCAGGTTAGGTTAGATTAGGAAAGACTGTCATCATTATATCTTCACGACACGATATAATTTTTATACCTGCATGCGGATGATCCTTCCCTTTAATAGAATGCGCATCACGCGGCCTATAGGCAGGATCTCTTGGCCACTCATTTCTGCTCCCTTTGGTGCGTTCGGGTGGACCATTTTCGTACATTTGCGGAGGAATCCGAGCAGTCGCTTGCGGAACAAATGCTGTTAGGATCAAGGAAGAGAAAATTTCATAGGGATCATTGGAAACAGGCTCTATCACATTCACAATCTCTTTAACTTCACCAAAATCTTCCCAAACAATCAAATGAAATTAGTACGCGCTTTGGGATTTGGTGGCTGTCCTGCAACCGCCAAGCCTGGAGGAGGAGGTGGCGGCTTCGCTACCCGATGCGTCACTGATTGCCCTAAGATCGCCTCCAGAGACGACGCCGCAGATCCAGGCTGAAAAGTTTTGGATGGAGCAAGTGAAGATCTTTTGCGGTGAATGACGTGGTTTGACAAACTGTCTTCTTTATGGACAGCATCTACAAAAACAAAAAGGTTGGAACAAGATAGGATCACTCGACTAGGTTTGGATAACTTCGTATTCTGAACAAAAGATGGCAGTAAGAAAGCAAACTTTCGAAAGAACCATAAAAAAATCTATATACCACGATGCCGGGCGGGGCCGGCAAATGAAAGCCCTTGCCTGGTGGGGGTGGCGGTGGCGGCAACACGTGCTCTGAAAAACCCATGGCTCCAATCTGTGGATTATGTTCGAAACAGATTTAGTTACAAGAGAAAAAACTGTATAAATAAAAAGAGGCTCGTTAGGATTCTACTGCAAGCAAAATCGTGAAACTAGAAGAATACCATTTGAGCATGCGAATAGAGAGGCGCCGCCGTTCCAAGCCAATAACCGTCGGACGTGCTGTAGTAGTTAAATTGGATTCAAAATATAAATGTATGTATAGAGAGTTGTGCCAAAAACCCCTTGATCTTTAAATCCAAGAAAAAAGTGAAAATAAGTTCATCAAGTTGAACTCTCTTGCGACAATCACCGTCTGGCTAGTGTTCTCACTGTGAAAATTCGAAATCATCCCTATAAATATCTAGTCCAACATGAAGACATGCCCTAATGACAGCACTTAGTCCTCGTGAATACAATTACTTACTCTCAACCTCCGTCCTGTTGAGAAATAAAAGTCACCAAAAGAAGCAAGTCAGTACCTTTCTTGTGCCGCGAGTGGTGGCATTCCGTATAGCCCTTCTTGTAAGAAGTCGGCAGTTTCTAAATAGCGCCGATACGCTTCCGTGGTCTTCGATTGAGGTCCTCGTTCATCTGTCATCCGCACGAAACTAGACCCCGATGCTGAGCGAGCATTCCTATTGCTATTAGGAAGGCCTAGATTAACACGAGCAGTGGTGGCACAACTACTGGGACAATAATTCGTGTGAGGAGCACAACTTCTATTACTCGTCGTGGTCGCACAACTATTTCTCTTGTCCACTAGGATCCCGTGTGATCCACCATCCTCTCGATGTTCTTCTTCTCCGAGCAGTAGATGATCTGCAGGTAGAGTTGGTGGCAGGATTTTAGTAGCACTACCATTGCACGAACTGGAAGGCTCGCTTCCGGATACACTAGGCGGCGAAGCACAAAGCGTGGTGCTAAGCCGTGTTGACGCTGATAAGGAAGCGGCTCTTTCATGCGTAGCAGACGCGGTGGTCGAGTTCGACGCACCTGCGGTGCTAGAGAGCTCTTCCTCTCGTAGTTGTGCTGGTGAAGATGGAGTTCTTCGTAAGTCTGGTGATTTCATATTCTTCCCCTGCTCTTCCCCTGAAGTAGACGCGTAACCCCGACCACAACCTCCAAGAGTTAGGGGTTGAAAGTTGGCGTCTCTAGCTCGCATATGTCTATGGCTTTCCGTTTCCTACTTGGGAAAGCCATAGAGATGCTCTTATAGATGATAGGTCAACTTCCAACCCTTAAAAGAGATGCACAACCAAGAAGAGGTCCTTGCATTCCTCCATCTCTACCTGCTTCTACTGCCACTGACGCCGGTTCCTCCTCTATCATTTCTCTGTGGCTAGCCCTCCAGTGAATGCGGTCTGGAGACGTGCTAGTCGAGGAGCGCCCATCCTCCTCAGCAGCTCGAATGAAGCACTTCGTCGCTGACTCTGGCGCGTCTTGCAGCATCCCTGCGAGTGGCGCCGCCTCATCTGCCTCTTGGTCAGCTCCACCCATGGTACAATATTACGATGTTCCACCGGATTCTTGAACGTCGAACGACGCGCAACAAAAGCTCGACAGGATCTAGCCGACAGGGCCTAGCCTTCTAGAAGAACTGCAAGAGGAGGACGAGTACTGTCTTATTATTATTATTACAAAGTTAATCCAGCACAGGAGAAGAAAGTTGTACTTAGAGGACGGCAATTTTGCAGACTTGCACGCGTCTTTGTTGTGACTTGTCTTCGAGTTCGAAGTCGACTCTGCAGTTGCGTAGATCAAGTAGATCCGCCAAGTCGATCTGGACTATTTCCGTAGACTTGCTTGTTTCTCTTCTTCTCCTTGCTTGTTCTTCTTCTTTGTCCTTTGCTCCGTCGTTGTTGTTGTTGTAGATGCTGTTTTCTACAAATACAAAGTTTGCTTCCTATACTGCTGTTGTACTAGTTTACTTCTTTTTATTGCGTGTGCGTGATCTTCTACGAAATACATCTATTATATCGGAAAGGGCTCGTTGGTCGTGATAGCAACTAGTACTCACTTGTGCAGTTGGCTCTTCCCGAGTCTGCGGGTCTACTCATTCCTTTCGTCGCCCGTCTCCTGCCGCGTTGTTGTACGTGGTCCTGCGCTGCGGACCCATATTTTTCTTGCAGACCAGCCACAGAATATAAGTCGTTAGTGCCTGTTACGGCGGAAAGATAGAGAGATACTCGTCAGAATGAAACAGGCGCAGTGGTTCTTCGTTCTTAATCCATAATTTGGTAGCAAAAATACTATAGACGGCTTACCAAATGACCCAAACCCCCCTACAACTTTGATGTTGTGTGTTCGCATGCGATCATAGAAGTTGATAGATACTATCTTGAAATAAGAAGACGAGTGATGGAAGAGTATAGATTGAAGTCGTACTCATTCGACAGTAATTAATAATATTGAGATGAGCCTAGGACTTTCCAAGACCAGTATTTCGAAGGAGTTAGAATTCTTGAAATAAATTACAGTAGTATACTTACGGTCATCAGCTATTTAACCAAGGTGTGATGACAGCAGTTCTAAGACATCGGACTTACGAAGAACTTTCTAGATACTCCTTTTCCTTGACGAGCAGGTTGTACTGCGTGCTCATTGCGTTTAGCTTTAGTGTACTAACTGGTAAGCGTGAAATACGAGAGAAGGGAAATTCGAATGTAGTGATCTAGTTACTCTACAACTCAATCTCAAGAACCATTTCAGCTCTTTCCGCTCTGAAGCTGATTCCTATAAAAAGCTGCCAGTCTTCCTCGACTCTCAAATCAGTAATTGGAAATCATTGAGAATCTGACACCATGGCTTCCTACTAACACCAGTCCAACAATTGCCTCTTTTAATACAACACTGACACACAGCTCTTCACTCACCTTCTTGCTTATTTGCTTCAATAATTACTGAAATTCAAATTTCCAGTTCAATGCGAAATTTTTATAACTATCTTGTTCTACTTGTCAGAAGGGTAATAGGTAAAAACTAATATAGTGATAGACAGGTACAACTTATAGTGATAGACAACAGAGTTTTTAATACTCCTCAACCACAAGTTTTTGTTTTGTTACTCAAGAGGCCTCCGATCATCCACCATAAGACAGGATGGGAGTGTATTCGTCGTCCACAGGGAAAACCTTTCCGTTTTTTTCTCAAGTTTCAAACAACAAATGAAAGCGAATACCAGCCTTTAACTTTCTTGATTAATGTCAGTCAATGAGCCTAATATTAATTGAAACCGTGATACGAACTAGAACATATCACGTATCTCAAAGTGCGCATACGCGAACGAATTTATGGCTGTTGAAAATGATCTTCAAGATGAGTCGATTCATCCCTGCAGGAGTCGTAACTCAGTCCGTTGCTTTTCTCCATTATCAAATGAATACTCCGCAATGACAACAGAAAAACTAACCGCTGGACCTTTTCGTTTTCGAATACTCAATGCTTGTTGTAAGTATGATGTTCTACACGAATGGTCGTGGAACTAGAACAGCATGCAACTGCAATACGCGATCTGATATTAAACGCTGGATGGAAGCAACCCTTCACGTCTGTAATTTTCACTTCTCATATGTTGAGAGCCATGTAATATAAAAATGTCGTATTGGTCAACTCATAGGCGATAAGACCCATTCAAAGAAATTATTTTCTCAACCCCACCTTTTATTTCTTTGCTACCTCAGATATATTTCATCATTCAGAAGGAGTGATTAATTTTACATGTCATCGACTCATAAGAATAACGGAAATTCTTTACGTAGTATGTAATCAAAATTATAAATATTTATGCTAAAAGTTCTTTCTTCAATTATCCCAGTGTTCGCACCTGATGAGATAGAGATACCTTGTTTTCTCACTTTGATCTTTATGTAACAAACTTCGATCAGTCCAAGTCTTCAACACGAATTAGTACAAGAACACTCTCAAGTCGCCAGCGTTTTGAATCGGGTTCACTTCTAGTGAATGACTCCAACGATTAAAAATATTGTCAACACCGGGACTCAGATCATGTTCTACGCTGTGTGTGGCCAAAAAAAGCCTCCAATCCGCACCCTGTGTTCACAATGAAAAGAGAAGAAAAGACTAAAGTAAAATGAGGGGTGGAGGTAACAAGTTTAACATTTGTATAATAAGATGAGCCTAGGACTTTCCAAGACCAGTACTTCGAAGGAGTTAGAATGTAGAGAGGACTTCAATCAAGTCTCTGAGGCGCCAGGCTAAGATTTGTATAAATGCGCAAGTGCAAAGACGAGACCACAACGTGGAGACCGGTGTAGAATTAGGAGACCGGTGAGGAAGATCTACCTGAATTTGTGAAGATCTAATACGACGATCTCCTTTTTGAACCGGATGCTTGAACTCAAGAATGAACTGACAGCTGCTGATGGCCATTTTCATTGGACGAAAGACCTCCTGTTTTAGAAACCCACAGCCGCACGCAGCGCACCGCGCAGCAGATCTGCATCCCAACATCAACAAGTTGGACGAGGTCTCTTCATTTTCATCTTGCATTCCTTTGCATTTGAAGGGCTGTGGATACAACAACATCTATGACCACGAAAGCTTGTTGTCCCATGTGATCTCGCAGTAACATCGGAGATCCCCCGTCAGATAGAGAGTCGAGAATGATCTTTTTTTGACACAAGTGCACGATAGAAACGGACCAAACAACTACACAAACTCGAGGATTCAGATCCTTATAGAAGGACCTCCTAGAAGGACCCAGAAGGACAATCCTAGAAGGACCTCTCGAGAGACCCTTGCTCTCTTTGTCTAATTCTGTGATCAAAATTTTCTACACCAGTACGTCCATAGGAGGATGCCGTTAGCGAGAAATGGGTACCATAACCTTTCGGTTACGTCCATAAAAGGATGCCGTTGGCGAGTACACCAATCTTAACCTTTCGGATACGTCCATAAAAGGATGCCGTTGGCGAGAAATGGGTAGCCTCATCTTGTTCTATCAGCAGGTAAGATGAAATAGAGCTTCTTAATCTTAGATAGTAGAATCAACTTCTCTATAATTCAGCTCATTCGCTCCTGCTTCAGTGGATTTGCAGTAAACTTCGATCCCGCAAAGCACCGCAACGGAAGCCGTACTGTGCCCCACCTTGGACACGGGTGGATGGGATTGACGCGCCCTGCTACCTCATGTCGGTGGTCGACGTTGCAGACATCTTGCTAGTTTCCCTTTTTTGCTTCTGCAGCTCAGGTAGGTTAGAAAAAGAGCTCGCGGTGAAGGTTTTTACCTTTGCATTGACTAAATTGTGATACGTTTGTTCCTAGTACGATCTATCATTCTAAGAATTTCTTCACCATGTCAGCAATATCAATAAATCAGCAATCTTCTTAAATGACTCAGTACACCATCCATAATCATCTGAGCGCGCAGCTGGACCTCTAAGTCAGCCAATTCTTTTCGGAGGCCTTCCCGTTCTCGAGCGCGTCTATCTCGCCACCGCTGCATCGGGTTCACGGATTTACCACCATCTCCGTTCGAAGGCCTGCTTATCCTATACTGGGATTGAAAAAAAGGTGGCACAAATGCTGCACCACTTGACGTTCCGGTTGCGCTCTTGCTTGGTCTGGGACGTGAATTAGCGGCAAGAGGGTACTGCAAGCTAGTACTGCAAGCTAGTGTTGAAAAAAACATTTCACGCGAGATGAAGAAAGATCCTGTTCACATAATTGCATTTCGTCCATCGCCTGTTTGTCCATCGCCCGTTTGTCCACTTCCTGGCTCACCATTGGATTCAGCTTCGAAAGCGAATGAAACAGCTCTTGGCCCACGCTCGGAGGCTTTGGAGAACCTCTGGCTCACGACCGTCCCACCACCAGCTTTTGTAGCGGACGAGTGATGGCGCAGAGACGCCAGGCCCTGCTGCAGTGATCCTGCTTTTTCTAGAGCACGACGCGCTTGAGGGTCAGCTAGCAGGACTTGCAATTCGAGCGGCGATTGTAGTTGATGTTGTGTACGCATCTCCTTCACTAATCGTTCGAATTTCTGTTCCTTTCGTCGTCTGGTCTTGCGCCGTTCTCGAGTCAGGTTCAACAATCGGTCAGATGAAAACCTGGGTGAAACAAGGTCTTCACTCTAGTGCATTGAAGTTCAACGATCGGTCAGATGAAAACCTGCATTGATGTAGTGTAACTGTATGTGTATTATAATATCTTCCGGTATCCACTACTTCTACATAAAACCATTTTGAATATAAGCTTGTGATGTAGAAAAGCAACCGCGGTGCCACCTCCATGAGGTAGTGGGTATACTTGTCATGTCATGGTGTCTTCATAACAAAAAAACACTAGTACCAAAGCAAAGCGCCGAGATAGCAGACGATCGCCATAGCTGCTCCCACGATCAAATAGGATCGAACGTGGAGACTCACTTGCGGCAGAGTTGCAACCACTATACTAAGATATGCACCGAAGACAAACACCTCCAATATGAGCACGATAAGCGGCACGACGACGAGGATGATGTTTCCTAGTGGTGGCGCGGTGTTCATATGGTGCAAATTTATTGAAGAGGAGAGAAGGTGCTGTAACATACGACAACAAAGAGGAGGGAGAAAGATATCTCAAGTGCGTAACGGGTACAAGGAAAAGCTTAGGGTGAAAGTGAAACAATCATGAAGATAAAACTTGAACTTAAATATTCATTGTACCTAATTCGATATAGCTCGGTAGTCAGACTGATGAAACCTATCGATTAGCAAATCTAAGAACCTTTTACTTCATCCAAAAAAGGTTGGATCTCCAGGGTTTCCAGTCGCTGCGTCACCCGAGCAAATCTGCGGCCTGCTTCTTGTCCTGTTCTTAGAGGTCGCAAATCCGAGATTTTCAGCTTGATCTATCACTTCCAACAAGAAATCACCACTAGAATCAAGATTTCGTCTTCAATGGATCATCACATAAAAAAAAGGCGTCGTCTCCTCCGCCATGATCACAAGAACCCTTCATAATATTTTCCCTGCTTGTAGAATGAAGTTGTCAGACTTCTCTTGTACAAGGTCCCTCATCCTCAATAAGCCTGCGAGAAGCACCTGCGACTTGGTCTCCATACCTCCTGCCGCTTGGGTTGCCGCACGCGCGTGACCCTTTGATCAAAAAAAAGAAAACTCAGATAAAACGGAGGTGTTGACTATCAGGTAGTAGTAACTAGTATCAAGTAGGTACTAATAGTACGGCCATGACATTGATTGTCGGTATCAAACTAATTTTCAATGGTAGCGTAGTTGAGAAAATTTTTGTAAAGACTAGCTACTGCTAGTGCTGCTGCAACAAATATCATTTTCTAGACTAGTAGAATCAATATGAATATCATTAATACCTGAATATACGTTGCATGGACATGGATGTTCCTGATCGCTTCACTGCTTTCATTGATAGTCGCTACGAAGGCATTGAGCTGATCTCGGTCCATCGTGTGGCGGAAGACGGACCCCTCCCCTCCTAGCATCGCTTGTTGATTGTTCCCCATCTTGTCGAAGATATTCGGAAGAGGTTCACCGTGAACACTTCTCAAGGCCTACACGCAAGATGATAAAGATTATGAGAAATTTTCGCGGAACCTCGCTTGCGCGTAGAAACGAAAGCTCAAGTGTTGACGAAACGACGAGGCTCCAGCTTCCGCTCTGTTGCTCCCAGATTCGTTGCTTTAGGCCGTCTGGCGACTCCTAGGTGGGTTCTAGTAACGCAGCATAGAGAAGGAGCGACGTGCGCACGTTTCCTCTTAGAAGTGTGCATAGGCTTCTTACTACAGGCTTTTTCTTCGCCCTCCCTAAGAGCCCGCACAGAGTACTCCCTAAACGTCCATGTGCTTTTTATTGCTCTTCTTTCTTTACAATGTTGAGTTGTGTAGGCAAACAGGGACTGCGTGTTTCCAAACAAAATCCAGTCATCCTTTGAAAATGTTTGATAAGTCCTATCAGCGAATGCGCCGCTTCTTTCCACGCTAAGCATTACCGCAACGGTATTCAATGACAATCAGCGATAACAACAGCTCAAGTTCTTCTTTCAGTTTTAAGAAGTGCTTTCGATTTCTGCTAAGCCCTTTTCGATTTTGGTAATCAGTTTTTACAGCGCCACCCTCTCTGATCCACATAGGCAAACGGAAGTAGTCGATGCTCGCACCTTCGCGGCCACCTGGCATCCTCACTGAATTCAACAGAATATAAATCTGTACTTCATCAGATGTATTTTCGATTCTCACCCTGCAAGTATAGCTATAGCACGTGCTCCTTCTTCCACTTGCTTGCCCAGGTCTCCTTGTAAGACTGTGTCTATTTGCCTCAGAAAAAAGACGTTGAGCTTGAATGTCAAAAGCCTATCACGTAGCGATTCTCACCGTCCTGTTTTGATGTTTTTGTGGTGGGAAACGCGGAAACCATCTTGGAGGCTGCGTGCTCCACCTGTTGCCGCCAATTGACGGGCGACGATAAATCCAGGTCCCATGACGCTTGGGGTGCGAAGGCTGCTCCTTTCGCTGTCGCCACTGCATAAGGCGAGAGGGATTAGAGGCAGAGGGACAGATGAAAATCGTCTATTGCTTCTACAGATTGAGGGACTGTGCAAGAGATAGAAGAAGTTTTACTTCGTAGTAGAAAAGTAACACACTGGTGGGGTGAACTTTTGGGGTGTCCTCCTTGATTAGCCGGCATCATCCATAGTCACTGTTTCCAAAGTCCGCTCATTATCTGCGGCTTCCATTGGTCGGTCGTATTGGGCCATCAAATCCCTCTCCGCTATGTCTCTGGGCAACCGACGACCAAATTGCAACCGGATCTGAAACCACCGACGGTCACCCCGCAGCTTCGAGTGCTCGTTGAGTACCTGGTAGAAGTGAAAGCACTTGCTCACCGGTTACCTAGAAAGAAGACGATGATGACGTTAGTCGATTCGGGTTGGACCTACGACTTCCCTGAAACTTCTTGGAGTTCTGCGAATTTCTCTAATGTTGAAGCTGTGAGGGCGCTCCGCTGTTTCTACTGTAGTAGCGCCTCTGCTTGCGTTGGCGAGGAGGGGGCTGCTGCTGTTGTTGTCGTTGTTTCCGTTGCTCCCCTCAGCAATACCTCTCCGCCCTTCTCGGTCTAAGCAGTCCTCCAATGTGGCAAATCTAGCCACCCCACTAGCTCTTTACTTTTACCTAAAAAGAAGATAATAGACAAGGCCGGCGTAGCTGCAGCGCATTCACCTCGCGGCGCTTGCAGTCTATGCCCATCTTCACACTAAGAAGCAGACCGCGCCCCCCCCGCCCCAGTCTGGCCCCGAAGTCCGCGGCGCTTACTTTTGCAAAACGGTAGCCAGGCTGCGCTTTTGAACATGGTGGCGCCCCTGCTTACCCTTTCGCGAAGCTGCTCCCACCCCCCCCCACCCGTCCCCTCGCACGCTAACGCCCCCGGCGGGCGGTTCGCTTTCCGCCTTAGAAACCGCGCGCCTAGCTGACGCCGGCGAAGCGTTTACCATGGCACGCCGATATGAGTCGCAGACGGCGCCACCACCTTCATGGTACGCAGTACGTAGCGAGATACTTTCGCCAAGGTGTGCCCACGCTCTCACCACCCTCAAGCAGTACCGAGAAGCTAGCACGTCGCTCGTTGTCACTCCACGCCATTAAGTTGACGACAGGAGGCGGCTGCATGCGTTCCGAGATACCTGCGAAGTTCTGCAGGGAGTGCGCGTCTCTGCTTTGGTGTTCCCAGGCCAGGGCGTACTTTTATACATTTCCCCGTGGAAGTCCCAGGCGTCCGCCTTACTTCCCTCCACATCGCTGAGCTTTTTTACTTTGCAAAGCAGCAGACGCGAGCGCAGCCGTTTGAACTACGTCGGACCACGATCGTGGTCGCCTCGTCTGTTTCTGCTACAAGCCGCCGACCAAAAAGCTGGCGGAGCGCTTTGCGGTGTAATCTTTCACATGGTCACAATATGGCGGCCCCGGCTCTGTTTCCGTATTTCGCAAATATGCGCCCGCGCCTGTCTCTCCAGAAACGTCATGGATATTCCTCAACGCGTCAGGTGTCTGGCTTGTTGCAAATTGGTCCACAAGGCGAAAAGGCCCGCCCCCAGCGATTTGATAGGTGAGTTGGCAACACTTTGGACCCACGCGCAAACGAATCAACGAAGAAGCCCACCCAGCCATAGCAAAAAGCGGGGCGGGGCTCCTTCCTGATCTCCACCCGCGGCGCAGCCGATACACACATAGCAGCAGCAGCAGCAGCAGCAGAAGCCCTAACTTACTGCGTACGCCCTCCACCGGACCGCCAGGCCCTGCGCGGCTGTGTCAGGGTCAGCCCCAAGACAATGCAAGCCCACGGCGATCCTTCTCCCCGTCTCCTGCGTGACAGCCCTCCGCGGCCCTTCTCCTGAGTTATTCCCGCACCAATTGACGCACAGCGACCGGCTGCCCCTGCGTGCGCCTTTCCCGCCGCACCTTTGAGCGCCGGGACTTGACTACAGTGCCCCACCGGCTGCACCCGAAGCGCTGACCCCCGAGGGCGTCGCGATGTACTAATGGAGAGAATGGCAAGCCTTGGGCCAAGCTGCAGCCTCTCTTAATGGTTGAGAGTCGCGCCACATTTTTGAGGCTGAGGGTCTTTCTTTGAGTGAATTTTTTGCCCTCACATAGTCAGCAACTCCCTTCGGCTCAGCGGGGGAGGCTCTGGGGGCTTTGGGGTGGCTCTGTCTTTGCTTTCCGTGCCGCCCGACCGGCGCGGGCTTTTCTCCCGGTTTGCAGGTGGCTGGCGCCGCTGCGTGTGAAATTCCAACTGCCCCCGCGCGCGGCGCCTGTGGCCTTTTGCCCTCTGGGCTGTTGGTTCCCGAGGAGGTCCGCCAAAGTTGGAGGCTCGCCCCGTTTTGGATAGACAACACGCGCACCCCCTCCGCCCCCATGCCTTCACTTTGGCGGCGGGCCAACGATGGGCGGGCCGCCTGCCATCGTTCTCGCATCCAAATGGTCCGGACCAGGCGCGCGACCGTAGCCGGAAGACGCCCCGCTCATGACATATTCTGCAGGAACAGCCCGCGGGCGCCTGGCTTTACTTTGGCTGGTTGTGGTTCCGGAGGACGCACACGCACGGGCTTGCTGCTTCGGCCTTTTTAGGAAAGACATTGGTACCTGAATCACCCTAGGCACGGAACAATCTGCTTTCTCAGCTATCAGCCGAAGGGCCTCCTGTGAAAAGGCTAGCTGGCAGTTGGACTGACGCTCCCGCGGTGTCATTGCTTTCAGCACGAGAATATTCTTGTAGTATGAAAGAGGGAAAATCAGAGAGAAGAGGCGGAGAGGGAGAGGGCGGACATGCTCATGACAGATTGATGATGAGAAGCAAACGGAAAGGCCATCGAAGAACTGCCCATGAGGGTGCGGAAACACGAAGTTATAGACACATGATGATCATGAGCAAGTGCTGAGATCAATATCGAACAGCGCATCTTCCGCATCATAAATCAACTTGGGTCAGGTCTTCTAGCCGCTCATTCGGAGGTACTGGACCAGTCAACCCTTGCTGTTTTCTCCTCTCCCAGCTATCCAAAAGTAGAGGTAAAAGGTCCCGCATCGTTTGATTGTAGGCCAGGAATCTGTCAAATGTCCACATATCTCCCTCCATCAGGACGGCTACTAAACGCTGGTAGAAGAAAATGAAAGCTCGATGGAAGCGGAAGGAATTCCAAGTTGCTAAATTTTTTGGGGGTTGGTTTCTTTTACCAGAACAAGCCAGAAAACTTTCTTTGCTGGAGCGCCGACTTAAGAACGACAAAAAACTTAAAGTTTTTATTGCACACACACAGACGAAAAGTTAAATCTACAGCAGCACCATATGAGAGGAAAATTCGCACTCAGCCCGTGACGGTCTGCCCTGAGGCTAAGGGGATCTTTCTTTGAAGGTCTCGTAGACTGGAGCTTGCTGTCGGTCCTGCAGTCGTCCGGCGCCACCTCGGAACGCACCAAGCGTGCGCAGAAGGGTCTACTTCGAAGGCCAGGAGGAAGCACGTCAATGGACAAGGAGAAGGAGAGAGAGACGCAGAGGCATCAAAGAGAGGCAAGGCAAGCAAGGATAAAGGAGTCAGAAGGAAGAAAAAGCAAGCCAAAGAAGCACACAAAAGAGAGCAAAGAGGGATCACACCACAAAGAAGCAAAGCAGAAGGAAGCACTTTCAAGACTGCTGGATCAGCTTCTGTCTTCATTCAATCAAGAGTCATCTCCTCACCGATTTCGCTCATCTTCATGTGTGGCTTCACTTAGTTAGGTCCCGCAACGAACATGGGAGATAATCCTCGTAAGATTGAGGCCGAACTCGGTCGCCAGGTGAGTTCGATTCTCGATGACAAGTTTATTATTCAAAAATGTAACGAAGTCTCAGCTGATTTTGCTATTAAACCAAAAAACCTAACCAATGACCGAGGCTGGCTGCCGATCCAGCTAAAGGTAAGCGCTACACAAGGCGGAGCGTGGTTGCGCAAGCTGCGCCATCGTTTGAAGGAGAACGCAGAACCCTACCACGGCCTGCACATTCTGGGATACAACAGCACGAACCCCCGAATCTTCCTGCTGCACTGCAACAGGAACATCGACTACGCTAGGCTCGACCTTCAAGATGCCGCCTACTGGTTTACCCCCGAGCAACTGCTTACGAAGCTCCACCAGCAGTACAACTCAGCGAGCACCGCGAGCCTGACGTCCCTCACTCTGTCAGCCGCAACCTCCCCAAACCAGTACACCGAGTACGCACTTCGTGGGGCCTTCGTCTCAGCTTGCACTGAGAAAGGCATCATCACTCGCGAACCACTCGAGGAGTTCACACCTGCCGACCTGTTGCTGCAGACACAAGATAAACAGCACTTGTATCCGCTGCAGGAGCGGACGCTGAAGCGGAAGACCTCCAGTGGCAAGGGAGTGTATGGCTTACAGTGCCTTCTAGTCAGGTATAGCCTAGACTTTACTAGACTGCTTACTTTTTTGATGTTACTGGACGACCTTCCCCGACCCATCAACCATCGCAACGCGAAGAGTTCCCCGAAGGTAGCCTTGAGCTCCCTGGGCAGCAAGAACAACACCACGGCGACAAGCTAAAGCCCCCCCCATTGAACAAAACCACAGGAAGAGCGGGAAGCGATTTGCATCAGAAGACGCTGCAGCCTTCGCTTTTCATGTTCGACGAGACGCAGCGACGTCCAACGCAGACCTCTGGGGAACGTATCTGATCCCATTCGAAGAGATGCTCGCCCACGGTTATGCAGTGGAGGGCGCCGGGTACTTATCTGCTTAACTATAGCAAAGCATCTCATAAAACACTGGCGGGAACCTTATTAGACCAGGCACAGCGCCAAGACTGACATGCACAAAAGTCTCTCCTTGAAAGGATGGCCCGACCTTACCACCCCAAACCCCTAATCACCACTCCAGTCCTGCCGCACCGAAGTACTTCACAGTCTACCCGCCATTTCCATCAGCAGCAAAGCCCAAGGCACCCTCATGGGCGGACGAGTACTTTTGGGTTTATGACGGCACTGGCATACCAAACGCGCTAAGCTCCTGGTTGGTGAGCAGGGGGCTTCTGCCCCTGAATGTCGACAACGAGACCACAGCTGCGCCAGACTCTCTGACCCAGAGCTTTGACGCAGCCAGCCTGGGGCCGCCTGTCATGGAGGGCCAAGAAGTGGACCCACCAAGTCCTCTGAAACGAAAATCCCCAACATTGCCAAAGGCATCGAAATCGAGCAGACTCACGATAAAAGAACCAGACGAATCGGCAGCCAGGTAATCTAAAACTAATCGGGGGTAGAGGTCTCAGTCTTCTGTTATTCTGATGGAGCAAGTTGCTCAGTTGTTCACTTTCTTATGCTGTAGCGTGATCCATAAGACACTTCATTCATGTAGACGGAAAAGATGCGTGATGTACTCAGTTGCTGCCGCGAGGAAAGGCGGGAGCTTAATCTTACATTCGCAATTCATGGGAGAAGGTGAGATGTTGCAGAAACGACTACTCCTGGCGAGCTACTAACCCGCCAAACTACTGCGTGCTTTATATGACTACTAGTCAAGTGGACTGCCCAGAAGGACGACACTAATGTGGAGCCGGATGATAATGGGGGCGCTATGATCTTGTTGGGTAAGGAGGAAGAGCTAGCATGAGCGCCATTTCTCAGCTATAAGGCGAAACTCTGTGCAATATATCTAAGAGGTGAAGATGTTCATTTTTCAGCTATGCAAAAACGATGGCAAACGTCTGTCATCTACTTCTTTTTCTTGAAGGTAAGCTGATGGGGACCAGCTCCCATACGAGCACATTTGTGGCTCTGCTCGTACTTGTGGCTCCAAAAGGAGTCCCAGTGCTCCTGCACCGTCCCCTGCAGGTCCTTGCAGGGGTTGACGCCCCCCTTCGGTTGCTCTACTATTTTGCAGTACGTGATTTTCGCCTTCTTGACTGCTCTCGCTTTGGACCTGTTAGTGAAGACATCGATCTCCACAAAGTCCTTCTTGCAGTAGGGACATTTTGCCGACCATGTCTCCATTGGTTCGCGTCCCTTGTTAAGCCTCTGCTGACGGAGCGGATTCTCCGGCTGCTTCTCTTTTGGAGGAGGCGACAGCAGCTGGTATGCTGCTCCATCCCCGAGGAGGTCTTCATCATCATGGTCGATCATACCCGCATCCATGCTGCAGCGGCGCTTCTTGCGAGCCGGGTTGAACTCTCCCGGGTCCAGCTTCTTCGTGTAGTACTCATTGCGGCGCTTACGTTCTGCGGCTCCATCTCCGACGGCGCAGTCGCGATCCTTGCGGCGTTCTACCAGCTCCTCTCCCAACATCTGCAGAAGGGCCTCGCGGTCTTCATGTTGATCCGTTTCAACCTCCACGTCGCGGTAGTCGAGCGATTTCCGAAGCTCGCTGTTAGTGAGCTGTCCGATGAAAGCGGCCATCTCCTCCTCGAGATGAATGTCATCTCCACCTGGCTGCACTACATAGCCCTTCTTGTAGGTGATCTCATCCGGGCCGAGGCTAATGACCATCTCCGTGAAGAAGCCGACCACAAGTCTGATGTCCTTGTGGCTCTTCGGTAGCAGTTCGCAGCCGCCATCTAGTCTGCATGTCAGTTCTAGCCCAAGATAAACACCAAGATGGATAACGAAGATGTGGACTGCCATTCCAGACTTATCGCAGACTGCAACGAGTGGGTCGTCGAGCAAATTTCGAAAAACGAGGCTCAGACTCTCGGAGATTAGTTGCGCCTCACGCCAACGCGCCTGCACATCGATCGGCGTGAAGCCTGCTGCAAGGTCCTGACTGGCTGCAGCTACGACCATGGCATCTCCAGAATAGTCAGCCCATGTGGTGCCCTTCATGCCTTGGGAGAACTCCTTCAACAAGTTCTGCACCTTGTGGTAGTTCGGCGATGTTCGTGGAAAAGAAGATGACGCCAGCTCAGTTAAGTCATTCACTACTTGGGGAAGACTTCTTGCGTTCGTTGCTGTCGACTCAAACTGCTGCAGCTTCGTTTTGATGTCTTCCGGATCGCAACCCTTAGCCCGCTCGATGTACTCGCTCATCACTCTCGTATCTCGGGCCTCCACCTTGTCTTTGCTGGCTATGGCAAGCGCTATTTCGTCATATTTGACACGACTAGCCCACTGCAGTCTACGAGCAAGAATTCCACGATCAGTTGACAGATCACCACGCGAGCGCTCGGTCCTATTCTCACTGGCCCAGTGGTTTTCCGAAAAGAACTCGCTGTAGGTCCTGCCGCCTTGGATGAAGTCGATCAACTTCTGCGAAAGATTCACTTTGTTGTGGATGTAGCAGTTCTCAAGGAAAGTCTGCACTTGCCCGCGTGATGTTCTAGTGACTCTTGTCGCGCTAGCGAAGTGACCGTACTCCATTGCGCCTCGCGGATGTGGGAACTTGCACGCGTAGATGTTAAACTGCGGATCCCACATCTCGTATGCCCAGTGCCTCATGAGCCCACCCGTCATCAAGGTGGTGAACTCACGCCAGTCCTCATTCGTGTCGAGGCCGCTCAGAGCCGGGAACAACATCAGCTGGAAGATCGACACGATGTTGCTAGACCTCATGCGGTAAAACTCAGGTACTGTCGGCACCGTGGTGGAAGCGAAGACGAGGGTGCTGCCGAGCTTCAACGGCTCATCGAGCAACTTGCCTGGAGGTTGCGTCTCCAGTTTCATGACTATGCGATAGTAGTCGTATAGCCCTTCACTGGTCTTGATCTGTGCGTTGCAGTCTTCGACAGATATGCGCGTCAGGTTCTCGAGCAACCCCTTGGCATAGAACGACGGGTTGTCAGGGATGACGATGTTGTTGATTTTTGATCTCTCTTTCTTTATTCTCATAGGAGAAGCAGGATTACTACCACCACCCAGGTCGCCGATTTCCTCTATGAAAGGCGCAGGCGGAAGTGCGGGCTCTGAATCATCTTCGCCGAGAAGATCTGCAGAGACATCTAGTGCCGAGTTAGCTTCCTCGCCCTTCTTGAGGGTCAACACACGAGCAGCAATCGCCTCAGCGTGCGCACCGTACTCCAATACCCATTTCGCCAAGAGCCTAGCACCAAACCACCTCGAGTTATCCGCTTCCTCCGGATTACATGCTGAAGAGAAGGGTCATAAGAAGGGAGATGAGTAGTCTGTACTTTGAAACAAGTAGAAACCTTCCAAGAAGTAAGCTTCTTTTCTGATGACAATCACTACGACAATCCACCTGACAAGCATCACAGAGTCGGATGCGAACTCTCCCCGAGGATCTCGATGACAGAGCATCTGACAAGCGACCTGAAAGAGGCCTCCAAATGAAGGCGCTCTCAAGTGTCTTGCCAAGATCCAAAAGAAGGGGAAGATGGAGACTCGAGACGCAACATCAGCTGAGGACCATTTTGCTATAATCTAGAAAATCTAGTACTTTTTGACAGAATGGCCTCCATCGACTCGCCCCTCTTCCCCGAACTCTTGATGCGTTGCCAATTCTCCGGCAGAGTTCCGTTGCGCTTGAAATCGGACAAGATCCTGCTCCGTGCTGTACGCCAATCTTGCATGTTGGCCCTCTTCGAAAAGGGGCCACGCACGAAACTATTAACCGAAGTCCTCAACTCCGTCCAGATCTTCAACTTGTTGAGGTGGTTGCTCAACCTGTGAAACACGCCAAAGAACTGCACGACCATAGCATTCTTCTGGAGAATGAGACCGCACCGCATCTCGCTTTCTAGTTGGTCGGTGAGAATAACGTACACGTTCCGGGGAAAGTTGTCCTCCGTGGGGTAAGAATCGATGACCAACGCGTCCCAGTCCGATAAGATGCCGTGCACAAACTCAGGCCCAACAAACTTCTCGAGCATGGTGAAGTGAAAAACTGCAGCTTGTCGCGCTTTTTCGAATTGTTGTGGCCCATGAGGAGGAACCGTCTGCAAGGGACAAACCAAGAAAAGCGGATCCTGGGGCGTACCGCACGAGTTGACATTCCCGAACAAAAACTGCAGCGAGTATCGTATTGGGGATTAGATCAGAAGATGGCGGGAGCTCCTTCCTACTATGACGCCAAGAGATGTAAGTTACTCAGTCGAGTGCTACTCCTATGAAGGAGCTCCCACATGCAAGCAGATGCTCATAGTGTGCCTTTCAAGTAGCAGCAGGCAACTAGGTGCTACGGCGAGCTGTAGACATGCGCATCGAACCATGCCAGCACAAGAAGGCGAATTCAGAAAAGATGGACGGGGTACTTGTAGTCCCCTTCGCGGCTTCGACCCTTTGGTGGACTCATCTACTTGAGCTCCAACAACGCCAGTAAGCTTCGCTTTGTTCGCAAAACCCTTCGGTCTCTCCCAGATTCCTCTGACGAAAAATTTCCACATCATCGCCGCGTAGAAGTGCTTGGAGATGAGTGCCTGGAGGTGGAAAGTGGGCAGCGGTGACCTTCTCGCTGTTAAACTGAGTCCAATAAAAGTGTCACATGATGAAGCTATATCACAGAAGAGCAACCCTTTGCTCAGCCGACGAAGATCCAGAGGATGGAGCCACAAGATTCAAATCCACATCTAGTACCAGTTCGTCGCTTTGCTGGGCCTCTCTCGAGATGCCAGCCGGCCTTCTGCCGACGATCTTCTCGATTTCTAACAGCACCGTCTCACGCTCCGATGGTGTGACCCACGACGCCCCCAGCTTCTTGATCATTTTCGCAAACTTGGCGCTTGGAGACTTGTGGTTGTCGGTAAGGAAAAGCAGCAGCAGATAGACAGATGAAAGCGGGGCTACCACACAGATTTAAGGCGGGAAAAAGTAGAACAACCTACTATATTCAGAAGAGTCACGACTAGGAGATAGACACAACTTGAAAAAGTGACCGCGGTCATTTTTTAAGAAACAAAAATGACCACGGTCATTTTGCACGTCTTGCTCCTACTTTATGACAGATGGGAACATCCTCTCATAAGATATCATCCGGCTCACAGACGCAGTCTAAGCTGTCACCCTCGAGGATAAGCGTCCCGCCGTACATCGGCTCCGCAAGGTCTAGCCATTCGATCAGCCTGGGGTGCGATCTTGTCGGCCAGTTGTTCTTGAAAGCTCTCTCATCCGGAAGCACATCAGTGAGCCTGGTAGCTCCCTGCAAGCGTGCCAGCGTCTTCTTCGACATCTGTAACTACACCCCCTTGACTACACATCAACGTGCCCGACCATCTGGAGAACTAATCAGCAGAGAGCTCTCGCACAAAAAACAAACCGAGTGCGCCACGTCGTCTTTGGGATGCTTTCTCGAAAACAAGATGACGGCGATTCGCCACAGTTCCGCGCGCGTGTGAAGGGGTGCAAGTCTCAAGTTTAGTTGCTGTGATAGAGCTCCATCGTGTCAACAGTGCCACACAAAGAAAAGTAATTCACTCCACAAGAAGTGGCAACCTCGAAAGAAAGGAGTGCAGATGCAAGACGTTGTAGTCGAACGAAAAAAAATAAATCTTGAAGAACCGAAAGACGTGATGGATGCTGTGCCAGGTTCAAGTCTATTGCTTTCGTGGACGGCTTATCAGGTGCAGGAATCTACTTGATTCAACTCGAAGGGTCTACTGCTCATCACGTGAACGCGTAAGTTCTTCAACAACACCATCCAGAAGAAATAGCTCGTCAGATGCACATGCATGGAAGTAACTACTCCCTATCACTTACCACTAGATGAGGCTGCTGTCTATGAGAGGCCCGCCCGAATCTTCTCCCCCCTCTCTCCTGAAAGTGAAAGCGCCAGCCTGTCTCGCATACAACAAAGTAGCACATCATCCGAACCAAGCAAGTACAACAACATGGGGACTCCACGAAATCGATACCGCGTCAGACGATGGCTTCTACTCCACCGAAAGTTAGACTATGACGAAGATAGATAAAAATAACAACTAAATTGATAGAGAAAGGGCCTAACAGTTCAAAGTATTACGAGAAAAGGACACAAATGGCGAAAGGTCTGATTATCGGGTAGTTTTCATGTGTTGGCTAGATCTCAAATGTTCTGGGATTAACATCTTCTTGTTTAAGATGACTACGCTACACCCCGACCTAAATCAGCCCTCCAATCAGAACCCTGCCCGTGAGCTCTCATCATCGTCACCGCCTCGAGACTGAAGCCCACCTACTTCTTGGAGCGCTTGGGTGCTGGTGCGCTGGCCTTGGCGGAGGAAGTGTTGGCTCGCTTCGTCGAGGCGTTGGTGGTGACGGTAGTGGAGCGGGAGGAGGTTGCACGGGAAGAGGTGGCACGAGTGGAACTGGAGGAGCTGCTGCTGCTGGCACCGTTGGCGTTTCCCTGGAGAAGAGTTGTTTGCGCATAGAAGATGGCCAAAGATTGGAGTGAGATGGATTTGAATGGAGATAAGGAGATCTTTTGAAAGAGCTGAATCCTGAAAGTAGCTACGTGGAGATCTACGCCAAGCCTCTGGGGGGAGTCACACGTTAAGAGTTTTAGAAACTTTTGAAAGTTGCTAGCACGTAGTAGTTGTCTTGCTTCCCTCTTTATCCATTATCAACTGAAAGTCTAAACCTCAGCAGGAATGAGCAAAGATAAGTACATCGCAGAGCATCAGCGGCCCGCCACCACCACGCATGCCAGCGCCGTTATCGCCATTGGTCAAAGCCAACAAGCCGACATCGTTCTGGTTCGGGTTGAACATGTTGAGGCCCAGCGCAGCGCCCATGGCTTTGTTCTGGATGTGCTGCTGGATCGTGGCCTGCCAGTAGCGGCGAGCGCCATCTGTTCCCACCTTCGTGTTCTCCGCATTGTTCTGCATATCGAGCAAAATGGAGTAGTTGGTCACGCGGGCCGGCTTGGAGTGCGTTTTCGCAAGCTGAGATGGTTGGGGGTTGGCATGTGCAAGCGATGCGTTGGCATCAAAGTCAACTTCCATCTTGTCATCGTTGGACTCTGTACCAGGTTCAACAACGTCATCGACCTCCATTTTGTCTGAGATTGAAGGAGATTCAACTTTATCTGACATCCTTAATTACACAAGCAGTCTGCCACCCAGATACAGTTACAGCACTACTCCTAAACAACTCTAAATGTAGCGAATCAGTACGGCTGCCGTGAGACGCAGACCGAGCAACTCGATGAAATTATGCAGAGACTTGGGGTTCTCGTTGATCGTGATGCAAAGCTGGCCTTTCGGCAGCTGAAGCCAGAAGCTCAAAATGGGTGACATCAACTCTCCGTCGCAATTCATGTAACCTGATGAGTTGAACAAGTCGTGAGATAAGGTGGCTACCTTGACAGCAGCAGCAGCCTGCTGCCGCATGTTGGGAGAGTGTGGAGGTGTGATAAGAAGGTGCTTCACGACTTACCTCCGCACGCAGGTCGAGAAGTGGGGAGTTCAAACTGTACACTTGTAAGAGTCTTTCTTCTGGTAGGAGGTAAACCTAGAAACTAGAGTGGGCCACGCCTGCTAAAATGTCAAAAATGAAAGACAAAGTAAAAAAGTAAAAAACTATACAGGTGTATTTCGAAGTCTGGAAGCGTCCATCTGCAAGCTCCAGCTGCGCATCCTTCTGGCGCAAACTCGCAGCGCTCGTAGCTTTCCCAACGAGCTCCTGCAATTTCATGCACATATCCATGTCAGTCAGCTTATCCTTATCGCACAACCAGCGGACGATCCGCGGGATCGCGGATGGAACAAGCTGAATCGTCTCGGGCATTTTTGTCTGTGCTTCTGTAACTGCAGCAGATTCTTCCAGTTATTCAAAAAATCTTGTATAGTTCTACTGTAGGCGTGCTCTACTTAAGTCTCATCATAACGTCTTGCGCGGAGTCCTTGCCGTTAGAAGGAGCTCCAGCATCTTCGTGCTGGTTGCTCTCCTGCTCCTGTCCCAATCCTCTCCAAAAAAAAAGCTCTCCTTCTGCACTTGTTACGGTTCAAATTCGTTGCGGGACTAGATAATCTCTCAAGTGAAGCCACACATGAAGCCAAATCTCTCAGAACCATGGCAAAGGCGAGAAAAAAAGAAGTAGATCAGAACAAGCAAGGCAGAGCAAGACAGAAAGACACAGAGAGGAAGATCAGGGCTCAGGGTTTTGCGCGTCCCGAGGTGGCGCCGGACGACTGCAGGACCGACAGCAAGCTCCAGTCTACGAGACCTTCAAAGAAAGATCCCCTTAGCCTCAGGGCAGACCGTCACGGGCTGAGTGCGAATTTTCCTCTCATACACCACAACTCATTGATATAGTATTGCACCGTGACGTAAATTCTTGTTTCGTTAGCTGCGGGACGTAGGGGTTCGCGGCATCCTTCAGAAACGCGCCACCGTCTTTCACGGTTGAAGCAGCTTCAGCTGCCTTTGCGAATGGAGTGGATTCCTTCAAACGCTCGAGCCCTTGTGAGGCGGCACTACCTAGACTGTCGATGATGGAATCCATCGTCACGGCAGGAGGTCCTGCCGCAAGCCGGTCCGACAACTCTATCAGCCTCCTTTCCGCGGGATCAGGGACCGGTGCTGGGAAGATTCGACTTGTAGATGATGAAGATGAAGAGGTAGAGCACGTTGTTGAAGGAGTCGAGGACGCTAACTGAAAGTCGCTTTCGGGAAAACCATGAATGTGTGCTCTAGGTGGAGGACACCTTGATACATTGACGCCAAGTGCTACGCCGACAGGTCGCATGCGGTCCTCGCTCAGGACCGAGTTCTTCCGCTGGCAAGGCCGTTGCAACGTTGTCAGCGTTCGTCTCATTACAGAAGGCGCACTAGGATGTTGTCCTGAAGCCCTAGAGCCAGCAGAAAGCCCTGCATTCGAGGACGAAGACGGCCATGGTGACGTCACAACTCGTTTGACGCTTTGCAAGCACAAGTTGTTGCGACGTGGTAGAACCACTACTTGCTGCGGGGAAATAACAACGAGAACCATTCTTGGTTATATGGTAGAAGAGTCTTAGCCGCGAATGATGTTGTGATGCGACTGGCTAGTGGCAGAGTCAAAATTCCAATGAAAAATTGATCTTTCGAACAATCATCTGATGCAGAACGGTAATGAAACCAAGGATCGATCCAATCGAGCACATTGGTCGTGTAGTCCGGACTTCAACAGACACAATTTCACGCAGAAAGATGTTGGGATGACGATGCTCGATTTTGCACCGGACGTGGTGCGTGCGCTGATTGAAGCAGCTATTCTTGGTCAGCATTGTTCATCAAAGAGGATCCTCACTCGAGGATACTCCAGGTTCATCGTACGCTTCTACTTAGTAAGCGGCACAGGCACTACGGATCATTCACTTTGCGCGTAATATACAGGAAAGGAATAAGAAAAAAAACCTTCTTCTAGCATAGAATGTCCACTGATTAAACACAACCCTTGGAAGTAACCTAACTAATCAAAAATCCCGAGCCGCGTTGGCAGCGCAATGTCACAATGCTAAATAATCATCTCTTTTTTCCGAAACATCTTCAAGTGGCGAATAGAAGACTTCTAACTACGGAAGGCACTCTTGGTGCGCATAGTAATGGACTCATGTGAAACAAATCTTTGTGCGTGAAAAACCTCCACTAGCTTCGGGTTTTACAATCCGAACTAGTTGTGCATCCTGGGATGAATGCGAATGGGATCGAGATTAAATTTAAATTTTCTGCACCTCCTTCTAGGACAGTCCTTTATCGCGCAAGTTGGTCGCCTACTCCTCCACTCACCAAGTTTTGGAGGACTAGGCTGAGACCCTTGCTGAGTTTCTGGGAAGTTGATCTTAAGGCTATGCGTGCTTTGCCGCGGAAGGCACCTGATCCGATTTCGACGCGACAGAGTGCCACATGCCTCGCACCACCAGCGGCCGAAAACTGTCCCGCCAAGACTAGATTGTCTGGGTTGCTGTCAACACCAGGTAACAGCTTGAGTACGTCCCGCAAACAAACCGCGCGGGCGAGAGGCGCTAATGTGGCCGCGTCTTGCCACCTATTATCATTATATTGGTGCAGCCAAGCTCACTAGGAAAAGAAAAAGGAAGGATAGTAGGTAAAATTATTCATGATTTGATAGAAGAACATAGCTGTTTCATGTTGAACAACCCCAGACATTTAAAAAAAACAATTAGAAATGCATTAAGTACTTTTTCCCCACATCCACGACTGCAGTTTCCTCATTTACGGTGCAATCCGCGTCTCGCCAGACCGCAAAGAAATCGGTGGAACTCAGTTCAAGGGGGTCTAGAAATTTCGCTACGGAGATTGGGAGCTTGACCTGTATTCTTCTCGGCGAGTTGTCACTCAGCAGGAAGCTCAGTCTCAGAATAGGTTGCTCCGTGAAGGGCCCAGTACACACCGCAGAAACGCGCTGCACCTGCTGCGTTCCCGCTTCAACCTGGGGAGCGAGTGGGTGGCTAAAAAGTACCGTGAAATCGTTGCTCCTCTCCTGATGCATCGGCACCCAAATGTCAACATGAGTAGAACAAAGACCATATTGACTATTGAATGCTAGCACATGATTTCAAGACAGTAAGTCTCATCTTCTATCTCTATGGATGTAAATCTATACCGTTAGCAGATAGACTACAGTGCTGCAGACCCTATCAACAGATGAGCAATATATAATGAAGCATACCGTTGCCGGCGCTGTTGCGGAGGATATTCGAAGCAGCGTGTCTTCCTTTACGCTATACTCGGTCGAAAAATTGTGAAACGCCGTCTTTGTGTTTTTGTTGCCGTAATAAAGCGTCACCTCTGCCTCCATTTCGCGATAGCGCGCCTTGATCCCCACTTGTATCAAATCGTCTTCATATAAGACCGCATCGTCAGTGCTATGTTGATCGCCTGGCGCTGACAGCGCTGCCATGGTACTATTCAAACCACGCACACTGGAATGATAAATGGAGTCATTTCAGTATTTCTTGATCAGATGCAGGTGGGAGATTTTTAATATCTTCGTGGGTGATAAAGTAAGTACTATCTTCTAAGTTCTAGTTACAGAAGCTTCTTCTGCAATGAATCAACATAAGCAGCCTCTTGGTGATCCTTCTACTCGTTATTAACTTTAACTCTATTTTCCGTATAATCGACTGCCTAAAAGTTTCCAAATCGAAGAAGTACGATGGTGAGAGCAGCTGGCTCTTTCCGGGTGACTGCGGTAGTCGCCCTCTCGATTGCGTAGGCATACTTTTTGCGTATCCAGGTGACGCAACGTCCTTATTCGTATTGCCAAATATGTGTTTCAGCTGCCGCAATTCCTGCGACGCGTCGTTATACCTGTGTCCTAAACAAAAATTGATATTAGATAACTCATGCCGAACTTATACTGACACTTTTGATCATCGACAACATGAACTACTCCCAAGCGAGATCATATAAGCTTAACATCAATTATATTGTTCAGTAGTACATGAGCGATAGTTGTGAGAGATTTTTCTCGAGCTCGTTTATTCTTTTTTCGGCCCGCTCTAGCGTTTCGCCTAGTTTTGCTGCTCTACTGCTTTCCGCGAGCCACATTTCTTTGGCATGTGCCGAAATATTTTCCCTATCCCTTAACAGCATCTCTAATCTGTGAACCTAGGAATGTTGGGTGCATCGATTTTCCAGCGAAGACCCTGGTGCTTCACGATCAGCCTAGAATTAAAGAGACAAAAGCAATCCTCTGATCAGCATGGTGAGGAATCATGCTCAGATAGTCTAGGTAGTCTTGAACAGCTTGATGTCATGTCATGTCATGGAACCTCGTTTTACGTCATTGTAACGATCTAGAGGCCTTTCAGTCAATAGACTCAGCGTATCAAAAGAACAACATCTCGACATTTACCTCTTGCCTATGCTTCTCTTCAAGCGCTAAGATTTCTCTTGCCGGAACATCGCTTTGTGGTGCTGCTGGGACACTGGGTAGTAGATGTTGCACAACGCCGCGGCCGGGTGCAGTGCTCGAGCTAGCTCCACCCACTTCTGCTCGTCCAACGCCGGGTGGAAATTGTTGCACTAAAGTCGCAGCTCCCCCATTGAAGCCTGCTGTTGCTGCACTCGGTTAGAGCTCGCGACAATCCATTTTCTCCGTTCCTAGTCTCAGGAACCAAAGACCTACTTATGTATACTCTGTGATGAAGCTGGATTGATTGCGCCTTAACTCTGGTCTTGGACACTTCCAGGTACTATTGTCGCTCCACCTGCCTGCTGTAGTCCTAGAGCTTTCCCTGAATTAGAGCTCGCCCCAATCCATCGCGAGGTACATCCTGGGCCTCTTTTCCCCTTGAAAAGCAGACTCTCTCTTAAGATGTCTTTCACAAGGAGGGACAGACTCTCTCCTAGGATGACTTCTCCCAAGATGGAGCATTAGGGGAAGCCTTAACTGAAGTAGCTACGGGATTCGAGGACACCTCATACACAGATGCTTGTGCGCAGTACTGACCAAACTCTGACCTCCGGAGCGCACTGAAGGGGTCAGCAAGCTGCTGCTGAATCGCAGCAAAAACCTCCTCTGTTGTAGGCCCATCCCCGCCATCGATCTCGAAGTCGATCTCCACAACGTCTGTCATGCTGCTCTACTTGTGGTTGTGGACGCTTTCCGAGTGAAACCTGTTGGTTGCTTGGCACCGAAGAGACTGCTCGCTTACGAGCACAGGTTTACGAGTGGAAGTCGTTAGTTGCTTAGTACCAAAGCGACGAGCAAGAGGCGTTTGAAGTTGTTGCTTAGTACCAAAGCGACTGCTTCCTGGAAGAACGAGGGCTGGTGGAGTTCTGAGAAGCTTCCTTCTGCTTTTTCTGTATCGAAGAGTCCCGTGGTTGGAACGACGATGCCACTCTCGTCGTTACCACAATGGACACCCGTCGTTGACTAAGAAGATGATGTCGCTCTCACGTAGCTAGTGCGCAAGGCGGCACACCTAGACGACATCAAATCGTATTTCGCGTAAAGAAATTTAGAACGCACGCGGTCGACAGACGAAGCTCCGACAGCTACTACGGTTGAGCGAGCTTCAGGGCCCACGACCAAGTCCGGTTATCCTCTGCTTTGATATGAGGCGACCTCGTTCAGGCGTCGCTGGTAACGTATCGTCTGATCGTCAAAAGTATTCTGATGACACCACAACAGCCTGATTCCCTGCTACCGATTCATCTCCTGATAAGTTGTGGCATTAGTAGCTTGCCCGATCAACAAGAAGTGCTCATGAGACTTGCTTCGCGACTGCGCTACCCGATCACGCTTCCCGAACCACATACAGCGTCATCGAGACTCTCCGGGTACTATAATCGTTGGGAATGCTTCTCTTCTTGTTGTATTGAGTTCCCGATAAAATTATCGCTAGCGCGGCCAGCGATGATCGCAAGAGGCGACTTAAGCGGACCGAAGCTCGTGATTGCGAAGGCACGGCTGCATTCGAAATACTTCCATCGTAGGCAGCAACATCTGTGAAGTGGCTTCTCTGATGAACTCGAGAAAAGTAGGTTTTCGTACTTGAAATGTGAAGTATTTCGAAATTCAAATATTTACTTCCCTGAAGAAGCGGGTTTCTTTCCTATTTTTTCAATTTCTGTTTCTTGTCTATGCCTTTCTGTGAAACTGTAGTAGTTAGCCTCGTCTTGCAACGGCAAGCTAGTTTTTGTGTCAGGTAGTAAGGAAGCCTTTCTTTTTAACCATATACGACCCAAGATAGCAGCAACCATACTCATCATCACAGGTCTTGCTAATTGCAAGCTTGTTCGTAAATGTGACTGCTTTGTGGTTCTGCCTTGACGTATCAAGTCCCTCTGTTTTTTCCAGTCTACAGTCTTCCTCAACCTGTCCTTTCGGTACTATGAACAAAAGCGGTAAAGAACGCACCAAGCCACGAAGTCTTCATCGGGCTACAATTTGCTTACTACAAGCAGCCGCGCTGCATGCTGTAATTGCTATCTTCAATCGATGATTATAGTACAACCAATAGAAAATCAGCTAGCAGCACCACCAGGATGCTTGTATTGGTTTTTTAGGTTTGTCTGCGGGGACCGCACGTGGAGTCTCTTCTATTTTTCTACCCGTTCCCATGCCTCCTCTACTTGAACCTGGTACAGGTGAGCCGGTCGCTGCAACTGTCGTCGTATTCGTCGACGACGGCCTACCTGCGAAGGGTACGGGCGGCTCCCTTTTTGGTCGTGCGTACGGAATCACGCTCGTTGCGACGCCAGCCGACTCGGCCACTGCATTTCAGTATTTGTCTCATCCTCAAGAGTGACAACAATGTTGAGGGATCAAAGCGAATTGTGAAATCTGTTTCATCAAAGAATATGAGGTGTTCTTTCAACTACAAGGACAAGCAAAGACCAAATCAACACCTTGGTGGGGTCCATCGCCGAGCTCTGTAAATCGAAAGCCGCCAGGCACGCCAACCGTAAATACTTGTCCGCCGGCAGAGTTTTGTGAGGTCCGCCCCAACCCGGTCGTCATCCTCAAACGATTGAAGCACGGAAAATCGATACAAACGAGCGACGGCTACTTTCGAAAGTAGATACTTGGTATTCGGATTCACCACGATTCACCACCACTCAGCACATAGTCACGACCGCCTGCACACAGGACTCATCAGCCGTGGGCGCAGATCATACTTGTTGTCAGTATAATTCGTCATAGTTCAAGGCTATGAAACACTCATAAATGTCCTTTCCATTTTTCTTTAGCTCCTGATGAAATGCAGACGCTCATCCTGCGGCCACGCCGCGAACCTACCTTTTCCTTGGCACTAACATGATTGTGCAGCTACTTCGATCATGTTCTTGTATTCACAAAAGTAACTACATTACTTGTTGAAGAGCAGTTTCTATTTCATCCCGTTTCAGACACCAAGCAACCAATTATTTCCTCTTTGGAATTGGATGTGTTCGAAATTTTTCTGAGCATTTTTTTGACTTTTCTATTACTTTGGAAGTAAAGCTTTCGCTCCGAGTAAGTTTGCTGGCACTGCACTGGTAGCCGAGTCGGTCTCGGGTCATAAAATTCACAACTACCACCGGATTCTCCCCAGCTAGCATCTGAGAACGTTATTTCGAATCTTAACACTATTGTCCCTTTACATAGGGAAACCAAAGCCTCAGCGTTTGTCGCCATCGTTGTTTGTGTGCATTCATTTCCTTTCACACCTTAGCTGGTCTAGCGTCCACAGTCACATCCCCCTCCTCGACCAGCGCATCATCTTTGAATATGTTCTATTTTTTTCGTGTTCTTTGTTGCAACAGCAAGGGACCAACAACAATATTCTATCTACGTTGTTGTACAATCCTTTTTTCCAATCGAAAAGTTCATTCAAATGCTAGTTGATCGTGTATCATCCTGCCGGAAGTGACGGTCGAAAGTGAAAAAAATGATGGATCACCAGTCGCATTTCGATTCTGTTCAGATTCTGAAGCGCTTATATCGAAAAAACTTTCCTTTGCAGTAGCTGTCGTCACGCCTCGCCCAAACAGATATAGAGCTACACTCCGGTCCCGCCGTAGTGATGTGCCACTCTCACAGGTGATTAAGGCTGTCGTCCAGCAGCATTTGGATTTGTCGACCCCTATCAACCTAAGTAAGTAATACCCTGCGTTCTTACCGGTTGTATGTATCCTCGAATACGATGCCGCCGCTGCAAAACTTCCGTAGCGCCAAGTCTCCGCGATTATGTACCTATGCGTTCGCGAAATTAACGCTGCGCGATCATTACTTCGCCACGAACCATGTTTCGCGCCTCTTGGATACTTCCGTCTTTGCAGCAATACCTGGCGTCCCACTCCCGACAGAACTGCCAAGAAAAGCCTGAGATTTTGTAATGCGCAATACTATCCTGGTCATGCGGTACTATAAAAATTGTTCAAGACGATAGTACCTTCACGACAGCTCCATGCTCATTGATCTAAGTACTTTTTCACATGAAGTAAATCTGTAAGATCGTCATGCAGGCAAGACAAACTTCAGAAAAAAGTACGCCAATCAGCGTCCCGAGCATGAGCATGAACAGCAAAATTCCGCACGTCACAAAGGTTCCCAGCCTCAGGCGCGTATCGATTTTTTCCTCACACTTCGACCCGCCCCAGGGTGTCATGCAATAACAAACGCCATCAGAACAGATGCCGTGCTCGGACATGCATTCGGGTTTGCATCAATTTTAGAGAGGAACAAGATGCCGGACATGCATTCGGGTTTGCATCAATTTTAGAGAGGAAGATGTAGTAAGTACATAGAAAAATGTAGTGATTGGATTTTAGAGAGGAACAAGATGTAGTAAGTAAATACATAGAAAAATGTAGTGATAGGAGCGAGTAAGAACAAATTATCACGTCCTTCGCAAAATTAAACGCTTCAGAGTTATGCGAGTCTTCATCTTGGTTTTCATAAGTATCACTTGGATCAAACCTAGTTGCGTCTGTGCTCGCCAATTCTGTGACACCCAAACTCGCGACTCCGCGAATGTCAGATCGTGCTCCGCTAAATGTCGGGCAGACCAAACATAGGAAGAAGAGATACTTCCGCCACGACATGCTCCACATTTGATTTTTTTGAAATACCTAATATGCAAACACTTTTATAAATATCATGGCTTCAGTCCTCATTGCACCGACAAAATGAACCTCTAACATAGTTGTCTCTCACCGAACCTCAAACTTATTTTGGAAACTTTTTGTTCCTGCAGTTTTTCGCATTTACTTTCATGTAGGAAGCGTTTGCCGATATCATGGGCCTGCACCAACGAACAGGTTGTGGAACTACAACATCGAACCCCACGCATCTTTTTTCACATCTGCCATCCCGCATACACAGGACGCATGCTCAACATCTATCCCAGTAGACAAGGTATTATTACAAGAGTCCTTAGATTTGTTACATTTAAGTCTTGTTTCAAGCATAAGTATTCGACAATTGAAGCGTATACGAATCTTTTGATTTTGTTCTTCTTGAAGTCTCAGTGTTACATGAAGTTTGTTCGTCAAACGGAGTGAAATGTCAGTAAAAGTTCTGCGTTAGTGGTTCAAGCGTCCCTGTCTTTGCATGCGCTCTTGATCCTGGGAAAGCACGTCGACTAACTTTGGAGCTTCGTCTTTCTTCTAGTTGTTGCAGGAATCCCCTGGTAAACCTACATCAAACGAAGTCCGAGCTGGTTGGCGCGACCGACTTCTTTCCCCTCAAGGGTGCTACAGTAGGCTCGAAGTGCATCTTGCCATGTAAGGACGCGGCCATGAAAGCCGTGAACTATCACGACGTTTTCAAGCAAGCAAAGACTTGAATAAAGTCAAACGACTCTCTACACAGACGACGCTTTACGGTACTGAAAGAACTTGGATGAACATTAACTTGTACCGCATGTACTGGTGTTGTAGTAGTGAATTACAAATGAAATCAGAGCCTACGATGTTGTTCTTAGCGCTTAATTAAGTATATTCGTTCTCTATATAATTGATGTGTTCACATGTAAGCGAAAGCGTTAGATAACTCATTACTGAAGTGAATTACAAATAAATGTCGGCATTGTAGTATCTAATTCCGAGCGCAGATTTTTTCGATGTAGTAGATGTAACACTTCGGCAGTAGTTGTTGTACTAATTACACGATGATACTAGAATAAGACGCGTTGTTTGGTTCACTACAATGTTGATGTTCACTATCCAATCAAATCCCTGGTAAGTTGAAGTTCTCTTTTTGCGTATAATGTGTGAAGTAGAGGTTTTCTATATAAGTGTGATCTAGTTCCTACCTATAATGACTATGAAGATTCTGTCCTCCTTCATCGAGAAGCTGCGTCTCGAATACTGTACTGCGGTACCGGCTTAACAACCGCTCATTTCGACCGCTCATACCGACGGATCGACAACGACGTTGCTGAGAAGGATGCGGATGGGATAAGTTTTAATGAGGATGAGGATGGGATGAGGATGAGGAAGGGACCTCTACTAGTCTAAAGACTAGCTTCTGATCCTAGGTTGAGAAATTATAGGCACAATTTTTAAATATAATGTCTTTAGACGCCTAACGAAAAAGAAACGGAACAACAGGACAAACAAAAACAGGTAGTCTTTACTCCTTCTTCATTTTCTCGATATCCTTCTACGAAAGGAAAAATCACAGCAGTTATAAGTACTCTTTCTTCATTTTCTCGATATCCTTCTACGACAAGAGACTTATGAAGTCACAGCAGTTATAAGTACTCTTTCTTCATTTTCTCGATATCCTTTTCGAGCTGCGTAAGAAGCTTCTCCTGCTGTTCTTTTCGTCGCATTTTACCGACAGTATCCAGTTTCGTCAAATGTGCGCCAAGCTGATACTCCGCATTCACTTCTTCCCACTTGGCCTGAAAAGACGTACGATCATTCATATGTTTCATACTTATACAGAGGTTTACAATGGTTGTCAGTTGCAAATGAGAGGGTCGATAACAATAAGGGTGGTATCAATAAAGATGATATTTTTCTTTTTGTTGATTGCAGCAGGAGCCGAATTGAAGCGTATCTATTTAAGAGATAAGTTTTGTTCTGGACTTGCATTCATCTGCATTCTCGCATTCATCACGGTATAAATTGAAACCTTCAAAGCCTGAATCAAGGCTTCCTTTTCCTCAGTTTCGAGCGGACGTCGTACTGGTGCCTCTCTCTCTGCCTCTTCATTTTGCAGCTCCCGGATATACTGGTACTCAGCTTCAATATCCTTCTTGATTGATGCAATATACGCCGGGACCTAGTGGTTCAATCCTCATTTAGTATTGCCGCAGGGGTTGCGGAAAAACAACCAGCTCTATTGGAGAAACTTGAGCAGGAGAAACTAGGTGAAACAGGAGGTCCTAAAACTTCAAAATTCCTACTTACCTTTCCGTAGTCCTCTTTGTTGAGGAAGTCCTCGTCTTGATTTGGCATTTTCTTGGGTGCCATAAGAATATTTTCCACTGCGTTTGCAACAATAAAGTTCTTGCTTGTTACCTGTCAAAATGAGAGAGAGTAAAACAACAGTGGCTATTCATCTGCTCCGTTTATTCGTTAATAAATTGTCACATTCAACAAGAGAATAGAAATCTTCACAGTGTACGACCAGTGTTCAACTGCTGTCTCTTCATCTTCTTTAATGTTGATCCTCTTCTCCGAAGATGAAAGGCCATCTTTGATTATCTTCTCGAGGTACCAGGTTCATAATCGGCTTTTCCTCCTTCGTCGGAATCGTCGGCTTCATCTTTTCCTTCAAAGTCCCTGGCTTGAGTTTCTCAGGTTGCTCCCTCTTTATCATACCTGTGGTTGTCGAGAATTGGGATTCCCACCAAGTATGCACAAGAAAATTGCAATTTTTTTCATCAAGTAGTTGTACCAAAACAAGCGAATGAATATCCAACGAAATTTTTCGCAATTTTTCATCTGCTAGCTCGACTATGATTGTTCAATCGACGTCTCTTTAAAAAAATGCAATGGAGGAAGATAGTGCCAATCCGTATACTCAATTGTCACTTAAGACTTTCAAGGTCATTAAATAAAACCTAAGACATGATTACCGAGTGTCGCAACTGGCTTCTTCCCTGTTTTGCCCTTCAAAAAGTTCGCTGGCGCTGGGAAACTTGTGCATGGTGGTGGTCCGAAACCGGCTTTTGGCTTCTGGTACTTGTACCCGTAATCGAGATTCACTGATGCACCACCTGGATGAGATTAGTTAATAATCGTGATTCAAGTGGAGAGAATGAGGTAAGGTATAAGAAAGATGAGGAATCGTAGTAGTAGTAACAACAGATCGTCTAAGTTGGAACAAAAACTCAAACCAAACTCTGTACCTAGATTGCTCACTCCTGGCTTCGTTGTTTGTGAGACATTGAAAGTGCTTGCTGTTGGCGCAATGGTTCCCGGGAATTGTGACACATACCTCTTCCCCCGCTCTGCCTTCGGCACCTCCTCTTTTATCTGTGGGAAATGTTTTTAGTTTTGTTTCTTCTTTACTAAGGTGTGCGATAGATAGATAGATAGATAGATAGATAGATAGATAGATGTACCCACTAACGGGGTGTAAGATCTTTTAATTAGAGACTGCATCTTTTAGTTTTGTTTCTTGTTCTTTACTAAGTAAGGTCTTTCTTCGCCTAGTAATGAGTTGTTTCTTGTGTTTTTCTTTAGACTTGTTAGTTACTACTAAAACGAGGATCTTTTGCGCTTTTACTTACTACTAACCTCTACCAATGGGTAAGCATCTTAATCTGAGGACAGAAAAATCATCCAAACACGCCTATAAATTCGAATGTACGATATTGTAGATGCTTTCCTCCATCTTCTAGTGTCGGAAGCGCAAGAAATCGCGAAGTCGCTTACTCCCGTATCGGAGCTGCTGTTTAGCTCCAGAACCGGAGCCGTACTATCTTTTACTCACTTCTGCTCACTTACCCACAATTTAACACCCTATCAATTTTAGTACATAGTAGTTTTTCATGTGTCACAGCATTGACCTACAAAGATTCAATGCCATCCAATGAGTTTGCTGAGTTTTCTGTTGATGTCGTACCTATCAGCTTTAAAACCGACGAGAATGAACCATAGTACAGTAATTTTTTAGAAACAGTTACTCGTTCTAATAGGGGGTAGCTTGGAGCTTGCAGGATTTGGGAATTGTGTCGGGAGGTGCGACGGAAAAAAATCGTCCGATGATGAGAGACTCACTCAAGCTGTTCTCGACGACTCTCTCTTTCCCTCGAACACTAGCTTGGTCTCTCTTTTTCTTTTTTTCAACAACACGTCAATCGCCTCTCTCGATGGGTGCAAAACCTCGCATGTAGTTCCGGGATACAAAAACTTGTCACAATAACCGACGTTCTTTCCTTGTTCCGACGAAATTTCATCAAATGCGAGTATCCGATCTCCCGAAAAAAAAACATGACTAGCGTCTGCTGACGACAGCCGAGAAAAGAGAGCGAGCAGGGCGATGAAAGCCGAGCATCGGATATCGGTGGAGATATCCATAGTTACGCGCGCTCTGCGAATTACAGAAGCATAATTCTTGTGTTGAGAAAGCGACGATCTTATTTCACGGTCACTGCATCACAAGGCAATCCAAACAAATCGCATCAAGAATCTGGTGTAAGAAATTTTCAACAAGACGAGGCCGGCAGGCGCCCTCCCCGAAGTCCCAGAGAAGGAAGATTTACCAAATTTTTACCTGCTCATCCACAAACACTACTAGTCCTTCGTGTGACAAGAGCAATCTACGTATAGCCCTCCTCGTACTGCTCCTGCAATAATCGCAGCGTTTGTCGTTGAGGAAAGAGCAAGGAAAAGCTCAGTACTCAACCTTCTGGTGCTTCTGTGTGCCTGCTCTGCCTCAGTCGTTGTAGTAGTACTTCTAGGGCTAGTTGTGTTTTGATCTGAAAGTTGCTTGAAAAAGTCGCCCTCCTGAGTTGCACCTCCGCATCGGCCTCATGTAGGAGTTGTAGCACGTTCATCATCCTTCACATCAGGGGTTCTTGTTGTCGTCCACCTCATCTTGTTAGTATGAGGTGTAACAAGACTAGTAAGTGTGATGTAGCAGTGGTAGTATTCAAGAAGATTTTATTCAAATTATATACTAAAAGTGTTGTTCGTCCTACTAGAAGTTGTCGTGTTGAAATCGTTGCGGTCCCATGTGGTAGTTTGAAGTCGTTGTTTTGAAGCAGTTGTAATTGTAAAGAGAGCTACTAAAAACACTTCCCGTGGTCGGAGGCTAATATTCCGGTGGACCTCCTTAACCGGTTGTTGGCGGGGTGTGGACCGGGTAGATCAACGGCACCATTTGATGCATGTACGTGAATGCCCAGCTGTAGTGAGGGAGACGAAAAGAACAGTTGAAAACAGTATAAAAAGAGCTTGGCGCTCCAAATTATCTTCGTCTTTCTCCCGCACTAGTGCGAGGATTGATTGTATCCCAGAAGTATGATGATGATGATGATGATGATGATATACCCAGTCCTGAGACGGGTATGCATTTTTACTACTAATTATATGTGTCCTTTTTTGCACTTCTGTGAAAATATCAAGATCATTGAGTTGTGTAAAAAATAATATAGTACAACATCCACATGCAGACGGTGCTCATGGCGACAACGCTTCCACCAATGAAACGTGCCTCGGACTTAGTACAGTTGGCTGTCTCCTTCGCGACGAACTGTGAAATCGTTGTCGCGATAATGCCCAAAACCAGAAATACCATGGTGCCCGTCACAAGGCCGGGTGCCATGAAACCCTGTGCTTCGCCCATTTTTTTTGGAGAAGAGGATAAGTACTTCTTTTAGACAAGAACTCACTTTCTCAACTTAGGAAAGTGAAGAAGATTATTCGTTTCCTAGTGGAGAATTAAGATTTTCTGAAACATATCGGATGAATCTTCTAGCAGTAGTGTACCCATTCGTGGGGTATAAATCAGGGTTTCTGTACTCTCTCTCTCCAAGAGCGTCAGATTCATCAGATGACCCACATCTCGTAACATTCATCATCATTCAGGGATAAAAAAAAACTTGATAGACGATTCATTCCTCAGGAAAAAAAGCTCATGCTGCGTCGGCTCGGATGCAGAGAGGTCTTCCTTCGCTTCCACGAGAACTCAATCGTTGTAAAAGAGCATTCAAGAGGACCAACGAGAACAACGGGGCTGCTTTCATACCGTCCACAACTTTTGCGCATCACTGTGATAACATTTGCGCATGGTGGCCTGTCTCGTGACCACTTTTACTCTCTTCTTGCGAAAATATAATGCCACCTATCTCTATATTCAAAAGACACATAATAGAGGAAGAAAACTTTGCTTCATTCATTTGCACCCACAAGGAAAGAAGCTCCAGGAGGAAGGGGGCCAAAAGATGCAGCACTAGTCTAAAATTTAGTAGACAAAGAGAGCTCCGTAATAATGATGTTCCCAATCGGATCTGGAGATTCAAAGACCACTTCCGATGATTCAAATTTGGGTACTTACCTTTAGGTTTAGTCTACTGTAACGTGGAAGTTTCAGCACGTGCACATCAACAAGCAATTTGTTGCTGTGCAGGGATGCCGATAAATAATAGTTCTCAACAACTAATACGAGGTTATTAACTCTGTTCGTTGAATGCAACCTTAATGAATGTGTAGGTGGGTTGTTCATTATTTACGGCTAGATTTTCAGTCAACTGTGCATGGCTCCCATAAAAAACCCATGTGCGAAATGCCGGCGTCGATAAAAACCGTGGTGCGTTTTGGTGTTTGCAACTAGCCATAGGGATTGAAATTAGATATTCATAGGGTAAGAAAGTTTGCTTCTGTATCTCTTGACAGCAGCAACATGAGAACAGAATTTTCAGACAAGTTCATTTTATTTCTCTTAATTTTACACACGGATAACAGCTACATTAGCGACCCGAGCCACGGACGGCGGGGGTTTACTCAGGAGCGTGCCCTTTGATGAAGGGTGCGTACTAGGGTGCGTATTTCTAGCTATTGGTCAACAAAATGGGTGTATATGATTCCTGTTTCTAGTGGTGCGTACATCTTCTATATACTACATTCACAACATTAGCGTGTGGGCGTGTGGGTGTGTTTGGTAAATGGGCGGGGAGCATTTGATGTGATAAACTCATAACGGGTAAGTATCTGAATGTAGTTGTGCGTCGATATATGTCAAGCTCCCATTTTGGGGCTACAACATGAACCGCGAATTAAACCTGCATCGAAAAATGTAACGATCATTCTTCTTGAGTACAAAAAGTACAACACCCTCGTCATTTTATTTCTTGGTGCCTGGGTAATGCCAAACTCGTTCTTGTATTTGCGCAGTTCAGAAGTAGAGGCTCGCCCTCTTCAAATCACTACTGGAGTAAAATAACTCAATTGATATTGATGCGCGCAATAATAGCTACCACTATTCTTCTAGGTACCTGAGTATATCATAAATCTTCCGAGGACATCAGTTCTTCTACGAGAATTTAAGAAAACAGCATTATTTCTCCCAGTGAAAGTAGATGATAGGGCACGACTTTGGCCCGTCTTGTACTGCGCACCCTCGGACTCAACGGCGATGAGTCCTTCTAGTAGTGATAGAAATTATACAGCTACAGCTAGATAACATAACCATAATACAGCAAGCAAAGAAAATGAGAAGTTCGAAGTATATACCGATGACACGAGGACTGCAGCTGCTGCTGCTTTTCGTTGAATCAACAACGTGCAAGCACGACTGCATGTTCAAAATAATTGGAATTGCTCTAGATTGATTTAATGATAGTGTGGTACCTCTCTAGAATAATCAGATGATAATCTTCAGTGATGTAATTGACTTTTCATGTTCGACAAATCGGCTGTGAACAAACAAAAATGCTCAATGGTGAATGCTGGTGCCTCTACCTTCTGCTTCTGGCACAAACAAAGTAAGTGTAAGAAAATGACAAATCATAACGTGTTGGTAACATAGTTCTAGCATAGTTCTAGCTCTGCGTGGTTTTCTTGCATTAATACCGTGACAACCTGTCTGCTTTGGACCGCAGGTCACACCTGCTGCATAGTTCTTCTTAAAATCATATCTGCGAATGTGTTTCTTGTAAGTCCTACTACCGCGCCACGTTCGTCGAGAACAGCCTTCTCGACGCGTCGCATGTACAGTAATCCCTTCGCGCCTCACATGCGCCAACGCGGCCGACTCGGGCTCGGTGCTCGATTAAAAGCGGGTGTGGGCGAAGGCGCACGTCGCATGTGCGAAGACAAGCTCTTCGTTCGGAAATTCATACCCAATGCGCTACCCGTTGAGATAATACCTAAGATGAACGAGAGAGAGAGGGAAAATCGAACATATGATGCAGTTGCAAAGGCAGGCATTGGCTCAGGATTGTTTGGAGGTATATGCAGTGAATCGGTGAAGGGCGACGGGTAGAATAGAGTCCTTGTTACTAACACATTTCTATTCCATTGAGAAGAAACTATTGAAGAAGGTCAAAAAAAATTTTCTACCTCTCGATGGTGAGACGGGTCGACCGGCCGATGATACAAGCGTATTTCTTGACGGAGAGGCGGGCCTGCCTGTAATCGGCGATGCCGGACGAGAATGGGTACTGCTCCGCAGCAAAGGACTGTTGGGCCGATACTGACCATACTGTGTTGTAAAGACGCCACCGGGTGTAACACCTGAGAGAACAGTGCAAGAGAACGTACTACTACACTAATCTTCAAATCTAGAGGTAAAAAGATTACCTGCGCGATCATCTAAATCTCGTACTGTAAGTTTCTTCTGTTCTTCTTGATCCATACCTCGTCTAACTACTCAACATCAGCAAAAAGATGAAAAATAACATCTTACTCTTACAAGCGACTGGTCTCTTAAGAATACGTGTGCTTGGTGCTGTGGACGGCCTAGTGGACTTTCTGGCATCTGCAAACATTTCCGGAGCTGCCGAACGATGAGCTTTTACCGGTCCGCTCTGTCTAAACGCGCTCATCCCAATTCCCATCCTTCCAGCGGCTGATGACACGGAAGGACCTGTGGGTGAACTTATGTTGATTGGAAAAACTAACCTAGGATTTATGAGGGAATTGATTTTTTGTTGAATGAAATGTAAAAGTAAACAAATAAGGTGGTGAGACAACAACATGCAGCTGCGTCCATATTAACCATTTATTACAGTAACAGTAAGAGTGACTGTTCTTGAAGCTAAATCATCGAGAAGATGCATGACAAAGCAAATAAGCCATGTAATCAATATCCTGGTGAGGAGAAAGTACCTTTCATCGGTCCGGACGTGCGCAATGAGCCAAGAAGTCCACCCAGGTTAGAACTACCGCCTAAATCCCTGCTTGTGACAGTCGCACGCTGTTGTCCATAGTCATATCGATGTGGTGACCCTCCCGATCTCGCGTCGTATGAGGATGAACCTTATATTTGGGGAGAAGGGTAAAAGGCGGTGCTTGTGGTAAGCACTGCGACGGATCAGTCTCGTGTTTACGAAATCAAGCTATCGCAGTCATATGATTTTCTAAGCATCCTCTAGCTCTAGATCTAGTGAAGAAGAAGATACACCAACATCAAACAATATGGACTACGGCTGTATATAATACGGCCCACGCTGCCGTCTCGCTGCCGCTGCTGTCTCATTGGGCTGTCCCCACGAACCGGTTGTCGCATACCCTGCTCATTATACCGCTCGACTTTCGGTGACGCTTCCCTCCTTCGCGGGTATCTAAAATGTTGGAGATATGGTCTTTATTTTCTTAGACGTCCTATACCCAAAAAACTAGTACTGGTAGCTACAATCTATCAAGAAAAGTAAAACCAGAGAAAGCCAAAGACTCTGTTCACATAATGTAAAAGTACGCATCTTTGTCGTTGGCAATTCTATTTCTCGTGAGCCACACTGTATTCGGTTCCTCTTGTTGTCGACTACTTGGCCTTTGACCGCTACTGGAAGGCCGCGTTGTCGAAGTACTACTACGTGGCGACAAAGTACCTGGGGAGAGTTACATTTTCAGAATGAACTTTCTACAGCTACTAAGTAGAATGAGTCCAGAACATCACATTGCAAGAATCGATTCGTTTAATGGTACATTGGTTAAAGGAACTAATCTAACACGAAGGATTTGTTTCAACATGATACAAAAATTAAATAACAGGAATTACATTGCCATATGCCAATAGGAATTATAATCTCAATACCACTACCCGCGTTCGATCCCTCTGTCTCCGATAAACGCGAAAAAAAGGAGGATCCGCTGCTCGGCGCTTGTAAATCCTGCTTGGCTCCGAGGTCTGCCGGCGCTGTTGTGTTGAAAGCAGGAAGGAGTATTAAAGTATCCTGTTAAAAAGCCGGGTGAGTAAACAGGTCTACAACGACTCATCGGTGCTAGGGTTTAGGGTTCAAACAAGTCTTTGAATACGTTTTCTTTACGATCCTCATGCGACGACCAACACAGAAAACAGCTGCATTACATAAGTACTGTTTGTCTTATGCTTACTTACCAATACTTATTGTAGACCGTCGAAAAAAGAAGCCCCCAGAACCTGTCGGGAATGGCTGCTTCCGCCATTTTGTGGATGAGCTGGCACTGCTCTGTGGGGCTGACAATATAGGAGCCGGATCGTGCTTCACTATTGGCGGCGCTGTGAGGAGTATATTTTAGAATGTAGAATATCTAGGATTCTTACGTCGAAGTAATTATATGAGGTGACATCTCTTTTCGTCTGATGTGCTCCAGAGAGGGCATCGTTAAGCCCTACGCGTTCGGGTACTTAGTTGCCATTTATTCGGGAAGAAGTTGCCATTTTTTTATTCATAAGAATACTAATTCATAAGAATACTAATTCATAAGAATACTAATTCATAAGAATACTATTAAGTTGTTGATCCTTAGATGATAGTCAAGAATCTTATTTGCACGAGATGAAAAGAATACTATTAATTCATAAGAATACTAATGAATTATTGCTACCTGGCGGCGCCTCTACAATTGGCGGCGTTGGCGTTGCGGGAAGTGGTTGCGATTCTTCTTCGATGATGTGTGAAGGAACTGGAGCTACCTTCGGGGCTGATATCATCGGAGCCGGCTCAGGAGCATGATTCACACTCGGAACTACAGCTGGAAGTGGGGCAGGAATGGGAGCTGCATTACTTGCCGGTGCGACTGGCCCTACTGCTTTTATCCGATTAGAAGAGATGTCAAGGTAGAAGTGTATGACAGACACTGTGATTTTTAGGTCCTCTCCTGCTAGTACAGTACATGTTCTGGTCTCCACTGTCCTCGTGCGGTCTGAGGCATGATCCCCGTTCCCTTTGGTCTATACGGTGAAGTTCGATAGTAGGAAGTGCTACAGACACAGGAGCATGATGGATTATGAAAAATTTACAACACGATGCCGTAATTATTGGCGTTAGGATGAATTGTCCGTTATGTCCCGTCTTGCAATGAGGACGGTCTCCGCCCTTCTCGAGCTTCCCCTTGTCGTCATTGCCACCATCGGACCACTCAAGCCGCCTTTTGTGGCCAGACAAACCTGTTGTAGTTGTTGTTGATGGAAGAGAAGAAGTATGTTGGTGGAAAAGCAGAACTTGATACTTCTACGAGTGGCAGAAGCATTAGAGAGGTCGACTAGGACTATCTCCAGCTACAGCAACTCTGAGTGAGTGAATGAATGTACCCACTCCAGGGGTCGAAAAGAGACTACACACTACTTCCTTATAACACTATATTAGTGGTAGAGTCGTCCTAACTAGAAGAGATACTTATAAAAAAATTCTATTTTGTTTACATACAAGGATACTATTCTAGTGGCCATGTAATTTAGGATCCGTTTAGTCTAGCAGGAGGAAAAATCAACATTTTCAAAAAATACCTGATTTGCTAGAGTCCGCCTTTGATGAGAGATTTTCGATCTGGCTATTCATATACGTGTTCCGCAACAGCAACTCATCTCCGTCGAGAGTCGTTGGGTTAGGCATATCTGAGAAATTGGACAAATGAGAGGTCGTTCCAACTGGTTTTGCGAAGAAATTTGCAAAATAGTACAGTCTTTGTCTTACAGCCGAGAAGTAGTAGTGGAAATACCAGACCAATCGACTGTAAATTTCTTGTTGCTAGTTGCGACGAGCCGCCTCTCGTATTGCGATAGCTGTTGAAGGAATGCAGGCTTCAGGCTTATATCTGGCCGTCTTGATGTGAGAAAATCCATGCTTTTTCGCAACCCCCAACAATATTTCCTCATCATGTAACCAGCGAGAACCTGCAATCGAGATCTTGTCAACATTTCACTCTGTTGTTGATTCCCCTTTTGCCCAGCAGAACTGCTCCAACAATTATTCTGTAAGTCTCAGGAATTTTCGGTTTTCTTCATAGTACGCAGTGTTCTAACATCATCATTCGATGGGAGCAAAAGGATTAGGATTAGGGGGGTTCCCGCCTCAGCCCTGCGCATCGAGCACCGGATTGGCAGTTGAGAAGACACTAAAATGTAATCAACCCTTACCACGCAGCTGCGGCTCTGCCCCCGCACACTATGAATAAGCACCGACTCCGCATTTCCAAGGGCCTCCTCTAAGAAGTGAAAACACTCGTTTGCCACTACGTCCTTGTTATCGAGTATTATCTGGACAGGGTTTTTGTTTTTCGAATTAAATTTATTGGGGAAAAGTCCTTCAATATGTGAAAAATATCAATATTTTTCAATATCCTTCAATATCAATATCGATATCCTTCATTACTGAGAATCGACAATAGATGCACATGATCGACGTAATAGTTTACTCACTGTTGCTAAGAGGAAACTAATATTCCATCCGGGGACAAGCAAGCAGTCAAAGTTGTAAGTACCTGATTCTCGTTGTCTACCCAGTAGTAGGTGAGATAGACAACGCCGATGCTCTCCCAGTGATTCGGCACATTTCGACCGCAACAGTTGATAATGTGCGTAACCTTATTCGCGACCACAAACTCCAAATCCTGAGCAGCCAGCTCATCACCGATGAAGACCTAGAAGGATTTTTTGGGATCGATTGGCAGTTAGTTTAGAGTCGTGATCGTGAATTGCACGGAGTGATGAAAGGAGTGGATGAGCAATGAAAATCCATTTTTCAGTGATCGCGTCAAATCCTCAAAGAATAAGAAAGTTGAGATGAGCAGGTACCCCATCTTTTATCTTCACCGCTCCCATAATCTCATAGCCGAGGCCACCCGCGCCGGCGCCCGCAGGGGCTGGCGGTGCATTTTGCATCTTTGCTCCGACGAGGAACTTTTACTGTAGTAGTCTTAAAAAAACTGTAGGACCACAACCAAAGTCAAGGATTGAAGATGGTGGAACAAATAGAGTTGTAGACGTCATGATGACAATTTTGTATGGCACTGAAGCGAATCCGTAGCATCCGAACATACCTACGAAAACGAACATACCTACGAAGACGAACGACGTATTCAAGCCAGGCTAGAACTGAAAGAAAGCCACGAAAACCGTTTAGGCACGAACTAAAGATGTGACGAAGAAGCAATGTATTCGGACGAATTAAGTTACTTATTTCAGGCACGATGCGATGTATTTCAACGAGCTCGATTCGAAGACCAAGCACAGATCGATAAGAGGCGGATCAGTCTTAGTTATTATCTTTTTATCATATGTTTTTTCAGGGTCTTCTGTCTTCCAATATTCGAAGAAACCGCACTAGTTTCAGCGAAGCTGAGCTGGGCTTCCTAGGACGACTTAGCAGTGGGGCTAGAAGATCGTATGGAGGTATTAGCAGCACTGGAGCCGTCTACTTCGTAGTTCTTTTCGGCTGAAAGTACCACCTTATGAAGTATTTGTCGCTCGGTCAGTCTCTACATTCCATCCATACAGATACATGTGAGAAGAGTTACGATAATAGTCGAATTCGACCCCGGACTTTCAAATCTTTCGATGCCAATCACTCGGCACTACTTTTTATTGTCGCTCTTCTTTTGCAGATCATTGACGACGTTTCTAGCAGCTCCGTAGAGCCTTTTCTCAGGTTCGTTTTCTGTGTAGAACTATCGTGTTCTTGGTCCTAGTAACACGATCTCTTCTCGGAAATGGACACAAAATCGCTAGGATCGAGTTGCTAGCGGAACGGCAAAGGCTGTGCTTGCCTGCTCTTACAATTCTGTAGTAGCGGAACTTTTTCCACCGGCTTCTTCATCTGACGGTCCAGGTTAATATACTTTTCGACAACAAGAATTCGATGTAGCATTCCATGACAGTTTGTACTGAAACACCACAACAGGTTCTGGAAAGACATTCAAACAGCGTGGTCAATTCCGAGCTCTGCTCTCGTTCGGCGAAGGCGGTTGGATACATCTATTTCGACACAAAAGACCCCGCAGTCGTCTTCCTGTATGCAATATGAGCGGATCAAGCCTGTTGATGCTTATTATTATCGAATGACGCAACGGGACAAGCGCCCAGCTGTTGTCCTCCTCGATGTACTATCGAATGACGCAACGGGACAAGCGCTGATCTCAGGAAGTCGCGGTGGAAGTTGTCAGAGCTCGGGGGGCCATGATCCCCGGCAGCAGACTGGTGATGCAGCGAATTATTCGTTTAACCACTTGCCCGTGTTCCACACGACCACGTGTGAATTCCGTATTACTTCCGCGTGTATGTAGTTGCTTCCTACTTCCGCGTGTCGTGTAAGCAGTTCCTTCCTACTTCCGCGCGAAGTCATATGAGCAGTTGCAGCACGAGGGCCAGACCAATACAGAGGAAAAGGATAGCATGACTAATGTACATCTGCTCTGCAACCTCCTCAGCAGACAGATCGGATCCCGTGGCGCAAAATCTGTGTGCGGTGTCTAAGGAAACCGCTAGCCGGTAGTTAGAAGGGATCGAAGTGTCCCTCTCCTCAAAAGAAATGCGTAGCCTTATCTTTAAATTGTAAACAGAGACATGCGTGCCAGTAGGCAAATCTTGGAAAGTAAACATTCAAATAGATACGGCGTGAGAATCGCCTTATTGTTGAGGCCCGGCAGACTGAAAATCGCAATGCACGCCAGATTCCTCCAGGTCTTTTGGAGGGAAAATTCCTGGATTGCGTTCGTCGCGGATATTGAAAACCTCAATGACGAAGTTCCTTTTGCTGTCGACGAAGGCGCTGCGGATGAGGACCTCTTTTTTGGTGTTCTTTCGCGCATGGAAGGACTACTTTCACTACTTTTTCTGCTAGCTGATTTGTTTTCTCGTTTGGTTGTTCCTGTAGAAGAGGACGATGCTGAAGACATATCGGCCGAAGAAGAACAGGCGTCGGCGTATGTGAGATATAAGAGCGCCATCCCAGTCACTGCTACAGGGATCCAGATCCGAAGCAGGCCAGGTGCTGCCACCGCATCATCCAGCAACACGCAGTAAAAATGCTGCTGAAGTCCCTTTAAAGTTTTCGGTGCTCTGTCGACCGCGAACTCTACCGATAGCATGCCCAGAAGATACGCACATCCAGCCACAAAGCCGGATTTTGCGATATCTCGGGCGGACCATGCAGTTGCTGTCGGGTAGCTCGCCGTCATTTTTTTGATGTAGGATATGGAAAAAGCAACCAACGAGATCTACGGACTATTGAAGACTATTTGTTTCTTACGTGGAGGAATTTCTACAATCCCTCGATCCTGTTTTTTTTTTTTGTATGACAAGATTGCCGGAAGGGTGACACCAGTGCTATCCGGCTGAGGCAAAGTTGTCACTGAGTCCTTCTGTGCACTCGCTGGCCGATAGATCCCTCTACATGCAGTACTATTTGTTCGTCTCACCCGCACCTTGTCCCTGATCATACGCAGCAAGATTTAGCTGACCGACGAAGAATGTGCTCGGCCAGTCTTCTTTTGGAGGTAAATGAGGCTTATCCAGTTTCGGGTAGCAGACACACTATCCACTCACGCTTCTTCGCAATTCTACCACGGCTGCCTGGTGAGTATCCACACCCACTCTAAATCATTTCGGCAGAGCGCTCCAGCGAGTTGCTCAGGCTAGGAAACGTCGCTTGTCACGATTCTTTTCTTTTATGCAGCCCATATAGATCGAGCTCACATCATACACATAGCAAGTACCTTGTTTCTCATATGTTTCGTGAAGATTTTGTTGCCAATGTAACATCGGAATCTTGTTTTTGAATTTATTTTGCAATGTAGTATCTACTTGAACTCCCACAACACGTAGTGGATCCCTATCATGTGTAGTGCAGTAGAAACGAATTGGTTTACAGTTGTAAAACGTACGATGTCGAACAAGACCTTCAATGATGTTTTTTCTGTAATATAACATAGACTTCGTTCTACAAACTACTGCCATCCTCAAGCTTTACTGCTACATCTACAATATGTCATTTTTTCTACGCCATATGATGTTTTTTCTGGCTCCTCCCCTAGCCCTCAGCGAAGAAACGCGCCCTTACGAGCAGCTGTACTATTATAAAAAGATGAGTTGTCGATATAAACTACAGTTTAGAATAAATGATATAACAAGTTGCGATACGCTGTAACAGTGATTTGTTAGGAGAAATTTATAAACGCAATTGTAAATGAATTAGTTGTAAGTAACGGTGGTAATTAGTCTCATGATCTTAGTACTCTGTTTTGCCTTTAATAGTGCCGTTATTCATCTTGTTCTTCACAAAATTAAATTCTCAGTATAGCCACCTCCCGAGCTACAGAAGATATTGACCTCTAAACTGACAACAAGCTGTATGGTCCGTCGGATTGATGCAGGCTGTAACACTGGCATCCTGGTTGGAACGAGTGCTCCAATGCCGGTCCAGACAGGCACAAAGCAAAAAAAGATCAAACCAGATGAAAAACCGTTTTGTTACTGACAAACTTTTCATGACGTTCAGCACCCCTTTGCTATGAGTAGTGTCACTCATCCACGGTTTAGATAGCCCTTGTCTCTTGTATCTCTCCCCACCAAAGGGAGTTTAGGTTCTCTCCTCTCTATTCAACGGTTTCAATGATGATTGTGGTTCGACCCTCGAAAACTCTGTGTAAAAAAGTCGACGAAGACTAGTACAACTAGACTGATGCCAGCTACAGCTACATCTTGCTCTTCCTCCTAAAATTTGAAACCCACTGTCAGCTAGAGTTAAATTTCGTTTCTATCTTCTTTCCCACAGAAACTTCACTAGACAGGAGATCATAATATTAGTCTGCACAAACTTACCAAGAGTCCTATCTGTAAAAGTCCACTTAGAAGAGGTTGGTCTTCTTCATGATGCGGAGGAACTCCTCCTCGTTCACCTCACCATCACCATCGCGATCCGCCTCGTCGATCATCTCCTGCAACTCCTCGTCAGTCATTCGCTCGCCTAATTCTTTTGCTACCCGCTTCAGGTTCTTGAACGAGATTTTACCTGGTGAAGATGTTGTCGTGGATCAAGACTGCAGTGCCAAAAAAAGAGATTTCATATAATTGAGGTCTTGGTTCTTGTTCACTAGAAAAAGAAAGAAGGTCGAACTCGGCATATCACGTTCCTCGATAATCCTCAGAAAAAATTTCAAAAATTACTTCTAGAAGAAAAGTACCCATTTATAGTTTCCCTTACGATTTCTACCAGCTAAAAATCTACAACTTCCAGAAGTTGACGAAAATGAAACAGCCAGATAGACCTTAAGGAAAAATGGATTGAATTTCTCGCAAACTCAAGTGAAGATCTATCAGTCTCAGCATGTCTCTATTTTGTAGAAGTTGATTGATTGATTGATTGATTGATGATGTACCCATTCACGGGGTATAAGTTAATTAGTTGCATCATGGCGTGTCCCCTTCTACAGCTTCTTCACCTTTCAGTCTCAGTATGTCTTTCTTTTCTTCTAGAAGTTGTATTAAGGGAAAGTATACCTGTCTCATCATCATCGAAGAGGCGAAAGGCCTTGAGGATTTCGTCTTTCGGATCGCGATTGAGGATCTTTTGCGTCATCATCTTCAAAAACTCCTCAAATTCGATACTGCCGCTGCCATCATCATCGACGTCTGCGATCATCTTCTGTATTTCCTCCTTCTTCGGCTCAAAACCCAATGCTCGCATTGCCACCTTCAACTCCTTCGCATCGATGGATCCCTGGTGGAAGAGGTGTAGAAGTTATTGGAACATTTATAACACGAGATGAAGATGAGAGCATGCATGGTGGATAAATATATATATAAATGAAGATAAGGAAGAACGCAGTAGCAGATTTCCTTCATTTTCTCGATTGTGTGATGATATAACTCCTAGTAAATAATACCGAGCCATCCGTATCGAAGAGATCGAAGGCCTCCTTGATTTCCTGCTTCTGCTCTTCTGTGAGCTCTTTCTGCTTGCCTGCGTTTTTTCAGTGAAAATAATCTTATTTTTTCCAGTGGTACTGTGCGTAATTCAACACCATCGTTGTTCCCTGTTCTTCGACAAAACTACGTTTAAAGTTGCTCCTTTGTTGAGGAGTTTCTGGAAAATTATACGTTTTTCTTTTTTCTTATTTCTCTGGCCACAGTGGTACTCATTCTCATAAAATGGAACGCGCTAGACGACTTGTTCATAAAATGGAAGGAGAAGGCATATGCAATACCCTTTCCGGCAGCTCCCACTCGTCGCAAGGCCATTTTCTGTTCAAATCTAATAGAAGACCGATTTCTGTCCAATACTGATATAGACTATGACTAGTCTACGTTTGCCTAAAGTGCCAAAAAAAAGAAAGGTATAGGGTTCGTCGGGGGTGAAGAGTGCTGGAATAAGGAAATTAAATTCCAGTTTTTACGAATCTTGTCTACGCCGTGTTGTATGTTGGAATTTCTTGTTGTGTTTTCGTACATGCTATATTTACGGCCAAGCATAACGAGTACATCCTTTAACGATTTCTTTCTTGTCTACAATTGCTTAGTGGAGGTGTGGTTCTCGTGGAGGTAGTGAAATCGTAACAAATGACGATACTGATCAGAGATTTCCGCAGGAGTGTCCGCGATACCATGCACGAAGCCTAATTTGTAATTATGATTTCCCGATCCATCGAAACGATTCTCGCGAAGTCGTTCGAATTCCATGTGAGCGATTTGGACATACTAAAAATACTTTTCCTACAACGACTACTTTTTTTCTTTCGACAAAGTCGTGAGTATTGAGTTACACAGCTGCTTTCAGGCGTTTTTGTCTCAAGCGTTTTTTCTGATTCTCGCAACGATTCCCCATAATACACTCACACTCACACCTCACCCTCGTCTCTCACACCACATGATGAATAGCTGTGCGAGTCGTGGTATCCTTTTCCTCTCTAAGCAATGGCAACACGAATTTTGTAGATTCGCTCTATCTCTATGCACTTTCAAGTAATTCGTGTTTTTGTTCTCTCCGTTTTTTCTACTGGTCTCTTCACTTTTTCTTTTGCCTGGTATCTTTTATATTCGAATCTTATCCTTGACGAAAACAGAGCGTGTGCTCGTATTAGCAAAATATGCTGACTTCCGGGGTCGTGGAATGCCCTAAAATCTTTGAGTCTGTCTGAGTGACGCAACAATCAATTAGCAGTTTCATCCGAGCGATGCCATTAACATGTCTGAATAATAGGAAATACGGAAAAAATAAGTGTGGAAAAGGAAAATTCAGCAACTCTGGTCGCCCCAACAGTCTTCATCCCTTGATATTGAGAAGTCTCTTTACAACACTGGTACCACTCCCTGTCAAAAAGCGTAGGAAAATGAGCCACACGCCAGCAACCGCCAACCCCCTAGCCGAACCTACAACGTCAGCATTGGTAATCACATTGCGGACTCTGGAACGCAAAGACTCCACGATAAGGAACATCACCTTTATAGAAGGGATGTATGATTTTCAGGGGAGTCCTTGTTGTAGGGTTCTAGAAGGTATCTTTGATCATGAAGGGATTAAGACGATGCATGATCATGAAGGGAGCAGGGAGAAGGGATGTATGATGATGTTGTTCCGCTCTATATCTATATCTGTATATCATTAAATGCGGCATTTGTAGCAATTCCATTTTTGAAGGCATATAAACAAATGTACTTGAAACTGAATAAGATAGACATCCAGAACGAATGTGCGTAAGTACCATTAAATTCTTTAGCTTTTTTACGTGAAAACAATCATGTTATAAGTAGTACTGCGGACTGCGTGACGCCACGTGATAACTCGAACTGAACACCGGTGTAAAGACCAGCAACGCCGTCGTTTCGTAGCGTATCGAGGAGCAGTTTTAGGTAACTCGGCTGGTCGTTGCCTTTTCGAATGTTCGCCAGAGTTTTCAGGCGAATCACAGGATAGACTGTAAGCGTGGCCACAAACCGCGCAGCGGCACCAAGTATAAAGGCGACGAATGGTGGTATTGACTGCACACCAACGACTTTTGAGCCTGGAGGAATGTACGAGGAAGTAGAGGAAGACTTCTTTCCTGAAGAAGTAGAGAAGTAGGACTTGCTCTTTCCTGATGCGAGAGAACAGGATGATGAAGAGGAACAGGATTTTGTTGAACATGATTCCGTCCTCTTTTTACCGCTACCGCCAGCTACATGATTCAGTTTTCTCTCTGTCCCAATGGCAGCACCCATTCTATTTTCGACGCAACTCTTGCTGGCATCATGCGCCGCAGCACGACTAGACGCAGAGGAGGACTTGATCGAAGATGTTTTTCCGCCGGAGCTTTTTCTATAACGGCACACACCATCATTATGGCCCTCCTTATCCTTGTGTCGTGTGGAGGACCGAGAATACGTCTCTTCTTCGCCTCTTCTTTGCCTCTCTTCATCTTGTGGCGACGCGTTTTTACTTCTTTTTTGACGAACGTCTCTCCTCTCCCGAGACGAACTGCCGCTCCCGTGGGAACATCTTCGTACCGTTTTACCTCTGGAACCGTCCATATTTGTGATGTTGTAGCTACTTCTCTTCTTAATGCCCCCCTCCACAGATGTTGTCTGGACATGATTGTCCTCGAGAGTAGCACTAGCACTAGCACCAGTAGCACTAGCACCAGGGGCTAGATCCGCCGGATGCAGCGTATTCTTTAGGATGCTCCGTGGTTGCGCACGTGGCGGCTGCAGAGTTGTGGACGCTCGCGTGTAGCAGTCTTCAGGGCGGTCTTCGTGACCCGGTCGATAGTCGCGCATCACCAGGGTCTCTTTCACGCCTACACTCGCAGAACCACGACGACTGTTGGCACCACGACTCCTGCTCGAGTCACGCGCGGACTGCTGCTGTTCGCCTCTGGCGCCCTTACCTCTCGTCCGCTGACTGGTACCCCTACTGCTGCGGCTGGTTCTATGACCACGATGGCTACCAGGCTGTGCAATCTTTTCACTCAAAGGCCGTCTGGAGGTATCGTCTTCGACGCCTGATCCTACGACACTAGCACTGGGTGATTGACATTGCCTCCCTTTGTCTGCTCGTCGGCGCCGCCGTCTTCCGTCTCGACTGGTTTCGCCCGCGCAGCCGGTTCCACCAGAAGTACGTCCGCTAGCAGCAGTAGAACCTGCTCGTCTACTCAATTGACCAGATGAATCGTATTGTTCCCTAGAGAGCAGGTCTTTGCTACGTTTCCTATCGTCGGTAAGCTGGCCATCTTCTCTCGCTCTGGCTTCTACATCATAAGCGTCTCTAGTTCTGGCCTTCCCGCGGCTACCAGTAGTATCCGCAGCAGGGGTCGCATGATCCTCAGAATCCTTGCGCAGTACTCTGTCTGGGCCACAGTAGTATCCCCAACCATGCTCACTCCTACCATGACAAGTCGCCCTCTTACCTCTACTTGAACAAGCTGCACTACGAGGACCTCCTTGCGGATCATGATCAGGTCGATGGTAGCGGCCCAAATCAGGACATCCTCCACCCTGAAGAAGTTGTCCAGCAGTACCCCCGCCATGATGATGTCCATCTATTCTTCTGCCCTCGTCGCCACCACCACCACAGTCTCTGCCTTCGTCTCTCGAGCCGGACGATGTCGTGGAGCCTCCTAAACCCTGAAGAGGGCCGCCTCCATAATGCCTTCCTATCAGTGGGTCGTCCATATCCTCTGGCGATGTTGCGTCTCCGCTGTCGACCGAATCATCCTCCATCTCAAAATAGTTGAAATGATCCGCTGTCAAGTTGCTGCCAGAGTTATGGATACGCACAGGCACGCGAGGAAAATTGTTATGACTCTCCTTTGAATGGCTGTAAGTGCAACCAGTGGAAGTCGTGTGGTGGTGGGTTCCGTTGTTTAAAGGTCAGCAGTCACTGGTCACTGACTCTGAACGGGAGGGGCCCCACATCTCTCTACTTGTTTTCCCTCACTTTTCCCCTGTTCTCTCACGGGGGGGCCATCTTCGATTTCAGTGACCCCAATCTAAATGGTGACCAAGGAAAGTTGAGCCTTAAGTTGTAGTAGTTACTTGTCGAGTAAGAGGAGTTGTAGTTGTAATTGTTGTACCACGACGACGAGCTGCCACATGTTTCGCCATGATATCCTCCTCCACCTCCACCGTAGCTGTTGTAGATGCTGGGATTGTAGAAACCCTCTCCAGGATCGTTCGGAGACTGAGAACGACTCCTACAGCTCCCAAAAACGAAACTCTGGTCCCGTTCGCTGCGGTTCCAAGCGGGCAAAGGAGGATAGAAGTTGCCGTCTGCAAAACTTGGAGCATCAATCGGCACGCCCGTGTTTGTGCTCGGTCTGTTGCAGGGGTTGCTGCCACTCTGCTGCTCGTCAAAGCTTTTATAGCTACTGGCAGAAAAGGAACTGCCTACTTGCGGTGCAAGAGGTTCTTGAGCATGGTTTTTCCTGTCGTTGTCTTGTCCTGGTTTGATCGGGATGTGAAACTGATCGATGAATGAGCTCTCGTCGCTGTGAGCGACTGCTACCGTATCCGCCCTCACCTCCATGTTATTTGGAAAAGAGGCGAACTCATTGCTACCGCGAAACGGGGAGTTCCACGCTGTCCCTGGTGTGCTGCTGAGTGTTGTCACGTCGACCAGTCCTCTTCCTGCTGGAGTAACGGACGTTGCGTCGGACAGGTTCTCTCCACCACCTCCAGCTGTTTTTGCGGCTGCTGTAGCGCATGTAGATAACGATGCGGTAGAACAGGCTGATTCAGGACAGCCGTACTGCATTCCAAAGCGCATGTAGTCTTCCACCTCCGTCACTGCAGAGCACCAACTCTCAGCACGAGGAATAGTTCTACTATCATTGATGTTGGCTACTTGTTTTTGCAGCTCAATTTTACTTCGTGAATCAGCAGCGTTGCAGCTTCGTGACGCAGCAGTTGTCGTTGTAGTACTACATGAGGTGAAGGTGTCTAGAGTAGATGCAACATCTCCACGGCCATGAAAGGAAGTTTGAGCTAGATCTACACTTGTGTCTTCTACGCTTGGGGGCCAGCATCCCCCAATCAGGTATTCCAACTCACTGTTCTCCCTACTACTACTCTGCAAAACTCCTTGTTCGGCAGAAAATTTACAACCATTGCTAGAACTATCTTTGTTGTTGCTAGTTGCAAGTGAAGAGGTTGTAGCGACTGGAACTGTGTCTATCATCCGATTTCCTAACAAGACTGGAGGTCCACACGATGTGACACCACTGCAGCCAGGTGGAGGAGGAACTAGACTACGACTTACACAGCTTGTTCCGCCAATATCACCCGCGCTAGGCATACCCGACATGAAGAATTCACTAGGGCCACTGCCTCTATCGCTATCCTGCTCTCTTGCACTGCTTCCGCGACGACACTTGGTCGTTGTACCACTACAAGAACCAGAGGACACATCTCCTTCGCTGAGCAAACTTCCTGCAACATCATCACCGCTTCCATCATCATGAAGGCCTCCTCTCGCTCGCGGTGACATACTACGGTAGGCCTCCTGCTCGTCTGCGGAGTGTAGACGCTCGTCTGCAGAGTGTAGGCATAAAGAGTCTGCGAGATCGTGAGTCTCCGAGGTTGCCGCTGAGGAGGAGCCGAAGGGACTAGTAGCGCTCGCACCTGTATCAGGACTGACCACGCTGCCCACTGGACTTAAGCCCGACTCCGGAAAAACCACCCAAGAGCCTGTGCATGATGCACTACATGGTGTGCTTCTCGTGTCAGTGCTCTCGTGGGCTGCACTACATGGTGTGCTTCTCGTGTCAGCGCTCTCGTGGGCGTGCAACATTTCTTCCTCCTCGACATGTATTCCTCCACTTCTAGACTGATCATCATTGCAACAAGAGTCTCCTTTAGCATCTCCTACTGCTTCCGCTCCTGTTCCATTAGTACTGTGGTCTTCCACCCGATGCATCCTCCTGGGATCTGCCTCCCGGGTGCCTTCTCCTGTGCTGCCTTCTCCTGTGCTTGATCTTCGGACAGCCTCTTTTTCAGGGGACTGCTTCTTGCGACCGCAAGAACGAGAGAAGTAGATGGGTAATCGCATGTAATCTGCAATCCGCTCATGGATTGGCGCGTCATTCTGCGACGTCTTCTTCCGACGTTTCGACTTATTGGGGGAATCGATCAAAGAACCAATTCTTGCGGGAACATCAAGATTGTCACTGCAAACAGCAACAACTGCAGTACCTTCTCGCAAAGAACTACTATCATCTGCGTGCGGCACTGGTGTTGTTGGCGCAATCGATGTCGCGGTTCTCTCGTCTAGGTGCTTCGGTCTCTCGTCCAGATGAAAGTGCTGTTCTCTCTCCTCCAGTTGCTCTCCTGTCGAATAACCAGCTTGTTTCCCTATCACCGCAGGGGCACTAAAATTCATGTTCTGAAGCGAGGACATCACCATCTCCACTTCGTCTTGAAGATGGCACAGACCAGATTGAAAGGGTCCTTGATCTACTTCTACGCCTTCGGACTGAAGATTAGCAGGAGCTCTAATAGAAGTTCGAGTCGCCAGACTTCTAGTAAGAGGACACGCCCGCTCTTGATCTGCCGGGACAAAAACTACTTGATCCAGAGAAACACGTGGAGTTCCTCGTGGTCTGAAAAACTCAGGTGTCGGTGGCCCACGCAGGACAATGCGCGCACGTGTGTACGCCTCCTCCAGGATCGACGACGAAGTCGAAGACCGCACCATGAAGCTCGGGCTCTCATTGATGCGCACGCAGCGCCGCTCCTTCTTCGCATCGCCGGTCGAGACCCTAGCTCCATCTTCGCCTTCGCCGGCACCTATAAATCCTCCCTTTTGCCGTTTTTGACGCGTCCCTGTTCATGAGCGAACAATTGCCTGCAAAAAAGAGACAACAATTCTTGTCGTCTACTACTAAAAGTGACTACTTCATCTCGTAGTACTACTAACTTGTTCAGCATCTTCAAGTGATGTGCACGTCTTCTCTAGTACTGGAATTCTTTTTCGCCGAGAAGTAGGTCCTCCCACAGAGCTGCATATCTCCGCGAACACCGAATCGCCTCATCCAGGCCAGCCTCTCTCCACGACAGATGGACATCGCTGTACTAGCACTTCTTTGCAAACAAAAAACACAGAGGACAACAGAAGAACTCATTGAGTCGGGACGAAAAATACTCGTGCGTCATCCACAAAAAAAACACCGACGATGGCTCGGAATACGGCTCCTCGTACTTCTAATATAACTCCTTCTGCTGGTAGTTCAGCTCCACCTCATAACTTCCATATTTAACAGCAATTTCTTGCACTTGTTCATCATCTTTCTTTCATTCAAAGCAAGAGCTAACGTACCCGCTGCAGCTCCCGTCATGGATGCCGCCAGGCGCTTGAGATACAGGTTTTTGAAAACGTCAAATAGGCCAAGTTCAAGTCCAGGTTTCAGTGCGAGAACCAAGTACACCCGAAGCTGCTGTAAGCATTTCTTAGCAAATTCCGTGCAAAATACTTCCCGCTTCCAAGAAAAGCCTACTGGATCTGCTTGCATCCTGCAAAAAACGCGATAGGACTAGTACTTCAAAATGAGAACTTGAACTACACCTCCATCAGAAGATTACAAATAAAATAGTAATAATTGCAGTGGTCGTATAGGTACTATACCTAGCCAGCACATTCTCGAGTGGAATGACGTTAAACAGCGCGCAAAGGTCCGCAACATAACCGAATAAAACTGCTATTGCAACACTCGTAGGCTTTTTTCCAGTGTATTTCGTGTACAAAGTGCGAAACCGCGTTACTGCCAAAAACTGCGTTCCCTTAGACACCCATGCCTCGAAAGCTGAAACCGGTAACCTGCTTGAAAGATAGGCTGACACAGTCCTACGAAGTAGGTTTAGAGAGGTGATGGTGATGAAGGTGTTACAAGTAAGCATAATTTAGTTGCCACTCTAGGCCCGATTCTCTTCTTCGCGGAATTCACTTGATTGAAAGGATTGATTGATTGACTGATGTGCCTGGCAAGAGGTCAAGTTAATTGGGTTGTTATTAATATGCATTTTCTTTCCTATATAAATATATTGCAACCGTACTTCTCCTACTAAAATAGGCACAGAAGTGAAGGGATACCCTCGATAGAGCGTACTTGGTTCGGATATGACATCCAGGAGGCTAGCATTTGGATCTCGCGTTCGTGTCTGTTTGAGGGTCTCAAAAGGGAACGCGACGGTTCGACCCATGACCCCACCGAAAGCGCCCGTCACCGCCTCTACGGCTATGTCGAGCGCCGCGGTGCGCGTCGGTCCTGTGCCAGCTCCCATACTGGCTTCGGATTTGCTTCCGTTGATGATGCTAGTCGGTTCGGATTGGACCTACGACTTCCCTTTTTCGTCTTCTTTGATTTGTTTCTGTTAAGATGAAAGACGTTGCAGTGGTGGCAAACGTTGTAGTAGTGGGAGTAATCATAGTAAAAGTCGTAGTAGTTAACACGGTTGAAGTCCTGCACTCCTCAGGAAAAGCTCTTCTGCTACGCTGTGCGAGAAAAAGGCTACGTGGTGAAGATGGAGTACCTCCCAGACGCCACTGGTGTTACAATGAGTGCTTAAAAAATGAAATCTCAAGTCCGTAGCAGCACAGAGACCAAGAAACTTTGCACCCGTCTAAAAATGAGTGGTGCGATGTTTTTTTCGTTGATTCGTTCGTAGGTTCTCCGCAAAAACCGTATGGCTAATTTTCAGTCTTCGTTCGCGTGTGAGCTGCTATGAGTCCCGCAAAGTTTGCGTGAGAGCTGCTATGTCCTCCGTTGGAGACCCGCGAGATGGAGAGGGATCGACAAGAATCAGCAGAAACTGGCTCTCAAATCGATCGGCCTCACGAACTTGTGGTCGCGCCAAACTGCAAGAATGCGCTGGCTTTCAGAGAGAGAGAGCGCGCTCGTCTTCATATTCCTCTTGACGCTTCGGTCACAAAGCTTGTCTTTGGATGGGGCTTTATGTCGCAGGAGAAAAGGCTTGCAGTAGAAAAGGCTCATTTCACACCCACAAGACAAGATAAAACCATGATATTCTGGACTCGCTTCGTGATCAAATGTGTCGGAGACCGATCAACATCGTCCCACTTGACCGCTATTTTTCACAGAGAAAAGAATCCGAATCCACGACTACAAAGATCTTCAAAGGTGAATTCCTACTGTCAGGAACTGAGCCAGCTCTTTCCAATTTTCGCCTCTCTGTGATCGCGCATTAACCGATTTGCGGATTTTCATTTGAAGTAGAAGTACTATAACCGAACGGAGTAGTACAATGTCAAGAGTCCGCGTGGCACCATCACGACAAGTGACGCTGCAACAATATCTGGCGAAAGCTCTCCACTTTGGTTGCTCTGCGAGTTTCGTTTCGTTGCCGCATCTGTGAAGGCTGCATTGATGGCACACCCCATCCACATTCATTCATTCATGAGTCTCCAACGCAGCCACGCATCTAGCCACGTTTCAACGATGGCTGTACAATTTTCACTGGCACCACATCGGAATCCAAGGATCGATCTTCATCTCTTTTTTTTCTCAGTTCTCTTCATGACGTCGTGATCTAGTACCTAAAAAGAAGACGTACCATCTGTCACCGATCCACACCCTCTGCAACATGTAAGAAACAGAAACCAATATCGTAAGATTTTTAAGAAGCTGCTACATCTGTAAATCCATAAAATTGATAAACTCGAGTCTCAAGATTTGAGTATCATCCTCCCATTCGCTTTCGCAATGAAATCGCTTATATCGCAAGCACATTATGTGGTAGTTCTAGCTAGTATTGACTGCGAAAATATACTGTTTTTGCGTGTAAGAAGCTTTTCAACATGCTATGTGAATCGAGAAAACTGCAGAGCCACGACATCTGCGAAAAATCTTCACGTGGCGTTTCTGTAGTACCAAAATGTCTTCATCTACCTAATTTCAACAATGATTCAGACTAGAATCATACTAGGAATACTAGACAGAAGTGTAGTTCTTACCTCGTATCTAGGAGCTGAGTTGCTCTAGATAGAGATGTTAATTTTGTCAAGCACGTGCCGAGACGACAACGTCTTGAATCGTGCAGAGCAGAGAAATTCAATCACATACTAAGCCATGTTGATGTTCTCGTCAAAAGCGTCTAATCCTAAATTAGCGAATCTTCATCCTATTTGTGTTATCTTCAACAACGAAGTCGAACCCAGAGCGACTGAGAATACCATCTTCAAGAACCCAGAGTACTAATTCCTAGCACTCACTTAAAGAGGTGATAACTTAGATGAAGATCCTCATATAAGTAAACCAAAGTACTACTTCCTCCTCCAATCTAGATCGCTGGACTGCGATATAGATAAGCTAAGGACTTCGGGTCTAGGAGGTCCTTCCCGACTGGGTGGTGGTCGTCGCTTACCACAATCAGAGGTTGTCGATTCGCTGGCATCTTTGACATCTCCTCTAATCCCTTCGCCAGTGCCTCTGCTTTCTCCAGGATGCGCGCTAGCGATTCCTTACTGTGCACAGCTCGGATTTCAGGCTCCTTCTTCAAAATGGCCTTCGCCTGTTCACGCGAAGAAGAAACTGCGGAAACGGCATCGTCGTCTAAAATATGAAAATGGATTCCTCGTCTTCTTTGGGATCGGTACGGGTGGGATCGATACGGGTAGAAGCAGGGAATCAGAAGTCTTTGGGTAGCAGGCTTGAAGATTCATTCTTAACGAAGAGGACATAGCAATTCCTATACTAATAGCAGCAATTCCGTTATACAGGAGCTTTGTGTTCTTTCATGACTTCGAAATTTTTTACAGGATGAAATGTTTCTCATAATTGTCATGTGCGGCAAGTTCACGCTCCGCAGCTTCTAGCTCTTGTGCTTGCTTGATGAGCTCTGCCTTCTTTCGCCGCAACTCGTGATAGCTGCTCAAACTTGACACGCTGCTAGCTGTTTCCTCTGAACTCTTCTCCGTTGAATAGTAGATGGATTAGAGAGCGGGAGATGAGAAAAAGGGTGGAAGAGTGAAGGAAAAAATAGGACGAGGGATATGAGCCGGTTAATGATCTTATTAGTGCCTTGAGCGTCATTGAAAGTGGTGATGAAGTGTATCATGGAGGTTCTATTGAGGTTCTGTTGTAGCTCTCTCCAGTGTTAGTGGCTTGCTTTCGGAAACACTGGAGCTTGTCAGCACCATGAAACCTGCTAGTATAAAGCCCCCGAACCTACTATGTATAATTTATCAACATGACAAGAACCAAGCTGCTCATAACTGCTAGCTTCGTCTTCTTCTGCCGGTAAAGGTCTCGCTCCACGCTGACTGACGCTTTGCGAGACGCCGCTAACCACGTCTACTTTTACCTTGTTTCCTCCTGACCTGTCCTCGAGTTCGCTCAGGTTCTCTGCGGTCACTTCCGTGATCAAGTCCTCCTTCTTCTCCGCCATTTCTCGCTTAAACTTGGCTTCGGTGCGGGCAATCAGATCGTGCGCCCGTCCCTTGAGAACGCTCAAGGCCTGTCGGAACTCCAAATCCTCGACGTACTCCTCAAAGTTCAGGTTGTGGGCAAAGTCTACTAATTCCGCTAGCTCCTTTTCCTCGCTTTGCTCCTTCTCCGCCTCCGACATCGCCCACAGAGGCTTCTTGCTCTTCTTCAGCGAACTCTTGCCTGGCTGTTCATGAAACAAGAAATAGATCGATTTTTACAATCAAAAGCCTTGTTGGAACCTGCAGTCATTGAATTTCCCAGCGAGCAACTTCGTGCCCTTGTTGGAACAAGGCGAACCTTTTTGTAGTTCACGATGATGATACGAATCGACTCGGCTATCTGCCTAAGATTTCCCTGACGATAACTCAGAATTATGAGACATGTAAGCTGAAGATGATCTACTTTTTTCTGTCATAATTCTTCTTGCCAGCACTGACAGTGGATGTAGCGACGTCCGATGCTGCTTTCGCCATCACCGTTGAACCAGTAGTCATTGCGGTCGCTTCGTGATCGCCCTCTTTATTAGAGCTGTGGTTCTACAGCACATGTGTGTGTTCGACAGGCAGAAAAGGAACCATTTTAGAGACAAAAACCCAAGTAAATTCAAATACTCAGTGAAGTAAATCTACAAGCCAAGGCCTTAACTTTGACAGGTGCACTTTTCGATGTCGGGCTTGTTGCAGTGTCGGCCTTTTTCTCTGTTTTTTTCATGGGACTCAGACTTCTAGGTTTTTCTGACACCGCAATGGCGTCTCTTAATCCGATGATTAAACCCGGATCATTTTTGCTCTGCTGCGTGTCTTCCGCATTTCTTAACGCTTCCCGGACAGCAGCCCTTTGGTCAGCACATCGTTCACGATTCTCATAGAATTTTGCCTCTTCCTTCTTATCCTTAGTCGCAAGATCCGCTTTCGACACTTTCAGCTCCTCCTGTTTTTTACGGATTGAGCACAAAAAAGATTCTTCAAAGAAAAACCTAAACCTGTTTTACATTTGATTTGAGTCATACTTACGCGCGTCGACATGTTGAGAGGATAGGATAGGATGCCTTTCCGCCTCTTGCACGCGAGGTGTAGCGAGACGGGCGGGCAGAGCGCCCCAAGGATCCTGGTAAATAAGTATCATACTCATTTCTTCATGGAGGACTACTACAAAGTGAATGAATGTATCCCCTAAAAAAAATCCTATTCACATTGATAAATTCCTACCGCCAAGTGCGCAAGCCACTTTCTATGTTTGACCATGGCGACGGGGGCTTCCACTTTCGCTTTTCGAGGATCCATGTCTGTTGGATGCAGCATCCCCATGGGCTCGAGGCTCCCAGGATGTGTATGCGAGTAGAAAGGTGGGAGCTCTGTCGGATCTGGCATTAGAGTATGGTGAGGGGAAGAAGACCACGAAGGAATAAAAATTCAGAGCAATTTATAAGGTTTCACAGCTCGCATGGCATGGAGTGCATGGATCACATGGAGTAGCATGGAGCTAAAAGGGGAGCCTCTTGCGCCCCTTAAAGCTCTGCGCTCCATGCACTCCATGCTACTCCATGCACCATGCGTGCTATAAACTACTCTGGAATATCAATACGTTAGTGGCATCTTTAACACAACTGTCTGAGCAGCCCAAAAGATAAACAAGAACTACTAACTTGTGTAACTATGGAACGACTTCTCCGTCGCATCCTAGTTGTACAGGAGAGCTCATCATGACACCTGCTGATCTGGTTCTTCCACTTTGAAAAATGCATGTTGAGCAGATAAGCCTCTTCTACTAGAAGGATGCAGCAGGAAAGGTCTAGCCTTAACTTTGTTTTCGTCGCGGCAAGGTCTGGGCGGTTACAGAGCATGACGCCCTTGAAATTACCGAGGCCGGGCGCCACGGCCCCCTCATCTGCCGACGGCATCTTGTCGTCTCTTACAACTCTAGCTGCTACCTCTTGAAGTAAACAACTCCCTTTGTTCTAAATGAGGGAGGCTCTTCCCTTCAACAAGTACTCAATAGATGCAAATTCTTGAGACTCGAAATGAAGATTCATTTTGCCTACATTGTGGCCTTTTCTTTAGGCAAAAACACCAGCTACAATTTCATTTGTTTCTTCAATAGACAAGGGTGGGTGAAAGTTTTAGGAGTGGGGAAGATGCTTCAACTCTGAAAACTCAAGGAAGATGACATTGTTGCGCAGAAAAATAAACAGCAGGATACTACATACAATCGAATAAAAAATGATCACAAAACTCCTACGATACTCGTGTGGCACGTGGGAAAAAGGATGAGTGATTGAAGAGGCATAGGGAGGAGGGCAGAACAAGTGGGTTCAGTTCTCTCTCGCTCTTTCACAGTAATTCAAAGATTCTTCGCTCATCAAAGATAGAAATTTATTAGCTCGTAATGTCTTCAATGTTCACCTCACGACAGGCGATTTGCGAAGAAACCCGAAGGATGAAACAACCAATTCCACCGATCACTGAACTCCAAAACACACGTCACCGCAAATCAAAAATCACAACTACGCTTTCTTCTTCCTCCTGGTTTTTGTCGGTGGTGGCACTACATTCGCTTCGGATGACAAGTCAGTCGCTACTGAGTCCAACATGGCGAATAGATCGAAATCATTCACAAGAATCGCAGACGATGACGCTCCACTTTCTCCACTAGCACGAAGAAGATGACGAACCGAGCGCACCCAAGAGCAAGAGACCAAGACGAAGCGGGCAAATCCTCCTCCTTTTGGGTCCTTTTTCTACCCAAGAACACCCATGGAACTTGGCTCAGAGCCTTCTTTTTCTCCGCTACCGTGAAGCTATTTTTTTTCTCTATCGGAGGCTCGCTTGCAGTGGAACCCAAGCATAGCCTTTCTCTTGGTGTCTTTTGTGTGGTCAATTTTTTAACTCCCGCGCAAATAGAGAAATCTCTCGTCAAACCACATCAGATGCTGTGATGATATCACACAGATATGCCAAAGAGAACAATGAAGTAAAGGGCTTAGTGCTAACCTTGCCGGTACCCTCAAATATCTGTATTGAATAGACGGTCGGTACGTGAATGAAAAAATTATCATATCAATTGAAGATAGTAAGACGAGGGAAAGTCAATCGGTGACTCGCGGAGTTCGTCGAGTCAAGGCGTTCGTCGAGTCAAGACATATGGTTTGATTTTCCTCCATTTTCTTCTATTATTATCGGTGGAGCACACCTAACTAGGAAACAAAAAACAAAATAATCAAGTAGTCCAATTATCTAAAAAAGAACTATAGTGGCCACGTTTATATTAGGATCCGTTTATTTTAGGCGCCGCGAGTTCGTCCATCTGCCCTGGAGGTCTTCCCATCCAAGGCGGCCGAAGCCAGTGCATGTTTCAGAGAAGTGCTCGGTTCTCGCGCTATGTGCACCCACTAGTTCGCTCCAGGGTACCGGTTCACCAAACTAGTGCACAGCGCGAGAAGTAGGACTACCTATAGAAGCTTTATCTTACCCTCCATTTTCTTCTATTATTTGTGGTGGAGCCGACCTAACTAGAAAAAAGACAGACCAGAGGAAGATATAAAAGAGAAAAGGGTAACTATCGACAAGTATCCTCAAGTGTCCTGCTAACTGCTAAAACTAACTAAGCGCCGGCGCTATCGTCGTCCTGTCAGCCCCATTATTTTCTTCTATTATTAGCAATTTCAATCACTTCATGCTGCACTTCATGCTGCCGAACATCACCACGAGAGTCTGGAACTTCCTGACGAAGGAGAGGAAGACGACGTTTCCGATGCTCCTGGGACCCCGTCACTCGTCGCTACTTTGATAAAGGGCGCTGGTATTTTGGCTTGCGGTTTTTCCTGCAGTAACTGAATCTCCCGTATCCCACGCTTCCAGAGCAGTAACGCGGAGAATGCATTGCGGGTAATATGTTGGATGCCGAATACGTCCGGAAACAGATTCTCCGAGATGACGAGGCTCGCTAGGGTACTCTCCGCGAGGTCGCGCTTTGTCAGGAAATGACCGAGACACACATGTGGCTTCGGGCGGCCGAGTCGTACTTTTATTTCTTTTGAACTATCATTGCTATAGGTGCCAGCGGCTTGCTGCTCCTCTGGTTTCTGTTTAGTACCGTCGTTATCTTCATCGACATCCATCATGGAGGCCCCTAGGGCATCTTCAAACGCTCGTCCTTGATAGTATTCAAACTCCGCCACTGGGGCTAAGGCTTGCAGTAACGATTGATTGAGTAAGGTATCCAGACTGGCGGCTGCCTGCGTCTGCAGTTCGAAGAAGCCGACCGCTGCCACACTGGTAGGCTTTGCCTTCTTACCCATGGCCAAATCATCAACATACGCACCAGCGGCGCCTTCGTCTTCAGCAAGCAAATAAGCACCCAGTCTGCCATCCGACATTGCTTCCGCTTCAGCTTGTGCTTCATCGGATCCATCTCTAACATCATGTAGAAGATCTTGGTTCTGATGATCCAGAAGGCCTTCATCTTTCGTCCTCCCCATGGAGAAAATGTTTTTACAAACTTTCAGCGTTTCTTCCTGGGTAGCGACCTTCTTTTGAAGATCGAGTTGGCGGTTGCGTAATGTTGCCGGATTCCAACTATCCGACAGAAAAGTAGATCCATTTTTTTTGAAAATTTCGAGCCAGAATCCTCGCCCGCACTGGTTCACCGCGACAACGTTTACTAGCGCGGAGTAGAAAACCTGCTTCTCGCACTGTAAGTGCAAACGCAACTTGGTAGTCCAAGAGAGTCTCGACATGACTGCGGTGCGTTCACTTGGGGTTTCTACTTAGAACTGCCACAAATCTATCCCCAGGAGCATCTTGCGTGGTCCACGTTTTCCTTTCAAAAACAGGAACAGCATGCTCTCCAAGATGGATTTGCACCACCAGAAACCTTAATTTATTACCCGCTCGCCCGAGGAGACCAGTTTCTGCATCGCAAACAAATCCGTTGTCTCGGCCTCTGGGGAGCTAGGTACTAAAGCGGAGGTTGGAGACGGCACCAGAATAGGGGAAGAGCCAGTTGGTCTCTCGGTTGCCGCAATCGGAACCAGTTCCCGGCCAAGCATGTAGTCGTCGCGCTTTTCCACCAGAGTGGCGAGAACTTTTTGTGCACTCTCTGCATTTTCAGTCTCATTCACATTCGAAGCCTCTAATGTGAGCAATCTCATTCCGACCAATTCGTGTAAGTAGCCGCGACTGTCCAGCACCTCCAGGTCGCGTGCATCATCCACGTCTGCTCGCAGCTGGTTGAAATCCACTTGGGAAGTTTGAAGATCTTGTTCCGCCTGCAATTGTTGACCTCCTTGTCCATGTCCTAGCTTCATTTCTGCAACGTTCTTCCCTAAGTTTTTCTGCAACTTTCCGAGCAGTGTTTGGGCATCCTCGGAAGACGAAAAAAACAGAAGCTTACCGTCGAAGCTGAAAAGCGTCGGGGAGGTCCTGTAGGATTCCCGCAGTGCCTCAACTGCTTCAAGACGTTTAATTGCGGCAGCTTCTAGCTTCGACTTTGCGTGCATGACATTTCGCTTCTGCGTATCACTCAATTGCCGAGCTTCTGCTGCAAACCCGAAGCAATTTTTGAACGCGGGTAGCATTACTGCATCTTCTGGATTTGACGAACGGCAGTTCATCACTTTGTCTCGAAATAGAGTTTGCAGTGTCGGACTGTAGCCTCTCAACTGGATGGTTGCATCTCTTTTGTAGTCGATGAAGGTTTTGATTTTCCCCCGCGTCTGCTCCAGTGCTGCGACGGCAGGCGCCACGAATTCCTCGAAGTGCGTGCCGAGGATTTGACTGCGTAAATTCTCCCCCAAAACATTCGTCTCCCTCGCCGGGGCTAGGGGCACCAACAATAAGACCAAATAGTCCGGATCGAAGTAGCGCGGGTTCGTCACCATCCAGTCGATCAACGGAGTGTAGGCTTGGACGCGCTTCTTCCTGTTCTCGTCATCATCGATATCTTTTCCATCTTCGTCTTTTCTCCTCTCTTCGAAGATTTCTGGAACAGCCCTCTCCAAGATGAGTTTTTGCAAGTCGCGCGCTCTTGCTACCCCGATCTTAGCGCGGTCGATAACCTGCTTGCGCGCAAACAAAGTTTGCTTTTCGGCCTCGACAACCCGCTCGTCCAAACCTATTGAGTCGTCCGAGTACCTCGTCCTCGTCGAAGATTCTTGTAGCTGTCGCAGTTTCGACGCTGCATCCAGCCACGGTCGCATGCTCATTTCCCGCCATTCTCGGAATAGAATCTCGGCTGCTTTTTCCTGCGTATCCACGCTGTTCGTGTCGATGTGGTCGAGGAGTCTTCGAATCACTTCCTTATGCAGTCGTATTCGCAACGCCCACCGTCGCTTCTTCTGCAGTAGTCTGTCGCAGAGAGCGAGCATCTGCGATCTGTTCAATCTGCCGTCTAAGGCCTGCAACACTGTCGCGGCCATTCGCTGAGAAGGCCCTTTCAGCATTCTCGGGGATAAGAGAAACGAAACCACGTGCGCAGCTGCGTCCGTTTTCAACGAGGCAGTGATCAAGCTCTCCATCAGAGTCGCGTTCACAGCTGCGTTCGGATCTTCCCCCTCCTCTAACATGTCATCTAAAATGTTGTCATCAACAGCTTGCCCCTGTGCAGTACTGGTATCATTTCCACCAGCCGCAGCGGATGCGGCAGCAGTCGTCCCTTTTTTTGCTTCACCCGCTTTTTTCGGATCCGACAACTCCTCCAATAAGGCTAACACTTTCGTGTACGTCGTACTCGGATTCGCCACAAAATCCGTAATTTTTTGGCACCGCGCTTTGATGTCCCAGGCCTCAGACATGACCCAGAATCTGGCTTCCTCAGCCAAAGTTGCTGCGGCCGGTCCGGTCATTCGTAACAATTGTCGTTTCTCGACCCCAGCTTAGAGAGCTCCTTCAAAGCAATTCACTCCTTCAGAGCAATTCACTCCTTCAGTTCATTTGCTCAGAATCCCGAGAGGGAAACAGAGGAAAATGAACATTGGAAACGATTTCGATTTACAGAAAAACATCATGCCTTAACCAGCCAAGTCGTTCTGGCGGCCACTCTTTCGCTTGCCTTTGCCACGCTTTCGCCTGTCTTTGCAACGCTTTTGCTTGCCTTTCTTTGGAGGAGCGACGATAAAGTTCCCTATTATAGGGCTCATCGGACCCCTATAGCCCATCTCCATCAGCGCTTTCTGTAATTGATCCGGGTAGAGAACGAGGTCCCAAACGTCGGAAGAAGAACGACTTGTACTAGTTGCACTTGTTGTTGCGCCTGTGCTTGCTGCACTTGCGCTTGTAGTTGTAGCTGAGCTTGCCCCCGAGGAGAAATGATTATGATTTATTGCAAGTACTACTTTATTGTCTTTCAAAGCATTGACCAAGTGAAGCCATTGCTGAAAAACGTCCTCCCGGTGCATGCGAACAAGACCCAGAAGTGTCCGTGGAAGTCTTTTCCCGGTTCGAGCATGTCTGTGGAAGTACACTGCTTCGTCATTCCCCCGGTCCGTCTCCTCCCGGATAAAAACGTAATTCTTCGTCAGAACATGCACTGATGCGACGACAGGTAAGGATAGATCTACAGCCGCTAACTCGCAGAACATGCGGATTAGGGGGTTCCACTTCTCCTTTGATCTTGGAATGGAAGCCGCGAGGTTGTGCATAATTGTACTCGCAGGAGAACCAGAGGCCCCATGATCTAGAGCGGAGTCCTTTGTGGCGTAGGCGATTCTAGGGTCGGCTCCTTGCGGTCCGGTGAAAACCAAACCGTTGCAGCTCTGGATATCTTCCGAATACAACCAAGTCCTGAACATCCGCAGACCAACTTCCAGGGCATTTTTCTTGTCGGAACTGCTGCTCGTTGATGACCTTGAACCTTCAGCATTTTCTTCGCTGGAGAGTATCTGCGCCGACAAGGGATCAACGTGCGACCACTGCATAGTTTCCAGATCGCGAAAACTCGGTCTCGATTTCCTGTACGCGAGCAATGCGGGCAGAATCTCCTTGATTTTCTCAAAGTTGTCGTGGTTGCTAAATTCCTTCCTTGCATTTTGCCGTGTCGCGTATCTTCTGGCTTGCTCCTTGCTCTGCTGCAATTGTTCCGCAGCTTGTTGCTGTTGATCAGTAGGAAGTAGAGGAGAGGCGCCCGCACTTCCTCCAAGATCTTCTTTAGTCTTAGTTTCTTCACGTTCCTCCTCAACAAGCATGGGAGCAGACCCAGATGCAGAAGTTGGCGATGCGCGCCGGTCCACCTCCTCCTTGTGGATATCAATATCGGCGAATCTTAATGCAAAATCTTTTTTGGCCTTCCAGGTAATCCTAATGATTGCTGCGAATAGCCTCTCCACCGGAAAAGACGAGAAGAGGTGAATCGTACGCTGGTAGAGCGGCTGCACTTGCCTCCAAAGAAAGTCATAAAGGGATAGCGCTTGCTTAAAATGGCTCATTTGCCTCAAATCTTCCTCACTGCCCCGCTCTGGCACACTCCCTCTCGGATAGACCAAGGTCAATCCACTGAAAACATGCTTCACAAAATGGAGCAGCGCTGGGACCTGGCGATCAGTTTCATTTTCAAGTTTCATACAGAACAAAAACTGCTGTTGCGAAGACCAGTAACAGTAATATTGCAGTAGTTTCAGTTACGATTATATATAAGTATACGAAAAGAATGAATTTCAGCCTTATCATAGAGACATGAAAATGAATCAATCAGCATTAGTTACCTCCAATATATGCTTGCCGACCATGCGAATGAGGAATTTGAACCGCGTGAGCATTAAGCTGTCCCCTTCGTCAGCCGTAGTGTCCTCAGGGAGTGGTAGGAAGCGGTCGCTGGCGTAGTTGAAAGCCTCTGCGTCGACGTTATCCCTCATGACAGTCATAAACAGTTCGACGCGCTTCAGCGGCGTCAACAGAACTGATGTAGGGTAAAAATTATTGAAATTCTCTTCATTTTGCGTTTAAGTACTTTTACTTCTAGAACCGACGACGAGAGAGATCCGATATCAGAAGCAAGTCCAAAATGAAGTAGAGAATCAAGAAGAATAAAACAGAGAAGGAGACGAGAGAGAGAGACAGAAGCAGCATCATACTGCATCCCAAACGAGCATACTTAGCCATCGGCGGGATGATACATTTCCTGCGATTTTGGATTTGGATTTGGAGATTTCAGAAAAAAATTTCTTTTTTTTTTGTATCCTGGGGCTACTGAAAGAGCGGCCTCAGCTTTATCCAGTTCGCAAACCGGCGGCAGGCGGAACCTAGTGCTCCTCTACGACCACCAGTAGTAGTAAGTTAATACCTTTCTCAACCAACTCGTACCCTTGGCATTCGACTTTTGAAAACAACCGTAGATACTTCGCTTTGTCCTCCTGGATCTTCCTGATTTTGCCTTTGGCCTTGTTCTCGTTTGATTCTGACGAGAGATGGTCTCGGAGCATCGGAAGTAGAGTTCCGCTTTTCGCTTTATCGAAATCGGCCTTAGAAGACGGTAGGGTAGAAATGCAAGGCTCCAACGGCGGATCCAAATCGGAATCGGAGTCGGAATCGGAATCGGAATCGTCGTCAGAAGTGCCGCCGGCGCGTTCCAACTTGGAAATCGGATATTAGAGCTCACAATGATTCATCGATCTCGACTTAGTACGTTCATATCAGTATTCGCAGCGGTATCCAAGAAGGAAGCTGAGGTGAGACAAATAATCTTCATCTGCTGGGAAGATGATGAAGATAAGAAGATGCTGAAGATAAGTCCTATGATTGTGAGCCTTAACAATAGGCCACGCGCCAGACATACCGTCTTGGCCCAGCAGCGCCTTCCAGAGTCTGAGTGACCTGCAGCTGCAGGTCGATTCCAGTCTTCATCAGCGATTTACGGAGTTCCCACACGGCGGCTTCGTATCGAGGGAAATCGATCATCAAAGACCGACTAGAATCATGAAGCTGCCAAAATCTATTTGTCTATTATCATTGTCTTCACACTTTTCTGTAATCAAAAAAACTCGATAATGATAACAGATTTTCGCGTCATAAGAATTGTTCAACAGGTTGTGCTCGTCCTTGTCGACATCGGGAATACACGTCAAGTGATTCAAGCAGATTGCCACGTCGGCGGTTCCTGAGATGGCCGCTGGCCGCTTCCAGTCGCCACACTCTTGTAGAAACGCCACTCCCATCTCCCCCAAGTGTACTTTCCCAACACTATCGCGCGTCGACAAGTCGTCCTTGAGAAGCAAACCCATTATGGACCCGAAACTCCCAACCGGCTTCCCGATCGTATTCAGGTATTCCTCTCTGATACTTGACGACGCGTCACCATCAGTAGACGTAGACGTAGACGTCGACGAAGTAGAAGTAGTTGCAGAAGCAGAAGCTGTTGATGCTCCGCCCATCACTGCCACCATTCTTTTGGCAACCTCGAGCAGCGTCGACTGTTGAGAAGATTGCTGCGAAGATGATGAAGAAGCCGCAGCGGCCGCGATTGCGAGGTTGTAGCTCGCGACGGCTTCCAGGTGGCAAGCGAAGAGACTCCTGATTAGTTTGGACCCATCGCCTCCGATGTGTTTGTAAAAGTTAAGTCTATCGGGACCAGGCTCATTCGCGATCTTCTTCCGCGCCCAACTTAACAGGAAGATGTATTTTCGCAAATGTCCAAACCCGCTGCCGGTTTCCAATCCAGTTTCAATCCTTTGCCACTGCTTGTTCACCACGAAAGTCACTCTTTCGATTCTGGCGGAACTCGTGCTCACTTCGTTTGTGGGCAGGCCTTGGTCGCGCTCTTTCAATCTCGCCTCCTCTCCTTGCTCCTCCGCATTCAGAAAAATTCGGAAGAGGTCCTTGTCAAAGATCGTGAGACCCTGGGCCGAGGGCTTCGTGAAGATGAACTGCGCAGCAGACGCCGGATCAAAGGCGCCAGGTCCACTAGTTGTACTCGTAGATGAGCCTCCTTTTTGTACTAGTTTCCCAATTCCCTTCTTTTTACCACCTTGTTGCACTTGACCTTGCCCTTGTTGTGTTCTGCTTTGTCGTGTGCCAGATGTCGTGCCAGCACTAGTTAGTTGTAGTGCTGCCGATGTTTGCGCTTCGATGCGGGCAATTGCTGCAGCGTCGTCGGTTTTTTCGAACATTCCGATCTGTCGTAGGGCTCCAGCGACCCGACTAAAGATTCTAGTGCGTTGCGTCTGCGCCTTACTTTGCAAGTCCTCGATGTGCTTCTGGAAGTTTTTGCTGGCGTGGGAGAAACGAGTTTCTGGCATGGCAGAATCGGTAGCTTCCGGAGCACGTACAAAACTCAGCACCTGCAAGACTGACTTCAGAGACGTTTGGAGGAGTGATCGTCTTCTGCCACGACCGCTCTCAGCATCTCCTACAACTTCGCTCTTGTTTTCCTTTCCTTCCTGAAGGGAGAGAATGGATTTGCAGATGCGATTAATAGGCGCGCCAAAGGTGGTAATGCCGAGGTTTTCTTCAAACAAGGTGCGAATCTGGCACGTCGCTGCGTTTCTTGTAAGCGGAAGCACATGCGTAAAAAGAATGTCCTTCGGTGTCCTCTTCTCCCTTTCGGTCGAGTCCTCGAATCGCACTTCATCGAACCACATCGCAAAGAGCGCAGTGCTGCTGCTGATTCTGTAGTTTCCCGGAGAGCATGGCCCCACGGTTTCACCGGCGATTGCATCACCACTAGCACTAACGCCATCAGTTCCACCCAACATCCGAGACGAGTTCCCAAGTTCGGATTCAAAGATCGGCACTCTTTCCGCCGGTAGCGGCAAGGGTTTGTACTCGACAAGGCTCTTTAGTCTCGGGACGCTGTAGACTTCAATCCGCTCTTTCACCATTTCCCACGTTGCATTAAACAATTCCCACAGAGCAAGCTCATCCCCTGACGGTGCGGGACTGTTTGTGGACGTTGTTTTTTCCATCTAGCCAGGCCGTCAACATGGCTACCCTTATAATATATTCTCCTTCTTATAACTAAAACTTCTTAACTACGTATCTACTTAACGCGTGAAAGGGAGCCTCGATGGTCTGACAGATGCAACAAACAACATCCATACTGCTTTTCTTCGTCCCGATGGCGAACGATCCAAAGTTGTGAGGAAAATCTTGAAGACGCGCCCTTAGAATTTCCCGTTGGATTCCGATAACTTGACACTCCAAACCCTCCAAAATAGTCGCGAAGCGGTCCCTCCAATTAAGCTTATTAGTACTATGATGCATATATCTTTCCGGAACCACCACTCTGTAGCGTGCTGGAACCAGTCTTTGAAAAAGACAGAGTCGGTGGACTCGATCCAAAAAGTGAAACGTCGGGTTGTCTTTTCCACACAACATTATTAGACCTCGTCCCCTGTAAGTATTCATCTTGAAGTAGCGCATCTTTACCCGCTTTTTCTCTTGAAACGCTTCAAAAATGCTTCGTAAGATGACTTTGGGGAAGCCTTAACATTAGCAGAGCTCTGGAAGACTTGCTGACGGTCGTACTGATCTGGTTCAGAGCGTCGGTAATAAGCTTCCGCTTTTTACTTCTCAACTTCACGTCCTCCGCGTCCGTCAGAAATGCCCCAAAAAATTCCAGGACACCGTATTCTTTGACAGTTATTTCCCCCATACTGTTCGAGTGTACCAGAATTCATCTCAGCGCCCTTACCCCTGTACTCCACAGGAGCACAGGGGTGGAAAAGGGCGGCAAGATGCTGAGTGAGGTGAATAAAAGGAGACCATAATACTGAGAGTGGCGAAAGAGACACTCGGATCCCTGTTGCTGTTGACTCTGATGGAGGAGGTGGAGGCACTGGGTACAACAATTTGGTTGACGTAATTCGATTCCGGCAAAACACTAGTGGCCTCCTCGATCTTCTGAAGCCTCTCCTCAAATTCCTTTTGCACGAGCGACAGAAGCAGTTGGGTTTGCTTTCCCCCCGCTGCGAGTGGCCAGGCCTGGTACGGATTCTGGAAACTATGCAGGCTCATGCCCGACGAGAAGTACAGAAGATGCTTGTAGAAGTCCTCCGTCCTCGTGCTACCTGATCTACTAGTAGAATCTGAAGATATTGTAGTTTCCTGACTAGTAAAAAAGCAGTTTCCCTGTTGTAAAAGCGCGTCAAGCGAGTAGAGGCCGTACAATTCTGCGCCTATGTTACAGGATGCGTCTAAGTGACACTTGAGGCGGTCAGGCAAAGAGGGCGAAATATTGAAGATGGACCTCCTCGTGTCCTTGCAGAAGTGGCGCTTCCGCATCATCACCGGCAGCGCCGTGGGAAAGACGCTCGGCAAGTTGCTCTCAGTGAGTTTCCGGACCCACTTGCCTAACTGATCCCACTCAGGTGGTGGTGATGGTTTCAATGCTCCAACGGGGAGAGGCGTTTCTTCAATGAACTCTTTACACAAGCCGGCTTGAATTTTCGCGAGCATCAGTGTGGCTAATGATCTCAAGCCGCAACTCGTGTAGTCAGCCAGCAAGACGTGCGCTTTCACACTCAATTTGACCGCCCAATTCTCGGGACCCCACCGCCACACGGAGCTTTGGGAACAGAAAATTTCGTGTGCATTTTCCCCAAGTTTCATCGTCGCCGCATCGTAGCGAAACAAAACGCAGGACAAGGGGAACGAGAACGGAAGCTGAGCCAGGAACGAAGCGCTTTCAACTGGAGTGGTCTCAAGTTCCTGAATAATTTCCTGAATCTGCGTGGATAAGGACCAGCCAGAAGCGTTTTGCGTGCTGTCCGAGATCAGGTGATTCAAGAAAAGATCCCGAGTTATGAGCGGGTTCTTGTCCTTCATATCCATCACGGTGTCCTGCCCTCCTGGTTCATCTAGTAGAACTATATCTGCTTCTTGTCCCCTCGGGTCGTCCCCTTCTCCGTCGATATCCTCCATAGATGACGCCGCTCTTCCCGTCTTCTCCTCGTCCGGAAAGAACAAATCGGCGACACGCCCAGCTAATATTTTCTTCATCCTATTCACACTCAGCTTTGCGACCAAAGCGCGCCACGCGTTCCACTTCTGTAGTAAGTGGAAGCATCTTTTTCGTGCATCAGACGCCTTCTTTGGCCGCTTTTGAGACACAACGCTCAGGTGGAAGGCGGCGAAGTGCACGAAGGTTAGGAGCAGGTTGATTCGTAACTGGTTCCGGCTGTTCCCGTCGTCCATGGAACCCATTCCCCACTGACCGAGAGCCCAACTGAACTTCTCCGCTGTCTCTTTGCTGTCTCTTTGCATCTTCTGGAGACCGGCTAATAGCTGCTTCGGACCCACTTTCACGACCTCCGTCCCGACCACACGCGAGAAGCAGCTAAAATTAGAGCCACCTGGAGGTATTCATCTTCTTGGTCCCCTCATCTTGACCCCTTTCACATGAAATACAAGGATAGGAAAAAAAACATCCAGAAGATGCAGAGAAAGATCGATAAAAGCTGACCTTAACTCTTGATATCCAGCGATAGGCGAACGGACCGACCTTCGCAACGCTACAAGACTTTTGAGCTGCATGAGCTCGGGTGGCAACTGCGCTGGCGGTGAACGATACAGCTCTTCGCTCTAACCAGCCCAGAAGATGCGTCCATACGTGCTCCAACAACTGCTCCTGCTGTCTTTTTCTCCCAGCAGATGAAGAAGACGGTAAGCGGAAAGCTTCCATTAGCTGGTCTAAAAATTTTTCGCACAGAGCGATGAGATCCCGCAATCCACTTTTCTTCGACTTCCTCAGGAAGGCCTCGTTCGCAACGGTCTCAAACGCGTGGGAAAATTGCTGTATCTCGACTCCACTGGGAGTCGAGACAACGCCGAGATTGTTGTTTCCACCAGCTGCACCTTCAGAAGTGAAGGTCTCCAACCCAGTGATGGGTTCGACGAACAGCGCTATCCTCCTCCGTTTCGGTGCTAGCCTGTAGATTTCAGTTGTTGGCAAGAGTAATTCGACGTACGGCTGCATTTCCGCATCGAATTCGCCCCGTTGCGACTTTCGTTGGTAGTAGTCGACACTCTCGGGCCGAGGATAGGTCTCCACATAATTCTCGACACGCAGCACCATTGGTTTGTACTTCAGCAACAAATCGAACATCTTCTCTATGTGAACTGGAGAGAAGCCGTGGCCGCGTTGCTCTTTGGGTAGGAAGTATGTCTCGTGCTCTTTCCACCAGTCGGCAAGCGCGAAGCGGTCATTGTTGAAGCTCTTGAGGGTCCGTTCTAGCAACTCCAAGTACACTTCGTCGAAGTGGCTCCAGGAGCGCAGATAGTGCGCTTTTTTCTCCTTCCTCTTGCCTTGACCGTTCCTAGAAATCCGATCTTCGATTTGCTTGCTGTCGTGGTCTTTCGAGAGCAAGAACGGAAACTCCTCTTTCAAATACGGCTCGAGAGCTTTGATCTTCTCCTCGACAGTCTGGAAATGCACACAGCACAGCGGATAGACACTCCGAATTGCATCCGGCACTAGATTCCGCGCGCTCACATGATCGTACAAGAAAGTACTACGATTCGTCTCAGCCTTTGCCCCAGGACGAGCACGAGGACCTGACTCTCTTTTACTGGAGAAGGCGCACAGTTTCAAACATTGAGTGATAATCCAGCGCTGGATCTGAGGGGCGGATTGTTGAAAGATCACTGCAAGCTCCGCATCCGTCAAGCTGGGCACGGGCAACATCACTACCAAAAATTCTTTGCGAAAATCGCTTGAACCCGAAGCGAAATACCGCATCAGTAGTAATGGACCCAATCTGGCGCTTCCTTCATCTTCCTGCGGACCATTCATCGTACCTTCATCGTCATCCTCCGCTTCCATCACATTGGAATTCTTCATCTCTACTTGTCCTTTATTACTGCGTGCGCCGCTCGAGATAAAACCTAAAATGTGGATCAAGACCCGGAAAACGTGAAACCGCCGGCCATTCAGCATCTGCATTTGCGCTGGACTTGTATCTACTTCCCCGAAAGCATTCTCTTCTTGTGCTTCAGCAATAAAAGCATGATCTTGAAGAGAACCCTGACCGGCACTTGTTCCCATGGTAGCCGTGTCGTGCTGGATCCGTTTGCCCGAATCAGCCTGTTTGGCTTTGGTGTCCACGAAGATGGAGACAAGCTCGAAGTCATCCTCGACTGCCTCCTGTCCCATCCCAACAAGTTGCGCACCAGAAGCTAGGGACGACGCGGCTCCGCTGGTCCCGAATTTTGCTGAGGGACTGCCCAATGATCCGCTTTTCCCAAAGAGCTCATGATCCTGGTCTCCCTCGTCGAAGGAGAAGCACCAGCCGTAAAGTTTCGTTAAAAATGTGTTCCTAAAAGAGACCAAACCAAGAACATCCGAAGATTGGAGGAGCATGTCCGCGTGGCTGGAGGTGGAGGCTGGTGCATGTCGAAGACTCGTGGCAGCGATTCCAAAGCCAATTCTTTCTAGAAAAGGCAAGCTCTCCAACTTCTCGACGAAGGAGGGAATCAAAGCAGTATCGATGACACTGCTTCCACCATGAGAAGCTGCAGAAGTCGAAGTTGAGGCAGCAGATCGCAGTTCTTGGTCAAACGCAATCGACAACATATGATCGCGGGTCCCACGAACTGATGGGAGAACGGTCGAACCAACTTCTCGTGAAGGCGAGCCATCTGCCGGCACCTCCATTTTCTTCCTCTTGTTTTTGTTTGATGACTCAGCTGTTTGTTCTCAAAATATATATTGAACTAGTTCGTTGATGTCACTTATTATATATAAGTTCTTGAGTACGTCGCTGTTGTTCGTCGTACTAGTCGTAAGTAACCTGTTCGATGTCGCAGCAGTTGATTTATGATTCTTTGGTACTCAGAGGACAGATCTCTCACAATCACATTGCGCCAGTTCCAGTACCGAAGTCTTCGGCCACTCTTGGCTGAGTTGGACAGAGGGTTGATGGCTTATCGTTGAGATCACTTACAATTTACAAGGTTTGCGAGTTTGTTCGACGCACCAGCTTGGGTGAGAGCTGCAGAGAAAGCCAGCATTTCACAGACGCAGAGATAAAATTAATACAACAGTGAAGCGAGCAGAGCCAGCTCCGGTGTACGAAGTATTTACAGCACTATTGCAATACATATGCAGCCCTTAGAATTAGAATTAGAAGATTTCTGGCTTGATTTCAGAGGCCATGAATGCAGAAGATCTGGGCTTGGGAGACAACAGTGCAATTCGCAGAACACGATAAAAATCCGCTTGTTGTCTGCATGATCAGGTACCCGCCTTGCTGATCCCTGTGGACATCATCCTTCTAAAAGGACAATGGGTGTTTTGAGGCAGCTCTTGCTCATTCTACGTCTGGGTGGGATTTCATTTTCCAATTACTACATGGTAGGATACAGGCCTAGTAAAAGAACGCTTATGCAAGTAGGTCGTAGTAAACTATTTTTTCACGACCCTCCAATTATAATGATCTAAGATACAATTATCACGGCTTACTGCTTCTCTTCCGGTGTTCTTCGTCATCGAACAGCGGTGATCGTTTAGCCTAAAATTAAGGACGAATGGTTTGTTGGCGCAAAACATAACAGTATTCTTGGTCGCAAGTAACATAACGGTGGTTTCCTTAAATTCTTGGTTGGATAATTCCTTGGACAGTATATTCTAGGTTGTTCTTGTGAACAGAGCTTCATCTCTTAGTGCTGTGAACAGATCGAGATACATTCATGCATTCATGAATGAGATACGAGTTAAATACTTACTGGCGGGATAGGTGTTCGTCTTTGACCTACAACATTGTTTTTTCCATCAAGAAAAAACTCATGTTTTCACCCCCACTTGCACTAAATAGATTCAAGACAGTTGTTGTCATGATGATAACTCAGTTATGCCTTGCCTAATCTAGTATGCCATAAAATTTCTATCGGGATGGAAGAAAATTTAAGTGATGAACTTCATTGATAAATAGACCTTTAGATGATAATGCTCTCCAGATGAATGTTCAAGCGATGGAAATACAACTCGAGGTGCAATTTCTAAATACAGTTGGCTTTGATAATTCCCTACAAGTTAAACATTCAGACACAGACAGGCCGCTTGGTCCTCTCGTGCTCAATACGGTGCTAATTTTTGAGCAGTTGTTCTTGCTATGGTTTCCATGTTTGGTGGCGGGATCGAGGAAGTGATGTATTCTTGGTGGTCTCATAAAAGTATTGGTCATTTGAGTCATGAGTCGCTGGGGTCGTTAAGGAGTAGGTAGGAGTAGCTGGTCGTAAGATGGGCGGTATCTCGTAGCACAATTCGGATTTCTAGTAGTGTTCTTCTTCTTCGGATTGCTCGCGGTGTTCTTAGGACTGCCGCAGGTTTAAACACCAACCGCATCGTCCTTTCCATCATCCTCTTCCTCCTCACTTTCCGAGGAGTCGCTGCCCTCATAGGTGCCCACACAGCGGCGGACGAAAGCATGGATGGCATGAAATTCCGAAGTATCATCAATACGGCTCCCCAACTCGACACAGATGTACCTTTGTTTTACGGTCATGATGATGTTGAGGGGAAAGTACGAAGCTGACAAAAAGAGAAAAGTTGGATCTATGATCTTCTGTAATATTTTTTTGCATTCATCTGCAACACATTTTACTACACGAAAAAAAATTGCTTAGGTGTTAGAAAAACAAAGGATAGTACTTGAGGAATTGCAGGTAGTTTAGTCCATTCGCGACCGAATTGTTTTCTCGGTTAGCTTCAAACAACACCCTGGCAAAGAACGCATCCGCTGAAGCCATGTCGTCAAAAATTTTGATGCGGAACGCTTCATCCTCCTCATCGCTGCTGTCGTCGAGGCCTCGCTCGTACAAGAAGTATCCGCTGATGACCAGAGATCGGAAAGAATTCTTCGTGAAGCTCGTCTGGCCAGGAGCCAGCAGACCGCGGAATAACCGATAAGTGTGCTCGTGCGACTGCACAATATCGAAAATCGCTTGATGGCTGTAAGGATTGTCAGGTGATTGTACGAAGCGAAAATCGCTTAATGGCTGTAGTGAGTGTCTGGAGAGAATTGTTAGGAAGTCGTTATTAGAATTCTACAGTCGAGTTAGAATTTTTAGGAAGCCATCAAGAATTCTATAGTAGAGTCAGAGCACAATCAGAATGACAGTTGTATTAGTCTAGTTGGTTCCATCATAAGAACGAAAGAAAGTACTTTGTGGTGAAATCAAGCGCTTTGAATCCTGGCGCCAGCATGGGTTTGTCCGCGCGCCGCGGTGGTTTTGCTTCCCTTCTCTGCTCTTCGTTTGGCAACGGTTCTGCGAAAACTGACCCAGCTGGAAGTCCTCCGCACTGTTCCTTAAACTCCACGCTTCCTTGGACTGCCTTTCTATGATTCATCGGATTCGCTAAAAGCAAAGCCTGGGCAATCAATTCACTTTTAATAGCTAAATCCAAAGCAGAAACCTCCATCCGCGGCCCACTCATGTCGGGCTTCCACATCACCTGGCAAGAAGTAGAGGATTCTAATAATATTGAGTTAATCCTCCACCTTGAGAAAAAAGTCTACTTGGCAATCCTGTAAAAAGCCTACTTGGCAATTGTATCTGTAGTCCTGTTCAAAATCTATAAAAAAAAATGCTAGAAGTGCATTGGCTCAATTTTGATGTCAAGTACCTTGCCGTCATCCGGGTCCATCATTGGCGAAAGACAGCTGAGAGAGCAGTTCGCGTTGAGTTCGAGGAGCTTTGGTCGGCAATTATCTTCGAAAATGATATCCAGCCCTATGACCTGAAACCCTTTCGCGCCGTGCGGGTGATGTCCCATTTTCCCTGCGAGAAAGTGCGCGTAGTGCTCGATCAAGGACGGCTTAATCGCCAGTAATGTTCGCTCTGAGAGCTCCTTGATCTGCTGCCACATGGTCGCTGGATCCGGGCCTTCCTCCGAGTGGATCAAGTCGAAGACACTGCTCAGACTGCGCTTCGACCCCTCGTCGTGCTGCCTTGAGGGCAGAAAGTCGGTGCTCTTCTTGTTCACCGCGTAATTCGTCAAGTGCATGCACGAGTTGGCCAGGTTATGGCTTTTGGGACGCTCGTAGGGCACTGTGCAGAAACGCGCCAAACCCTCCTCGAATAAGTAGGCGCGCAGTGGGGTGATCGAGGTCACTAGGACGTAGATTCGGCAATCGAACTTGTACCCGTTCACAAGCAGAGGCCGCGTGACATAACGCTGAACCACAAACTCCACTTTGCGACGATACCTTTGTTTTGGAGTTCATGGTGAGGGTGAAAATCGAAATGTACTTCATACATCATTCGTTTCAAGATTTTTCAGAGGTGTAGGCAATGTCCAGCGGAGGTTTCATTTTCGGAATCTTCAGCGTAGCATGAAAAAGTCTTCTTCATTTAACAAACAAAGTATCAATATACTACAACGAACAGCAGGCAACAAAAAATCTATTCAAATAAAATTCATCGAATACTTTAGTGCTTCGCTATTATCTAGCCCATCCGGCCACACTTCTCGGATTATTGGCTTCAAATCTGGCCACCTCTTCACTAGTTGCACACCCCGTCCCTGACTTCCCGCCGTAGGCTTGGCGATGTAGACCCAGCCTTTTCGCTCGGTCATCACTTTCTCCAAATGCGTGGCCTCGTCAAAGCCGTCTCGTCGCAACACCCAGGTTTTGGGCACGAAGGAGTAAGCGTTAGGAAAGGATTTGGCAATCCGGTTCAAGGAGATGGCGCAAGCTGCTTTCCGGCAGATAGGCACCATGCCCTCAATCTTCGACACGGCTTGGTACGGCGTCAGATTCAGCACAGAATCTAAATGTATTCAAATCAAGTTTGCGATCAAGAATGGTTTGATGTCTAATCACAAAGAAATTACCACTTTCATTCGTTTCTCAGTTCTACCACTTCATCGCACGAAAAAATCAGACTTCTGAGCAACTAGTACAATGAATCATGTAAAAATTCAGCAATCAAATATACCTCCATGTTCTAGCCATGCTACACTGCAATCTGTCGTTTCCGTTGTAACTTCTTCCCAGCCAAGCTTGCGTATTGCGTACCGCACTGCGCGTAGGGAGGACCGGCATTTAAATGTGCAGACCGACGCACGACCGGACTTGCTCTTCCGTCTCAACGCTGGTTCGATAGTGTGCAGCTTAGGCAAGGTAGCCTGTGCAACGTACTCACTTCTTTTGCGCCGCAACTCTTCCTCATTATCCGCAGTCGACGAAGAGGAAGCCGAAGTTTGATCGACTGATGTTTTGAGTATTTCATGTTCGTTAAGGTCTCGATGTTGAAGTTCAGAAAGAATGAATGAAGAGATGAGTTAATGAAGATGAAGATTTACCAACCCCATAGCCTCGTGTTGCAAGTGTAATATTCCTAGTTCATGGTGGTGCCATTGAATCATACGATAAAATAAGAACAACTAAGTACCCATGCTTCCCGCATAATTGCTATCCTGGTCGCCTGTTTTGGAGCTCGGAACTGCCGTACTACTGCTGCTTCCCGCGTCTGCTTCCCGCTTTTTCGCAAAAAATGGCCAAAGGCCAAAAGTGCTCCCTGAGCTTCCTCCTTGCTGCTCACTACCGTTTGCTGGTGGTGACTGCGTACCTAGTACGACTCCTGTGCTTGGTCCACTAGTCACACCCGCACCGGGATGAACACCAGACGTTAAGCCTCCTCCAGTTGCGAGTGAAGACGACGACGAGGCTGCTCCGGATATAGCACCGCTGCGAGGGTTCGCGACGATCGCACTGCCTCCTTGGATCAGGTTTGTGGAAGCTCCTGCTTGCGCGCCACCCGCAGTGGACCGCCTACTTGGCGAGGACGTCGACATGGCTGCTGCACTCGCAGGTTCACTAGCAGCTCCTGTCCCGCTCGAGGAAGCTCCCGAAAACGATGAAGCGTCGTCAGCTGGCGGCAGTGGCATCCGTCTGGGGTCCGCGCTACTCCCGAGCATAAAACTTCGAATATCGTGGTCAGTCATTCTTCTAGAAAACTAAAGACAATCGTGGTACAAAGACCACTTTTATGACAATGAAGAAGTGTTCTCTCCCGCTCGCCAATTATGAATTTACGGTAATTATGGTCGTTTTCTTCTTGGTTATCTATGAAAAAATGTTGAGTAATATGCAAAGAACAAAAAAATTATGAAAATGTTCTACATGTTTATGTTGATGCATTTAGAAGAAAGAGCAGAGCAGCCGATTCGCGTCCAGAGAAGACGCCTATCGGCGTAGGGTCTTACTCCCACAAAAAGTCAATCGAATAACTACTCGTAGCACAAGGCTCGTTTTTTTTATCCGAACGAGTCATGCAATATACGTACTACACACATACAGGAGGGCGTGCGCAACCCTCAGATGATTCAAATTTCAACACAGTCCTCCCTTCAAACCTAAAAAAATTATTTCGTTACATGTGCCGACCTACGTTTCTGCGGATTGTGATTGATGGTTCTTTTGCAGCGTATGAGCCTTTGCGTTTTTAAGAATCAATTAAAGATAAAGTTCTTTAAAATAACTTTCTCAGAGAAAATTCTAATACAACTACCTAGTAAGGGAGAAATAGCGGAGGAGGATGCGCGACTCGGCGTTTGGGTAGGTCCTGTTTGTGTCAAGAAGACGTAAAACTATGATGAACTGCACCGTTTTACACCGATGCTGTTGTCGAAGATCTTCTGGCACTAACACAAGTACATCGTATCGAACTTCATCTGTTGGTGAGCTTACTATAAATCAATGCTCGTTCTTGCAGACACCTACCTACGCTCAAAGGATCTGGTTGATCATGTTGTAATCTGTATCCTTCCCTCAGGGAACATCGAACATTTCAGATCTTGGTAATTTTCTTTGCTATCCTTCAAGATCTTAGTAGTTATTTCGATTACCTTCAAATTTTTTGTCGACTCTATCTAAAGACCCATTGGCCTTCACGTAGAAGTCACTCCTTACTTATCGTTTACTGATCTGATCTATGAGAGCTTTTTGCTCTGTCACTACCACGACAAATCCAATCTCAATGCGAAAATGACTTCCGACAAAAGAGACACGAAGTGGCCATAATATTAATATGGAGTCAGAAGTAGTCTAAGATCTATGTTGGAGTAAGTACTTGCGAAGATAATGAAACGGCGCGCGCGATTTAGGTCTTTAAAACCAAAGCTGAGGAGTTTATCACTGGAATTTCGGGGGATGAGCGACAAATTTCCTGCCATTAACATGTTGTCAACATCTTCACTCTCCTGTGGAGATCTGGACTTTGCCAGCCGCGACAGAAGCTCCCTGTGCACGCAGCACCAACCGTGAAAGGCAATTCATTGTTGAACTCTGACCTTGTCTACTTGGCGCCATCACCACTAGGAGAGCCCGGTCTAACGTTAAGGTAACGTCCGCCGTCATTCCTTTGACCAAGCACTTAGGCTTGGCGGTCTGGTTCCATACTGAGTGTACTTTGCGCAGCGTGGCGTTGGCAAATTGCGTCCCTAGGTAGCAGGAAAACTGTTGCCCCTTCACGACGATCACGTCGCTGTCCAAAATACTCACCGTTGCACGCAACGTCGCCTGGAGTGATAACGCAGGCGAAGGCGACATTGATGTTGATGTGTTGCGTGGTGACACCGACGATCCATCTGGTTCTCTCGTAGCAGCAGTAGTCGTACACGACGTAGACGAAGCGACGATTATGGATCCACTGCGCATGTACACAGGGTCGAGCTGCAACGTGCACGCATCAATGTAGTGCCCCTGCGGAACCGAACTGCAAGGCGAGTCCCTACCACGCGCTGCCAGTGCCTTCACCTTCGCCGTCTCGTTCGCGGGTAAAACTCGGACTGTGTCCCCCACACGCAATTGGCCAGACACTAAGCGCCCACTGACAATCGTATTTCCTCCTGATGGAAAAGCGTCAGTAACCGGCAAAATTAAGTCGCTGGGACCGCTCCAAACCGCCTCTTCGACGTTTACCCCTTTTGTCGTTTGCTGCGTCGTCCCTCTCTTGGGGGAGGTCTCTCCTGCTCTACTAGGGCGCATTGCGGCTCCAGCTGCCTCGATCGCACCAAGAAGAGATAACTTGTTCGCTGCATCCGTTGCTCGTTTAGGCGGCGAGAACGTCGAGCGGGTGGCATTTTGTTCTTTCTCTGCAGAAGAAGATGCACCTTTCGCCGAGGCCTTCGTCGAATCACTCCTTTCCTCCTTCGATTCCATCCATTGCTCCGTTTGCAACTCCTCGGGCGCGGTCTGGATGTTTTTGCCTTGGAAGGCAGAAAGCGGAACGCACCACAGATTTTCCCGTTTGAAATTCAGCGATAGAAGAAAGTCCATCACGTGTTCACGGCGCGTGCAGAAAATATCGTAGTCCCAATCGACGGAATCCATCTTGTTCAAAGCCACGATCACACGCTCTACACCGCATACGCGAAGCAATTGGGCATGCTCCTTTGTTTGCCCGCCACGATGGAACCCCCCGTCGAAGTCACGAACGTCAACCTAAGATCCAGGAAAAAATCAATCAAGGCATGAGGGAGGCGTGACAGCACTCACAAAGCAAACAAGAAATAAGTACTTAACAAGAGTGAAGAGAATCATGACCTCCAAAACAAATGCACTAAATACCACTAGAACAGCCACATCGGCAAGGTAAGCGGATTGCAACATCGTCGGGACGAATTCTTTGTGACCTGGTGCGTCTAAAATCGTCACAAAGTGAGAGTCCGACTCAAAGTGCTTGGCCGTTAGCTCCACCGTAACACCTCTTGCGCGCTCTTCCTCCCCCTCATCTAGCACCCAAGCATACTTGAAGCTCTCTTTTCCAGCGACCTTCGCGTCACGCTGTAGCTTGTGAAACTGGGAGGTTGAGACAACGCCGAGCTGCACCAACAAATGCCCCATCAGCGTGCTCTTGCCGGCATCGACGAAGTATGAAAGCCAGAACTTATTTTGGTGGAAAGATACTACTTACAACAGACTCTTTCTGCGGAATCACTATCGCCAAGAGTGCCCTTTTCGGAAATGTCCGTTCCGTGGCGGAGTTACTGAGTCTGTCCTATAAAATGGTGTATCTAATAGTTGTCTTTCATAAATGTCCCACCACGACGACCGCTAGAGGTGGCTTTCGATAAATTTCTGGATCCTGCTTCGCGAGAGCCTCGAAGTTGCCTTGCGTTCTTTTTCTTGTCTCCTCTTCTCCTTGATGATCTTTTTGAACCTCATTAGCCGCTTTATTCTCGTCTGTCTTCTCGTTTATCTCCGGAGAAGAAGATATCAAATGCGCTAAAGCATAGTCACGAGCTCGCTTGTCGGCAGCGTCCTCACGCGAAGTCCCTACCGCTGGTGTACCTTCGTCAGGTGAAGAAGCTGGTTTCTTGGTGCCTTTCGCTCCGCTGGAAGAACCGGTCTCCTCGGCTTTTCCACTTGTAGAGCCTGACTTCGCTTTCCCAGTAGGACTAGCACTTGTCACAGCTTTTTTCTCTATTGGCGCAGCTGCATTTGGCTTCTTGCTTTGTGCTTTTGCTGCTGGCGCCCCACTTTTCTTGTTGTTATCGCCACTTTTCTTGGTCGAAGCCGTGCTAGTAGTTGCGGGCGCTTTTTTCTCAGACGTGGCAACCCAGTTCCCCTTGTCGTCCCAGTACCCCCCATCTTCAGCACCAGCCCAACCACCTTCGTTCCACTCCCCGCTCCCCCAGTCGCCATCCCACTCTTCGCCGTAGTCATCCCAGCCGTCCTCGTACTCATCGTACTCCACGTTCTTCACCCGTCGCGTGGCCATTCTTGCTATTCGGTTGCAGCAACACCTACTGGTCGTGCACCCTCATCTACTTTCAGGCTGTGCGGTCCTCTCCAAGGATGTCACGTAAACGAGACGGAAGATCAGCAGGCACAGAGAGGCATCCTTTCTTTTCTATCTATTAAGTATTTTTCAATGCGAAAGAGCAATCAATAATGGTAGTAGGAGTAAGAGGAATCCGGATGGTAGCAGGAGTAAGAGGATCGATGGAAATAAATCATGTAGACAATGGAGAAGCAAGTCGTAGGAATAGGAATTGCGAAGTAAATTGTTAATCAAAGCGCAAAAAGTGGAATTATGGGCGGGTATCAAGAATTTCAAAAACGGGTATCAAGAATTTCAAAAACGGGTATCAAGAATTTCAAATTTATCCTGTGCTGAAATGGGAAGGAAGACTTGTGTCTTTCTCATTTTTTTGTGATAAAGGTTAGTGCTTTGCTCCAATACAGCAGCTTCTCTGTAGTTCTCTGCCCTTTTTTACTGCAAAAAATTGATAAAACAGTAGGAATTACCAACATTCCTGCTTTTTTCGATCATATATTCATGGATGCCTCATGTTATCAAGACGACTCTCTCCTCGTTCAGCATCCGTGTTGAAAAGTGGAACACGACGGCGTCGCAACACAAATAATTTACATTCATCAACATCTTTTCACTATAGTACTGGATCTCCTTCGTACTTAGTTGTATCCAAATCCCACACGCTTGTTTTTCTACTTGGTGTGCGCTTATACAAAATCGAACTCTGCTAGTTGCAGTCGCACTTTAGGGTTGCTCAACCTGTAGTCCTGGAAGAGTAAAATTTGTGGTATTTTTAGCAGACGCTTCGCGGAGTTGATGAAAACAAGTGGCCTCAAATCCTGTTCAAACTTTTTAAACTCGTCTTCTAGTGGAGTGTAAAAGTTATATGGACCTGGACAGCTCAGTGGCGGCAAGTGCATCCTCCGATCCGGATAGTGCCAGTTAGTTTGTCACCGAGAGAGATACCGCTAAGGGCGGCAATTTCCTCATCCTGCCGCTTGGTCGCTCTGCCGGTGCACTCGGGACGGGTGGAATGGAGTGGCCACAACACCCTACTCCGGACGTCGTCTTCTCGGGCGCTGCGTGTCCTCCGACGTCATCCTCCACGTCCTCCTCACTTGCGTATAAATGCGCATCTCCCGGAGCGATTCCCTCGAGCGACTCGATGCTGCTCTGCGAGCTCGAATGCTTGTTCTTGTATCCCCGTCTAGTACTTAATATACTAGTGTTGACTCCACCAGTGGTAGTAGGAGTCGTATTGCGATCGCGAGGATCGGCATCACGATCGCGAGGATCCGGTTCGTCATCTCCTAAAAAGTTGGTACAGCTGACCGATCGACTTCCCGATGGGCCCGTAAAATCCTGGCCCTGCAGCAACAGTTGATCTAGGCCAGACTCTGCGGACCCAACACGTGAGCTTGCTTCTCGCTGCAGCGCTTGCTGCGCTCCTCCTAGGATGAACAAAAGAGTAGAAAAATCGGGTTTCTCAACATTTTCAAAACTCCTAATTTTTGCTTCTTAGAATCTGGTGTTGAAACCTGATAGCGTGTCTTTGGAATCTGGTTCTTATTTGCGATTAGTCTTGTTGCCATATCTGGATGCTTCGGCTTATTTCCATGATTGGAGTCGAGTCCCGGTAAGACACCCGTGGAGTGCGCAGAGGAGGCCGCCGCGCCGCGTGAAGACGTTCCTCCCGGTGGATAATCAGGTTCTTCCGCGATCACGACAGTGCTCAGATCAATAATGGTCGATGGTCGGACGCGCACTGTGTTTCGGTCCTTCTTTTTGCCGCTGAACGTCCCAGCCGAAGGTCTCTGCACGTGGACGATTCCATTTGTTGTGGCAGGCGGGGCCAAAGCCTGCAATGTTCCTGGTCGTCTTCCCGGACGTGATCCTGTAGCTGCTTTCGAACTGGAGAATGAAAGGAGCAGGAGGTGGCAAGAGAACAGCTTTGCATCATAGAATAATGCTTGTTTCTAACGAGAATTATAATCACCGTGATAATCCTGATCCTCGTATGGAAGAAGACTTCCAATTTTTAACCAACTTCTCGTAAAGGCGTTGCTGCGGGTGTTGCGCTCGCTGTTGAGCTCTCGGCTACGTCAATGGCTTGCGGCGGCAGGTGTCGTAGAAACGCTGGTGGTGCTAGTGGCTTCGAACCATAACGAGAAGATGATGCACGGAGACCGAGACCAGCAGCGGAATATATTTCACAAGTCAGAAACACAAACAAAGCAGCAACGTGGAGTACGCAAAATTTACCCAAAAATTCCATCGTTTTTTGTCCGGCACCGCAGTGCCGACAGACACCAGCACTGCGTTCAATTTAACAGATCAGTACGTTTTTCTAAGCAAAATGGTGCTGCATTAAAGACCAACGTTACGATCCAGAATATATCTATTTTTTTCGAGGCGTTTGTTGCGGAGAGAAGCGCATTGATCTCCTGGCCGAACACAGGGGACAGATGAGTACACGGGTTAGTCGCGCAAACGCGCGACCTCCATACAACCGAGCTTGATGCAAGTCTTGCTCTAGTAAGCACTTTACAACATTCAGGTGGGTCCTACCATGGTTATCCTGTACTCCTGTACATGAAACAAATGACAACAAAGTTCAATAACTTCTTTTCATCGTAATTCTTTACAAGGTTGTGCGCCTTCTCCGTCCTTAAAGCTTCTATTTCTGTCTTTACATGTGAAAGCCTCGTCTTTGATTCTTTGTAAGATTGCATGGAAGCGTACAATGTGGTTTGGAGGAGATACATCATTACTCGGAGTTCCCGCATTTGAAGATGTGGTGGCATCATACGAAACATGTCTCAAATCAACATAGAATTCCTGCGCTGCTTCAACCATACTGCGCCGCCGCCTGCTTGCTGAGTTAGTACGATCGGGGGGATATAGCGTGAAGAGAAACCGCCTGCCGCTTATCGGACCGTCACAGATTAGACGTTGTTCTACAAGAAACGCCTTCGGAAGGAAAAACGCACCCTGCAACGTTGCCAACTGCCCATAGTCCGTAACGGCTGATTTCTTTTTAAAAACCATTACAACACAGCAATCGAATGGGTCGGGAGCGTCAAAAGGAGACTCTGGGGACAGCCCGTTGTCCGCATCTGAGCGTACCCACGAAAAATCCAGGTTCACCACCACGTGGCCAGATACAGGCTTCATGTATCCACTACGGTGCACGCATCGCAAACCGTTCACGACCGTCGTGTGCAGAACGCCACATGCTGCGCGATGAAATTCCCATGAAACTGCGGCCGGTGCATAGAGTAGTTGCGCTAATTCATTGAGGCGAGTGACAGTAAGCTTGTGCATACTCCGGGCGGAAATCAATTTTTCGCACCAATCGGCAAATGATAAGCGGGGGTTAGCCTTCCAGAGGTCCGCAACGTGCCGTTTGAAGTCTTCGGTGTGCGCGCGAGCAGCACCTGTGGCATTTTCGTCTTGTGGCCCGACGAGGCGCGGAATGTCGGAAGTGCTGAACCAGACACACCTCGAACCCGGCGACCCTGTCTTGATGTCAACGTCAGCAAAAGACCGGAGATCCAATCTGTCGTCGTCAGGAAAAGCGATGAGTAGTCCAACGTCGTTCGATACACATGCAGCACTGCAGGTGAAGGAATAGTGAAAGCGATTTCCACTGGTGTGTCGTTTGGTTGTGCTCTTCAGGAGCAGCGCTCCCCAAGCGTCCACCGGACGTTCGCCACTCGGAATGCACTTCCGAAAAAGAAAACTTGCCCTCGCAAGGCGCGGCAAAGGGATGAATTCATATTCCTGGCAGCAGCTCGATAGCCATTTTTGCGCCCATCGCAAGGCTTTTGCAGTGTTCAAATAATTCTTGTAATTGCGGTGGGCAATGCTTCCCTCAAGCAGGGGAGCTCTGCTACAGTCTCTTTTCCACCGCGCGCCATATCCGAGGCCCACCGGATAACCCTCCCACTCCCCACGGTAGATCCGATGTGGAGTAGCGGGTATATTTCTTGGGCGCTGTCCGTTTTTGCACCACGCGTAAAAATCAGAGGCGCTAGTGAAATTCAATGGCTTCATCAGTCGCTTGAAGGTGTCATATGGAACAAACCCCTTGGACACTTTCGTCGACACGGATCCAAGGGACGCCATATCGTCTTGTTCGAGAGACAGAGGAATCTATCTCTATTAATTAGTCTTGATTCTTGAAACTATGAAATAATTTTCGAAACAGCATTAGTGGGAAGAAAATCTCCTTATGTTAACAGTACGACATAAAATGTCTACATAGGAGGAGCCGACTTGTCGTACCAACTCGCTGATTTCGAACTTGCATAGCTTTGAGTGGTTATCCTCATCCAGCGACAGAGTCCAATGACCACGACTGGGTGCCATCAGAAAAAGTCGTGCTGCACACTACATTGTACTCCCAATCAGAACAAAGTATTTGTCTTGTCACCTGCTTGCGTGAAAAATAAAATCCAAAGAGAATCGACATGGAGAATCGCAGCAAACAATATTTTTGGTCTCTTTCTCTCGTCACCGCATTCAGTCGCGCGATTGAAAGTTTATGAGCGGTTCTTTGTAGAAGATTACTTTCCGTGTCGGGAATCGGGGCATGAATTCTACATGAATTTTCTTTTACCGCCAATCACAGAAAAATATTAATATCTCAGAATCCATGTATTGTCAAAATCAACAAATTTAGTCTCGTCAGCCAAAGAATACCATGTTGAACAGTCTGAACCATTTTGTCACGTGTCCCAAAAACCAGAAAACGAACGTTACATGCTCAACATGCTGACCCACTTGTTCATCAAGTTGGGGGTTTCGGCGCAACACACAAAGATTCTTTGGCGCGGATAGCGGAGTTCCCATGAGCCGTCTGGTTGGTGAGACGATACACTGCGAGCACTCACCATCAAGGACGCACGGCGAGCCCAATTCGATGCCGGCTCCAGGATGCCCTTTTCTTCGTCGACCGTCGGTCGGTAGTACAAATCCAGCAATGGGGATGAAGAGAAAGATGGGGTGGGGATGCCGCGTAGGAGAATTATAAGGTTAAAGGGTCTGCTAAGGAACATGATGTACTTCTATTTCTATTCTTTCCTTTTTGGATCGTCCCTGCGAAATCGTCGCGAACGCAGGGCAAGGTAGATATTAGGAGCTCTCACCTTCCTTCACCTTCTTGTAGATGTAGTTTCTAGCACAGTTTCATAATAAGATGAACCTAGGACTTTCTAAAAAGATCAGTATTTCGGAGGAGTTTCATAAGTTATTATCCTGCTGCTTTCCGTGCGGCTTGATCACAATGGCCAGATCGTGGGAAAAAAAGCCATCCTGCGCGTAGAGCTTATATTCTGCGAAGCTGGAGACTAATTGTTGCCTCGAACTACGGTCTCTAGAACCCGAAGAAGGGCAACCAGCTGGAAAACATTTTGCGAGGCCACAAGATGCGGAACGCGATCTGCCCCGAGACGAGCCCAGTTGATTCTGCAAAATTTCTGCCAGTACATTTTGGAAGCCCTCAGAATCGGAAACAGAACCGCAGCGAATGGCTTTTACATCCAAGCACATGCGAGGATAGAGACCCAATCCGTGATAGCGGTCGCTGAAAATGTACAGCCTCTGAATCGCAAGCACACACCTGAGTGAAGTAGATGTACAGCCTCTGAATCGCAAGCACACACCTGAGTGAAGTAGATGCGTTGTAAGATACGATAGATTTAGGGAAGATGAAGGACATGTTGATAGAGCGCTACATGTGATTGTGAGGCAAAACTTTACTATGATCTCGCTAGATTTTTGTGTGGCATGTTCTTGAATTCCGCATTTCATAAACTACTTCCACAGAAAAGAGAACCAGTATCGCTGTATCGCCACGCCTTGCGCGCCATGCGGCAAGACCACTGTAAGCCACCCCTCAATATCCGGCGCAACCGGCAGTGAACTAAGCGGCGCTTGTGGCAAAGGCCGTAGTTGAATCTCAGCTCGTGCAATATCAGCATAGACGTGCGACAGAAAAGCGTCAGACACCTCTTCCGCAGGCAGCACGCACCGTGTGTTCGCAATAAACTGCTGTAGACTCATGCTCGCGGAGCCCTCGCCTTTACCACCGCCACCAGCCTTCTTCATGATCTTCGACATGACATGCAAATCCGTTCAGGATGAAAGCTGCTGAATGTTGACTGCTGCAATTTTGGTATCTATTCAAGAAACCCGTTGGCAAACAGTAAATATCGATTCAGATTAAAGAAGGGAGTTCTTCAGTGAACAAAGGCAACACTTTTAATATAACTACTTACACATGAGAGAGTAGAAAACTACGAAAGCTAAAATCCACCAGCATAAATTGAGCATGATGATGGCAAAGCCGAAGCTGTATGGAGATTCGGCAGATGTCCAATCCGGAAACTCATTGGGATCGCGAGGGGCCAACCGTTGTTTCTTATAGTTGGTAACCACTTGTTGGTAATATGAATCCGAAAATAATTTGATAATTCGGTCTATCACCTGACCTTCACCGCCGGGCTTGAAACAATCAAACAGCTTTCGCATCGCCTGGTAGTTGTATTGAGGTTGTGTTATTTCTAGGATTCTTAAGTAGAGTACTTATACTGAATCGTTCTTGGTGGAGAAGGCAAGACCTGTATTATAGGGCGGTTCTCGTCTTCGTTTTCATGATAATAGCTCCTCACTTTGATTGAACGGCCATAGAAAAGCCAAGTACCTGAGTAATGGTGAGCCCAGAGAAATCCAGAGCATCTACAAATCCGGTGTAGATATCCAGGGAATCTTTGCGACTGAAAAATCTTCCCAATATACTCGGATCTATTCCCCCTTTTCCAGCGGCTGACATCTCGGCAATCCACTCCCCGATACGCCGTGGCTCTACGTCGTTCGATCGCAGCACTTTGTCTTTGAGATACGCAATGCCGTCTTTCGGGTCCAGATTGAACGCTAGAACCTGTAGTCGCAATTCATTGGACCAATCGTGAAGAAAACAGTGACTCAACTTCTAGAAGTGCACTGAAGTGCACTCAATAAAAATGCCCGCTGCTCCTGATAAGTATTAATATTATTTACACCTACTTATAATTACAAGATCATCGTTCTAAAAAAGCATGGGCATAGTGTTTCTTATACAGCCTGAGCAGAGAAGAGTTGATCCGGTGTCATGGCTGCCGCGTTGAAGCGCCAGAGGTACTGAAACATGTTCCGCTGTAAGTGCAATATGGCATGCGCGTCCGTGTCCACTAGTCCACGCAGCTTGCGAATGTTGTTCAGGAATGTGTGGAGGTTGGGCACTGCCGCTGTGCTGGAACTGCACACGTCATCGTCAAGCATGTTGTTCAGAAAGGCTCGACCAGCTTGAGGTCCTCCCGTTCCCGGTCCTCCGTTTAGGGCTTGCAAGTTGGCCCCTCATTTATCTCGCATATAATCTATGACTTTCCTACTTGAAAAGGTGAAATAGCTATGTCCATAGAAAGAGGCCAACTGTAATACAACCCTTAATCCGTTCTTCGCAGTTGGCGTCGCCGTTCCGCTCTCAGTGTGGTCGGGGAGCAACTCGACGTCTCCCTGCGACGGCCGGACCGCAACGCTGCCTCCTAGCGAAGTCGTCACGCCAGAAGATGACCCAAGAACAGGTGTGGACTCTTCGAGCGCAGACGTCGAGAGGGAAGTTGTTATATTTGTAGTACTGGCGTGAAGAGCTGTTCCAGAGAGTTCTGCTTCTTGTTCCCGAGGTTTCGCTTTTTGTTCTGCGCTGATGTAATTAGTGGTTTGCGGATTGGACAATCCGTCTTTCCTTTCCTCCCGGTCAGTACTTGTGCCAGCAGCTTCTTCTTTCTCTTCTTGCGGACTCCCTTTTTTCTCTGCTCGCGATGATTCCCGCGACTGCTCACGGATTGACGAGAGTTGGGCATTAGAAGAAATACAATCAGCCGATGAGATTTTTCTATGGCCCAGATGGAATTCATCTATGGTACAACGCCTTCCAATTCTAAGGATAACTATTTTTGGAGCTGACATAAGAGAAGATCCCGTCCCACCTGGGCGTGTCTTCGCCGACCTCTGACCTTCGCGGCGCCACGTGCTAGACGAAGATGACGAGCTGCCACCCGACTGTTCACTGCGCCGTTTGCTACCGCTCCTCGACCCTGGCATCTGCTCCTCAAGCACGTCACTGGAGAGATACTGCTGATCCGGGGGACGCAGATGCAGCACCACCGTCGGGCGCTCGACGCCGTTGTTGTCGAGCCGCGGACGGCCTGGCACAGTCAACTCATCGCGGCGTCGACCAGGAGCATTGCTTTCGCCGCTCGCCTTCAGCGACTGCGCATCGTCCTGGAAGAAAAAACACTTTCAAAAATCGAAAACACTGTGGTCTTCACAAAGATCCTAGCGTCTGAATCTTTTGCCGAACAGATACCTACAACGACGCATAAACAAACCGAAGAATCCTAAACTCTTTTGCTAACCAGCTACCTGCAACTACTAATCATTCAACACAGCTTGAACTTCATTACTCTATCAAAATAAAGACTTATCCAAAAAAGCAGGAAAGATACTTTCGCGTCTGCTTCTGGCGATGCCCAAAAAACGAGAGAGTAGCTTGTGTCACTCTCTTCCTCTAGTTCGATCTCCGCTACGTCGATCGGAGCCTGAGGAAAGAAGTAGGACCGGAAGAATCAGGGGGGTCCATCCGATCCATCCAAGTCCATCCTACATCCGTTCTATAAACTACTCTATTTTAATGTGCTCTAAGTTTTGATGACGATGACCGGGAATCTATTATGTTATAAGTTGGTGGAACAACTACTTAGAACTTACGTCTTCCGGAGAGACTTCGGGACTCTTCTGAGAGTCGACGAGGAGGAGACTCCGCGTTTTTCGCACGACCAGATCCTCGACTTTGAAGCGTGCGATGAAGCTAGAGTCTAACTTAGCTACGCACACTTCCATGTGTCTCGTTAGAGCTTCCAAGCATTCCTTCATGAATGTCGTGAAGATGCTCCCCTTCACATCAACCATTTAGGATAGGCGATCAGATAGGAAACCTCAACATTTTTACATGCGATATTATACTCCGATTCTCTACTGAGTGCGATAGGATAGGGGGAAAGAAGATCAAGATTGATTGGATACGGATAGCATGTGGGTCCTTCTCACTGAGGGTTCGTCCCTCATCGTCACTGTAGAGATGAAATCTTTTGACAGGAATTAGTGCACCGTAACGAATACCGCACTAGCATACAAATTCATACATTTTGTGGGAAGGGCTAAACGCTAGAGGTAAAAACTAACCGGTTGTACTAGAATACATTAACTTACATTTTTATAGTTGTCTAGAATAACGAAGAGATCTTCATATATTCTAAATGCCGTAAACTCATGTCGACCCAAATGCGAGCTAGGACGTCGTTTTTGCAGACACAGATCACTCCGCGATAGAGATTGTAGACTGTCTGTCCATCCGCGAGGACTTCCGCTGGCGCGACCAGCTGCTTCGCTAGCGACGCTTTGGCTCCATCACTCCGCGGCAGCGGCACCATATCAGTTGCGTCGCCGGCCACTAGGCTTGTCATGTTTGTTCGTCTTGTGCTATTCTTGTTAATGTAGTGCTAAGGCTACCTTCTGTTCGTCGCTCATAAACGGCCGAACTAGAACAAGGCTGAGCGTTCTGTTAAGCGGCAAGCTGTGGTATGCTCTAGGACCGCGAAGGCCGTGATCGTCCTCTCCAGATGATTTGGGATTGCGAGAATCGTGGTGTTCTCCAGCACGTGAAGACTTCCCTATCAGGAGAGTCACTTAGTACTACTTTTGCGCGTATCAACATCCAGGATGTACTACGCCGCTACGCAGTACCTTTGTAGTTGCCGCGGACTTCGCACTTTTAGTTTCAGCTGCGGGGATGATTATGACCTGCAGGCGCGCAGTGCTGCGTAGCTGCAGCTTTTCCTCCAAGGTGCAGCGTCTCCTTGAAGGTACAGTTGCTTCTTCTTCTCAGTTCTTCACTTGTTGTTCTTCTCTGATAGTAGTACTAGCCGTTTTTTCTGACCAATCCGTAGCAACAGAGCAATTCCGCGTCATGCCTGCCCGTCTTCCTCTGGTTGTGCATAGTCGTTACATTACATGGAGTCTAACATTGGCTAGCATACCAAGACCTCCAGGCTCGCGCTTTCACATCTATTCAAGTGCGGAATAAGCCAAGTGCAGTCCTTACTACGCCGTGAACGGGGAACAATATGTGCGCTACTAAAAATTGTAGAGAAAGAACCTTCTGTTTTGTAGCGGTGTTTTACAAACGGGTCACTCTCATGATCACTGGCGTCCTCCGTAGGCTCTATCTAATTCATAAGGAGTGCTACTAAGAATAAAGGTGAAAGCACTGAATGGTGCAAGTACAATCGCTCGCAATTTTCCTCCAGTGTTCTATTCACAAGAAACTTTCTCTCACGCAGCAACTCCTGGCGTCGAGATTTCTATTGTCCATTTGTGCGCGGTTCCAACTTGCCTCTTAGAAGTGCCTAACGTACTCTCTAAAGGCGCACGCTCAAAACTTTAACGGATGACAGGTAAGATGCTTGAAGTTTGTTCTGTAAGCGTCGTTGTCGAAATGAAGTAGAAAGAAGGAACTTGCACAAACGGCCACTTTGTCTCAAATGGTCCATATCTTCGAATTCAGAACTATCACCTTCGCCTTCCTCATCGTCTTCTCCAACCTCAGGAGGTGGGTCGCCTGGGGCAGCGGCGTGCGGTTGCTATTTATCACCCTCGATCATGGAGGCCCACGGGGCCAAAGGCCGCGCGCTTTCAGTCGGGAGCTGAGAGAGTCCCGATCGAATTCCGCGCTGTTTGTTTCTATCTTTCTCGGCTTTTCCCGTGTGAAGCCGCAAAAAGTCACGGCTTTGATGGTCGTTGCGCCACACCTCGAGGGCGGCTGCGAGCCGCGCGCGTCGTGCTGACGCATGGAGAGCTAGCCGACGCAAGCCGCGACCTTTGGTGTTCTAGTAGTGGAATCACTTACAAAGCCCGGGCCTTCTCACGGGTTGCTAGCTCAGGCGGAGCTGCCGCGAGCGATGGCGCCGCAAGCGTAAAACCAGCAGCGCTGGCTAGCTGTGTGCGCGACTAGCCGCAGCGACGGGCAAGGCCGCGACTGTTGGCATTGTAGCAGTGGAATCGCTTAGGAAGTCCCGGCTTCCTCGCGGATTGTCAGCCCCAGCGGAGCTGCCGCGAGCGATGGCGCCGCAAGCGTAAAGCCAGCAACGTTGGCTAGCTGTGTGGGCGACTAGCTGCAGCGACGGGCAAAGCCGCGGCTTTTGGCGTTCTAGCAGTGGAATCGCTTAGAAAGTCCGGGTCATCTCGCGGGCTGTTGGCTCGGGCGGAGCTGCCGCGAGCGATGGCGCCGCAAGCGTAAAGCCAGCAGCGCTGCCTAGCTGTGTAAGCGACTAGCTGCAGCGGCGGGTGCTCTCTTGCCCCCAAGAGCGTGACTCCCCGCGAGTTTAGCTTGTAAACCCTTCAAAGGCCAGGACTTTTTGGCCAATCGGCAACCGGCGCGAGGGTTTCGCCGCCGTCGTCGACTTATCGCGGCCCGGCCGCCAAGTTGCTGGACCATGGAGCCAGCGGGCGCGCAGGCGTGCTGCCTTGCTCCAAAAGCCGTGAACTTCCGCGGGTTCAGCTTGGACACCCTTCAAAAGTCGGGGCTTTTCGGTTAGTCGGCAACCGGCGCGAGGGTTTCGCCGCCGTCGTCGACTTGTTGCGGCCCGGCTGCCAAGCTGCTTGGCCATGGGTCCGGCGTGCGCGCAGGCGCGGCCCCTTGCCCGAAGGCCGTGACGCTCCGCAGGTTCAGCCTGGAAAGCCTTCAAAAGCCGGGGCTTTTCGGTAAATCGGCAACCGGCGCGAGGCTTTCGCCGCCGTCGTCGACGCATCGCGGCCCGGGCGCCACGCTGCTGGACCATGGAGCCGGCGGGCGCGCAGGCGTGGCCCCTTGCTCCAAAAGCCGCGCCTTTCCGCGGGTTCCGCTTGAAAACTTTGCAAAATTCCGGGCCCTTCAGTCAATCGGCGGCCGGACCATGGACCCCGCGGGCGCGCAGCCATGGCCCCTTGCGCCTAAGCCCGTGGCTCTCAGCTTGGAAGCCCTTCAAGCGTCGCGGCTTTTTGGTCAATCGGCAACCGGCGCGAGGGTTTCGCCGCCGTCGTCGACTTATCGCGGCCCGGCTGCCAAGTTGCTGGACCATAGAGCCAGCAGGCGCGCGCGCGCGGTCTCTCTTGCTCGTAATGCCGTGGCCCTTCAAGTGTTCAGCTTGCAAACCCTCCAAAGGTCAGGGCTTTTCAGCCAATCAACAACCGGCGCGGGGGTTTTCGTGGAGGCGGGAAGCTGTGGAATCTAGTGCGGGCCTGCCTCCCAGCGCAATAGGATTCACTAAAGGCAGCGCGCCCCCATTGGTTTTCCCGTAGGCCTTTATAGAGGGACTCGAGCCCCGGACGCGTGGGACTCGAGTTGTTGGGACGGGGGCGGGCGCGTCAGTGTCAAGTTGGTAGCGCAGAGTCGGGCGCGAGCGATTTTGTCTGGGTGGTGCGCGCCTTGTGTCTAAGTTGGTTGGAGCAACTTGAACAGCCCGCGCCAGAGTGCGAGTAAGCAGCATCTGGCCGCGGAGTGACGTAGTGGCACTGAGAGGCGAGCCGAGGACGCGAATTAAAGCAGCGCCTTCAGTGAGAGAACAAAACGAGCAGCAACTCTCTCCGAGTTCTTCACTAATCGAACGGGGGAGCGGATGGCACTAAGGGCCATCGCGCTGAGCTGGGAAGTGCAAAGTTTGTGAGCTTGGGGCGAGGTTTCTGAGTTTGGGCACGGCGGTGCTCTTTGTTGGTAAGAGTGTGGCGAATAGCGCCGGGGCGTATTTGTAAGAAAATGGCGAATCCGCTTCCACCGAGTAAATGCCCTCAGTGGCCGACTTCGCAAGGGCCTCCACCGGCGCAAGCTTTATGGCCTTTCTTTTCCGTCATCAGTGAGGTTAACAACTGAGATCGAAGGCGAGCAGCTCGCCGCTTGGGTGCGACGACTGTGGAACATTGGCTGCGTGCCTCTAATACCTACACCCGACTCGCGCACTTTGTCGCCGCGCTGGCTTCTTAGCAGTGGAAGAATTTTAGAAAGCAACGACAAGGGCAGGGGCCTCAGCCTGGGCGGATACTCAGAGAGGTCACTGAAGCTCGTGGATGGCAAGCAAGGAGGTGCTTCCGGGTTCTGGGCTGAGGGATGGCGATCCCCTACTGGGCGAGCACAACACTCGAAATGGGGGCGATTCCTCCGGGAGCGCCCTGGCGTCTGTGGATGCTGAGGAGGAGAAGCCCTCTGAAGCGTCGCGGGCGAGTCAGGACGAAGATAACAGGCCCAGCATAGTGCCCGCGAGGCTTCCAAGGTCTGACGATAGCAAGCAGGTGGGGCCATCTCGTCGACGCCCGAAGATTAGAAGCAGGAAGCGCCTAGGAGGTGACGACGACAAGAGAACGGCGCCGGCGAAGCTGCTGCAAAATTCGGCGGAAGCAGCCAGGCAGACTCCAGGGAGCTCCTATAAGAGTGCCAGTGGAGTTGGCGCGAACGTGCCAAATTGTTCGGCTCTATAGGTTGTACCTGCTTGCGTCCTCTCATTTCGGAGCATGCCTCTGCCCATCCTTTAAGCTTTTAGCCCCAGCAGATTCCCCCACCCGGCGGGTGCTTCCCGGCTTGTGCCCGTTTTTCATTTCTTTTTTTAGTTTGCTGGCATTTTTGTGAGATTCTGCAAAGCATTCCCTTCACCTTAAGAAAAGTCGGGCGCCTCTCCTAAAGTGATCGAGCCCTCTCCAGGAATTGGAAAGGGGTAAGCCTTTGCGAAAATATGCATCACGGCTGCCACCATTGGCCGCCGGTTAAGAGCTTGCCGCAATCCTTCCCAGTGCGAGGCTGCCAAAGCATCCACCGCTCAGGCCACCCCTGCCCAAGGCCTTCGCGATGTAGTGAGCCACACGCAGGACCGAGGCGGCAAGAGGTGCCCGCCCTGTGTCCCGCTACCGCTGCCCCGCCGTAGCGAAACCGGTGACCAGATGCCAGAAAAGCACAGAAAAGGAGAGAAGGCAAGACGCGAAACCGATGGCAAAAGGGACGGCACCAGAGCAAACCGCGGCCACGCCTTGGGCAGGATCGGGGGAAGCAAATGGAGACAAGAGGGGGCAAAGAAATCCAAAAGGGAACCGAAGCAGCGCGGTCCCATGGCGGTTCCGCTTAAGAGTTTCGCGGGGAGGACTCCGATGGCGCGCAAGTGTCTCCCAAGACATCACAACAGGACCGCGGCGCAGAGGTGGCCGACCCGGGGCATTATATAGAGAGAGACGCGAGGAGGCGCGAGAGACAAACGAGGGAAAGCAGCCGACGCGAAACCGATAAGCAGACGCCAGAAAAGCACAGAAAAGGAGAGAAGGCAGCACGCGAAACCGATAACAAAGCGGACGGCTCAAGAGCAAAACGCGGCCACGCCTTGAGCAAGACCGGGGGAGGCAAACGGGGAAAAAGTGGGCAGAGAAATCGACAAGGGAACCGGGGCAACGCTGTCCCTTAACGGTTTCGCCTAAGAGTTTCGCGGGGATCCACTCGAAACCGATACCCGCACGAAGTTCGAAACTGTTAAGGGGCAGAACTTAGGCAGGCCGAAGCCGCTAAGGGACTCGCAAAACGGCCGGCAGCTTTTTGCGTTTTGTCTTCGCTGTTTTGTGTTGTGGCCATTTCCAATCTGTGCGGCCTCGCTGTGTGTCTCGCTTTTTGGCGGGTTTGCTCCCTGAGTGTTCAAAAGCCGAAGCCGATGGGTAAGCGACCCAGGCGAAACCGATAACGGCACCCGGGAAACCTTCGCCGCCTTGGAGGCTTTGGACGTGTCTCGCCACCCACCACAGTGAGAGCACAGGCCACAAGCGCGCAAGCCTCCGGGGATACTATGCACCCCGCCACCGCCTCGCTCTGTCGCGGTGCGCAGGTGCGTCGCTACTTTGCTCCGCTTGCACACCGGCGCGGCGACTGAACAGACAAGACAGCCGAACAAGCAGAACGACGCAGCAGACAGAACGACCAGCGGAACGAACAGAGCGACAAAACAGACAAGACGACCAAGCAAGCAGAACGGCAGAAGAGACAGAAACAAGACCGACCAGCCAGAGCGACGGAACAGACAGAACGACGGGACAGACAAGACGACGGAACAGACAAGACGACGGCCAAACAGGTGGAACGACTTAGCAGAAAACACGGAGGAACGCCCTCAGGCCGCTGGGCGGTGCGTGGCCATGCTTCAGCCGCAGCCACCACGGCGCGCCCTCGAATCACAGGG